TGTTTCTTTTTCAATTCTCTATACGATGGTATGGTTATTATAGATAAATAAAAAAAAAGTTGGATATCCCCTGCTTGTAGCTCATAAAATATATGATTTTGAGCAAATTTATGAAGGGAACGTACATCTGGTACTTAAAACTCTCATATTATAATGGATATAACGTAGAGCTATCGAATGGTGTTTGTTTTGTGTGAATCCAGTGAGCATTTGTCGAGATATGGTCAAAAAGGGGTATCATGCAAAATCATGAACTTTTGTTCAAAATCTACGTGTGATAGCAAGCAAAAAATCTGGTGACGATTTTTTGGTCAGGACAATATTTTCAATAATTCACAATAGAAGCATGCTAGAGCTTCAAGCAATAGCTCATTCGATAGGAAATTTTTTGATCTACAATGTTTAGTAATGATTAACAAAATGTTTTGATGACAGAGAGTGATTAATCTTTAGAAAACAGCCAAAAAATCGCAAAAACAATCGTACCAAATATCAGGTGAACAATGTACACCAGAGACCTGATATGAATACCATTGTATTTTCCTTGTAATTCTCTACAAGTTTCATATAAGTTTGAAAGGGTGGTTACTATCAAGAAACGCGTGATTTGAAGGTCGATAGATTTTGGAATCCTATGGATCATCATTCAGAACAACAGAAATTGAAGCTCCGTTTAGCCTTGGCATGTGTACACGACACATGTATGAATTTGACCGAGTATTTTAAGAATCGGAGCGTACGAAAAGGGCCATATTAACTTGCTGGTTTCAAGTTATCAATAGATACTTGACATGATGGAGAATTTTGCTTTTAAGGTTAGATAGTTGTAGCTTGCTTTGTTCGATTATAATAAGACTTGCAATTTAAAGCATGCATATTCCCCCGCTTAAAAATAGCATCTCCAATGTTGATTATCTCATGAAGTATGCATTTCCAATATAATGTTCCCACTAAGAACTTGCTCCAATATCATTATTCTACAACATATTTAAGTTTGATGAGATTCTAATTTTTTTTTACCTATGAGGACCTGGATGTACAAAATGTTTTTTGATTTTGAGGTTTTCAACTTTTGGACGATCGAAAATCGATTTTCTAAATATTGATGTTAGAGCCTTGAAACTAGCATGTTTCTATACCAGTTTCTTGCCGTCTAAACGATGGTGCAATTGAAATTTGCATAGGTAGCATGGTTGTTAAGAAAAGGTAGATTTTAGAAAATAGTTCATTTTGAATAGATGCTGCTAGTAAAACTTTCTAAATTACTATATGAATGTGAGATGTATGTGTAGTAAAAGCTGTAGAGGGTACGTTGATTGAGTAAAGCATGTTTGATGTGGGATTATTGAGGGCGATGTCAATGAGTAATGACGAAAAATGTTCAAAATGACCGATTTTCAAAGGGCCATATCTCTGAATTTTACCAAGTAAACCAGAGCTCCAAACTTAATAGTTTCTGTTTCTTTTTCAATTCTCTATACGATGGTATGGTTATTATAGATAAATAAAAAAAAAAGTTGGATATCCCCTGCTTGTAGCTCATAAAATATATGATTTTGAGCAAATTTATGAAGGGAACGTACATCTGGTACTTAAAACTCTCATATTATAATGGATATAACGTAGAGCTATCGAATGGTGTTTGTTTTGTGTGAATCCAGTGAGCATTTGTCGAGATATGGTCAAAAAGGGGTATCATGCAAAATCATGAACTTTTGTTCAAAATCTACGTGTGATAGCAAGCAAAAAATCTGGTGACGATTTTTTGGTCAGGACAATATTTTCAATAATTCACAATAGAAGCATGCTAGAGCTTCAAGCAATAGCTCATTCGATAGGAAATTTTTTGATCTACAATGTTTAGTAATGATTAACAAAATGTTTTGATGACAGAGAGTGATTAATCTTTAGAAAACAGCCAAAAAATCGCAAAAACAATCGTACCAAATATCAGGTGAACAATGTACACCAGAGACCTGATATGAATACCATTGTATTTTCCTTGTAATTCTCTACAAGTTTCATATAAGTTTGAAAGGGTGGTTACTATCAAGAAACGCGTGATTTGAAGGTCGATAGATTTTGGAATCCTATGGATCATCATTCAGAACAACAGAAATTGAAGCTCCGTTTAGCCTTGGCATGTGTACACGACACATGTATGAATTTGACCGAGTATTTTAAGAATCGGAGCGTACGAAAAGGGCCATATTAACTTGCTGGTTTCAAGTTATCAATAGATACTTGACATGATGGAGAATTTTGCTTTTAAGGTTAGATAGTTGTAGCTTGCTTTGTTCGATTATAATAAGACTTGCAATTTAAAGCATGCATATTCCCCCGCTTAAAAATAGCATCTCCAATGTTGATTATCTCATGAAGTATGCATTTCCAATATAATGTTCCCACTAAGAACTTGCTCCAATATCATTATTCTACAACATATTTAAGTTTGATGAGATTCTAATTTTTTTTTACCTATGAGGACCTGGATGTACAAAATGTTTTTTGATTTTGAGGTTTTCAACTTTTGGACGATCGAAAATCGATTTTCTAAATATTGATGTTAGAGCCTTGAAACTAGCATGTTTCTATACCAGTTTCTTGCCGTCTAAACGATGGTGCAATTGAAATTTGCATAGGTAGCATGGTTGTTAAGAAAAGGTAGATTTTAGAAAATAGTTCATTTTGAATAGATGCTGCTAGTAAAACTTTCTAAATTACTATATGAATGTGAGATGTATGTGTAGTAAAAGCTGTAGAGGGTACGTTGATTGAGTAAAGCATGTTTGATGTGGGATTATTGAGGGCGATGTCAATGAGTAATGACGAAAAATGTTCAAAATGACCGATTTTCAAAGGGCCATATCTCTGAATTTTACCAAGTAAACCAGAGCTCCAAACTTAATAGTTTCTGTTTCTTTTTCAATTCTCTATACGATGGTATGGTTATTATAGATAAATAAAAAAAAAGTTGGATATCCCCTGCTTGTAGCTCATAAAATATATGATTTTGAGCAAATTTATGAAGGGAACGTACATCTGGTACTTAAAACTCTCATATTATAATGGATATAACGTAGAGCTATCGAATGGTGTTTGTTTTGTGTGAATCCAGTGAGCATTTGTCGAGATATGGTCAAAAAGGGGTATCATGCAAAATCATGAACTTTTGTTCAAAATCTACGTGTGATAGCAAGCAAAAAATCTGGTGACGATTTTTTGGTCAGGACAATATTTTCAATAATTCACAATAGAAGCATGCTAGAGCTTCAAGCAATAGCTCATTCGATAGGAAATTTTTTGATCTACAATGTTTAGTAATGATTAACAAAATGTTTTGATGACAGAGAGTGATTAATCTTTAGAAAACAGCCAAAAAATCGCAAAAACAATCGTACCAAATATCAGGTGAACAATGTACACCAGAGACCTGATATGAATACCATTGTATTTTCCTTGTAATTCTCTACAAGTTTCATATAAGTTTGAAAGGGTGGTTACTATCAAGAAACGCGTGATTTGAAGGTCGATAGATTTTGGAATCCTATGGATCATCATTCAGAACAACAGAAATTGAAGCTCCGTTTAGCCTTGGCATGTGTACACGACACATGTATGAATTTGACCGAGTATTTTAAGAATCGGAGCGTACGAAAAGGGCCATATACATGATGGATGTAAGTAGTGTATGGAGGGAGTTAATGTTTGGGAGAGATGTGATAGAAAGTTGGTATGTGGAGGAGAGGGGAACATCAATGTATATTCTCATGTTGTGAAGGGTAAAATAGTTCAAGGGAAGATATTGATCGGGAATCGTATTGACGACACGTCGACTATAGTAGAGGTAAGGGAAGTAGCGGAAGGATTGGTTAAGGGTAAGAGTGTGTTAAGTGGGGTTGTAGTCAAAAACTTTGGGCTTAAATAGATCATTAGTGCGAAGAATGGTATCGTTTAATTCGAGGATAGTGAATGAAATGCAAAAGGAAAATGCCAAAGGATGGGAGGATGGATGGGCATGTTGGAGGAGGGAGAGGAATGGACGACGTAGGGTTGTGGGAATACCGACGGAGCACAGTGAAAATTTTCTTTGGATGGAGTCTACAGCACTGATATAGTTAGTAACGGGACCAGATGGACGGCATTGAGGAAAGAGAACTGACCAGTGGTAGTAGGAAGTAAATTGAGGGGAGCCAAAGCCAAAGGATTGGGATAGAGTGTATTAAAGGAGGGAAAGGCCGACTAGGATGAAGGAGTGAATAGAGCCGTCGCCATTGTAGAGTATGGGCTTGTCGAGCAGGATTAATAAGGTTCAAGCCTCCTTGGAAGCGAGGTAAGATGAAAGTGTTCGATGAATTCGAAATAATAAAGTCGATGATGATAATCAGTTGTCAACTGTATCTAATAAAATGTAAACAAAGAGCGTCTTCATTACAGGACATCTAGCTCGCTTAAATATGATAGATCGCAGCTCAATGACTATTGCGTTGAAATGGTATATAAATAGCGCTGATGTTAATCTGTCTGCATCTTGAAGCATACTTGATATTCTTGTAGTCAAATCATGAGGATCATGATATTCAGTCATTGAAAATAAGAACTGTTACACTAGTAGCAATAAATACAGTGATATAACATATGAAATGCGCTCTAGTTGCATTGTAGCTTATAGAATGCTCATGCAAGGGCAGGTATACAGAGCTGTCCATGATTGCTACATGGTATGCTCTCTGCCATATATGAGGCCTTCTCTCTCCATAGCGGAAATCAGCGCTGATAAACTGTGCTTGTACCTAGCTCAAGGTATACCATAATTTGATGCAGTAGATCACACTGGGTACACACTTGCCATGCACAGCGTTTATGTTTGTTTCATAACATGCAATTGCCAAGTAAAACAAGCATTTTGAAAGCCCAACGTCGTGACGATTGTTTCCTATTAGATCATTGCCTTTCTCTTGCAACAACTCAAGCTTACTCTTTTTCGAGTTTATAATATTATGGAGGACGCGATAAGCCAGCTTCAGGACTTGGTATGAAAGATGGCTAAAGGGAGATTCATCCAACACCATGCATACTAAAACGATGTCTTAGGGTGTTACTCGAGGACAGGCCAAGAAGGCGCTTGCAGTAAGAAAATATCTACATTTCGGCACATCCTTCATCATGCACTCATGGTTTTATCTGTAGCGATACAACAACGATGTGGCAAGAGCTGCTGATTTCATATTTTCTGGAGCTTTTTTGAGTGATGACGAAGACGATACTCATCAAGGACATGAGGTAATGCCTAGAAATGACTTGGCACAGATACAGACCTGCTCACACCTCTTTACTAGTCCACGATGGAAACAGATGAACAGCTTGCCATAAGACTCAGCAGAGAAGAAGACGAAGCGCTTCAGCAAGCAAGCTTTAACGATAACACTACATTCAAAGAAACTATCACTACACCGCCTTCACCTGCAGTAACTGTCGAAAGTAAACTCATAAGCTAGAGAAATAAATGATGAAATCATATGCATAACTGGGATTATATAGGTGAGCCTGTACAACTTGATAAATCGGCCAGCCATACCAACTATGATTCATCCAAGTGGAGTGTTGTACCATTCAAGGAATCCGAGACAGCACCAAGCAACATGCACACAACAACAGCAACAACAACATCTTCGGCGCAACTGATGAACGAAGCTTCATTGACTTGGTGGAAGGACCCCGAAGATCCCTCAGAGAGAATGGCGTTGGATGATTTGTAAGTGTCATATAAGAAATGCAGCTAAAGATCGAGACCACTCAGCATGTGTGCCGCATTATAGGCCCATTGGACTTCGACCTCCATCTTACAACTTTGCCTATTCGCCTATTCTCGTCCAAGCTTTATTTCATGTCACAGCGTTTCAAGAAGCAGTTTTATCGTTTAGACCAACACCTTATGCTTGGGGAGCACCTAAAAATTACTGGAAGGGATTTGGAGAGCCTGTACCAGGTTATATCATGCGCGAGGTGGTAACGAAGCGTCAAGTGACGAAACCTGTCATCCCCCCTGAAGCTCCCTCCACAGCAACAACAACAACACCGCCTCCTCCACCACAGCATGCTTTGGATACTGCAGATGAAAACTTGATTTCACTTGACTCACCTGAAAACAAGATGGCAGCATTGACTATTGGGGATGAGAATGAGGATCAAGATGACAAGATAATTATTCATGATGACGATTCTGGAAGCAGCATCAACGAAGACACAACCGATAGTGATTTACCTCCTTTAATCGTTGAAGCGACACCTGTGGAAGAGGAAACAGTCGAGTTTGTGGATCATGTAGAAAATGAAGTACAACTCATGCCGAAATGCTTGGAAGCGCTGGCTGAATTGCAGAAACTGTTTGCATTTTTGGGCAATACTTCGCGATTGTATGGAAACGTTTCGCATTATGTGAGAGCATTGAACACCAAGCTGACATCCAGTGGCTGGGAGTTTAGTGACCAAACCTTTGAAGGTGAGGAAGCTAGTTCAGAGATGAGTAGAGCAGAGATTAATTCGCTTCAAGCCTTTCTGGATATGATGATCAATGGCCTAGTAGAGGCGGATGAGCAATCTGACAAGGCCATGGACATGTCGTTTGTGCCCTTATTCAGAAGGTAAGAAAAAATCGGAACTTGGAGCTCACAACCACACGCACCACTAAACATGGCATATAGCTTATTTTTGCTCAAGGCAAGAATCGAATACGGGGATGATTACGACAACGAGGAAGTGTATTATTTGACCATCAGCCTTGACAAAACCATGAACTCGTTTCATGGATGTCTTGACCCTCTCGTCTACGAAAATTACGACATGGATGACAGCAGTGTAGATCCCAGCATTTCAGACGACGAAGACAAAGCGTCCTACAAACTAACAACCTTCAAGCAAATACCACCCATCCTTTTAATCGTTTTAGAGAACCGTACAGCACCTAAAAAGTCGAATTTTGAATACAAGATTGATACAACAATCTACATGGATAGATACATGCTGGAAAAGAAGGAAGTGTCATTAGCAGGATTTCAAGAAATGGAAGCATGTCGTAACGAAATCGCCAAATCAAGACTGGAGATGGAGAAGCTAAAGGGTGGTGGAAATGGACCTACGGCTATTGATAAACGAGACATCTTGATACAAACTCTCAGCTATTTCAAAAACAAAGAGCAAGACAAGGGAGAACCATCTGCTGCTGACGAGGAGCTCAACACATTAAAGGACATGATTCACTCGGTTAAAGCGAACATTGAATCGAGATTACAAGATTTGGAAACATTGATAGCTGAGCAAAGAGAAAAAATCGACAGCATTTTCAACACGCCTGACATGAAGGAGAATCCTTATGAATTGAGAGCCTCGTTTCATCATGATGGAAAGAGCGGCACAGGTCATTATTGGGCGTACATTTGGGTGGAGCCATCGGAACACAACTTGCTAGAAGATATTCCTACAGAGGGCGGTTGGTTCAAATTCTGTGATGCTATTGTTACAGCTGCTACTGAGCAAGAGATCATGGAAGATTCCGTGCCACCCTTTTCACTGATGTACGTCAATGCTTCCTTGCCAAAGTTCAGCAGAGAACAGCTTTATGCGTGTATACCCGACGAATTGAAGGATTTTGTAAAGAAGGACAACGAGCTACTAAGACAAGAAATACATGATCACGACCACCCTGCTGTGCAAGGAGACGCCTCGCTTATATCTACGTCTGAAGATGATGTGATGTTTACAGAAAAAGCTGATTCAGTGCAACTGGATCACAATTATGCTGACGATAATGTGTCGGTGGGCACCGCGGTAGGTGCTGCGGCAGAGCATCCGCCCTTGGCAACCACTACAGTAACTACTACTACAACAAACCGCACAAATGGCGAGCTGCTCAACTACTCATTCAACGGACAAGCATTCAACAAACTCAAAGACCGAGTAACAGCCAAGATTTGGAAAGTGTCAAGCTACCCCTGTGATGACTATCGATTTATAAAAAGGTTTGATCGTAAACATTTCAGTTTAGAGTATTGGCATACAGACTGACGTCTTGCGTGGTATGTTAGTTTTGACGACTTTTTAGCAAGAAGCCAAAATCAGTTGATACTGGAACACTTGTATTTGTTGTATTCTTCCGAACAGGTAACACATCCTACTTGGAACTGTATATTGATGCTAATGAAATAGCATAGCCTGATAATAGCAATGAGCTTGCCATCAACGAAATAAAAGCACGAGAAGATACCGACCTTCAGACCGTCTGGCAGGAATACGATGCCTACTTGTCTATTGCAAGCATGATCACACAAGCGCTGAGCTGCTTTATCAAGAAGGATTTCGCAAGTGCGTTGCAACATTTGATGGACTCGAAGCGAGCGGAAGCCTCTTGGAAAACACAAATGATGCTGGATATGGACATTTCCACTGCTTACTCTGGTTTGGAAACACTGACATTCAATGACATTGTGGAAAAGTACGGCAAAGAGTGTATCAAGGTAGGGCAGTATAATTTGGCAGACCTGAGGGCAATCCACTGAATGAAAGCACCTTTGAATAGATTTTGAACAATGCAGCCTTCACTAAAGCATCCAACCCTTCCTACCGCACCAGAGGTTTGGAAGACGCTCTCCGTATCGCACATCAAGCACAAACCATCATTGGGCCTGACAACATCACCCAAGACCCCGTCTATCAATCACTAGGCTCGTTATGGCTCTCCTTCACTGACCATACAAGCACTGGTTCTGAATTGAGTGACAGACAAGTGGACCTATTGAATAATTTGATCATGGCCTATTTGGAGGGACAAGTGGGCGGATCATCAGTAGCCCATAGTCGAAGTCAGTCACCGATCTTGGATGACAGTTCTGATGGTGAGGATGATCATGAAGCCAACTACTCTCAAGCACTATGGCAAAAATACAAGCAGGTTTGTTCTGAATCCGAACAACTATTGTCAACTTTAGAAAAATAAACATGGCACAGACAACAAACATTGTATTTTGTCTAGACAGATTGTTAATTCACACATGCAAACCACGAGAGTTTTCATATAAAATTTGATCCAGGCATGCAATGCTTTTTTTTTATTTTGCTTGAAATTGTTGTGAATCTCGATCCAAACACATCTCAAATGAAGTACATTCTTACTGTAACTGGTAAGAAATGCTGATTTCTGTACAGAATGCACTGAATTCTCATCTTTCTACCACCAGTGCTTTCTTGTCTCGTCATCAACAACACCGAAGCCAATGTAGCAGCTACAATAAGTTTGAAATCAGAGGTGGCTGCTGCTGTAACCTCTGTTGTCGAAGCAACTGGCACATCCACTATTATTCAAGATTCAGTTGACAGTTTATCCAGCGTTGGCTATGCTATCAAAGTCCCGGACGCTGATGGTGGTGATGACGATGGTGATGAAAACTCTCCTGGGCCTCCTGCCATTCCTGAAGAAGACGAGGAGAAAGAAGAAGGTAAAGAGAAGCAAGATATTGTGGAAGACGTGGATGCCAGAGAAAACACTTATGCCGAAGCCGGCCTTAAGTACAACAAGGATGTGGATTTGCCTGTCCTCGCACAAAGAAAGCAGTTAAAAGGTGAAGACTTGCCTGCTGTCCCTCAAGTCGTTGCCTGTAGAACGGATGGACAAGTTGCTATTACCTATGTAAGTTGTGCTTTTCACCTGTAAAACGCCACTATGTGTACCAACATCTTCAATAGAGCGAAGGACCTAGTGATGCCACTGCTCGTATCGCTCGTCAGTTGAACAATGCCCAAGTCAGAGCCAATTTTTTTGTCAGTACCAAGTGGTAAGCCTTCCTTTTTTTTTTTTTTTTTTTTTTTTTAATTACAAGATACTGACATGTTCATACCAGGTTACAAGAGCAACAATACGCCATGGTGCTTCAAAACATTTACAACGCTGGCCACTTGATCGGCTTGACCTACCGTCTCCCAACAGAAGATCCTGAGACCATGAGCGACGAAGAAATCAGGGAAGACATCATTACCAATGCCAAGATGGTTGAATCCCTGATCCACGTGTCTCCCAAGTATGTCAGATTACATTTCAGTGCTCAAAGCGACGGCCGTACAGAGCACATTCTTCAAGAGCTTGGCTTTGTTTTGGTGGGCTATAATTTGGATGGCAAAGACTATGTACACAAGACTCCTGAATTAATAGAACAAGAATACCAACGCACCTTCAAAACTTTCAGGGCAGCACATCAAGACAAGAAGGGATCCTTTGTCGCTATTCAGTACGATATTCCAGAGACTGGCAGTATGGTAGCTGTGCCCAATATAGTTCAGTTGTTGCAGAGAGAAGGATACGATGCCGTGCGTATGGATGGTTGCTTGAATGATGAAAAGCCCTACAAGGCAAGCGCCGCTGGCTTAAAGTATGTTGCAGACAAGTTTTCTTTGGGTTCTGCTGGTTACAGGTCGGGTCAAAAGATTACTGCCATCATCAACAACTCTACAGCAGAAGAAGAGATTCGCGGTTTGTCAGCTGACGATGGCTTCTTGAATGAGAGTGCTGGTGCTTTGGCTGCGGTGCCCAAGACGGTGGGATTTGCTTTGATACCTGCTGCTTTTGCTTATGCTTTGTTTTGCTTGCTTTAGATTTGATTATTCCCAGCTTTCCCTCTTTGTAACTGGTGCTTGACCAGGACACTATAGTTGTATATATCATTACCAGACTACTCTTAATAATAAATGAGAAAAACTTCATTTGGCTCAACTGCATTTTTTTTTTATCGGCTGACATCATTTGAAGTGATAGATTTTCGCATCATGTAGACATCAAGAAATCTCCTAGCAACTTTGACATTAAAGCCATAAATTTTTTTTGAGTCTAAGCTTACAAATTAACGGGAGCCACAACTACATATCTACTGCCAGGACACTGCTCAATGGCATGAGCAGCATAGTCAATGCAAGGTTGGGTCTCATTGACATGTTCAGCAACATATCAAATGTCGGACTTGACTAACGCGTACACAGATACCCACCCACCCACCCACACAAATAAAGAAGAGGCCAAAAAAAATTTGTTCATTTTTTCTCTTTTTCCGTCTTCATTTCAGCACTTGCGCGTTCTATTATATCAATGTTGGATCCTAAAGATTTCGAGGTAAATCTCCAGCAAAAACAACAAGCAGAATTCAATCAACTAAAGTGTCTAGATGTAGGTTGCTTCTCCACCACCTGATGGCATTTCTGCTTTGGATTTCTCTACACAAGCAGACTTTTTAGCAGTCTCTTCATGGGATAATCAAGTAAGTTTATCATGATATCAAGCAGTGTTATTCGATACTCACATTGCTGCTGCTAGGTTCGTATATATGAAGTTCAACCTTCCGGTGCTACTGTGCCAAAGACAGCGTATTCTCATGAAGCACCCGCTTTGTGTGTCAGTTGGAGCAATGTAAATATAGGCAGTCAATGGACGTCGTAGTAGAAGTGGAGGATGCTGATGATGTTTTGATAATTAGGACGGTACAAAGGTCGTTTCTGGTGGTGCAGATAAAGCGGGTAGAATGCTCGATGTGTCTACAGGCCAATCAACTCAAATTGCTCAACATGACGACACTATCAAATGCATTAAATTCTTGGATCAGGGTAACATTGTTGCCACTGGTAGTTGGGATAAAACTGTCAGATATTGGGATACTCGCTCACCTCAACCTGTCGGCACTGTACAACTTCCCGAACGCTGCTATGCCATGGACGCAAAAGGACCTTTGATGACGGTTGGAACTGCCGAAAAACACATTTGTATCTTTGATTTGAATAACCCCACTGTCATTTTCAAGGTAAAAAGAAAGGCACAGAATGAACAGGAGGATGTTGGATGCTAAGCCAAATGATTTAGAACTTGACATCACCTTTGAAATGGCAGACTCGTGTCGTATCATGTTTCTCTGACAGTAAGGGTTTTGCTGTTGGTTCAATTGAAGGAAGAGTTGGTATTCAATACGTCGAAGATAAGGATTCATCGTAAGTCTGGCCATGTAACATGAGGATGTATGCATCAGTAACTCAATCTTTCACGACAATAGCAAAAATTTCTCATTCAAATGTCATCGTGATGATGCCAAAAACGTATACGCCGTCAACGATATCAGCTTCCACCCTATTCACGGCACCTTTTCGACAGCTGGTGCTGATGGTACAGTCAGTTACTGGGACAAGGATTCTAAGCAACGTTTGAAGCCTTTCCCCAAGACAAATGGACAAATCGTGAGCACAGCATTCAATAGAAATGGTAGCATCTTTGCTTATGCAGTTAGTTATGATTGGTCAAAGGTAACAAGTCTGTTTTGCAGTGATGTATTTTATCAAATCACTCACTGTTGTTTCATAGGGCTACAAACAATCATCACCATCCAATGTCAACAAGATTTACTTGCATGCTGTTAGGGACGAAGAAATCAAGCCTCGTACTCCCAAGAAGCGTTAAAAACATATACAAATAATTTCGATCATAATATACAATGACAAAGATTCCATGCCAACAAATAAACATTTCACAGGAAAAAATGAGCATCCTTTTAGTGATCACACATAACTTGAGCTTCTGTTTTCTTTGACACAAAAAGGCGATCAAGGCTCCGAATTTAAACCGTTCTAGTCTGGATACAGTATCACTCTACATCAAAATAGTATTCGGTACTTTTCGACATTGACACCTTGATCACATCCTCTCGGCTGTGTTGGATACGTCTATCTGCTGAGAATTTTGCTGTGAGCTACATCTATATTGGCCTCAGCACTTGATTTTTGGTTTAGCTGAATGTCCAATGGTGATTACACTAAGGCTGATCCCAATCACTCTCTCGACCCATTGGCCCCTGAGTGGTATTGTCGTGTGTGCAAGAAGCATTGCGGAATCCAAGCCAAGCATCGACAACATTGCAGTACAGCTCATCATACAATACTACCCCTCTCTAGCTGACAAATGTCAATTCAGATACGAAGATAGATATGGACGAGCCTAGTCGTTAAAATGCAAAATATGGTAGGAGACTGAAGACGCAGAGCTCTTTCAGGTGTCGTTTGAAACGAGTTCACAGCTTACAAAATTAATAAAGCATGTGTATGATCGGTTACTAGACCCTATACACTTCCACGTTGTCATTCAGTGCACTGCCCAATTGCTGAATGCCAACGGGTAGATGATGCATATTCATCGCAATGTGATTGGGTCCAAGCATTAGATAAGCATACATTGTCATTTGCTGCTCATCTAAGGGTGAACTTGTAGGGTGGGTTCTTCCTTATAGAAGAACCCCTTCCTTTCTGATGTTGCTCTTCACTGTGCGAGCCTGTTTATGAGACGGCGACGAGCAGGCCGCTAAACTGCGATCTCATACCATTCTATCTCTTAAATGCCTTCGTTACCTGTGTCGTTTTTTTCAACTGATAATTCTTGATCTGACATGTGTCCCTTCTTTTTTGGTTGTGACAAGCAGTAATTAGTAATAAAGCAAGTCTTCCATGGTGGGTAGCACTGTTCTTCTAGCACTAATTGATGGTAAATGGCGGGAGATTGTCATAAACTCCATGTTTTCCAGCCCAAATTACTGTATTAGGGAGCCATGACATCCAAAGCAGTCCATACAAAACATTGCATATAAAATAGACATGAAAAATTACCCGGATTCTTGTTTCTGCTCTTTCTTCCAACTTATCTAATCTATCATCATCATCATCATGTCTACTGATAACAAGGTCAAAGTCGGTGTCGTTGGTTTCGGTAAGTTGGTGCCAATTAGTATGGACAGATCATCATCTAACACACACCATGTCAGGCATGTCCGCCCGGGTCTTTCACTGTCCTTTGATTACCTCCTCTCCTTATATGCATTTGGCTGCTGTCGTTGAACGCAAAAGTGACAAGTCCAAGAATGTCTATCCCTGGATCCAAGTCAAGAAGAGCACAGATGAGCTCTTTGCTGATGCTGAAATTGATTTGGTTGTCATCACTACTCCCAATGGATCTCATTATTCTTTGGCTCTTGAAGCCATGAAGAATGGAAAGCATGGTAAGTTTCATTGGAGCTGTGAGAGAGCGCACCGTGAGCTAAAGTGTTCCGTCTCGGCTAGTTGTTGTTGAGAAGCCTTTCACCATTACCTCCAAGGAAGCTGAGGATCTCGCTCGTGTCGCCAAGGAAACTGGCCGTATCTGCAGTGTATATCAAAACCGTCGTTGGGATGGTGATTTCTTGACTGTCCAAAAGTTGTTAAAGGGTGGTCAATTGGGTCGTTTAGTTGAATATGAATCTCACTTTGATCGCTTCCGTAACTTTGTCAAGGCTGGCTGGAGAGAGCAATCCGATGCTCCTGGCTCTGGTATGCTCTATGATCTTGGTGCTCACTTGATTGATCAAGCACTTGCCTTGTTCGGTATGCCCAAGTCTGTCTTTGCCATGGTCAGCAACCAAAGACAATTGAAGGAAACAGACGTCGCTGATGATTTCACCATCATTTTGGGCTATGAAAACTCTTTCAAGGCCATCCTTCGTTCCAGCATGTTGGCTCGTCATGCACCTGTCTTGCGCTTCAACCTTCGTGGCATGAACGGTTCATACAGAAAGGAATACTTGGATGTGCAAGAAGATCAACTCAAGTCTGGTGTGGTTCCATCTGATACTGAGTATGGTGTTGAATCCAGCGAGCGTTTCGGCACCATCAACACTGACTTCAACGGTGTCCATGTTGTTGGTAAGGTCGATACTGAAAAGGGCGATTATTTGTCTTTCTACAACAATGTTGCCCAATCCATCCTCAAATCTGATCCCGAGAACTTGGCTGTCAAGCCTCAAGACGGTGCCAATTGTATCCGCATCATTGAGCTTGCTCAACAAAGCAGCGATGAGGGTCGTGTCATTACTCTTTAATTTACTGGATGCGAAGTTAGTGCAATTTCGATCTAAAATAACCGTACTCTATCGTTTTTATAATTAAACGCTACTCTGTAAACGTTTGTGTATCCTTGTTCTTTGTGATCTTCCATTAGGACAACTTGGGCAATGTGTTTCTCGAATAAGAGCCTGGCTGCTTCATGAGTAAAGTATCCCCCTTCTTGCCTTTCCACAGGACATCAGTGATTTGATCAGCAGGCAAGATTACTACAGTGGAAATGAAATACACGCATCAAAATTCCCAAGCATGACTGATTTCGCCCATTAGAGTAGACTACAATGTACTCTTGTGTGTCAATTCAAGTCGTGATCTACAGCAGGTCCATATTTTCATTGCCACTACTGCTCAGGCACTGGTCTACGTATCCATTTTATAATGCTATGCACATTGCCCACTATGGCCTCCTTTAATTATGCTCTGTATTGTACATCTACACTGCATCCAAACAAAAAGGTATGATTTCATAACATGAAGGATGAGATGCGGCCATGTCTACATGATACTGTATGTCTGCTTTGATCGCTCCCATGCCTTACTGTACACATCTTCTATCAAAAGCTTTTGAGAGAGGATAGATAAGTTTATTTCTGGGCTATAGAGTTTATTACAGCTTTGTTTACAAATTTTCATGCCGTGATGCGGTAAAAATCTTGTGAATAGTATGTAGACGCGTATTTATAGATATATTACAAATGCCTGATGGGAGGCAAGACAAACACCGTGCGATTTCAAACTACTGTGCCCTGCTGAATTAGCTTAACTAAATCTTGTTGCGATCCCCTGCAATCAAGACAGGTAGTAGTAGTAGTAGTAGTAGTAGTAGTAGGAACAGCAGGTGTTGATGACTTTTCGACTGCATGATGATTGTTGTTCTTATCGTCACTAGTAACAGGAACAGCAACAGGAGTCGTAGGTACAGCAGCAGCATGGATCATGCTACTCTTTCTACGCATTCGAGGATATTGATAGGTAATCAGCCCTTCATTTGGATCATTGGATGGCGAAAACTTGGGTTGTCGAGTAATAGGAATCGCAGCAATAGGAGACGAGCGTCGTCGTTGCTTGCCATGATGGTTGCTGTTGCTAAAGATTGATATCCCAGAGTCACGCTTCTGACAAGCTGCATTGTCTACCATCTTATGATCTTCCTTTTCAGTACCTGCTGACCATGAAAGGTGGCGTGTTTTATTCTGCTTGGTACCACTATCCAAACGAATCCAGTGCTTTAATTTAGTAAGCCATTTTGATTTTTGTGATCTCTCCTCTTCCAGCGGTTGGTTGGGATCATGAAATAGGTTGGCAAGCTCGATGTTCGCTGTGGGCTCCTGCTGCGCTTCCAAGTTGGAAATCTCTCTTTCACGCTGCTGCTGTAATTTTAACTCCATTGCGACTACGGGCATCTGGCTTTCTACAAACAGCCTACAGTTGCGACGTCTGGCATCTTTGGAAGGAGGAAACTGCCTTCATGTTAGTGCATATCACTTACAGCAGATCAAGTGCCAACCTACATTTCGAGCGTGTATAGCCAGGTTTTCTTCTGTGAGCGGACAAATGTTGGCATCCATGTCGACCGATGAAACGTTGTTGGTCGACTGCGACGATTTGCAAGAAGTAGTGGCTGTCATGGTGGATGCAATGTCTTTTTGAGGAGGAAACGATTTTCGTCGTTGTTGTAAGTGTTGGTGCAAATCAAACTTCATCGTGTTTTGTCGAAAGGATGAAAAGAAATAAGAGAGAGCGAAAAAGAGAGTTTCTGATTTAAAAACTCAATTTATACTGTCGATGCCCAAATCATGCAAAATAGAAGAATAGAAAAAATTTATTAAAAGTTTCAATAAACAGCTTCCATGTCAACTAAGCCGGCACTTCGAGCATCCTCCTGCATTTGCTTCTTTTTCTTTTGTTTCTGAATACGCAGATCCTCAGCCCTCTTTTCAGCATAATTTGTAAGGAAATATGCAAATGTTGCTATGGTGATGCTGGTGCCTGCAACCCCCGCTTTTTAAAAAGGATGGATTAGCCAAAACCCAACGTCAATGGAAGTTTCTCTGCTACTGTACCTAATCCTTTCCATATTGTCTCCCAACGTGTTGATTCGAGACCTGTTCTCACTTCTCCTAACTTGACTGTGAATTTGCTGTTTAACTCCTGAATCGTCATATCGATTTCTTTCTGGTCGCTTTTCGTTTCGTTCTTTCTATTCTCCATGTCCAGTGTAATCTCGTTTTTCATTGAATCAATGTCTTCAGTCATCTTTTGTGCTAGTGCTTCTACTTCCCGAGTGATCAAAAATGTCTCTGATTTCAACTGTTGTGTATCTTTTTGTCGCATCACTTGGATCTCTGTCCGCAGCTCAGATACAGCGGCCTGAAAGAGATACGATTCATTGTCAAGATCTGTTTTCAACAGTAGCTTCTGGTATAGTTCTGACACACTTTCGCCTAGTTTATACTTCATCCCCTTCATGATGACGGTCGCCTGCGATTTGCTGAATCCTTGGCTCTCTAATTCTCGCACAGTTTTAAATGTATCAAAGTGGTGTTGGATGATGGTGTTGGATTCTTTGATGATCTGTTCGTTGGAGGTGTTCTGGACGACTTGCTCAAGCGTAGTTATCGTTCTGCTAGACATGTCGTAGGGTGGATTTTCATTGTGGATGGCTGTGCTCGTGCGAATATGTCTGCATAATGTCAAGTAAGGAGTGAATTGGCGCACAATATGCTGATGAGCCATGTTGTATTCTTGGTATAAGGGTAGCTGAAAAAGAAGAAGAGGGGAAAAAGAGCTGTGATGTTTAATCCAGTAGTACCAAATCAAGCTCTACGTCATCTGAGGTTACAGGCTGATGGAAGATCTCCATTTGATTGTAACTATGGGGTAATTTGCGATTTTATTTTTTCATATGTATTAGTAAATCAAATTTATCTGGAGGCTTCCAACTTTTCAAAGTGTTTTTTAGCAGCTGCAATGTTGAGTAATGTTGCTGCAGATTCTATAGTGGCAGATTAGCCTCATATCCCCCCCCCAAGATTCCTGCGCAAACTTACGTATATTGGGATCTGACATGACGATCATGGCATAGGTATTATTTGTCAAGACATCGATAAAGGCAGTAAAGCTGCTTCCTCGAATCTCCATGCTTTTAAATCTTGTTTGCGATCGACTACCCGCATTATTTTAGTGCATGGCCAATTCACAATCCTGTTACCTTATTACCTGCAACCCAAATTAAACTGTTTTATGATATTACTGATTTTCTCAAATCGGTGATGATCTTGATGTGGGATGGTTGCTGCTGTTGCAATCACCAAAAAGGTGGTTCTTTCAAACAAGACAACTTCATCAGCATCGCAGATACGACAGAAATGATCCAAATGTGATTCCAATACACGAATGTTTGGAATCAAACAATGCACAATCTTGGACCAGGCCTATCCTATACGTCAATATCTGCATTTGCAATCATGGTAGGAGAGACATACTGCGTACAGAGTTTCATCCCAAATAGATGTTCGAAAGGCTTGGATGTTTAATGGTTCAGAGCGTTTCTGAAGCTCTGTAACACGCTGCTCAAAAATCTACGCACAAAAACCATATACATTCAGTACTCACAACCCATACCGCTCATACCACTAAAGCATCCTACCTGATCTCTTTGATGTTCCGGGACAAGATCCATCTTGTGTATCAAACAGAAAATGCGAGCTTCTTTCGAGTTGGCGAGAATAGCTTCCAAGCATGATTGATAGTAGTGTAAGTCTTTCTCCCAGTCTCTGCTTTCAACATCAAACACATAAATAAGCACTTCCACATTCTTGAAGATTCTGTCTCTTTGTGATGCAAAATAATTTTCCATGAACGCTTCTTGACTAACGTAGATATGTTGAGTTATTGATTGAAATAATAGAGTATGAGAGTTGATGTACGTTACCCTCCACAATCCCACAAATTAAGCACCAAGTTGCCCAAGAACTTGACGTTGGAGTGTTCAACATCGACTATGGCAGTGTATTAGAGAAACAGCGCAAGAAAGCATAACGCAGTAGGTATACGCACTTGTGGCTCCGAGTCGTCTAGTATCTCGAGCAATATAATTACTGAAAATGATGGAACGCATGGACGTCTTTCCTGATCCACTTTTGCCCATAAGCAGCACCTATTTTGAATACAGTTAGCAACATAATTATCAGGCTCTCAGTGCTTCTTGAGGGCATGCCTTTTCCTTCTTCTTCATTTTGGTTATCTGATAGTTTTATAAAAAGTAGAGAGAGGTATATGGAAAAAGAGAAGAGTTGAAAGATGGCTCAAATCTAGTTTAATGTGTGACTTTATGCTGCCGGAGGTCAATACCCAATGTGTGATTGAAGGAGAGGTTTTCTCTTTTGTGGCAAATTTGCATGGAAACAGACCTAACAAAGGATTACGAGCATCGACTGAACTTGTGAGTAGACAGTAATACTGTGTAAGGTATTTGTAATTGACTCGAAAGCTGATATTCTATCGAGAAAAAAGTTACTGCCGCGAATGAAGGCCAATGACATGTCGACGACGACGGAAATTTGCATTAACGACAAAAGAAGCCATCAACCATTATATCACCCTACAAAATTCATCGTAAAGACATGAAAGCTTGCGATATACTTTCTTGTTGGTTACATAGTCTTTTTGGAATTGAAATAATATCCAAGCCAGAATCGTAATATATACAAATATCAAGCAATAACTACATTCAAAAAATCAAAGTGCATTGATATACGCCTACCAAATGGTGCTATAAACATTAAAAATACGGGTAATGTTCAGATCCAAAAAAACAATTACAACCTAGGTCTATTAGATTTAAGCAATCAGCCAGAATCTGGATAGAAAACTCGTCAAGAGATGTTATCTTTCTATGGTGGTCTACATTCACTCCATCATTTGAAGAAACACCTTTGAGTATCTCCTTGATTATCTTGAAATAAAATCTCATGAGGGTTCTTATTCAGGCCTAGAGATAAATAGCGTAATGTATCCATAACAACATGCCATTGTCAGCATTTCTATTTGCGAGGCCATTGATAAGAAAACATTAGCAAAGATGATGTTTGAGGACAACAGTGGTGACTCTTACTATTATGGAAGCATTGATGATGTGCTCATAATATAGGAACATTCAGGATGTTGTGCTCTTGAGAACATCGACCGGGTTATAATAAATCTGTATGAACATCAATGACTTCATAACATGAGAACATCAGTTAGGCTGCTGTAGTGTGTGATGATTATTTTATGATGATGAAAGCAGTAATGACAGATATGTTCACCCAAATTTAATACCCGTCTAAATGGAAACTATATACATACGGATACTACCAATACTACGGATGCTTTAATTATTCAGAAGAATGAAGTACATGAAATTCAAATCATTCTAAGTTTGGTCTGTCAGAATTAAAATCCCCACATCTTAAAAAGAAGGCAGAATTTCAGATAATCGTACGCAACAGGGTGACAGCAATCAAATATATTTTATAGCAATAACATCATCATTGAGATATTATTAAGCAGATTTTTGTTACTGTAAAGTCTCAAAAGCTGTTTAAAGAACCAAAATCTTACAGCAAGTATTCAAGGTGGTCAAACGCAATCCGATTTTGTAAAACAAACACAAGAATGCAAGATTTAATCAATAGAGAGTCAATTGAGTTGACTAAATTCATAGAGTTCAACCCAAATATGCTCGTTTTGATCGCAAATATTTCGCGTTATAAGCCGCTTTAAGCGCTTGGAATAGGGCCAAAAGTTTCTTCTTGGTTGCGCTTTATTTACGGATGCCTTATCTCAATTTTTTTTTGGATCATTGCAAATCCATGAAAATCCTCATTTTTACCTGAGTACTAGCAAGGGAAAACTCTTGAAAATCAAATGATCGTGTTTTTCACCCCAAAAATGAAGACTTTTCTTAAGGTACATATCGAATCAAATTATTCGTAAAGATGCAGCGCAACACTGGAAGCTTTTTCTTGGAGACTTTTATATGCTAAATTTTGACATATTCGCAGAAAACCCCTTTTCATATTTTTGCAAATTACTCATTATTTTCGGTCTGAAAGCTGAATTTAACCAGCATCATTCAATGCGCCTTTATTGACTCTTTGTAAATGTATTAGACAGTAAAGTATAATAACGACAGTTTTATGGTCAAATTCAGCAAAAACGTTTAAAGAATGTCAGATCAAGTCAAGTTTGAACACGAAAATGACAACTGCACAAATCCAAATTTGAGTGCCGCAGAGACAGCTGATGTGGCAGAAGACTGAGACTAAATCTACTGGCTGTGACGTCGGTTAGGGCAACCTCTCGTCGTTTTTCCATACCGTTTTTTTATCTTTTTTGCAAAACGCGTTTAGTGTCAAACCATATTGGTTTTGGAACCTTTTTGATTGAAAATAACACTCTAGCTTCTGATAATATGGTCTTGCACTGTTACAAGCACTTGATACTGCTTCTTTGAAGTGGAATATAGTAGGTACTATTCGATAACGAGCACTGGAAGACGTAAAATCAGCACTAATCAAATTTGTTTATTAGGTTTTTTTCGATAATTTTTTTGCCTGTTTGACGTGGTGGGTGCTGCTGCCATTACATCTCTGCTATCTCTGCTATCTCTGCTATCTCTGCTACTTTGGTTTATCATACCTGGTAGTATCTGGTAGTTGCTTCTTTGGTCTCTGTCTCTGGCAGTTGCTTCTTTAGTATTTGTCTGGTCTCTGGTGTCGCTCGTTGTTCGGTTTTTCTATACTGCTGCTGTTATTGCTGCTGGTGTTGCTGTTGGTGTTGCTGTTGGTGTTGCTGTTGGTGTTGTTGATAATCTGGTGTTTCCTGGTCTATTGTCTTTGTCGTATGCTTGTTCTCTGGTCTATCTCTGGTGATTGCCTATACTACTCTAGTCTATCTGTGGTGGTGATAAGTAGTAAGAAACTTCTTTGGTGTTTGTCTGGTCACTGCTGGTGGTGTTCATTCTTTGGTTTTTCTATGATGCTGGTGTTGCTGCTGCTGCTGTTGATATGGTCTTTCCTGGTGTATTGTCTTTGGTGCATGCTCTTTCTTTGGTTTTTCTATGGCGCTGGTATTGCTGCTGGTATTGTTGCTGCTGCTAATACGGTCTTTTCTGGTCTACTGTGTTTGGTGCATGCTCGTTATCTGGTCTATATCTGGTGATTGCCTACTCTGCTCTATCCGTGGTTGTGGTAAGTGGTAAGTATCTTTTTTCTTCTGGTCGCAATGACATAAAGCTTCTCTGGACGTTTTTATTGTTGCTTCCTTTCTCATGATAATGCATTTTATCATGATCTTTGCTTTGTGGCGCTTTTTTTTCTTGTGCTGGCTATGATATGATCAGCTCAACGGATGCTTGCAATGTTGTTGCTTCGTATGTACGAACAACAAGCATGATGTGCTGCTATATAATATCTGTATTGCCGCTGTAATACTACTTTGTTATATGGCCGTGGATTGTTGTTTGTGTTGCCTCTGTCGCTTCACATGAAACAAAATTAGTCATTGTGTTGTATTACACGCTTATAATACTGCTGTTGCTCCTGCAACTGTGAGTGTTTGTGTTGCTTTACATCCGACTACTATTACCATGCACGTTGCTGCTCATGTATGCATTTTTGTTCCAACAACAACGAGCTGTTCTGAACGTCTCTGATGTTGTATTTGTTATACTTTTCTTTGACCCACTTTTTGTGAGTGTCCTTTTTTTTGCCTACGTACTACTATACTCCTCTAGTAGTATATTCTTTTCTTCTTTCGTTTATTATTATTATATTTCTTTGAAGCATACCTTTCTTACGTTGTGTGGATGTGCCTATCCCTGAAGCTCAACAAGACTCTATCCGAGGCTAGGAGGTGGATAGGCTGCCTCCACTTGGTTATCGCTACTTACTTTAGTGATGATTGAGGGTCTCAATGCCAGAATTTAAAAGCTAGGTGATGTAAGTAAGGCATGCTCTAGCGCCTGGGGAAATTTGATGGTAACTACCGCTATATTGCTATATATAGCGGTGTTTAAAATTTTGCCTCACATCAAAACAGAGGGAAACCCTCGCAATTTTTTTTTAGGTCAGCGGAGTTTTCAAGCAATTTGATTGGCTCAGGGGTTGAAGCACCAAAGGGTTGTAACCAGTTGGTTTCCTATTGATTTGTCATTTAATACCATGATTTTGTGTTTGTAATAAAAAGGTATCTAAATAGATGGTACAATATAAATTTTTAATATGCTATTATATAATCTGCCATTTACTACCCTGCTTTATATAAGTGATGTCGCTTGAATTCATTATGGAGGAAGGTTACATAAACATTACTTTTACACAATTTTTACGTTGCTCGCCAACAGCATCATTTATTCAAGCAAGCACCCCATTACAATACTAAGTTGCTCCTTTCAACTTATCGATAGGTACTAGACATGTTGGTGAGTCGTGATACTACTAAGCTAGCTGGTTCCAATTATTTTTGATTCGTACAGGACTAATTGAGTTTGAGTACACTAAATAATAGTGATGTTTATATCGGATCTGCAGTGAAATCAGGTTTGAATAGATTTCACAAAAAATAAAGCAATAGTAAAATACAATAGAAATCAACTGTATTTTATTTGTGTATAAAATGAACTGAAGATCCTGGAATTGAGTAAAAAAAAGAAGAGTATTTATACATTTGCAACTAGCTTGTAGGATTAGTGATGATAGAGCAATAGGTTCTGCTATTGCGATATCTGGCAAATGTTGTTGATGTTTGATTCAAAGTGGTAATCAATGCAAGAGCACTGACCATAAGGGTCGATTTGAGTAACCTTGATGGGCTTGGGTGAGCTATCGTCATAGCATGATTTAATGTAACCTTGATGGTTTAAAGTGTGATGTTTGTTATTGAAGTATGGAATCCTTTATCTGGGATATTGTGCAACTATGGCAGCAGGGCATAGTTGTCATATTTGAATATGCTTGTTATTGATTTGATTCTATTTGGATAAAGATACCATCACCTATTACGACCATCATGGGTGTGATTGAATACACTGTGATCAGGAGTGATTCATTCACACGATGTGCGATATAAGCATGCATCTTTACTTTAGTATTTTTAAATGGTTTTTTGATGTATATTTGAGCGCTTTCATTAATAGATACAAATAGCATGAATTTGAATGAGTGCTATTTGACGAACTTTGGTTTTCAATTAAGTTGCGTTTGGGTGGCTATTTCATTACAGTACTTGATCTTTAACTTACATTACTGCCGCTACTAAACCTGAAGAATGTGATGGTCTATATAATAGCAATATACTCTATTTTCTGTTGTTAGATAATGCTATCTTACAAAATAAGATTGCAACAAACAAAATTATTAAAAATCAAAAGTATTTAATTTGTAGAATTTGACAGAAATTGCTTTATTAGCTCAGTTTAATATTGGATTTTATTTATTTACAATTGTAGTCAACTGCGGAATCGGTATGATCATATGTTGCAAGACTAACAGTGATTCGGCGGGAAAAAGCATGTTTAAATTAAAGGTTGAGGGAAGCTGCTAAAGGGAGGGGACCAGTAATGAAAACGGCATCAAAACCCACCAGAGAAGAGGAGAAACAGAGGGAGGAATAGCAAGGGCCGCGCCGCAAGACGGGGGAGACGAACAGGACTCAAGGTAGAAACCGGCCAGACGCACCGCAGCACACCTAAACGTGCAAGCACAAATACCGAGTAACATGCCAGGTTAGAAAGGCGGAAAATATGGATGCGAAGGTGGGATTCGAACCCACGACCTCTCGGCATACTCACTGCTTCCGCATGAAGCTCTAACCAAGTGAGCCATTCAAGCATCCATGCTTTATTAGCTCAGTTGGTAGAGCGTCAGACTTTTAATCTGAATGTCACGGGTTCGAGCCCCGTATAAAGCTGTTTCTTTTGCATCAGAGAGTTTTTTTTGGCGATTTTGACGGTGAGACGTTTCCAGGATGTTGTCCTGTTATCACAATCAATATAATTCTAATCCTCAAATATCTTATTATTTGTATAAATAGCAGAACAGGTACAGTCGTAGCCTTTATTTCAAGAAATACAAATCAAATACTACAAAGTCTCATCCTCATTTGACAGGTGTCAATTCAATCAAACTATCAAATATTAATACTTTTTCAAGGAAATATCAACCTGACAAGTATGTATTACTTAGAAGCAATACCACTTACAATCTTCGTTTTTCTATCAACAGTTATAGATTCATACAAGCTTGACAGAATCAGCCATCCATCAGATCATCTACTGCTGATCAAAACCTTTACTGTCTTGGTAAGCATAAATCAGATTGTTATAAATGCCTTCACACAATAAACTAGACTGTATCTAATATTATCCGTACCGAGAACTCATATTTGTATACCCATCTAGATCATTATCATTGTCATTAAGGGCTGATGTCAATTGCAAACAACTACCTGACTCATATGGCTCTCACTGTTGATGTAGCATGTGCAAAAAAAAAGCCTGGACAATACGAACAAAATATCGTAAACACTGTAGGCTTGTTCGCCCTATGGTGTTAGGCTACTACTCCATATTCAATCCTAATATAACAATTGATATCGACAATCTTAAATTGTACTGCGCACAATGCGAACGCATTGTGCGCAGTAGACCAGATTTCAAAGGCACTTGAGAGACGTTCATAAATTTGAATGCGCCGTGTGCAAAATCAACTTCAAGCTAAATAGTATAATAAAACTATCTTCTTGATCTCGGAATAAATCAATGCCTGCTCATCCCATCTAATAATGGGCAAAGTGGCTTATTGTTTATATATTAAAAGCGTGCTTTGACGAATAATTTCTTTTACTCTTCTTTAACACTTGAAAGATAATAATTAAGAAGACGTCTGCATTACTCAACTATGAGTAAAATCGACAATTCAGTAAAGCATGATTATGAATTAAGGCGTTTGCAATTCAACAACGGCGCTACTGACCAGATTCAGCATGCTACCGGTTGCGCTACTCCCTATTCCAAGCAGGAAGCTCCCGTCAAAAACGTCAAACGTGAGGAAACTCAAGATAAAGGCACACCAGGCACGAGTCAAGACGTTTTAGATGAGTTGGATACGTCTGATTCTAACGACAACCTTGAAACCAACGTCAAACAAGAAGAGGTACCCAACCCCAAAGTTGTATTTGACAGTAAGACTATCAGCACACAGCATACTACACGTCAAAGATACTCATTCTTATAGCGTATAGACTGCACTTCAAATTCGAGCAAATCCATCTTCATCATCAAGAGGCCAGGGAAGCGATCCGTCAGACAGAATCAGCTGGAACCAGACATCAACGATCCCAATTTTCATTGCCGTTCATGCAAAGATACGTTTAAAGATAGAAACAGATATCGAAAACACTTGAAACGCCTGCACAAAATGAAACTGAAATCATTGCACTCTCCCAAAGACCCTAATGTTTTGCCCGACTATCATGATCCGAATCTTTATTGCAAATCATGCGATCGTACCTACAAGTCCAGACTCTCATATAGAGTACACTGCAGAAACGTTCATAACCTGAAGGCGCCCGAAAGACCAGCAGGAGTCCCAGATGTCAATGATCCCAACAATTATTGCAAAATATGCAACCATAGTTACAAGAGTAAATATGGATACACTACACATTGCTTGATGATGCATAACGTGAAGCCTACAGAAATCCAGTCTACAAAGTCATTTGCCAATCCGGAAGCTACACCAGACATCAACAATGCCGACAATTACTGCTCAATGTGTGATAGGACCTTCTGTCGCCGTGCTTCTTTCAGAAACCATCTCTTCAACACGCATCGCATTGTTCCTCCACCTCCAAAGATCAGCGCTGTTGAGCCAGACGTCAATAATCCTAACAATTATTGCCGTTCTTGCGATAAAACCTTATCCACAAACCACGAATACAGAAGACATCTATCAGCAGTACATTCCATCGGCAGAGCACCTCATACTGAAGACCACATAGATCCGGATGTTGATGATCCCAACCATTATTGCCGTGTATGTCAACACACTTACAGCTCAAAACCAGTATACCAAAGGCACCTACAGGGAGTGCATCGCCTAGTGATACCAATTCAAAAACGTCCTAGCGAGCTTCCTGATCCCTATGATACCAACTTTTACTGTAGAGTTTGCAAAAGCAGCAAGAAATCATTATCCAAATATCGCGAGCATTGTATACGTGTTCATCGTATGGTGTTGAACCGTTTCACTATTTCGGATCCTACTGCAACTATTGACATCAATGATCCAGAGTTTAATTGCGCACAGTGTCAACACCGATATTCATGCAAGCGTTCCTTTGTATTGCATCTACAAACTGTTCATGCCTTGAATGCCAGTCTGTAAATCGACATTTGGCAGCCTTGCTGATTTGTAATGTGACAGCCGTGTGCATTATGCCATGACAATCTGCATAATTCAACTTGAATAGTCTCTACTCATTCTAATACGCCTGGATAATTGAAAATAAAAAGCTGTCTTGCTAGATGTATAAGCTGCAATATATACTCTTTACTTACAGAACAGACGGCGAAAATTACAGAGTGAATAGGGTAGCTGCAATAAAGATGCTTCATAGACATTATAGACACATCTAGATTCATGTTGACTGACAAGCGATGCTCTTCACTTGACAGCAAGGGCAATTCAAGACTGGTGCGTTTGATACAGCCAATAGCCAAGACACATGATGCTGGCTTATTATAAGAAAAGCGATACACAAAACAACGGCTCATGTCACTCAATCACACAAACCATCTCATCTTACATACTCCATGACAAGGAGCTTTTTTCATGTACCACACAAAATTCATCAACAGATTATTAGATTGCACTACATGCCATGATCAACAGGGTTAAAGCCCTTAAAACAATGATGAAATGCCCTTTTTAAAAGAGGATGCTATTCCATTTTACAGACAAACATCATGCTTATTGTCTAAATATGAATCCAACATTGAGCCCCTCTTGCTTTCTCTGGCTTTCAAAAGCGTTCTTGCTATGGTTTCAAAAAAGACTATTTTCTCCAGATTCGAAAATCTTGTGTTTCGCAAATCCTTTCTTCTTTTCACATCTCTCTTTCTATCTTTTATCATGACCACCTTGGAGATTGCAAATAGAAAAAAGGAGAATAGACTGAGTAGAAGGCTCACTGTCAGTACTACAGAGCCTTACATCAACATTCGACCCATCATTAAAAGTAACAAGCAAGAGTCATTTGACATCTGTCACCCGCACCCTAACCTGTCGTATTATTATAGAGGCCGATAAAGAGGCAGCTTATACGCTGAGTGAAGCTTATGCAGACAACAGCCTACTCAACTGGGTGACGGGTTCCATCAAGGATCAAAAGAAAAAGTTTGAAATTTATCAGGACATCTTCAAGGTGCTTATCAGGACAGCGGCAAGTGAGAGCCGAGAATTTGCAGTACAGTTGAACGGATGCAAAGGCGTGTTGCTTTGGTCAGAGGGACACAGCGACGTCTTGTCGATCGGTAATGTCATGAGCAAAAGAAGACTTTGGGGAAGTTTGGGCGGATTAGCGACCATGCGAGCGACATTGATTCAACATCGACATCTCAGTAAGATGAAGAAGAAGATCATGGCAGGTCGAAATCATCTCTCCATCAATTTCATTGGCGTATTACCAGCAGAAAGAAGACAGCATGTAGGCACCCATCTCCTGCAATACGCACTTAGCAAGGCAGACGAGGCCCAACTACCTGTATTTGCTGAAGTTTGGGGCCAACACTGCCTCAGTTGGTTTCAGAAATTCGATTTTCAGGTGCAAGCGGATAAGAACTTTAGTGATAAAGAGAATGTTCAGATTTATTATGTGGTGCGTGAACCCAGAACAGAGCCAGGAACGCCTATGAAGGTCATGACACCAGCCGATGCCATGGCTGCTCTACATTTAGAACCACCGAGAGAGGACGCACTGGTGTCTTTGGAACAGAATGCCGACTAATTGTTCTCTTTGATCAGTAGCAGGCTGCTGTCTTGCTCAATATCGCCTGTGTTGGCATCAAACAATGTCTCCCACTGATCTCCTGGTACGATGGCACCAAATAAGAGTGTCATGTTGGCTCCAAGCTGTGTTGTATGTATATCAAAAAAAAAAAAGTATTGTAAATAAAATTGAACTTGTAAGGGGATGTACTGGTTTACCTTGTCTAAATCTCGAATAATGTCTTCCAATACAGTAACATAAGCATAGTAGAATAGGTAGACATGGTCCTTCTCAAGCAGCTGTTTGGACCGAACCACAGGGAGTTGTCGCAATCGTGTAATCAGTGATTCCCATGCCTTTCGTGCTGGTGGTAAATACGGTGGCAAAGGCGTTTTGAGTCGCATGGCCGAGGCTAAAATGTAAAAGTAAAGCAGGACATTGCCTACCATTTCCTTCCTTTCTTGGCTCACGGGGTTGATGAAATCGTGCTGCACTTGCTCATACCAGGCATCTTTGAGCACCACTGTACGCATGGAGGCAAACTTGTCCGTGATGTTTTGCAATGAAGCCAAGATATCGCTGTAGGTCGCTACCGGAAAAGCACCCTTCAATCGAGGCTCATTGGGCGTTTGCTTCAGCAACTCTTGCAGTTCCAGTAAGGTGCGTTGAAGCCCTAATTCCACATCCATAAACACCTGCGAGGTGTGCTGTCTTTGTGCGCGCACATCGTCCAATGATGCAAATGAGATGACGCTACTCTCAGTAGGCGCGGAAGAAGGACGTTGTGAGTAGACGGCTACCAATCGCTTGTACAGCCAAGCCAGTCGAAGCAAAAAATCAGAAACACCCTTTCTGAGTTCCACTCTGGCTTCATAGGGCCAGACATAAGCAGTGGCGAACAAACCAAAAATGACACCGACCAAAATGGACAGACATCGCTGCAGTGCCAAGTGAGTCACCTCGATGCGATGTGTTTCTCTGTCATTGTACTTGTTGAGCATGACCAGATTGTAAGCGAGCAACGTGAACTGACCAAATTTGCCGTGCTTGTGATGAAGAATTATCCAGAAATTAGGAATAGAGAACAGCCAGGTACACAGGATCAAAATGTACATGTTGTCTGGAAACAGCAAATAGAAACACATGGCAACAAAGCAGCCCAACGTAGTAGAGTAAATACGATAAATGGCGACCAAATTGGTGCCTCCAACAACTGGTGTCATGACCACCATCAACTAGGGGCATCTATACATGAGTACAATACGCATACATACAAACAAACAAACACCTAAAACTTACAGTAATAAGAGCCCATTCCATGCGCCATTCACGAAACCAGGTACCCGTGGATTCCAGAAACGCAGGTATGGCAAGCAGAATCACAGCCACGGTTGCCTTGGTAGCATATCTTACCTTTTGTAGTTTAAACAGTGAAAATGTTCTCCATACGCGCAAGATGATACGTCTCCAATGTGTCTTGGGCACAGGCGTGTGTAAAGTGTCCATCTTGTGTCGCTCATTGGGGATGAAGGCAGGCTTCTTTTTCTCTGCCGTCGCTGTCGTTTCAGATGTCTTGCTGCTGGTGAACAACTGGTAGATCAAGGCACACAGGGTTCGCTTCTTTTGTTTGGCAACGGAGAGCGCTTGCACTGATTCCACCAACGAGATCAGTTCTCTTGCAAATTCAATCATGTTGAACACAAAGAAATACACCAAAAACACATCTTCTGAGGGAGCATAACTATCGGCCCAAGAGCGAGAGGCACCACCGGTACTGCTGCTAATTGGAGGAGGATGATGTTTCAATCGATGCTTGTTTAATCGTTTCACAGCTTGACGCTGCGATACCTCAAATAAGGCAATGGCTTTAATAAGGTTGCTTTTGAGTGTTTCATCGCTGGGCCCAGTTCTAGGTTTGCTGGAAAACCCAATTTGTAAATGAAGAATGGTTTGTTTACATGTGTAGGCAAGTGATTTCAATGGTTGACGTATGGTGTGAATAAACTCTATCAATGTACCGTCGTCTGAATCTTGGTTTTGGTGGCTATGGTGGTTAGGCAGTTGAAAGAATTCATCCTCTGTAGTCGATCTTTCAGGCTTAAAAGCGCCTTGCTGTTGTTGCTGCTGCTGTTGCTGCTGCTGCTGCTGCTGTTGCTTTTGACGTTTGATCTGGCCCTCCAATTTGCGACGGTGATGATCTGCCTTGATGTTCCAGGTCTCATTGCCTTTTTTATGCTTGGTATTGCGCGATGATACAGCCGAGGAGGACGATGATGAAGCAGGCTTCTTTGCGTTCTTTGCGCCGTCCTGTTGCATGAGTTCAAACTGGAGGCCACAGCTGCTTCTGAGTCCACCGACCGACTGAGCGAGGCGCTGCATGCTCTTGACAACAGCATCGTATTCCTTTGTACAGCCTCTTATCTCGTCACTCCAAATGACTTCCAGCTTTGCTTCAGCCAGTGATTTCTGCAATGATGTGAAACTAGCGCGATGGGAGTCAATGGCAGATTTGAGGGACTTGTTTGCCTTGAATTCAGGCAGATCATCATCCAGCAAGAAGGTCTTGGTCAACAGTTTCAAAAGCACCTTGTACGACATGAGTGTGGCCTCCAAATCCTGCCTTTTGGGTTTATGATTATTAAAAATAAAAGTCTAACCATGCGCCTGTGCATGTCATGGCACTTACTTTAGTTTCTTGCTTGCGGATACAGGCCAGAACAGAATACAGCACGACACAGTGACCAAGGTACCGGTTGCCACAGCAGACGTAATTTGTTCAATGCGAGTGGTATCAAAATCACCTCGATTGGCAGACCCTTCTCGAACCACAATGATAAAGATGATGATGAAACATAAGCTAGAGGCTAAATAATAATAATAATAATAGAGAGGTATAAACATGAAGAATCCAATATAAATATTTATATTTTCTTTTACCTGTGGCAACAGGTGGTTTGTTCCAATGTGCCTTTAGAAATGCCACAATAAAGGTAGACCCCGCTAGCCAAAAGCCCAGAGAGATTGCATGCGCAATGTTAAAGAGGTTGCGATCTACAAAGAAATCGGTTGTGATCATGGAGCCCAGGCACACGATCAACGCAAACAGTGTGTATCCCCAACCATACAGTGCCGCTTCTACCATGCCGCCTAGTGATTTCGCAGGATTGAAAAAGACGGTGGCTGTCGCTACCAGATGGCTGGAGACATGGTTGTAGCCGATCAGTGCGTTCATGGCAGGCACAAATGTGAACAGGGAGCCCAGCATGTAGGCAAAGCTGCATTTGAGCACCACTTGCTGCTTGGCTGTGAGTTCAAATCGAGGCAGCCACCGTCTTTTGCTGGTGGTGGATGAAGCGTCTTGCTGTGTCAGTTGTTTGTAGCGCTTCTGCTTTGGACCTAAAGTGTCAGAGGAATCGCTGTCTTCGTTGGATGTGGTGGACGAATCGATATCAAAGGGCATTTCCTGCTGTATGCTTGCATACGATTTCTTTTTATGGTGTAGTAAAGGCGTCTTATCGTCCAATGTTTCCTGACTAGGATGATAAAAGAATTACTCTACATGGAACACCAAGTGATCCTATCATGGATGCGTACCTTTCCTTTCGGAGCTGATGGTGATGGCATGGATGAGTCGTTGAATCCTCCTCCTGCTCCTGCTCCTCTTGCTCCTCTTCCTGCTCCTCTTCCTGCTCGTCTAGATCATCAGGTAAGGTAGACAATGAGACAGTCCTTTTCTGTAGTGTGCCATCATCGAGTACCACGTCAAATGCGCTGTAAGCAGAGGGTGATGCTGTTGGTATAGACCCTATAAATGCGTCGAATGGTGGCGATACGTTATCATGCATTGTGGTAGGACATGGTATTGGTGCTGCATTTCTAGGCAGTCTTTTAGCATCTTCTGCTGCTGTTGAAGGGGATGATGGATCTGCCATACTTTGTTAGACAGAAAAGAAAAGAAAAGGAGACAAACAATGATGGCACGCTTTTATTTATACTACATGTGGGCACTAGAGTCTGAATCAAGGGGTCAGCAAAATTTCATCATGATTTAAGGTTTCAAAAATGCAAGATGGAGCAACATTGGTGGTGGCTTGCGGTGGTGTAAGACATCAAACCACCCTGTGGGAGCAGCAGCATTTTTCACTCTTTCTCTTTCTTTTCATCCTCCAACAAGAATGCCTAGAGAACGCATGCAATCTGCCAAAGTGGTGCTTATCCTCTGCTCATGCTTTTTTGCTTATGGCGCAAGTACAGCACACGGAACACGCGATGATCACAAGTTGAATTAACACTGTTGTATCTTGTAGACTTACTGGTCTGATTGGTCTTTTGATTACTACTTCCTGTGGGCCAACTTGGCTGATCATCCCAATGCGATTGCCAGAGCCACAGTAAGTAAAGCGATGACCGAGTAAAAGATGGCACAGAGAAACTAACACATGCTTCAAGCAATACTATACCAATCAATTGGATGCACCCGATATTATCAAGTACATTCCCTTTGCCAACCTCATGATTGCCGCTGTAGGTCTCTCTGCTGGTTTAGCCAACATGACAGACGGCAATATCCTGTTTGATGGTGCTTCTTTAGTGCTGATGTTGTTTGGGCTCTCTACTTATGCTACCTCAGTCAAGCCAGGTAAAATCCATCCTTTGATATTTATGTTACACGGTAATCTAATCTATACCTCTTTACATATAAGCTATCAAGAACATTTCGGAAACAGAGATCAAGAGCGAATTAGCCAGCAACTTGAAGAACATTGCAGCTGCTCATTTCATCATCACATTGGCCATCACTGGTATTGTTGGATTGCAAATCACGCATTACGTTTTAAACAAGAGAGCGGATAATGCAGAGAAAGCTGAGGCTGTTGCTGCTGCTGCTGCTGCTGCAAAGAAATCCAAATAAACTGTGTATATAACAACCTTAGTCTTTATTCATTTCATTCGTGATAGCTAAAAGTGCTTTTCCTGCAATTTCAAAATCGTCGAGATCGAGATAGATTTGTGCACAGAGTCTAACCCACCATGTACCATTATGCTTGTAGGGAGAGGCCATGGTGTTGTACTCGTAGATCAGCTTTTGCAGGTAGGTATTGACAATGTCAGAGTCGGATTTGGTGATAGTGGATCGGATGGGCAGTTGGACATTGACCATGTTGGTGGTTACTGTCTTGGCGGCGTTTTCCAAGACGCAGGTACCGAGTATATCAGCAACCAGTGCACCACCTTTGACAGCAAGATCATGGCAGTAATCGTTAATCACCTTTTCGCCACCCAAAGATTCGCGGTACTTGATGGCAGCTTCAACACACATGTAAGGAGAAGTATCCAGCGTAGGAGGTATTTGTTCCAGTGCGAACGAAGAGTGATCGCTGCACTCGGTATGATACTTGTAACTCTCCGTGATGGTCGTGGGATGAACGTAGCCTTGATTACGCTTGGGGACATAGAGAATACAGCAACCGCGAGGCGTGAAGAACCATTTATGACAGTTGGCAAAGAAAAAGTCTGGATCCACGGCTTGCATGTCCAACTCAATATGACCCATCGTATGAGCACCATCCACCAAAGCCAAAATACCATTCGCTTGGACCAGTTTCGTCAATCTCTCAAAGGGCAAGCGCACGGCTGGCAAGGATGACAGTGCATCAATGACAGCCATGACAATCTTGGGTTCATCTGCCTTGGCTTGCTCGTGCTGAATGGCTTGACGCGTGAGGTCTACAATCTCATCATCTTCCATAGGAAATTGCAAATCAACTCGAACCAGCTCCACACCATAGTGATCCTGAACAAATTCCAACGTCTTGTTGACATTAATGTAGCCTGTTTGATACTATATTAAAAGGTGGTATGTTGGACTATGTATGTAGATGGATCCTGCATTATGTACTTACATAGAGAACCTTGTCTCCTGCCTTAAACGGGAAACTTCGCAACACGTTATTCGCTGCTTGAGATGCATTTGGTACAAAGGACAGATCTTTGGGATCAGCGTTGATCATTTGGCCCACCAATTGGAGATTCTTCTCCAGAACAAGGTGCTGTTCATAACGTAACCACCGGTCCGGATGTTCTTCAGCTGCTTCTTGGTAGCCTCGAAGAATGGGCTTGAGGGCCTTGGGATAGGTGCCATAGGAGCCGTGGTTTAAAGGTACATAGTTGGGTTGAAATGAGAATTCGGAACGAAATGCTTTGCCGAATTTGGGGAGTGTCATGATAAAGAGAGAGAGAGAGAGAGAGATGTGTGGATTTGATGAATGTATATATATATATTTAAAGAAGGAATGCCTATAGATGTGATTTCTATATATATGATTTGGAAATTGGCCGTGCCTCTACCATTCTTACTGCGGCATCTTGGGGTCAGAAAGTATGGTAGTGACGCTACACAGTGCTTTTTTGCATGAAGGGAAAAGATCGTGGGAAGTGAGTCATTTCTATTCACAATAGAATAAAATGAGCGTATCTAGTGTATGGATGGCCCGTTTAACCAAGTTCAGTCATCATCTTTCAACTGTCTGATTACTAATTACTGTTGCATAGACTTAAATCAAGTCGAAATCAGCAGTACCTGGCATTCTAGCACGTTCTTATTTTGAGATGGAGCCTATTGTCTGTAGATTGTGAGTAATTCAGGAACAACCCATTTATGCCGATCTATGAGTGGTACGCGCAATTAAAAAAGATTTTCACAACCCCATCAGGAGCAATGCTGCCAATGACGACGCCAATGTCTGAACAGAGCAGTTACATACAGCAAGCTTAGCTGACAGCTGTACATTCATAGCATGGAGATGCCTTTGGTTTCCAGTTTTGTTTTGCGTGCTCACAGATGGGATTCTGATATACGCATTGATGATTAATTGGAGACTATAGGAATTAGCCCGTGTCCACTTTAACCATGATCGCACAGAGCAAGCGCCGTAATAGGTTGTAGTATGTAAAGAGCTTTATCAAATTGAAATACAAAACTTTGTAATAAAAAAGAGATACATAGCAACTCTGATTCACTAAAAGTATGTGCACAAGTTTGGCATTGAGTGAAACAACACCTTTTTAACAGTGCGAGATTGGCACCTTTCCTTGACCATACAGAGAAGCCTGATGTTTCGCATACTAGTCATTTGGTCGTAGCCCTGGAAATGATCCTCATCGTCTTTCAAGGCTTTGACCAACTTATCAAGTGTCCAGATTCTTGAAATAGGGATGTGCTTGTCCAACACATCATAGATGAACTGATCCGTGGCATAGACAAGACGATGCGTATTACCACATTTATGGCGTCTCATAAACAGAGCCTTGGCTATGCGTATAATGGTAGATTGATTGTCTCTCAATGCAGTTATCAAGTTGCGTGGTTTGCTGTTTGGCTTGGTGTCTTGTGATGTAGTTGCATTGTTTGATGCTGTTTGGTTGTTCTTGTCCACTGTGTCTCTTTCTTGCATGACTCTATCGACACCTTTGTTGTTTGCTTTGATATTTTCTGCCGGAGTGTCAGCTATAACTTTATCATGTTGGTCTATCAAGGTGACAAAAGTCAATCCAAGCCGCTCATTCACCAGCAATGTCAACTTACTCATGGGGCTGCTGTCAGCCTTGGATTCAGATTTAGATTCAAACATCGGAGGAGGAGATTGGGATGGTGATAGTGTTGGTGTTAATTGTGGAGATGAAGGTGGCGTATCTGGATACGTCTTGTACTTGTGCGGGTTCTTCTGGACCAAGTTTTTGGCAATGGGAAATGGGACAGCATGCTTAGCACCAGTAAGGACCACGTCGAAGAAAGAGCTATTCAGACTTCTCTTTGCCAATGCTCTATTCTCGGGTGTAGGGATTAGATCCAAGATGACACACGCTGCTGGCCCTCGAGTAAGCATAATACAAGTATGATATGTGAACCAAGGTGGAAAAAAAAGGGAACAAGAAAAGGATCAGAAAGAAACCAGTTTTTTATGTGATCTATATGTACCGTTTGATTGTATGGTGTCAAGCCCAGCGACATTGCATGGCTGAACATTGCATCCATCTCTTTCTTTACAGTTTACAAAAATACAGCCACTGTGCCATTATATTAGAGCATTATTATATCCTTTAGCAGCACATTCTACGCAAAGAGCATGTATTCTCAATGTATAGACTCACATAAAGGAGTACCAGAAAAGTACAAAATGGTGATAAATTGCAACTATTATAAAAACTGTACCATTGTTATCCTTTCTTTCTTCCTTTCATTTCCATCTAAATCTCTCGTCTATACTGCGCATGCCATTCTTTAAGCAACAACAACAACAGCAATATGCGCCTAATAACAATGAAATCGAGGTGATTTACAAGAGCTCATTCTAGAACATTTAGTTTCCCTTGAACTGACTATTTGATAGCCCAACGACGCTTCATCCAATGGCTTTAGTCTTCGCAGGTGGTCTATAGATTTAGCAACAGATCTAACTGACGTACTCCACTTCTCATGCTTGCTGACACGGTCCATCTTGCGAGTCCTAGAGAGGCTTTTGTCTGGCATCATCTATTTGACCAAGTAAGCCACGGTGATGCTGAACTACCCAAGACTACTCAAGAGAACAGATTGATTGCCACAAATATCAACTGGGATAAAATGACAAGTGATAAAGCTAAAATGCAAGGCATCAAAAGTCGATATTATAGGCTATTCATGGCATAGACAGTGATTAGAAAGAGAGGGATGCATTAGCATAATAAATTAGAACGCAGTGCTGAAGATTGTACAGTCAATGAAGATAATTAATAAGTGATGATGAAAGAAACCACCTCATGGTTTGAGCCATCCTTGAATTGTTAGAATCTCTATTTAGATGAGAGATTCAAGGTGATTTGATATATCGAATATCAATATGCATAACAGAAGCAAAGCATAGTAATCGGATCAATTCATGGTGCTTCTAATTTGCAATTCCCTTTTTAATTTGCTTGACAAACATGGATTGCTATCAAAATTCGAAGATATGATGGATTTTGCAGCCAAAATCAGTTTAATCTCAGCTCGTAATAAATGATCATCATTTGTTCATTTTTGAACTTTCTGGGCATTATTCAACCTATTTTGTCAAATTCGACTATAAAAAATGTGTTGAACTTCCGTACTGCCTTAAGCTTTCCTGGAGTACCTTTAAAGGCGCATCCAATGGTACCAAATAAAATAGATGTTTTGAATAAACTTATTGAGCAATTTATCAAAATATGAAAAGAGGTTTCTGGCCAAAATGTCGAAATTTTACATATCAAAGTCCCACAAAGATGATTTCAGAGGTTGCTTTGGATCGATAGAAACATTTTGATTCAAGATATACCATAGTAAAAGTCTTCGTTATCAAGGTGAAAAATGCGATCGTTTGATTTTCGATGAAAACCATGAGGGGTACCTCATGCTTTTTGGTCGATTTTTGACCATATTTTTTTGGTCCCCAAAAAGTTGAGCAAAGGTGTCAGGAAGTTACTACTACTCGAATACAGCAGTTTGGTGCCATTCTGGTGGCTCAGAAAGGTTTACATGTCAAGATAGTAAGGCTTAAAAGTTGTCAAGTTTGGTTATGTTCTTGCTTCATAGCTTTTAATTACATGGTGTAATTCGCATCTTTGGTAGCCAAAATTGTCTGGAAGAAGGGCAGTTCTGCAGCTTGTGCAATTTCTAATTCGAATAGGAGGCACACTAATTTTGTTAAAGCTAATTTTGATGCGTTATCTTGTTGGTAAGCTTATTAATAATGGAAAAATGAAAAACTGAATTTGCTGCTTATATACTAGGGTTTAGCGCCTTCGTTTTGCTACGGCAAAAACCCTCATAAAAATCAACGTTGCTAAATGTTGGATTAGATGCTTGATTGCTATGGCTTTTAACCTTCGCTACGGTAAAGTCCTCTTATAGGCCAGTGTTACCCAATGTTGAATTAAATGCAATCTCGCTATGCTCGATGACGGCCGTAGACAAACTCAAATAAAAGATAATAAAAATCTACTATATAAGTAGCTTTTAAGCCATCAATTATTAATGGGAAGTAGAGAAATCGAATTCGCTACTATGATCAAACCCTGATTATAGATCAATGCTATCAAATGCTGGGACTAATGGTGATACAAAAAAATTGCTGTAATGACGCAAGATGCAAAAAAAAAAAAAAAATATCACATGTTTCTCTATAAAAATATTTGCCCACATTCCATCTGTTTCTTTTCTCCTTATTCCTTTTTTTTTTTTTTTTTTTTTAAAGGATGGGTGGTTCTCGATTAGGGATTTTGCACAGTGCCCAGTTGGACGCGACTTCGGCCCGCATTAACTCAGTGTCGTTAACTCTGAGCTAAACGACGGTGGTCTTGAAGTTGTTTAGCAAGAGAGGGTCATTACCCCAGATTATATATCTGGACTGTAAGTGTACGAGCTAATTTGCCACGATTGCTCCAATACATGGTTCGCCTGACTCCTCGTTATTTTTGGGATCAAGTTAGCTTTCACCTTCTCGTGGTTGATCCTGTTTACTCGTTATAGCTACAAGTGCTTTAATGAGAACGAAGAAAAGCTTTATAGTTTAAGACTTACTTAGATTTATAATGATGTGCGATTTGATTCAATAAAAGCCTTTTAATACCTATATATTTATAGTGGGGTGTTCCTGAAATATAGTGGCAATCGTAGCGATTGAAAGGCGGCCATTGTAGTAGATGGCTTTAAGATTTCTCATTCAATGCTTGCAATTTTCTGTTGTGATTAGATTTTCCTCTGTAGCATGGAAATGAATGCATCAAACTCAATAAATTCACGAGATGTCTGAAAGAGGTACTGAAAATCCTTGGAAACATATATTTGCTGGTAGATTGAGACTCAATTATGTGCACATTGATTGCCATGGATGCAACATGTTCATCGCAACTAGACGAAGCAATATTTCACCCATGTAGAAAAATGGAATATTTACCACACTTAAATATACAAAGTTTTAATTCTAATAATAAAAAAAAAAGTAAAAGAAGGCAACAGTAAATGAATTATAAAAGGTGTAAAAAAGAAGGGGCCAAAGCGAAAAGCAGGGGGAAGTGGCATAATACAAAGGACCACAACATGAACACTATCGTGTTGCCAAAGCTCTTAGATCCGCAAATGTTGCCTCAATCAAACAAGTTGATTTTCTTCAGCTTGTATACATCCTGGGCCCTTGCTACTGTTTTCAGATTTTGTGCTTTGATATAGGGTTGCAACACCTTTTGATAAAGTTGCAACAAGTTTCGCTTGACCAAAGCTTTGCCATGTTTGGTTTCGTGGAAGATAGCAGGCCCGCCTCGACGATGGGAAATAATAGCATCCAGATAATTCATAACAAGCGATACTTCCCTCTCCAGATTTTTGGAAACTGATGAATTTTTCAAAGCCTTTTGATATTTTCTTGCTATGCTCTTTTTGGTTTCACGATGAGCAAAAGAATTGATAATGAACGAAGACGCTTCCACCAGGCAAGGGGCATCGACCAACTTCAATGGGTGCAATGGCTTAAAGCCCGCCTCATCAAATTTAGCGCTGTAAAAATGCCAATCTAGAGTTGATGAATCCTTGTAATATTGATTGATCAGTCTTGGGTGCGTGCCATAGAGCCGCTGATCATTGTTGACGAAGATTGAGGCGCTGGTCAGAGTGTTGATACTGCCGGTGACTTCAAGAGGAAGGCTCTTTAATGCTGAACCAACAAAGGGCAAGAATGTGTTTGATTCAACTGATCCCATAAATCCACTGTCAGCCAGCAATTCTATGAATCCAAATCTGATGACAAGCTCATAAGATGACGACCCGAAAGCCGTTTTACGCATGATGAAGGCAATAGGCTTGTCTTGGTATGCGAATTTGGAATTGTCGGCACAATCATCGATGTGCTGTGGATCATGAATGAAAACAGAGAAACTTGTAATCATGTACCAGTTGTCCTTGATGATGATAACTGCCTCGACAAACATTGGTGCTACTTTTCTAATCAGAGCATCTGCTTGCTCGATATCGACGTTGGCTGCTTTCTTCATATATTTATCTGCAAACAATTGTTTTTTTTTCAACAGCGAGTAATCATGCAGGCACATCAATTGATTGACATATACAGGTAGATGGTGATTCAATTTTGCTCTTTCCTTGAACGTGAGTCGTGAGCGAGCCCAATCAATCTTCATTCTCTCTTTGATGAGCTGTACATGTCTGTTGATGCGCTCAGGGGTAACAATACCGCTTGCTTGTTCGGCATCGTATTGAAGAGGGACAACAGTAATATTTTTGAGCTGCTGTGACTCCAAGAGCACTTGGAACACGTTAATCGCGCTACTAGGAACATGGTAAGCAAGTTTACGCGTGATATTTTTTGCTATAAAGAGGCTCAAAAACTGATAATCATAGTGATCACGATATGCGAAATGAACAGACTCGAGTTGAGAAGCATTGTCGAGTAATCTTGAAATCTCGTTGCTACAGTAATATTTGTTTCGAATATACACATGCTTTAGCTTATGTAGCAGGAAGGTAGGAACAGTGCTATTAAGTGTATATACTGACTCAACAGATGTTGTAAATGACTTCCACATGTATTTCGACGTGCGTGCCAAGTTCAATCTTGTTTCAGAAGTCAGGATATCTGCAATTGTGAGCAATAACGCTTGAGGTAATGTCTGTATCATTTTGTATCTAACGAGAGATAAAGGAGCAATTACAGAGGGATGGCTTGTACGTATAAAAATTAAGCAACAACATTGTGTTCTAACACAGCCATTGAATGCTTATTGTGTACTTTCATGGAACTGTAGAAATTAGACAAAAACATATTAAATTCAAGACTTTTAGCCAGTGAGATTCCTTCAAGCCACCTCGAATAGCCGGCAAACGCATGCTTTATAATACAAGCTACATATCAAACGGGTTTGATTCCTAGTATGACCTCCATCAGCCGCTTTACTTTGAGCTTTGACCCCAGGCTTTTTGTAAGAAGCTTGATAGGTAATATTATGCAAAGAGTGTTGTATTCAATCCCCGTACAGCTACGATCAAGGTACAAACAGGGACAAACAAAAAGTAGATAGCAATTGTAAATGGCATAAATCTAAAAAATACGACACTAAAGAAAGAGATAATAAAAATTGCTATATTTCTTTTGGAGACTCAAGCACTATGTATCATCATGATCATATTTTATTTATTATACAGTGATCGCATAGAATATGATCACCAAAACACGAGTATAGTGGGCCGATTTAGCTATACAGATCAGTAACCTCTACCAGCCGTTTGATATCGCTAATGTTCAGTCAAAATATTGTTCTATCTTTTAGAGTAGACGTTTCATAAGAGTGTGGCACTGGGATACTGATATTCTCTGATAACAAACAATAATATTGTTCAGCACACTGTAATAGAGTGACATAAGACATTTGACTATACTCTTTTACTAAATATGTATTATGTAAATCATTATCATTACTTTAGAGACCACAAAACTAAAAGTAAACCAGGATCTGCATTTGTGTAATTTTGCTTATTAAAGAAACAAGTTTGCATTATGCATTTACATGAGTATCTTAAGCTTGCAACGATCCAGTCCATGAGATACAGAATCTTACAGCACGAGCATTAGAGAAGTAGTTAGGTTAAGTGGTATTACTTTGCGATTGCAGCCCCGTCTCATCAGCTTCACAAACATCGATTCTCAACAATATGAAATAGTGGTTTTGTTGATTTTTAATTAGCTTCTTTAATGAAAATGACAATTTCGTGTGCTTAGACGTTCATTTCAACTGCATCGCTTGGGTCTGTTTCTTATGGATATCCGATATCAGATAGTGGTATTATGGCATAGTCCCTAGACACTTTTACGACCCTAATATGAAAACTGAGTTGCTAGGCATTTGTAAGGCATGGCTCATATATGATTAGTAATTTTATATTAAATTACTATCAATCAAGTGTCATCTAACATTTTGGTGGAAACCAACCGAATAATCGAAATGTTCATCGTAACGTAATATATTTATTTATGGTCCCTAGACACTTTCAAAGCGTCAAAAAGGAAAGGAGTTGATCTATCAAGTATTTTGATAGACTGGCGTTATTACATATAGAATGCAAGCAAAATAATATAGCTAATGATAATGCTATGTAATTTGCCACCTACTTTCGATACGTTTCAAGAGCATCCATTACTGCATTGAGTTTGCCAGCCGATCCCACCAGCCACCAAAATTAATCTCAACTCAGCCTCTTAGTCTACTCCAGATTGGCCAGATTTTGATGGGTTTTCGACTTGATTGAACTATTTTGCCAGATTTGGCTATACAAAACATGATGATCACCTAATGCTTCTTTAAGCTTTCTTGGAGTGCTTTTAAAGGCGCATCAAATGGTACCAAATAAAATAGATGTTTTGAATAAACTTATTGAGCAATTTATCAAAATATGAAAAGAGGTTTCTGGCCAAAATGTCGAAATTTTACATATCAAAGTCCCACAAAGATGATTTCAGAGGTTGCTTTGGATCGATAGAAACATTTTGATTCAAGATATACCATAGTAAAAGTCTTCGTTATCAAGGTGAAAAATGCGATCGTTTGATTTTCGATGAAAACCATGAGGGGTACCTCATGCTTTTTGGTCGATTTTTGACCATATTTTTTTGGTCCCCAAAAAGTTGAGCAAAGTTGTCAAAAAGTAACTGCCAGATGAGAGCAATTATTTGGTACTATTCTGATGGTCCAAAACGGTCTTTAACTCGAAAAAACACAGCTCAAATGCGCCCAAATTTCACTGTGATTTGCATACTTTTGAGTACAAAGAGGTAATTCAAGTATGGTATCAACAGTATATCAGCTGCTCCTCACATTGATTGTCGTGCACATCAAAAGGCTTGCTCTTCCAGGGAGACATATATCGAAAACACTTGCGCTTAGTGCAACAAATGGCACTGCCACCATTGAGAGCTGATGCGAATTCCAAGAAGCTACCAGCTTCGTATAACCCTGACTATTTCTGTGATGTGTGCAAAAAGTCGCACGCATCATTAGACGTCTACAGAGATCACTGTGGGCATGTATAATTCATGGCGTTAGGCCAACGTCCTGTAATGAACGCTGACGCAGCAATCAACATCAACCATCCAGCATTCGACTGTGCTCAATGCGATCATTTTCATCTTGACAAGAAAAATTATGCAATGCATTTGCGTACTGTTCATTCTCATTCATGATTAAATAATCTCCATCAGTCTGATAAAGTATACTAGGCTTTGTGAGTATTTACAGTAAGATTTTATTGAGTCATGGGCGTCATTAAGTTATTAGGAGTGGGTGTCAGGTTCTCCTGGTCGTGAAGCATGTCATTTTCATAGGTACCTGTCGTAGTGATGCTGTGCTGAGATGCCACATCTTCCATAATGGCATCCATCATGGCCATATTGGATGATGATGGCGTGGATGCTTCTGCTTTTGATTTTTGCGAGCTGGTTTGATGATGGTGGTGATGATGATGATGAGGATTCTGTTGTTGTTGTTGTTGTGATTGTGAGATGAGAGGTGGCGGTGTAGAAGGAGGTAAGCTGGCAGATGGCGGTAGAGGTGGCGGAGGCGGCACTGCTGCTGCTGGTGGTGGTAATTGATGGTGCTGTGGCTTTTGGTGTATTTTAGCCAGATTATCACTCGAGATACCCATCGGATCCGCCATATCCAAATGGTTGGCAATATGTGTCAATTTATCCTCCATCTTGAGAAACACTTCACCACCACTCTTGACAATGACAGGCGGTCTAAAGTACTTTTTGCGATATTCATCCAACTGAGCCAAACTGATATCCGATCCACCAGTGACCAATACCACAACGTCAGCATCTTGTTCCAAGGAAGGCAGAATATCGCGAATGACTTGTGTATAGCATAAAGATAAACCAGCTCCAGATGCTGCTTCCACAATGAGTTTATTGTCTTCTGCAAACAGTCGAACCGCATCGGCAGCCATGGCATCGCTGACAGCAAAGGGAACCACAGGATGGACCAGACTGAGTTCAAGGGATTTGGCGCTGATGCTGGTCGATGCGAGTCCAGAAGCGATGGTGGAGATGTTGGACAGTGTGATTAGTTTACCTGCTACGACCGATGCTTGAAAGGCGTTGCTGCCATGCGTCTCTACTGCGATTACAGGTACCTGTTTCCATCCCACTTCTTGCAATCCAGTGATGACGCCGTTCAGTAGTCCACCTCCTCCTACGGGGCAGACAATGGCAGCTGGAGGATTATCATCGCCCAATTGATCTCGTAATTCATGAATGATGCTGGCATGTCCTTCCCAAATGTGTTCGTGGTCTGCTGAGGGTACGTAGACTCTATGGCATAGCTTTAATATACGATTGTCTACTATTAGCAGTAGTTGGCCATCATACCCATTACGCTTGACCAATTTCCTTGCATGAGATTCAGCAACATCCCAATTCTCACCATACAAAATCAGCTGTGAGCCTTCTAATCTAACGGCATCGCAGATGGGAGCAGGTGTTTCTTTTGGCATGACCAGTATCGCATTCACATTCAATTGTCGAGCACAATAAGCCACTGCTAGCACGGTATTCACGCCTGATCCACAGATGAAGTGAATGTCTGTTCCTCTTGATTCTACCGCTTTGTAACAAAAATTGCCAATGCCTCTGAACAAGTGTTAGTTGATCCATCTACATTGATCCGATATACCCAAAACACACCTCATTTTAACAGAACCAGAGGGCTGAATAGACTCGATCTTGTAGTATATGTTGCTAGTTTAGAGCACTGTTAGACCATGGCTTACAATGCATCGATCCTTAGGTACCAATCCAGTTTGATGCTTAATTTAGGCGAGTGGATCAACGGTGTCTGTACATGCAGTGTTTCAAAGTGAGGATATCCTTGCGTATCGTCATCTGAAGAATCATCCATGTTGCTGCTGCTGCTGCTGCTGGAGTAACTGAGTGAAAAAGAAAGAGAAAAAGAAAAGAGGAGACAACGCGCGCGACCTTTTTTTAACAGTGCGTCTTGATGCACCAATACGCGAATCACTCCAGTCATGCGAACCGCGTCTATTTGTAGCGCTTTTTCATACGCAGTAGCATTTAATTCTTTTTCTTTCTGCTTTGCACAACATGTCATTTGTAGATGTGCTAAGAGAACTAGGATGCTCCATAGAACCAGAGGGCGTTTTGTTTGGTAAATCAACATCCATGTGTCAAGCGAGAAAGAGAGAGAAAGCATGTCTAATGTCAATCATCTCATTAGCTGTGGAGCCAGTGCTATTCAGGAGAAAGCTTGCCAGTCAATTGAGATCACAGCCCCAGGCACCTGCCATATTCAGTAAAGACATCCAGGACCACACTGAGGATCCATTAGAGTTTAGAAAGTTCTTGCTGCCTTCTCAAATAGATGAGACGGTGGTGCAGAGAGCGAGTCGGTGAGGTCATGGACAATTGTCTAGTTGATGTCATAGATCTGACATTGTATATAGCTCATCCACTTCAGAGAGTTTATTCAAGACACTGCTAGCTATTGACTCTATTCAGCCTGAATTAATTACCTACCTGTTGGAAAGATTACCAGAGTTCTACGATGAATTGGAAAACGAGTGAGTAGACACTGGCAAGGTACTGTACTGTTATTGATATATGTGCAATAGCAACTCGAGTTCATGCACTGCTCGTCTAATTCTACATCAATTGCGATGGCTGGATTACATTACAGAGCCTGAATCACTCACAGGCAAGCTGATTGAAATTATCCAAATCACACCAGCCGTTATCCAGCATGAAATGATCACATCACTGCCCGACATTATCAACGATTCAGAACATAAGCCTATTGTCGTCTATCTCAAGGAACTGATGAACGAAAATGGCGATTTAACTGTGCCTATTCTCGACGCACTTTCCAACTTGACACTGCATTCCGAGAGCTTGGAGGATGTGAGAGAGACAGTGCTTGACAGACTGGAATCAGCCAACCTAGACGATTTAGCAGTGATGATCAAATTCATGTTACAGACGGTGACGCCCATGACGATCGATCAAGTGGTGTGGGGTATTCGACAGAAACTCGACTTTAGATCTTTTGGTAAGACTTTCAGTGGCGACAACAATAGACAACCCAACAAGCCAACCGCCATGGCACCTGAAGCATTTATCCTCGAGTCGATTAAAATGGGTCTCCAATTTCACAAGTTTGTATGCGATTCCTGGTTCAAGTCCATTGTAGCTTTAGAGACAAAACGAGATCACAAGCTAATTGATATGATGGTGCTGATCATTTTGTATTCCATGACAAGTATGAAAAAGAAGGTGGAAGGTGTCATCAAAAAGAAGATTATCCATGGGTGCATTACAGGATCCTTGGTGAAGGAGACGATTGGCAATCATCCAGATGGATTGGCTGGTTATTGGAGCACCATCTTGTCTTTGGCAGAGAGTTTGTTGCGAGCCAGTCAGCAAAACAACATGTTGTCACCGTGTGCCAGTGTCATGTACATTAGTGCTTTCAAGTCCACCGATGCGTACTATCGACAAGAAATCATTGGTGCGCTGGTCACGCACATTGGTAGTGGTGTAGAAGTAGAGATGAATGTGGCATTGAATGTGCTGCTGGAGTTGGTCAAGACGGACGTATCTAGCGTGGTGGTGTACAGTGTATTTGTTAAGGGCATTTTGGACTATTTGGACAACTTGAATGAATATCAAATTCGTACCTTGTTTGATATTTTCAGTTTACTGGCATTGACGGTATACTATGTGACCTTATGTTGACTTGAGCTGTACTCACTCCATTGTATTATAGACGGGCAGCGATGCTGATGGCTCTGGTAACTTATGGTCCGAGATTCAAACCATCATACGAAAGCAACTCTCCAGCCCCAGAGAAAAATACAAACACATTGGCATCATTGCTAGTCTCTCTGCTGTCAAGGTCTTGGGGTCCAAGAAACTCTGCAACGCTTTTCAAAATCTAGATCCTCGAGACGGAGGAGGAGCAGGCGGATCCAGCAGCACCCAAGTCAGTCGAGTGATCTTGGCACATACGGCTGAACGGCATCCCATTTTGCACAAAGCCATCGATCTTCTGGAATTTGGACTTTCCAGCTCTAAAGAGTATCCTAGTTGTATTACGCTCATGTACGATGAATTGGCGCATTTAATTTGGGAGCAAGATATCGACGAACGATTGGAACTCTGGGTCAAGGAAAACATGACTCAGGACTTTACCGAGTTTTACATCATTAGCTCAGAAGACGCAGATGAAGACATTGCAGAGGCAAAGAACAATGAATACCGCGGATTAGAACCAGAGCGAAAAATGGGATTGGACGAAGTAAGTTAGATTGACATTTCTCATTTTGTGCTTACTTATATGAAGTATCTAGAGTGGAATTACAGTTAAAATGTTTGATCTGCTTTGCAACAATCTGGATACCCGCAAGAAAAAATACCTCATTGTGCCCATGTGCGCCATCTTCCACTTACTTGCTAGCTGCGAAAAGAAGCTCAACAATGGAAGTCTTCAGGGAATAGATGCTTTGTTTGGCTGCAGTGTGGTTTTATTCAACGATCAGGATACCAGCGATTTATCCACAGAGGAACTGGAAACGGCCTGCAATATCTTGTTCTACACCATCAACTGGTTCAAGGAACTGCTGAATGCTTTCATGTTCAACACAGAAGAAGAGCAACATCAAACGCGATTGATCAGTCGTCTCAGAAGCATCCTTACCATGGAATACAGGTTGCAGCAACTGATGCAGCAAGTGCCACACTATGCTCCCTTGGAGTTACAAACAACCAGCCATTCAGTTGAAAGTGTTAAAACTACAGCGGGATTGTCTCTCATTGACACACAACACTCTACTGTCAGTGCTGAAAGTCAATCACACAGCAAATCAAGGTCCAGCCATGCCAACAACAGTAGCAAATCTCATACAAGCCTCAGGTTGAACTCCATACAGGACTTGCGATCCTATACCAGAACATTCAGTGTGGATGTATTGGCACTACTCAAATACAATGAACAGGTAGAGGAGGAAGAGAGCAAATTGACACTGGAGGAAATGGATTACGTCTTGCAAGACATTGAGCAAAAATTAGACATCAAGATAGCGCCACCAGCGCCCGTATTCTTTGGCAAGAAAAAGGCGGTTCAGCATCAACAAAGCATTTGCAATGTTACTTGGCTTGCAAGAATAAGCCCACGCACATTGATGAAAAAGGTAGAGTAGGATGTGCTTTGTTGTATGAGGGGCTTGAATTGCTAAAATCTTGAGCGTAGGTCGTGGTGTATCTACCAGCCATGTGTCAAACTTTGGAGAACCTTTACGCTGATCTGCAAGACCGAGACCTGGAACCAGGCCACATTGAAGGCTCAGAAAAGCTGGTAGCATGCATTACACGCATCTTTGAAATTATCTACAAACTCATCTCCTGGCCAGACATTGAAACTGCAGACAACAGAGACATTCTCAGGGACATGATTGACATGATTGCACAAAGAGCATCTGCTGACGACGATGACAAGGACCCCAAGCAAGCGTTTGAATACCTCTCCAATTACATTGTCGGTATACCCAAGGCCACCACAGCTGTGTTGCTGTACAAGATTTTGCTTCGATTCATGGCTCTGTTCAACGACATTGACAACACGTATGCGCTGCGTGTAGTGAATCACATTGTATCTACAGATTGGTTTGACTGGCGAGATATTCAAAAGGACATCCCGTTCTTGTTTGAAGAGTCGATTGAAAAGAGCCCAGAGCCGCTGGCCTTGTTGTCTACAGTTGTGAATACTGAATTGAGCAAGTATGAGCAGGAGGGTATACTGGAGAATTATCCCTTGCTGAAGTCAGATACAGTCAATCAACATTATCAGGTGTGTGTGCATGTATGCTTTGTATTAAGAGATGGATGTCTAATCTGATATTTTAGGCCATCTTCAGCCAGACTGTCAAGGCGTTTGAATTGCTCAAAGACACAGACCAAGAGGCTGAGCTTGTGTTGATGCAAACAGCGCATATTGTCAAGATATTCGAACGCCTTACAAAGTACGTCAAGGAGAAGGAGAACAGGGCCTTGATTGGTGTATTATTAAAGACAGGACGTTTGTACATTGATCAATTCACAAAACACACAATCCCATTCTTTACAAGCACATTCAAGGATCACACACACAGCATTCTCGCTATATTCAAAGACTTTCAGGCCAGTACACGTTTGCTACAGGTAGTCATGATTGACATGTGAATTGAAGTTCCTGCTAACTGTTGTGAAACACACAAACGCACAGATCATTTGCTCCCATGTCAAAGTACTCAAGGATGTGTCACACAGTGCGTATGTACCACCATTAAAAAAGGCATTGGAGATTGTCATTTATCAAGTCAAAATGCTGTTGATTGAAAACCGTGTGCCACAATCGGCCTTTTTTATGGGCGCACTGAAGCATCGCGACATTAAAGGTGACGAGGTGTCGTCTCAGGTAAGAACTATGTCGTTTCAGCTTTTCATGTTGAATGAATTGAAACTGACTCTGTGCTTTCTTCTAGATTCCAAAAGACATGTCCGATGAAGATGAAGATCAGGAGGAGGATATGGTAGACAAGCTAGAGACGATACAAGAGGAGGACGAGAGCGAGGATACGGAAAAGGAAAATAGACCCAAAAAAGCAAAGAGAAAGTCAGTTGAAACCACTGGCAAACGCAAACGAAGCAATGCGTCCTCCTCTGCTAAAAAATCGAGACCTTCCAGCAGCAAAAAGAGTAACCCACAGGTTTCATATCGTACATCGAGCATCGTCCCTTCATCATCTGAAGAAGAAGATGAAGATGAAGGGGAGGAGGAACAACAGCAAGATGAAGTTGAATTGAATTCAATGGATTCAGAACAGGAAGATTTACCTGATGTCAAGAGAATGAAATGCATTGATTTGGATCAAGAATTAGAAGAAGAAGAAGAAGAAGGGATGGATGGCAGACAAACATCACCTATCGAGTTTTCTGAAGAGTTTCTTGCGACACAAGAAGACGAGCAAGAAGACAACACCGATGAGCAGCCCCTCTCTCCCATGCCATCATCACCATTAGGCTCACCACCACCAGCAACACAACCACAATCTGCCAAACCAAAGCGTATTACTCGAGTTGGTTTAGTCAGAAAGAGGCCTAATAACAAGCCATCCAATTCGAGTAGTTGTTGAAGCAATAAAAATTGGATAGAGCGCATGTATAGTAGATTGGTTGAGATGTCATGTACACCTTTCATAAGGAGAATTCAAATTATCCGTCTTGCTATCGTCAAGACATTGTTGATATGAATTTTTTTTTGTTTGAGCACAGAACTGATCCGAAAAGCAATGCTGCGCCGCCCTATTTCAAGATGTCTACTGTTCTCCCCTGATGCAAAACCTTGGTAACCTTGCTTCCAACATATGCTGTCATCCATCCATCATGCTTTGTAATGCTTAAGTCTTTAACATGGAACGATGCTAATTCATTTGAAACCGTATTCTTTTTGTTCTATTGCATGCTTCTATGTAGATGTCAAATGGGGCTGAACAGCATGCGACAAGGAAGAACCCTGAACATAGCTTAATTCCTTGCACCACAGCCAAGAATATATACTGAATGAAAATGAATGATTTATTTATTACAAATGGAAAAGGATGTATTGTTATTGCGTTTGGGTATATAGTGTGTATCAATGTGATTTTGCTCGTATTGTTTAATGCAGGATTTTGTGTTGTCGTTTCTTCAAGATATAGTGACCCAAGAAATAACAGATGAGCAGTAGGACGAATGCAATCTTTGCCCACAAACTAAGAAAATTGGTCATGATGAGTCATGGATTCGTTTGAAGTCTATATTTTTTGTCATTGCTTACCAATATTCAAAAGCACTGGGCTTAACAGCGGAAGGCAATAATCGGATAGAGATGTGCTGTTGTTCTTGAGATAAAGCACGACCATCATGATAGGGCTGAGCAGCTGTATTTTCAAACGAGAGAGGGGATACAATAGCTAGACAGAGAAACATGGCCATGAATGTCTTGTTGCCGCTGGTATTCGTGGATGTCGCGGTAGTGGTAGCGGTCGTTGTATCAGTAGTAGCGGATAATTCAGATGAAGAAGTCGTAGTCGTAGTAGTTTGGCTGCCAGCAGCTGTTTGTTGATCTTTTGCTTGTTCTTGGGTATTTTCTTGAGTTGATTTCTGCTTTTCATCTGAAGTGGTAGCTGCATCCTTTTTGGCTCTTCTACGATAGGGTCTACGTTCAGGCTTTGGCAGTAATTCAGCTAAAGCGGCTCTCTGGGCAGCTCTTTCACGCAGCATTCTTTGACGTTCAGCTCTTTGGCGCTCCATGGATTCTTTGCGTTCAGCAAGCAATCTCTGCTGTTCAGCTTGTTGGAAATCTAATTTTTGCACTTGGAAACGAGCCAACACCTTGGCGCCACCAGGCATTTGAGCCAAAATTTGCTGAAGGACTTGATTCTCACGTTCTGCCAGTTCGTTTGTATGTTTGAGATGATGAATATACTCAGTTGCTTTATGCAAAATGGTAGCCTTGTTCAATTTCTTTGCTACTTCAACGCCGTCCACGATTCCACCCGTCTTTGAGGAAGAAGAGTCATCATCATCAGAGGATTCAGCTGCTGCTGTTGCTGTTTCATCATCGTCTTCTTCGATGTTGCTCTTGCTGCTACTTCTGCTTTTCTTTTCTCGGATCTTGGCCTTGTAAAGTGCAGGTACAACATTCTTGAGATCACGGATGCGATCATTGATATTGTTGCGGTAACGACGCTCAATGGCATTATGGGCCACCTTCTTTAATTGGCGTCCTGTCTCAATGGGAGAGGCATTGCGTGGCACAGAGCGAGCAGCTACAGCGGCGACTGCAGCAGCAACCATTTTGGAAGTGTTGCTACTGATGGACTCGCTACGCTTGGTCTTTCTCCAATAGCGAGTTTCATGGTAGTTTTCTTTTGAGCACTCGGGAATAGCTACACGAAAGGATTAGCGAATAATGTCAATTACGTGTAGTAGTCAATAATGGGTACCTTCATCTTGATTTGATTTCCCCCATTGATCGATAGCGGCGAATGCATTTGTAAGTGGTGGTGGTGGTGGAGGAGGAGGTATATCTAATGCCGGAGATACAGTTGCAGGTGGTTCAGAGTTAAAATAAGGTGAATTGGATTCAGATGACTGAATTGATGTACGAGATTGAGGTGTGCCAGGGAAAATAACATCCGACGTTGGAGTAGGTAAGCCAGTGGCATTGGTTGCCATGGCAACATTAACAGGTGGTATAGCAGGTGCATTAGATGTTGCTATAGCAACAGACTGTTCTTGCTGTTGGTGAGGTAACAATTCCTGCTCAGATGGGCGCACATAGTTCGTATTGTTGTACTCATTCATGGTTTGTTGTATTTGGAACCGAGGTGAATGAGTGGTGGAGGAGTTTGGCTGTGCTGAATGATGGTGCTGAGGTTGCTGTTGTGCGGGATAGAAATACTCAGGACGAGGCGAGGTATGGCTGTTGATACCACTGCTACCTGGAGTTGAAACGGGAGTCTGATGTGCATTATTAAATATTTGAGCATGCTGCTGCTGGTGTTGAGGTAGCTGCTGTTGTTTGAAGCACCAATCAAACATTTCAAATGATGGTTGTTGTTGTTGCTGATGCATATTATATGGCTGCTGCTGCTGCTCTTGTTGATGCTGCTGCTCTTGTTGATGCTGCTGCTGCTGCTGCTGCTGTTGATGTTGATGTTGATGTTGATGTTGATGCATTTGAGGAATTAAAAGAGGCGCATTAAAATGTTCAGGCATATCCAGCTGCTGTGTAGGATGAATAGCTTGACCGTAATGGCCTTGCTGTTGTTGCTGTTGCTGCTGCTGATGTTGATGTTGATGTTGATGATGAGTATGCATTGAATTTGATGTTACATTGAAATAAGCATCAAAGTCCAAGTCTGCCATCCCTTGTTGAAGCATTTGATTTTTCAAGCGTATGAATCCAAATTAATTATACGAGAAAGAGAAACAAAAAATCGAGAAAAAGAGGGGAAATAAATCAACACAAAATTTGTTGCAAAACAACATGCCATTTTTTTCGTTTGCTTCTCTGTTGAAACAATAAGTTATATCTCGTTTTGTCGATCTTGTCTTAGTTGAACCTTGAGCATCTAAATAGTAAAGTAGCTTTTTTATAGTTCTCACCCATAAACTCCTACCAGTAATGTGTACCATAACAGAATATACTTGACTTATTGCGTATGCCAGAGCACTTGATTCCAGAAGGCTATACTACCATCCTTGTATTCAATGGCACCCAAATTATCGCTATCATCTATCAATCTACATTTGAGGCATTTTTTAAACGTATATTTTTTTAAAATTAGAAACATGTGGAATTAAATGTACTTGCTAAAATGCCCCCCTCCCTCCCCCTAAAAGGATGTAATATGAAACTTAGCAAAGGTTTCGCAAGCATTATAGCGAAAATAGAGACAGCAAAAAATATAAAATTCAGTTACCAATTAAGAATTGCTTTAATGATGCGTGTAATAGTCATTCGACATCTAGAAGACTTCAGGGAGCTCGCACAGCTCATCCCGCTGTATAAAATGCTACATCAACATGTATAAAACAGACTGCAAGGTACCAGCAAAATGAGGTTATGTATTGCGATGCGAACCTCCCCAAATATTAGCCGTTTAAACTAAAAAAAAAAAACTAAAAAAAGGAGGTTGTATAAACGGGGCCCCATCCGGTATTTGACAGTGCGTTACATATATTGTATAAAACCAAATCTTACGTCCGAACAAAAGGTCCTCTCAGAAATCCAGCTTTCTGGATGACACCCTGTGTTAAAAAACATGTAATCATTGTATACAGCATTGAATCCATTTGGTCCCAAATCAGTTTACTCTAAAGGATTGCAATCTTTTCATTATACAGATATCACATTATGTTAAACAGATACACACAAGCCGCAAACAGAGTTGAAGGGGATATTCGGAGGCTACTCAGTTGGCTTGGTTTTACATTTCTGGAAAAGTTGGAATAATAGACAGGATAAACGCTCATAGCTCTAAATGGCAATTAACATCGTTGCATGTACATATTGCATAAACTTTGACAAAAGCTGGTACAAATGCATTATATAAATCTATTTAAAATTTACCTTTTACCATTGACTGAAAGAGGTTACCCAGGCCATTTATATATGCTCGTAGTATAAGCTAATCTCGATACAAATGCTTAATTTTTTTCTACTGATACTATGGATCGACATGCCACGGATAAAATGAACCGAGCATCTGAATACTTGGTATACGCCTAAAATTAAGAAAATAACAACTTTTCATGTTCTCTCAAGTCAATAATGGACCGAGAGACATCAAACACACAGTGCAACCTCTACATCTGAATATCTGAAATGCAAAATCGAGCGATTATGCCAATTCGTGAAACTTGTGCATGTTAACATATCGGAAAATATGGAAAAAGGAGCATTCGATTACGTAAGGTTCGTCACCGAATCTACAATGCTTCTGTCAGTGTCATGCAAGCATTGTTACACATCTGTAACATGGATCGACATTGTACAACATGGCTAGTGGCCACTGTCGCTTGTGATGGTACAAATTCGTCCGTTGGATCAACCACATCAAACGGTACAGATAATTTTAAAATGAGAGTAGATGAAGCAGGAAGAAGTAAAAGAACCCACCTAAATTCATGCTTAAAGATATCATTTGATACTGGAGCCATTATATACCATATGCTGCGTTATTGTATGCATATAGCTGACCATACTACCGCATTATTCGCAACATTCTGATGCAAGTTTTAATGATCCTTGATAAACTTCTATTTTTGAATTATTGAAGTCTGTTTGTTCAACGCATAAATTCTGGCAATGCCATATCTCGGATATGCAGCAACGGAAGGCAATTTCAATCTGATCGCACCATTATTTCAAAATTATTAGCTCATTATTTTTAAACTTGGAGTTTCAAGAGAACATTTTCATCGTGCACGATACTTCGTCTCATCTTAATATATATTTACTTGTTCCGCTTAGCATTGCCGTAAAATGATTGTGCTCCTCTTTTGAATGAAATGTCCATTTAATGAGGAGATTCAAAAGCTCTGTATAATACATATTTACATTTATACTGAGATATTCATTCTATTAGGTGGTCTTCTCAAAGTTAGTAACTAACGTCAGATTGCGGAGACATTGCTGGCTAACATATAATACTGCTTCACAACTGAACACTATTTTGGTATACAGCATGAGTCTCAGCATTGATGAATCCTAAACAATAGATCCGGAACATGTACTAAGAAAGAGGTTAAGTTCCTTCAAGGTTGTAAAGAGCCCTACATTTCTTATACCCACTAGTATCATTGCACGTATAATTCAACCACCTCTCCTTTTTAATAAGCAATGATGGCATCATGCAATGGCATCGATTATTCAGTCATCTTTTAACCGAGCACATCGTACCATGGTTTAGCGTTGCATTGACATCCTATAGAAACACACGCGCTATTGAAATTAAATAGTGATTCTTTGAGCTTCTCGAATATAGCTATATGTTGCTTACTTATTCCTCTGTAATCACAACCGACATCTGCAATATTGCTGCGGTTTCTTAGATTGACATGAAAGCAATTACATAAATATATTAGCCGCCCGGATACTCGATAGGAAAGCCACACCGGATGGTTGTAACAGAGCTTGAGGAAAGGTGTATCTATCAAACAATCTATCAACGAGTCAGTGCTTCGTGTTAATTGTTCAGGAGAGGGAATGTTATATGGTATCACATAGAAAACGAAGTAAGAATTTCCAATTTGCTTATGAGATAGTAAGATCCCGACCAAAAGATGAAAAGGTTAGCAGCAGACTATTTCTTAAAGATGCAGAAGTTGGGTCTATGATGAAAGCAGTGTCGATATTGCTTTTGATAGGGCATATAAAGATCTAAACTGCATTGCTTCAAAATCGCTAAAAGGCGGCTCGCACATTAAAGTTCGCACTACCATATTACTTTATTGACATTGTTTATACTTGATTTCTGCGTACAATCATAACATAATAATTTTATAGTCCCTAAACACTTTTACAACCGTAATATGGAAACTGAGTTGCTAGCACTAGTCAGGCATGGTTCATATATGATGATTAGAGGTTTTGTATTACATTACTATCAACAACAATCAAGTTTCATCTTATATTTTAGAAATGATAGCCGAAAACCCGCGGTAGCGCGAGTCACCCGAACACAGGTTGGTTTCCACCAAAGCGAAGTTTAGATCAGGAGACCAACCGAAGAGCCTAAATGCTCATTGTAACGTAATAAATTTATGATCCCTAAACACTTTCAAAAAAAGCTTCAAAAAGGAAAGGAGTTGATCTAACAAGTATTTCGATAGACTGGCGTTATTAAATATAGAGTTCAAGAAAAATAGCTTAGCTAGCAACATTGCTATTTAATTTGACACCTACTTTCCATACGCTTCAAAAGCATCTATTACTGTATTGCCTTCATGATGAAAAGGGCGTTGTTGAGTTTGCCAGCTGGCTCCACCAGCCAAAATTAATTCAAACCCAGAGCATCAGTTTACTCCAGATTGGCCAGATTCTGATACCTTTTCGACTTGATTGAACTATTTCACAGGATTCGACTATATGAAGTGTGCTGATCACCCCATGCTTCCTTAAGCTGAAGCCTGGGCACCTCCTTTATTAATTTTCGCATTTTCCCTAGACTCTCTTTTGCTACTCTCTCTTTACCTCGGTCAGCCGGCGGTTTGGGGCTCCTAGATCCTCTTTCTCAACAACAGGCTCTACAATGGTACTGGGTTTGCCCACTATTACTTCAATATCTTGTTTCTCCGGCCTTCCCCAAGTACACCACTCCTTCGCTCTCTGTTTTAACTTATACTCTTTCCTGGTGCTACTACTCCACCGTCTTCCCTCATTTCTTCTACTATCTCTTGTTTCCTTATGCTCGCCATCGGTCGTGGTTTCCTCAAAGCCCATCCCGTCGACACAGCTATCTCAATCCAATTACTAATCTTCAGTCCTGTTTGTCACTTTTCCAGATAACAGAGCGTCATAACTTATATGTTGATGCTGTTACTTGCTACTCACTTCCTCTCTATGATATTCTTTTACATTCACCACCTACTACTAATACTCTCTATTCATCTAGCTTTATACCACCGAATCTTCTCTTAGACGGCTCCAACGTTGCAAAGAAGCTTCTTGTAAGCGACATTTTCCGGTTAGATGCTGATCATCAGGTGCTTCGTGTTCGTTCTTCCTTCCAATTTGCTAGCCATCCTATTGTCTCCCAACGTGTTGCTGATTTCATCAATTCTCGTCAACTGATATTCCAACCTTTCTTTGCACAACAATGCTTCATTGCTCCCCGTCCAGCCCTAGACCCTCATCAACCTCCCTCTCTGCGGGCGTTTTGCCGTAGCATTTTCGTCCCTCCTTCTTCCTCGCCTTCGCGTAGTCGGTTGCCACTCAACAGCATCCGCTTTTTTAAAAAACTACGCAAAAACCTACCCTCTTCCTCCTCCTCTCTTTCTCCTCTCCAACCTCCTCAATGGCGCTCATTCTGGACACTCGCAATTCCCCTTGCTGCTCGCACGGTCTGGTATCGGGCTATATATGAAAAAATCCCCACCAGAGCCCTCCTACATCTACGCATTCCTGACAATCACCCTTCTCACCGCTGTATAATCTGCCCTGCCTCTCCCACGGAGGATATCACACATGCTCTGTTCTCCTGTCCTCCCAAGTTGCTGGTCTGGCGATACATGTATCACACCTATCTTTCTGCTTCTCCATCAATCTCTGATGTTGATCTGATTCATTTCTTACAACAAACTTTACTCTGTTCTTCCCCTCTTCTTGATCGTGATCCCTCTCTCTCGTTCAATGAACTCTCTATTCCTCAACTTTTCGCAACTACTCTTTTGACAATTTGGCAAGCGCATTGGCGCTGGATCTTCGACCGAACCCCGTTCATCGCTGACACCGTTCAACTTCGCCTTGCTCGCTCTCTTGCTCGTTTGGATGCCGAGTTAAATCTTGATTCGTAAGTATTCAGTTTTACCTTTTCGTTCATTCTTCTGTCACCTTTTTTTTTTTTCCAACCCATTTTCCATCCGATCCTTTGTCTCTATATCCAGTCTTTTCTATCCCTCAGCACGACATTTAAAGGACTTTAAATAAAACCTGGAGCTCGTCTCCCCTACAAAAAAAAAAAAAATGCTTCCTTAAGCTTTTCTGGAGTACTTTTCAAGGCGCATCCAATGGTACCAAGTAATATAGATGTTTGAATAAATTTATTGAATGATTTATGAAAATATGAAAAGTGGTTTCTGGCCAAAATGTCGAAATTTTACATATCAAGGTTGCACAAAAGTGGTTTCAGAGGTTGCTTCGCATCGAGAGAAACATTTTGACTTGATATATGCCATAGTAAAAGTCTTTGTTTTTAGGGTGGAAAATGCGATCGTTTGGTTATTGGTGAAAACCTTGCGGGGTACCTCATGGTTTGGAGTCGATTTTTGGCCATGTTTTTTTGGTCCCAAAAAAGTTGAGCAAAGGTGTCAGCAAGTACATGCTAGTCAAAAGCAATTGTATGATGCTATTCTGGAGGTCTAAAACGACTTATGGAGTGAAAATTTACAGCTGGAATATAATAAAATATGTCATTCTATGCATAATTCTGAGCAGTAAGAGATTTTGCAAATATACCATCTGCCCAGATATGAGTTGATTTCGTTGAAGCAGATATGAAGCGCCGTAGAAGAGTCAAATTTACAGCTACAAATCGTTTGTAACGGGCCTTTCAATTGAATTTCAAACGCTATACGTTAAAAAGTGAAGTTCTGATATAATGTAGATATTCGTCGCTCCATAACTAATGTATTTGCGTTCCTCTACTAACATAGAGCAAAGGACAGTTTAATTGCATCACATACATTGATTGATCTGTGTTTGCATGTGTATTGATATACTGTAGTGCGATGGGAATGATGTCAATCAATGTTCCGTCATGCATCACCATGTTGTGAGCAGACTTTAATTCAAGTAAATCACTTTCTGAGCCACCTCTTTTAACTGTGCATTTCTTTTCTTCATCTCCATAATCCTTCCATCACATACGCACATGGGAACGACAATCAACGATTTACCGCTAGAAATAATCGAGATTATATGTCTTCATCTGTGGTCAATGGACCTTGCTCAGGTCTCACTTGTTTGTCATAAATGGCATCAAGCTGTTGGCATTAAACCATTCAAAAAAGTTGGGCTTACTACTGAAAGAAACCTTGATCGATTTATCGATATCTTGGAGGACAGTCCATTTCCCTACGGTGCCTTGGTTGAACGCATTCATTTCGACATATTTCAGGTATTCTTTACTAGAACTTTTGCAGTCAATGTGAAAAAGCTGCTTTATTTCTGTCCCAACGTGCAATTTATCACTAGCAACAAAGTCATCAGCACTGCAGTATTACAAGAACTCTTGTCATTACCAAAAGACACCGAATTGAACCGCTTAAAGACAATCCCAATCGTCAGTTACAGCCTTTGTTATAATTTGTGTGCAAGAAGGTTCAGTCAATCCTTGATAGAACTCGATTTGCAAAATTTTGCGTCAGATAAGCAGCTTGTGTTAAACCATGGATTCCCCAACTTGAAGAGATTGACATTACGTTCAGCTGATAAACCATTTGATCTGATTGATTCCGTGCTGACGAAAAGTGACCATCTCGAATACCTGAACTTTGATTTAGCCAGCTCACGATTCAGCATACCTTCATCAGCAATTGACAAGTGCTATCCCTCTTTGCTAGAGTTGACAATGTTATTCAAGGAGGAATACAGCTTTGATTATAGAGCCTTAAACACATTTTTTTTTAGATTCATCAAATTGGAAAAGCTGACAATGAGCATTTTTGATGCGATCAATGACAACCAACCTTTGGATCAGCTGTACGCATTTAGAGATTTCATAACTTGGGTCAACACAGTGCATGACAGCAAAATATGCATCAAAAACGTCAAACCTGAAAATTTGTTGACATATCTCAAGTACATTTACAATACAATTCCACCTCACAAGGAAAGCTGGAAGACAAAGATTGTATTCCTTCGCTCTTTGTATTACAGGGGCTCCATTATAACGTACTCCACGCATACAGGTTACAGAGAAAGAACCTTTGCTATCACTCTTGACAATTACTTTGCGAGAAACTTTGTGTGCAATTATTTGAACAAGCTCCAGATGCCATTTACAGTGTACATTCAGTGAAAAAACACATTCGTGAAGATTAGCATTGTATACTAGCGAATAAACATCCAACGTTGACACCATTTTCTGTTCTTGGTTGTGAAATGATAAACGTATAATAGATCTATCAGATCTCTTCATTAATGGCATGAATTTCCCCATATTAAATCGTACCTTTCTTTCCTGTCCTATCAACCAACACTTCAACTGATATAAAATAGTAACCTTGGCCTTCAATAAAAACCTATTTGGATAATCATCAGATGTAATAATGTTCTTTTATTTATGTATTGATGTTGTAAAGTGGGGAGTGATTGAAGATGAGAAAGAAAAAGAAATTATATGATACAGATTGAAAGTTATGAGTATATAAATCATGAAATTATCCACTACAGCTGACACAAGCTTCAGGGTTTTCAAGAGAGCAAGCAATAGCGGCCAAATCCTCAGCAGTCTTTTCAATTTCCTCTTCAATTTCCTCCTTGGCTTCTTCACCCATGGTCAATCTCATGGCCTCAAGAGGACTTGTCTTGAGATACTGCATACCAGTCTTTAATCCCTTCTTCCAACAGTAAAAGTGCATAGATGAGAGACGGCTGTAGTTGGGATCAGCAGAGAACAGGTTGAGTGATTGTGATTGATCCACAAAAGCAGCACGGTCAGCAGCCATGTCAATGATGACACGTTGAGAGATTTCCCAAACAGTCTTGTAGAGCTTCTTGAGATCATCAGAAATCAAGGGAAGCTTTTGAACACTGCCGTTGGATTGAGTCAACATATCCTTGACTTGAGGGCCCCACATACCACGGTCAATCAAGTCCTTGAGCAAATGAGGATTGACAGCATGGCACTCACCACTGGCAGCGCGATGGGTAAAGATCATACTTTGATAGGGTTCAATACCGTCATTGTTGCCGAGGAACTGGCTGGTGGTAGTAGTAGGCATAGGAGCAACGAGAACAGAGTTACGGACACCATAAGCCTTGATGCTGGCGCGAAGAGTAGCCCAATCGAGACGCTCAGAACCTTCCACATTCCACAGGTCGTGTTGTAGGATACCTTGACTGATAGGAGAGCCTTCATAAGAGGGATAAGCGCCATTCTTTTGAGCCAATTCGTTGGAAGCTTCGAGAGCAGCAAAGTAGATGGATTCAAAAATGTCCTTGTTCAATTGGCGTGCATCAGGAGAATCGAAGGGATAGTGCATCATCAAAAAGACATCAGCCAAACCTTGAACGCCCAAACCGAGAGCTCTGTGCTTGAGAGCACTGCTCTTGGCCTCTTCCAAAACGTACTTGTTGACGTCAATCATCTTGTCTAAATTTTGGACGACAACCTTGACAATATCGTGAAGTGTATCAAAGTTAAACGTACGGGTATGAGCATCAACGCACTTGGGGAGAGCGATGGAGGCAATGTTGGTGGAAGAAACCTCATCAGCGTCAGAGTATTGCATGATATCAGCATGAAGATTAGAACCAGAGATGACACCAAGATTCTTTTGGTTGTTCTTTTCATTGGCAGCATCTACATACGTCCATGAATATACGAGCCCCCTGAATTCGCTGTAACCTGACTTACCCTTATAGCACATGAAAGGCATACCACTTTCAATTTGAGCATCCAAGATGGAGAACCACAGCTTTTGAGCAGAGACGGTCTTTCTAGCCTTTCCAGCCTTTTCGTAGCCAAGATAGAGTTCTTCAAATTCCTTACCATAAGTGGTATCAAGACGAGGACACTCGTTAGGACACATCAAGGACCAATCCCCATTCTCCTCAACGCCTGTAACATGACATTGCTATCAATATCCATACGCACACAACAACCCAAAAAAACTACTTACGCTTCATGAAAATGTCAGGGATCCAGAGACCAAGAAGGAGATGACGGGCACGGAGATTCTCTTCACCAGAGTTCTTTGAGAGATCAATGAACTCAAAGATGTCGGCATGCCAGGGTTCGAGATAGACAGCGTAAGTGCCCTTTACCTTTCTAGCGCCAGGAGTAATGAAGCGAGCAGCATCATTGAATACACGCAACATGGGAATAATACCGTTAGATGTACCATTGGTACCTGCAATGTAGGAACCAGAGGCACGGATCTTTTGGAAACTCATACCAACGGAGCCTGAAGCCTTGGAGATACGAGCACAAGTGGCTACAGTGTCATAGATACCTTCAATACTGTCCTCCTTCATTTGAACTTGGAAAAAGCTAGAGAGCTGACCATTGAGAGTACCAGCATTTAAAAGAGTAGTGCCAGCATGAGTGTAGAGCTTGCGAGAGGTATAGTCATAGGCCTTGAAAGCAGATTCGAAATCTTCGCCGTGGATAGCAAGGGCAACACGCATCATCATATGTTGGGGACGTTCGACCACCTTTTCACCAATCTTCATGAGATAGTTTTGCTCGAGTGTCTTGAAGCCAAAGTAGTTGAAGTCGAAATCACGTTGATAGTCAAGCGCAGCATTAATCTTGTCAGCATTCTTCAATACCATGTCCAAGAACTCCTTGGAGATCAATGGATTGGGCACGCCAGTCTTGGGATGCTTGTTGTTGTACAATTCTTGCATAACATCCGAGAATTTATCATGGGTTTCCTTTTGCAAGTTGGAAACAGAGATACGAGCAGCCAAAACAGCATAATCAGGATGAATGCCTGTCATATCGACAGCAATCTCGGCGGCCAAATTGTCCAATTGCACAGTAGTGATACCAGGATACATGTCAGAAACTACCTTTTGTGAAATCTTGGGAGGATCTACAAAGTTCTCATCGAGACCTTCGCACAAAATGTTGATACGAGAACTAATTTTATCGAAAAAGACCTTTTCTTGGGTGCCGTCTTTTTGTACATGATGAATGCCATGTTACACGCATTGATGCTTGCAACTACATTACCTCTCTTTATGACATACATGGTGGTTGGTGAGTATTCTGTGGAATGAACCGAGATGGAGAAAAAAGAAAGACGAAAAAAAGAAATGGAACGCCCTGTTTGCTTATAAATAAATATTCGCGTCTTTAATCACGTAGTTTTTTCTCAAGTTTGGATGCGGCATGCCGAGAAACACGACGAGCAAAATGTAACGTCCTCGACACTCAATATAACGCGATTTTGGTGTGTCTGTGGGTTACTTTGTAAGAGCGACATTTGGATCTGGGTTCATGACACAACGCTAACACTGACAGCCTGATGCTAATTAGAGTTTCCTATGTAGTACTCAACGGGATGCCTAAAATGCAGGTTCAGGGCATATGCGTACGATATTTGCAGGCACTTCTTGTCATTACTTACTGCAAAGATGGTAAATCCAACGGTGGACTGTTGTCATTTGGGTGAATCAAAACGGAGATGCGCTCGTTCCTCTGTTCCAAAAAGCAAAGGATGGTATAAAAGCGTTCATTTTGACATGCGTCAACCAAAGGCCGCACTACCTCGAGCTATAGTGCTTAGCATGAGGAAGCAACTGATATCACTGACGCATTTCTCGATGCGAACGGCATTCTTTTGGTGACAAAAGATCCGAATTAGCGCAATCTCAATTGAATCGCAATCTCATTAACAATACAACGTACGTTATTGTCTCAAAGTATATAGGAGCATCTAACCGCTCATCAGTGTTGAATTTGAAATGGTTGTCATGGCAACTATGTGGCAAATTTCTAGTAAAAAAATCAAGAGAGCAATGTGAAATTATAAAAGAAAAAGTTATTTAAATGCTTTGTTCTCGATCAACCCTGCGAATACGATAGCAGTTTGAATTTCTATACAACTGATCGATGATGGAAATTCTACACTTACATGAAACCGATGATTTAGATCGCATTAGCACTTGTGTATGTATGCTCGATGTCACTCTCACTTTAAAGTTTGAAGGCTGTTGGCGCTGAGGAGACGACAACTAACTGAGTTTCTCTGTGGCGACTAGTGGATTCATTGATTTATTTGACACATTTCCAATCACTTGCAATGAGTTTCATTCAAATCATGGAAGAAAAACGTTCTTCATTCACAAGATACAAGCAGTAAAGAGGTAACATTTTGTAGAAATGTGTATGTACAGCAACATGTACAATGACATGTACAAAAGGCATTTAGGTTTAGAAAATTGAATCTTATCGTTTTGACTAACCAATGGCATGAATACTGATTGTTCTGTCGTGTTTCTCATCATGACATAAACGCTACATGTATTGAAATCAAGGGTTTCTATCATATTCCATTGATTGGATAGACCAGACTCTTATAATGCCCCGAGACTTTCAGTCTCATGCAACGTTATATAACCATCAGATCAAGGCCAACTTCTCTTTTTTTTTTGTTTGTTTATTCTACAATCTAACAAATAAGCAATATGTGTTTCCCTACGTTTACAGCATTGGGCTCCTTATTTCTACTCTTTAGTTTTATACTAGAGCTGTTCATCATGATAGGTCAGCTGTCAAACAGACAGTTCTTGAATAAGCTCTACTATGCATCTGCTTGGAATCCTCAGCAGAATCTAGCTTACAATTTTGGTTTATGGTAAGTTGACCTGTCAAGAGCCATGACACGCTTTATTTATTTATTTATTTGTTTGTTTGTTTGTTTGTTAACCTGTCAATCACAAAAAAAAAGGAATTACTGTACTGGTGGTAGCGGTGGTGGTGTTGCAAGTTGTGCCCATCCTACTCCAGCTTACAATTGGGCAAAGACTCCAAACATTGTTGGCCTTGTGCCCCACTTGGCCAGCAGTTGGATGGTTAAAGGTCTCTTTTTAGGTTTGTTCATTTTGGTCTTTATTGCTCTCGGATTCAGTTTCATCTTCTGGCTGATGAGTCTTCCCATCTGCTGCTTGAAGAGACGTGGATGGGGTTATTCGATGTCTACGCTAGTATTCATCAACTTTATGATCATGTTGGTTGCTTTGATCTTGGCTCTTATTTTGGTATTGGCTGGTATACAGCAGATTACGAGTGCGGATAATACTTGGCATGCTCATGCTGGTAATTCACTTTGGCTGACCATTGGTGCAACTTTGTCATTGCTTGCTTCTTTCCTCTGCTACTCTGGCGGTGCCTGCTTTGGCCGCAGGAATCGCACTGCCTATGACGATAATTACAATGGCGGTTCTACTAGTCGTCGTGGATGTTGCGGTATCGGACGCAGGAGAAACAAGGCTCAAGTTGATCCCAACTACAAGGACAACACTGGCTATGACAACAATGTGATTCCTGGTACCAATCAACCCTTATATGCTGCTTCTCCTGTATTCCAACATACGCCACAACGCGCTCAAGACCCCAATATGCTGCAACAACCTTACATGGTGTCTCCCTCTATGGGTCAGCAGCAATTATCTCCCGGTATTTCACATGCTATGCAAAGTGGACAAAATTATGATCATAATGCAAGCAACAACATGGGTGGTGCTACCACCACCGCTACTGGCGCTGCTGATTCAAATGATCCCAATTCAGTTTCTGTTCCTATGCATGGCTATCAAACACCTGTACTTCAGCCTGCAAACACACCTCAGTAAACTGTTGTTTGCTCTAATACTTTAGCAACCAAATAATTATATTTTACTACTTATTAAACAAACTAATAATTGATGTATTTGATATGTGATTTCTTCATGAGAGGTTTTCTTCTTTCGATTTTTTTTTTCAAGTTTTGCCGATGTATTCGATTCACTGATTCATGCTGTTCGCGTTGTTTGATTGATCATGTTTTAGAAGATCTTGACAGCATGCGTTTCAAAGGTTAATGCTGTCATAGTGCTTGAATGGCATTGGCAGATTTCCAATCGAAATTGTCAGATAAATGTCTACGGAAAACTACTTTAATGCAGAGGGAATCTAGCTGAGGCAGTATGAGGTATTCAAGCAGTGCGTGTTGTTTGATTGCACGAGGATTGATAAGAGTTAGTTGCAATCGAAATTTTTCTTTCAAGGAACACCAGATTCTCAAAGTGTGGGGGTTTCTGCTCGTGGGTGAATGTTCAAACACCTAAGTTTCATAATGTCTTTCCAAGACGTGCAACATGAGATTAAAACCCTGCTAACTATACCAGACAAACTAGAGGCTGCAAGTGCATGGTGTAGCCTCGTTGCGACAGCCATTGATTCTAGTTCTACTTGTCGCTCTAGATACTATAAAAGAGCTCCGAATCTCTGTTCTTGAATGTCCCAGCATACTTTCTATGAGGTGATTTCATGGTGAATCAAAGAGTGCTAGTATCATCACTCTCTCTCTCTCTCTCTCTCAGGCAACAATGTCTGACTTGAGTATCAAAACACGAAAAGTCTCCTATTAGCAAGTATAGACTCTGTAGTTGTTTGACAGTCGTCGCACATCTGGAAATGGTCTATAAATGGAGATATCAACGCTTGACATTTGTCAAGCATTGCTGTGATTTTGCATAAACATGGAGCATGGGATGTCTCCTTTGGTTCGATGTAAGTTACTGTATAAGATGTGAATCTTTGTTTCGTAACCAACTTCAAGGCATCTCTAAGCTTGTATCCATGTGAACATACATTAATTTGCAGGAAGAACAACTAGCGCAGCGCTCTTTCACATTAGAGTCAATCTATTTTGTATTTGGATTAACGGTTTTTAGCAATATAAAAAGCATCTATGGGAATTCGAACATTTCCTGTCGTACCCTAGGAAGAACTGCTCTCATTCCCGGCGAAATGTTTCATTTGGCGCATCAATAAGCACTCTGCAGTATCGAGATAATGTGTGCAATTACAAAAACAAATAAAAGAAATGTCATGCTTGCGTTATTTGCCACTTGCTGGACCAGACTCCCACGCGTTAAACGCACCGATGAGAGTAATTTGACGATATATGAAACCAAACAGATCGCATAAATAAACGATGCTTTAGTATAAAAAGATGACATTTATCTACGTCTGTCCTTTATCTACTACTCATTACTTACACTACACATACACAATATGAACTCTCAAGGTGCCAAACTCGAAGAACTCGTCGAAAAGACTCATCAAGCCAGCTCTGATGAAGAACGCAAGCAGGTCGCTCAGCAAGCCAGCAAGATCCACGAAAAGGTCACTGGCCATGCCATGTCTATTGATGAGCATGGCTACATCGAGACCAACACTGACGAAGCCAAGAAATGTCCTAAACTTCATTAATCACCCTTACTCTCAATTTCAGTTGTAAATAAATATTTATTCTATACATCCAATTGCGCATGAAGCCTCTGTCTCTGAAGCTTTTCAAATGTGTGTTGGCTTCGTATAAATGAGTTTGTCAAGTACTGGTTGTGAGAATTTAATCGAGGGTTGGAAGATCCAGAGATTTGAATTGTGTGTTATACATGCCCATTCAAAGGTTCTTGCTACATGAAATTACTAAGGTTACTCTGTAAAATACGATTCTGTCTTGTTTTCAAGGCCTTCGTTCTTTCTGAATACACAATCGTTCATTGCTGCACACTGCATCTCCTAGAAGAGTGTGTATTCAAACAAAGGTTGTTTGTATTGAAACAATGCTGTTGTCAGTCGCTCTACCCAAAAGCTTAAAAGCTACTTGGGCTAATTTGTCAAGGAGCACGAGATACTAATGAAACTAGGTATACTTTCTCTTTTCTGCTGTTTCACCCTTCATCTAGAGTGTGTAACAATCGAAATTATCCTTCTCGAACCGAAGATGCAACCTGTTCCGTTTATATGAGACACATTTAAAGTATCCATATAGCTATACTAGCAAATATATATATAGACACTAGAAAACTTTCTGTAATTTGATAATGATGTTTCAGTTGAAGCACTTTAGCAAGCAATTAACGCTAATGATCTCCGCAATTTTTAGACGTTTAAACTGATCCGTGGTGGTGTATATTCGAAACAAGGAAAGGTCCAAGAGGAAAAATGGAATCGATTACATTTCTGCTCTTAATTTCACGAGAAATATAGCTTTTTGGAACATGTAAGGCATTTATTATAGAGGGTCATGCGTAGAAAACCGTTCGGCGACGAGCAGCACGAATCAATCCACTGCCCAAAGGCTTCAGGGTTGGAATGAGCAATGTAGATAGTTTTCCCTTCTGTCTGGATGGCTTCCTAAATCCCTTGGCCTCAAAAGGAAATTGTGTAGTCAATGAACAAAGACACATGCAACATGAGAAATTAAGCTCGTTTTTTAGCTTTATTGATCATCTCAGAGTCAAAGGCGAGGGATTGACAAACGATGCATCGTATTTCATTGCTTGATGTCATGTACCCAAATAAATTTTTGCAGCGGGGCAAAGTATATTTGCCCAATGAACATCAGGGCAATGATATCATCTTTCCATTTTGTTACAATGGCAATGTTACAATGGAGAGATCTGAAGTAGAAAAATCGAAACTGACGTACGGTACACAGACCTTTTCATCGAGGCATCGAGTTGTGGCGATCATTGATGTATCTAGTGCAACAGACACTGGCAACATGTGGGATATATATTCCCCAATTGAAGTGGGCAAATGTATCGAATGTCTCCTTTTATCTTGCCTCGTGAATTGACATTGGAGGCCATTCCGGGAGAAGACAAGACATTTTTGCCAGATTTCCTTCATGTGTAACATGACGTATAAGATGCCATGAAAACCAGAGGGTTTCAGTCTGTATGCCTATAGAATTACCATGTCTAGATAAATTAGGATTCTCCGCCTAAATCTTAAAAGGAAGCCTTATTCGGAAAAAATTGAATAACCGGGTTGGATACATATATAATGCATCGCTCACCTTTCCAAGATTTTGCAAATCAACACTCTTTTTTCCCTCAATTCTCTATTTAAACATGTCAAACGAAAATATTAGAGGTACAGCCGATCTCTCAAAGGTTCGCAGTAAATCATATGATCTTCCAAGAAACAGACCTACCGGCGGATCTCGTCAAGCTAGTCATGCCCATTTTGCTGATATCGTCGAAGATGAAGGTGCTCCCACTTCCCGTCCCAATTCTGAGGCCATTAACGCCAACGCAATGCCGAATCACATCCGTCGTCCTCATTTCGATGAGTCCAGTCGAATGAATTCCTCAGGTAACATGCGTCCTACACCAAGACCCAAGATTTCAAGCAGAACAACATCATTCGCCTCCGTTGCTGCCAAACGAAGATCGATGGCAAGAACAATTTCATCTCTTTCCTTGTATAGTAATTTCGCTGGTGAGCATCTAGATGATAGCTATCAGGGATCTAGATCACATCGCAATAGCATGGTAGACCCGGAAAAAAGACAAAGCTACATTTCACAAAAGTCGTCAATTCGCAAGCATGAGGAGTCTACTGTGGGTGAGGAAATGGTGGAAAACATTGAAGAGGCTGTGCCCAAGGCCTCTGTTGGAAAGGCCATGTTTATGTTTCTCAAGGCATTCATTGGCTCTGGTGTGCTATTTTTGCCCAAAGCGTAAGTAGTCTATATACATTACACAATGTGGCATTCAACTCATACAACGTTTTCTAGTTTTCAAAATGGTGGTTTAGCGTTATCCATTGTGTTGATGGTGGTTATTGCCGCAATTTGTTTGTTTGCCTTTTTGAGATTAGTGAATACACAAAAGGTAATTGGTGGATCGTATGGTGATATGGGTGGTTTGCTGTATGGTCAATACCTTCGCTTTCTGGTCTTGTTCTTTATCGTGATTTCTCAAATTGGCTTTGTCTGCTCTTATTTCATCTTTGTGTCTGGTAATCTTCTCAACGCTGTCAATGTGCTTTCAAATTGCACTGCCGGAATTGAACAAAAATACTATATTTGGATGCCCCTCATTATTTTGATTCCACTTGCTCTGGTCAGACATATTGCAAAGCTGTCTTTTACTGCTATTATTGCAGATATCTTTATCCTGTTTGGCTTGGTCTGTATCATTTACTTTACTGCTGACCAATTAGCTGTCCATGGTGTCGGTCCCAATATTGCTGCTGTGAATCCTGCCAACTTTGCTCTCATGATTGGCACTGCTACGTTCTCATTTGAAGGTATTGGCCTTATTATCCCTATCGTAGAATCCATGGAGCGCCCTGAAAGATTCCCCTTTGTGCTTACATTGGGCATGATTATTGTTTGCGTTATTTACATTTTGATCGGTACTATTTCATACTTGGCCTACGGCGATACCATTCAAGCTGCTGTCATTTACAATTTCCCTCCTGATAACAAACTTACCATCGCCGTTGAGTTGCTGTATTCCTTGGCTATCTGCTTAACTGCTCCCTTAATGCTCTTCCCTGCTTTAAAGATTATCGAAAATGGTCTCTTCCGCAAATTCAGATCTGGTAGGGATAGTCTTGGTGTCAAGTGGTCCAAGAATGTCTATAGAACGATTCTTTGTGTGCTTTGTGCTGCTATTTCTTTTGGTATTGGTGGTGATAACCTCGATAAATTTGTATCATTGGTTGGCTCTGTCGCATGTGTGCCCTTGTGCTTCATTTTCCCTGGTATGTTCCACTGGAAGGTTTGCAAAAAAAACATTGACAAGGTCTGGAATGGCCTCTTGATGATCTTTGGTTTGGGTATCATGATCTATACTTTGTATGTTTCAATTAACTCCTGGATTCACCCCACCGCTGCTGGCGAAGCATTGGCTCCTTACTGTCCTGCTTAAACAACTTTTTCTCTATAAATATATATGCTTATGTTCTGCTTGTTCGTCTGTAGAGCAAGTGAACATGTCTTTTTGTAAATATACCAACAATTATATGTGATACTTGATATGCTATAATAAATCTCTACTCAACACTCTACAAATACACACCAAAATTGCCTTTTTGTTTTTGTTCTACCATCACATGAAAACCTCAAGAATTCCCTGGCACCGCGGACCTGATGCTTCTACAATACGCCTCCCCTGGATTATCAACTGGAACCAATTCATGTGATGGTGATAGCATACTGGCATAGCTCCCTCTTGCAGATAAATATGCAAATTACAGCGAATTCTGGATGTAGTTGTGCCGTGATTTCTCATGCTAGAAGCCGTTTTAGACTTCCAGAACAGCATCGTATGATTGCTTTCGACTAGCACGTACTTACTGACACCTTTGCTCAACTTTTTTTGGACCAAAAAAAATATCGACCGAAATCGACCAAAAGCATGAAGGGTACCTCATGCTTTTCATCGAAAATTAAACGATCGCATTTTTCACCTTGAGAATGAAGACTTTTATTATGGCATACGAGCCTTTCAGCACTTCGAGTGGTTTCCTGACCTACGCTTCGCTTCGGTGGAAACCAACCTACGTTCAAACGGCTCGCGCTGCCGCGGGCCTTTGGCTAATATCCCAATATTAATATAGCTAACATGTTAGAAGAAGAACCCTGATTGTTGATTGATATATAATCACTAATCATATGAGTGTTTATGCTTTGGATGGTTCTCACCGAAGCGTAGCGAAGGTAGAAAACCAACCTGCACAGCGACAGCTCGAGCTACCGGTTACCCCTGTGTATCTTATCATAATACTACTACGTTCAAGCTTACCCTCTACTTACACATGAAAACCCTTTATAATATCTGTGGATCTGACTCTTATCTGATGCTCTACATCCATATACACGTAGCTACTTCATATACGGGCAAGTAGCATACTGGTATTTCCACTTTTTAGTCCTTAGTGTCCATAATACAGCAAAATTTGAACGCATTTGAGCTGCGTTTTCTCGCGTCCAAGGCCGTTTTAGATTGTCATAATAGGACCAAACACTTGCTCTCATCTGGCAGTTACTTTCTGACACCTTTGCTCAACTTTTTGGGGACCAAAAAAAATATGGCCAAAAATCGACCAAAAAGCATGAGGTACCCCTCATGGTTTTCATCGAAAATCAAACGATCGCGTTTTTCACCTTGAAAATGGAGACTTTTACTATGGTATATCTTGAATCAAAACGTTTCTATCAATCCAAAGCAACCACTGAAATCATCTTTGTGGGACTTTGATATGTAAAATTTCGACATTTTGGCCAGAAACCTCTTTTCATATGTTTACAAATCATTCAATAAGTGAATTCAAAACATCTATATAACTTGGTACCATTGGAAGCGCCTTGAAAAGTACTCCAGGAAAGCTTAAGGAAGCATGGGGTGATTATCATAATTCACTTAGTCGAATCTGCAAAAATAGCTCGATCGAGTCCAGAATCATTAAAATTTGTCCAATCTGGAACAGACTATGATTCTGGGGTTGAATTAATTTTGGCTGGTGGGGCCAGCTGGAAAACTCATGCCCTTTTCATAAGGCAATACAATAGTAAATGCCCTTGAAGCGTATAGAAAGTAGGTGAAAGGTCATAGCACTATCGTTTATGATGATATTTTATTGCCTTCTATATCGTTCATAATGATATTTTATTGCATTCTATATTTAATAACGTTAGTCTGGACATTGACAATGCATGGGTTGCATAAAATGTCTGCAGTAAGTAATGAAATCTCTGAGGCTCCGAGCCGTCGTTCAAATAAAACGTTGGTAGCATTGAGCAGAGGAAAGAGGGTAGAAATAACAGTGGTTTTTGTTGATGGATTGTAAAATCATTATTCTCATATGAGCCAGGCCAGATAGATGCCTTGAAACTCAGGCTCCATATTAGGATTGTAAAGTGCAAAAGTACTGAACATTTATTATGTTATGATATGAGCCAGGCCAGATAGATGCCTTGAAACTCAGGTTCCATATTAGGATTGTAAAGTGCAAAAGTACTGAACATTTATTATGTTATGATATTAGACCAAACTGATCGTAAAGATAAAATGCATCACTGGAACCTGTTTTTATGAGACTTGCATATGCTAAACTTTCACGTATTCGCAGAAAACCGGTTTTGAAATGTTCGCAAATTGCTCATTATTTTCAGTCTGAAAACTGAATGTAACCAGCATCATTCGATGCGTCTTCATTGACTCTTTATAAATGCATTAGAAAGTAAAGTATAACAACGGCAGTTTTTATAGTCAAATTTAGCAAAAACGATTAGAACATGTGAGATCAGGTCAAATTTGAACACAAAAATATCCACTGCACATTTTCAAATTAAAGTACAGCAGTTATGGATGCCACGGCAGAAGACTGAGACCAAATCTACTGGCCGTGACGTCGGATAGCGCGCCCTCTCATTTTTCCATACTCCTTTTTTTTACCCTTTTAGCAAAACGCGTTTAGTATTATACCATATTGGTTTTGGAGCTCTTTTGATTGAAAATAACACTCTAGCTTTTAATGACACGGTCTTGCACTGTTGCAAGTACTTAATACTGCTTTGTTGCAGTGGAATATAGGAGGTACCATTGGATAACGAGCACTGGAAGGCGTAGAATTAATACTAATTGAATTTGTTTATTAGTTTTTGATGATTCTCTTTGTCTCTTTGTCGTGGGTGCTGCTGCCATTACTTCTCTGCTATCTCTGCTGTCTGCTTCTTTGGTTTATCATGTCTGGTGGTTGCCTCTTTGGTCTCTGTCTCTGGCGGTTGCTTTTTTAGCCTTTGTCTGGTCTCTGTTGTCGCTCGTTCTTGGGTTTTTCTATGATGTTGTTGTTGCCGTCGCTGATGGTATTTCTGATGATGCTGCTTCTGGTCTTGCTGCTGCTGTTGTTTCTGGTATTACTTCTGGTATTGCTTCTGGTATTGCTTCTGGTATTGCTTCTGATGTTGCTGCTAGTGTTGCTGCTGCTGCGGCTAATATGGTCTTTCCTGGGCTACTGTATTTGTTGTATGCTTGTTCTCTGGTCTATCTCTGGTAATTGCCTATCCTCTTCTGGTTTATCCGTGGTGGTGATAAGTGGTAGCTTCTTTGGTCTTTGTCTGATCTCTGCTGTAGGCATTCGTTCTTTAGTTTTTCTATGGTGCTGGTGTTGCTGCTGCTGCTGATACGGTCTTTTCTGGTCTACTGTCTTTGGTCTATCTGTGGCTATGGTAGGTGGTAAGTATCCTTTTTTCTTCTGGCCGCAATGATAAAAGACTTCTTTGAACGTTGGTATTATTGCTTCCTTTTTCATGATAATGCATTCATGATGTTTTCCTTGTTGCGCATTCTTCTTTTTTTGCTGGTTTTGTTTCCTCTGTGGCTTCACATGAAACAACGTTAGTCATTATGTTACATTGCACACTTATAATACCACTACTGTTGCTTTTGCAGTTATGCGTGTTTGTGTTGCTCTACATCCGACTATTACTACCATGCACATTGCTCATGTATGCATTTTTGTTGCAACAACAACGAGCTTTTTTGAACATCTTTGATGTTGTATTTATGATATGCTTTTCTTTGACCCACTTTGTGTGTGCCCTTTTTTTTGCCTAAGTATTACTATACTCCTATAGTATTATGTTCTTTTCTTCTTTCTTTTATTATTATGTTTCTCTGAAGCATACCTTTTTTTTACGTTGTGTGGATGTGCCTATCACTGAAGCTCAACAAGACATTATCCGAGGCTAGGAGGTAGATAGGCTGCCTCCACTTGGTTATCGCTACTTACTTTAGTGATGATTGAGGGTCTCAATGCCTGAATTTAAAGCTAGGTGGTGTAAGTAAGGCATGCTCTAGCACCTGGGGGAAATTTGATGATAGTAACAGCTATATTGCTATATATATAGCGGAGCTTAAAATTTTGCCTCACATCAAAGCAGGGGGAAACCCTCGCAAAATTTTTTTAGGTCAGCGGAGTTTTTAAGCAATTTGATTGGCTCAGAGGCTGAAGTACCGAAAGGTTACAATTAGTTGATTTCCTATTGATCTGTCAATAAATATGATTTTGTGTTTGCACTAAAAGAACAGCCGAATAAATACAGTTTAAGATTTTCTTTATTCAAAAATAAGATAAGGTGCAGTTATCATATAATCTATATTCTGTTGCGCAACAGTTTAATGTGAGGAACGTTCTTTAAAGTTGTTATTAGTTGAGAAAGCTGTATAAATATTATGGTATTTCAACACAGTGATGCTGTTTGCTGAGAATAACAATTAAAACTGAGCATATTTATCATTTTACTCCACCAAGCTTGAGTGAGGATGAAAACGAATAAATAGTATAAATTTCGAAGGTATTTATAGTTATTTGACAACACCGCAGCAATAGGCTCTTGACCTTGAATACTACGGGATAATTGTATAAACCTTGAACAACTCAAAGAAGATATACTACTGCCTAAAATCCCATGGACCATCAGTCAGGAACAAACAACACTGAAGATCCAGAATAGAATGTTCTTCATTATAGATTTGATGGACGAAAATTTGTCAGAACTGAAACATGCTTTCAGAGACAAAAAGTTATAGACTACCATGCTTCAAGAACCAGGATATAGGTTAGCCATTTGATGGCATCACTCATGTTCCTTTGCACTACTATCTGAACAAAGACATCTCAATATATCACCAAGTATATCTGCTTTTGTTCGATCCTTCTCATGTATTATATGTTGTATAATACATTTGCCTCTCGGATATGATCGATATCCTAAAAAAAAAAAAGTCGCTTGAGGAGAAATTAAATGTAGTAGTCTAGGATGCGTGCTTGTATGCAACATTTTGAACGATCGATTTCTAGCAATTTGGCTGGAACTGACCTTTTTGGCAGTGTATTCAGTAAAGCCACTTAAAACTGATATCACTACAGCTTGTTCATGTCGACTCTTGTATCACAAGATTTGTAGGTGATGTATTCAACAAGGTGTTGAATAACTAAAATCACACAAATGAAATGTAACAGTGAAGTATCAGCTTTCGATTGTGTACAAAATCAAGATGGTTTTTTATTGAATGAAATGTACGGTCCTTTTTATATCCTTCTGAATGTTAGATCCTGAAATATAAATTCAAGATTGATAATCCTGCGGACGCTTGGAATAAGACCAAAAGTCTCTTCTAGGCTATGCTTTACTTACTGATGCTTTATCTCATTTTTTTTGGGTCATTGCTGTTTAGGATATAGATCACCTCTGAAAGGCAAATGTATTATACGTTGTATAATACATAAAAAGATCTGAGATTGAGCAGAGATGCGTAGTAGATTGAGAGTTCTTTATTCAAGCAGTGCAAAGGAACATGAGTGGTGCCATCAAATGGCTAATCTATATCCTGCTGGTTCTTAGAGGGTGGTAGCCTATAATCTTTCGTCCCCGAAAATGGGTGTCAATTCTGACAAATGTTCCTATTAGGAAGAACATTCTATCCTGGATCATCTTTGTTGTCTATCCTTGACTGGTGGTCTATGAGCTCTTATGCAGCACATTCTCGTTAACTTGTTCAAGGCTTATACAGTTATCCCGCATTTAAGATCAAGGTCCTATTGCTGCGGCACTGTCAAATAACTATAAATACCTTCGAAATATACCCTAGTTTCAATCGTCATTTAATCTTGGAATAACATAATAGATATATTCAGTTCTAATTGTATTTCCTCTGTCTATATTTCGTTATTTTAAACAATTGCAGATTCATGAAAATCCTCATTTTTACAAGAGTACTAACAAGGAAAAACTCTTGAAAATCAAACGATCGCGTTTTTTGCCTTGAAAATGAAGATTTTTACTATTATGGCATATATTGAATCAAGATGTCTCTCTCGACCCAAAGCAACCTCTGAAGCCGCGTTTATGAGGCTTTCATATGCAAAATATGGCTATTTTCGCTAAAAACCTCATTTCATATTTTACTAAATTTCTCAGTAATTTCGTTCAAAAAACCTATTACATTTAGCACCATCGGAAGCGCCTTGAAAAGTACTCCAAGAATGTATTAGGAAGCATCGGATGATAACCACAGTTCGTATAGTCGAATATCACAAAATAGATTAAAGAAGTCGAAAAGAAGACGAAGTCTATCCAAGCTTGAAAACAAAAATAAACTGTGCTTCAATTGATTTTAGCGAATGACGCTGCTGCTGGCTGGCCCAAATGCCCCCTTTTTTTATGGCAATGATGATTGCGATGCTGATTAAATAGAGAGCATGGAATTGAAAGGGTAATTGCTTAGCGCAAATACCTTTTTTTTTGGAAGCTTTGCCTCATGAAGATGTCTTTTGCAATGACAATATCTCAAAAAAGTCGCTGTAGAACTTACACAAGTACTGTATTTACTTATGACCAGCTTTATATCGCCATCTTATTAAGAGCATCAGCAGAAGCGAATGATATGGCAGTTCTATTATCAGAAAATGGCGATTGTGATGTACAAATGCTGCATAAAATTTGAATTCTCTTTCACATTGTCGCAATAATAGGCTTTGTTTGATATTAGTGTAAGCAAAAAGGTTGCTGAGGGAGGTACCTCCTCTCCTCCTCCTAGTTTTGATATAATAACTTTTCTTTTACTAACTAATAATTGGTTTTTAAAAATCTACTTGATATACCAAGATGTTATAATATCTGGTTTAAAATGTCTTTGGCGAGAACCCCACAGGACGACTCCGACATTGAGCGTAACGAGATAGATCGTCTAGTAACATATTGTACGCAAAAACCAAATATAAACAATGGCAATATAATTGCACATTAATGCGGATTTTGATGTGCAAATCGATTTTGGATAGGTAACGGCAACACTGTATGGTTTATTAATTGCCTTGATCTTTTGTGCCACCAGTTTCTATTCCAACAACCTAGGTTAGCGCCGCTGATGTTGATTGCGCACTGCTCAAGTACCAAACCAAGCAGCTAATCCTTTGTCTACTTCTTGTAAAGTCATCCATAAACTTCAATTCTCAACTGTCAAAATGTCACACCACGCATGTATCATTAATCACAATACTTGACTTATCACTGGTAAAAGACACAAGGAGTAACTACATTTGACGGCTAATGCTCCTTAAACTCTTTTATGTAGAGTGCTAGACTATTGAGAAAAGCTAAGCATTGTCTGTATGTAAAGTATATCAACCAATCCTAAACTCCATTTATAACCATATATATAACTTCTAGGCACAAGTTTTATTTAGACAATAGTGTGTATATGTAATGAAACTTTTCTTTATTACAAGCGAGCACGGAAATAATCACCCAATGCCACCATAACCAATGTCTGCCAGATACCAAGACCAATGCGAGGAACGACACCTCTATAAAATCCCTTCAGACCATTATTCTTGTAAATGTACTTGGTTGCAGAGCCGATCGTCATCTTTTCAGGGCGACCTTCTGCTTTCAACTGACTTTGCATTTCTACACGAATGACTTCAAGAGGCTGATTCCAACAAGACAGTGCACCGGCAGCGATGGATGCCAAAGCCTTATCTACACCGTCAGCCAAACCTTTCTCACCATGTCTTGCCTTTACAATAGCTTCCTGGGCAAATCTAGCGATACCAAATCTGGATGCCCAGTTGGTGCATTGACGAAGAGCAACAGCATTTACACCCTTATTGATACCTGCGAAACCCTCTCTCTTATAAATGTCGGCAGCAATCTTGAATGTTGACTCAGTGCCAGCTGATTTCTGTCGGGTAACCTCAACTGTCTTCATAAATGTACAAAAACCCATTGTACTATAGGCTTGAGCAATACCACCGCCCATGCCACCAACGATACCGGCCTATCACCATCAACATCGCATCAATTAGATGCCCATTGAGAAAAGGATATCAATGCAACGGTAACCACTTACCAAAAATGGAGATGCACCAGCGACAGAAGCACGATACTCTAATTCAGAAGCAGTGAAAAGTAACACAGCACCTTTTGTGCTTGCCTCGATCCAAGCCCAAGGAATAAGACCTTGGTAGAAACCAAGAATACCGCCACGACTGTAAATGGCTTTCAGACCTGTCAACATTGGTTGACCACGGTTGGCTGCCATTTGCGTCTTCATGACTTCAAAAGGTTGACCCAATGTTGAGGTCTCGAATAAATTCAAACCTGTTGAAATTCACACGTTTTAATCATCTTCATTCACACACACACACACACTTTCTGTTTGTCATTGCTGTACCTGCACCAAGCAACAATGTTTGGTATGAAATGGGCTTCTTCTCCAGGACAGCCTTGTTGGAAAGAGGTGTGATTTTAGCAGTGGATAGCTCTGTCGTTGACATGGTCTAATGAAAGGACGAAAGGAGAGAGAGAGAGAGAGAGAGAGAGATGAAAGATTTAGAAAAAAAAAAGATTTCATCTTGGGTTTTTATATTTTTGAAACGATGGTTTTTATATTTAATCTGAAAAGATGAGGTGACTTGAGTAGTGCTTGTTCAAAGGCATTATGTTTCACAGACGAAATGTGTGAATTGCTAAAATGTGGCCAGGTACAGGTAGTCAACGATGGCCAATACAAAGTCGCACTGCTCTCATTTACATGCTCCATATATCACCCTGGATTCAGAGCATAGATTGATGATGAAATCAATAGATGAAATAGCGAGACGTAGCGTGAGATGCACAATTGTTTGGATAAAAGAGTCTTGCACTTGCTTACATGGCATTATGCCAGGCTTGTTCCTGACCTACTTTTCACATGTCAATTAGGAACAAGGCTAAAACCTCATCATATCCACTTTCATAAATGCAATCTGTAAAACATGGTGCGTCCAGGTATTCGACGGGAGATCAATTATAGTGCGGCTTTAGATCCACCAGCGTGTGCAAACGCTGATTTTCTATGCAGTTAATCAAGCGTATATGGATGCTCAAGCATCTCATGTACTTTTACAGTGTTAATACTCTAGTGTGAAGGGCTTCGTATGTGCATGCAGTGTCGAAAATCATGTTTATAGATACAATCATGGGCTTCTTTTTCAGAATGCTATGATGCACATGAAACGATGGACGTTTGTGTTGCTGCATATTTGATCCCATCCAATTGATACCCAGTGATGGCAAGAGTAGGTTTTGGTCTAGGCACCAAAAACTTGATAAAAAATGAAAATTCTACTATACAAAGTAATCCAATATGTCTTTATACAAACATTAACTATACTATAGCTACCATCAGCACCACTGAATAGCAGCAGTTCTCATCTGTTTGAAGGTTTTCATGTTTGCATTGTAAGGATCACCAAGTAAAGAGAGTCACTGTCAAATCGAATCAAAAGGTCAATAAAAAAAATTTTGACATCCCATTTCAATCTCTTTACCTTTTGCTTTCATATTATATATCAAAATGTCAAACAGATTGCAGACGCTTCTCAAGTGGTTTGAGGACAACAAGATTGAGTGGGACAAAGATGCATTGGAGATCAAGGAGAGCAATGGCTCCTTTGGCGTCCATGCAAAGAAGAGCATGAAAAAGGACAAGCCAGGTAAGATTTTCATCGTCATCCTTGTTGTTCTTGCTAACTGATACCATGCGAACTCTAGTTGTTAAGATTCCCAAAGAGTGTATTCTTTCCATCAAAACTACAGGTATCGCCAATCTCTTGGATGAAGCCAATTTGGAAGGTGGATGTCCTCTTGCATTGGCTGTCTTGTATGAAATTGCTCAAGGTGAGCAATCTCCTTGGTACGGCTACCTGCAAGCACTTCCTGAGCATGGTGAGGATTTACCCATCTTTTGGGAGGAGCAAGAAAAGGATTGGTTTCATGGCACTGAAATGGAATCTGCTGTGCACAATGATTTGGTACAGTCGCACACTTTATCACAAGCAGCACATGTACTCATACTCGCTTTGCATACATAGATTGATCTCGAGGACGATTATGAAGAACTGATTGAGCCCCTTTTGGAAGCACACCCCTATATCTTTAGCCGTGGCACCAACCTGGATGACGATCCTTACTCTTTTGACAAATTCATCAAGATCTCCACATTGATCTCATCCCGTGCATTCGAGGTGGACGCCTACCATGAGAATGCATTGGTTCCCTTTGCTGATATCTTTAATCACTCTGGCAAAAACGAGCACGTTCATTTTGAAACCGAATTTGATGTGTGTGATGCATGTGGACAATTGGAATACTGTGAACATCAATATCTCAATTATTTGGAAGACAGTGATGCCAATGACGAAGAGGGTGACGAGGATGCTGGTTGGGAGGACGAGGATGACGAAGGAGAGGCTGACGAGGATGTTGACGACGCCGAACTCGCAGAACTTGAGGCCATGGGCATGGAGACTGAGTTGCCTGATTTAGAGGAATTGGAGAATGCAGGCGTAGATTTCTACAACGATGACGACTCTGACGAGGAGGAGGAGGAACAAAAGAAGGACACATGTGATATGGTGCTTGATCGTGATGTGCAAAAGGGCGAAGAGGTGTTCAATACGTATGGCGACCATCCCAACATTGCCTTGTTGAGCAAGTACGGCTTCTGTTACGATGACAACAAGAATGACTATGTGTCCATCACTGAGGATTCTCTAATTGAATGCTGCCTCGCTATCACTGGCGAACTCTTGAAAGCTGAAAACCCCAAGGCATCTGAAAAAGAGATTGAGAAATTGGCTATTGAACGTACCAGACCCCGATGGGAATTTTTTTTGAAGAACGAGCCTACTTTGTGTCCTTCTGAAGACGATGATGAACAGCCCGAGGGGAGAGATGATTTTGATGAAGACTGTCAAGATGATTGTTGTGGCCCTGATGCTCATGGTGATCATGAAGGACATGCTCACGGTCATGCTCATGGCCATGATGATGAAGAAGAACATGGAGAGGAAGAGGAACACGAACACGAACACAAACACGAACACGAGCATGACGAAGAAGGTGGCTGTTGTGGTGATGAAGAGGACGAAGAAGGAGAACAATCTCGCCCTTACTTTATCAACTATGAAGGTCTCTTTGAAGATAAACTCATGTGCTTGCTTCACATCATGTTTATCAGCGAAAAGAAGTTTGCCACCTTTGTTGAAGATGTCGACAACGCTTTAGCCTATTTTGAAGAGCTCGCCAATAGTCAAGGTGCTGAAAAGAAGAAGACTCAGGCTGTTGTTGACCTCAAGCGCAACATTTATCAAGTGTGTCGTGCTCTTGCCGAGTTCAGACGTCTCGAGTATTTTGAAGACGGTGAATGGATTCCTGTTGAAAAGGACGAGGAAGAGCGCAAGGCATGTGCTGGTGATTTGAGAAAGTATTACGCCATGACATGTCGTATCAGCGAAAAAAAGATTCTTGATAGATCCGTGCAATATTATAGTGAATTGGTTGAAGAATACTCAAAGCCTGTTACTGCAGGCGGTAGTTCCAGCAGCAGTAACAACAAGAAGAAGCCTGCCGCTGCCAGCAAGAAGAATAAGAAGATGAAGTTGTAGGCATAGACAGTACATTTTTACCCCTTTCATTTTTGCATATACGATGTATTTATAATAGAATAATTTTTAAAAAGAGTGATAATGATGGATGGTGTTGTTACAGGCAGTTGCGCAAGCAGTGTTGTTCATGATGTGCCGTCCGTATATGTATATTCAAGTCTGGCTGCCTGAGGGCTTGTTGAAGAACTCGAGTCTCTTTTGGTTTGATTTAGCTCTCTCTTCATGATAACCTGCATTTGTAATACTATAGAAAAAGGCGATGAGCCATATATCATATATGCAAATTGAATATTGAAACGTACCGTCGGTCAAGATAGTAATTGGATTTTTTGCTTCTCTTTTTCAACGTAATAGCCTCAAGGGCGTCACCCATGCCGTGGTATTTTTTGATATGGATACGATAGCTATTGGCATGAGCAAACTTGACATCACAGACACAGCAGTAATTGTTTGGATCAAGCACGTCGGGTGATACGCCAGGTTCAAGAGGCGGTCTTGGCTTCAGGGCTCCAGGACGTCTTTGAGGAATGTCGATAAAGTGCATCTTGTTCAGGTGGATCAAGTAACTGGATCTTTGTGTGTAGCCTCTGTTGCAATAAGCGCAAAAGTAGTCTGGATCCGTCTTGTCAGGTTTTCTTGACTCGTCTTTAATGTCATCAACAGCAATACGAACACCTACGTATCAATTGTGAGATGTCTGTCCAATGTGCTAGAGTATACATTACCTGGTGATTTGTCAAAGGGAATGTCGATATTATGTACGTTTCTCAAATGATACGTGTACACCAGTTTTTGAGAGTAGTAAATATCGCATACACAGCAGTAGTTCTTGGGATGATGGATGTCTGGTGGAGGACCTTTGTACCTGTTACGTACACCGGCAGTGCTAGCAGCGAATGGGAAATCCATCTTGTGCACAGCACGAAGATGAAAGTGGAAGCTGCCTCTGTTGGAGTAACTGATGGTGCACACACTGCAGTAGAAATGTGGATCGTTGATGTCGGGCGGTGGTCCTCTGTGATTGAGAATAGCGGCTTGACAGTGGCCCACTATAGTGTCATTACGATGAGTACGCCTGTGTGTGTGCTTGTGTGTGCGTGTGCGTGTGCGTGCGTGTGTATTTGTGTATAGTTACTATCATGTAATACCTACAATTTCTATGGTTTTCCAGATCCTTGAGCGTTGCCTGCTTGTTCTTCTTTTCATTTTGCTCCAACGTATCCATCTTTTCCTGAGCCTCTACCTCCCGTTCTTCATCTCCATCGTCTTGTTCCTCTGTTACATCTTGTCCTTTTCTCCGTTTGTGAGCCACTCGACCCAGTTTTACCTTTTCAAATCCGTGGTGTAGCTCATTGTGATGTTGAAATCGATCTTTACTAACATATTGCTTTTGACATTGCGTGCAAAACATGGATTCGTCTGTGATGTTGGGCTTTGGGCCATAAGTAAGCACAATAAACTTGCGTTCTTCGAGATTGACTCCGTGCCTTGAATGCATGTGGTTGTGAAATGTCTTTTGTTTGTCATATGCGCGCGGACAAGCCTGGCAAGAGTATTTGGGATCAAAGATATCAGGTTCAGTGCCTTGCTTGATTCTTTCGAGTAGCGCTTTGATTTGAGACATGCTCATGTTGGTTTCAGGAGCAGCAGGTGGTGAGGATCTGATAAAGCGCTTCTCATTGTCGTCCTCATCATCTTCGATCCTAATGGCGTCATTGCTGTCTGTCATTGTCTTGTTGGATGAACCGTCTCCTTCGCTCATCATGTCGTTGTCAGACATTTCCTCTGGGTCTGGCTTGATAAGACGTTTGCAAGTGATGCGTTTGGGTTGCATAGTAGCAGCAGCAGTAGCAGGAGTTTTCTTCTTTTTTCGTGCAGCAGTTGATTTTGGCTTGAGTGATTTCTTTTGTAAGGATTTGAAGGTACTGGGGCCAGTATCTGGTTCCGCCTTGACCTTTGGAGTAGATGGTGGAGGTGGTTTATAGAACTTGTTGGCATCAAAGCGTCCTTTTGAAAAGAAGTCTGTGATTTTACGGACCTTGGACTCCTGTTCTTCATTAGGTTCAGGCACACTTTTGGCAGGGGCAACTGGAGGCGCGGATACAGCAATGTTATGTGTGTCATCTGGACTTTGCTCTTCTGTCTCTGGAGAACTAGGAGGGCTTTCTTTATATGGTGTTGGTTGGTGCTGCCCCGTTGGAGTCATCTCTGGAATGAAGGGGACATCACCTACGGAGAGCGACGCCATGGCAGGAGAAGAAGAAGAGCTTGACATGTCTTGATCTTCTGTGTTGCCCATCTCGACTCGAGACAAGCATTGTCTCATCTGCTCAAGTGCATCGTCTTGCTGTTGCGTTTCTGGAGAGGATTCAGCTTCATCACTGGGCCAGTCGATGATGCGCCTTTTCTCAATGGATTGCTGCTCCGTTTCATTCTGGGTCTTGCGCTTCCTTGGTGGAGCCACTTGTAGGAGATCAGGTTCAATCTTGACATCGGGTTGCTCAGACTTCACTGCCAAGTTGTTTGATGTGGAAGCCATAAGTGAAAATAAAGACGAAAAAAGAAGAAGATAAGAGCTTTGTTTTTATTGACGGGTGGCGTCCTGTTTTTCTCAAACGATCATCCTTATTTGTGTCAATAAACAGACAGACAGCCTTAATTTTTCACAGTTGTGTGAGAGAGAAAGGAACTGCACGTCATTGGTCAAAATGGGCTTTTCGATTTCCTCCTTTCTCTTATTTCAGTTTGCATCTCTCTCTCTCTCTCGCTCTTTTCATCTTCTACACACACAATATTATAATGTCGAGTGCTATACAACGATTCTTTGGCAAAAAGACGCCCGACGAGCTTGTAAGTAATATAATGGCAGAGAACTTGGAGACAGCTGACTGATGACATGGGATAAAAGGTAAAGAAATGGCGACAAGAAATACGCGGACAACAGAGAGGTATCGACAGACAAATACGAGCTATTGACGCCGAAGAAGCCAAAGTAAAGAGATCGATCAAACAAGTAGCGAAAAAGGGAGACGTCAAGAACTGCAAAATGCTGGCAAAAGAGTTGATACGTTCACAAAGGCACAAGAACAGATTATATACAAGTAAAGCACAAATGAACTCTATCATCATGCAGTTGGAACACCAACTAGGTAACATGCCACTCCTTGGATACACAGTTAGAGAGGCTCACATTGTTTGCTTCTAGCTACGCTCAAGGTTGCTGGATCACTTCAAAAGAGTGGTGAGGTGATGAAATTGGTGAATCAATTAGCCAGGTTACCAGAGATATCGCAAACCATGCAACAAATGTCCATGGAAATGACAAAGGTAAGCGGCTTTCTTGAGTTTTGGATTTACAAAATCCTCATGCAACAAACCCCCCCCCCAGGCTGGCATTATGGAAGAAATGATTGGCGATACAATGGATATGATGGATGACGATGATATCGAAGAAGCAGCTGATGAAGAGGTGAATAATGTCTTGTTTCAAATCACAGATGGCATGTTGGGTGAAGCTGGATCTGTGGGTTCTGCATTGGAATCTAAACCCATGGTGACAGAGGATGAGGAAGAGGAGGATGAAGAGGAAGGCCCTGAATTAGACATGATGCAAAAACGGTTACAGGTAAGTGATGAATTTGCAGTAACGCACTGAGGTATTCATACGTATGTGTCATAGGCATTGAAGGGATAATTCTCTTCACTTTTTCTTTTTCCATCGTTCACTATGATAACTCTAATAAATTTTGAAAAGATATGCTATAGACGATATGAAGCGATATCCCGCAAATGGCATTCGGTGGTCTATTTTATTTTGGGAGGGGGATGATGGAGTAATATGCAGAGGATTGGCCTCATATTAGTTTTTCTGAAAGATATAGACAATTTTCAACTTTGATATACGAGTTGCTAGTCAACGCAACCCAAGTATTTCGAATCTGCAGTGATGAGGACAGTGCTGCATTTCGCGATGCATTTCGCATTTAAATGAGTCATTACCCACTGATACATGTATAAGATATGAAGCGTTAAGCCTTGCATCGCAAATTAAATAGTCTAGGATGCAGTGCTTCTCGCTTTGTAGTAATTCCGTTCTTATTAGCTTTATAAAGATTGATTGCCTTCATGGTTTATAAGGCATTGATCTTGTCAGCCAGCCAGCCAGCCGCCAGCGCCAAACCCGGCTAAAGTTCCGCTCGATATTCTGCCTCTATTCGTTGATTTTTGAAGTTTTTGGACATCATTCGACCTATTTTGTCAGGTTCGACTATATAAAGTGTGTTGATCTTCCTATACCTCCTTAAGCTAGCCCGTGGTGGTAGGGCGAAGTGGTTAAGCATCCAGCATGCCATCTGGATGATCCTGGTTCAAATCCCAGTGAATGCATTTTGATTAATTATTTACGGTCGTATTGATGTCCTCGTTTGGTGAATGTTCTCTTATCCAGTATCTCTGTATGACAACTTAGCATGATTGTATTGGCTCTAAGTGCCGCACCTTATTTGTAGTAGATTTCTTTTCCAACTTCCTTTCCATAATTTATTCCTCATCATGACTGACATTGGGTCCACCAACAGTCCTTTCTATCACTCAGCATGACATTTAAAGAACTTTAAATAAAACCTGGAGCTCGTCTCCCCTACAAAAAAAAGAAATACTTCCTAAAGCTTTCTTGGAGTACTTTTTAAGGCGCATCCAATGGTGCTAAATACAAGAGGGGTTTTGAACAAGGCTATTAAGCAATGCTTGAGGATATGAAATGACATTTACGGTCAAAATGTCGAAATTTTACATATCAACGTTGCACAAAAGTAGTTTCAGAGGTTGCTTTGGATCTGTAGAAACATTTTGATTCAATATGTATTATAGTGAAAGTCTTCATTTTTTGGGGTCAAAAACGCGATCGTTTGATTTTCAATGAAAACCATGAGGTACTTGTTTTTTTTTTTCATTGATTGCTCCGTATAAGTAGGTCCCTAGGGCACTACCAAGAGGCGGGCGCAATTGATATAATATTCAATTATATTTAGGATAAAGCGATAGATGACAGGAACAGATGATAGATGACAATTGTGATTAGAGAATTACAATTGTTTGTGAATTTCAGTTTGGGCAACCATGAGGTACCCCTCATGGTTTGGAGTCAATTTTCGACAATGATTTTTTGGTCCAAAAAAAGTTGAGCAAAGGTATCAGTAAGTACGTGCTACTCGAAAGCAATCATATGGTGCTATTCTGGAGGTCTAAAACAACTTCTAACACGAGAAATCACGGAACAAATGCACCTAGAATTCGCTGTGATTTGCATTCATTTGAATAATAAGAGGTAATGCGTGTGTGCTGCTGTCCTTGAATGATTTCGACAGTTACAGACGCAAACCATCGCAGAGAAGTCAGAACCATAAGTCTTGCTACATACTGGTAGGATTATGTAATAGGAATATATAATAGGAGGATTAAATAATGCCCTTGTGGCACTTTTTCCGGTTGATACATTTTGATCTTTACCATGTACAGGTGCCATAGTGTGGGAAATGTAGATAGTATGCTTTCTCATGTAGAATCAGGCAAAATATACGATATCCAAGCAAGGGAAGATGTGTTTAGAGACGGACATACTATATAACCATCTTGAAGCAAGTAAGCATTTGATTTAAATCTAGACAATCACTCCAGGCACATCTTTTCATCTTGCACCTTCAATTTGATCTTTAATTGTGTACTCAGAATCCAAACAAAGTGTAGGCCAATCGTTGAATTCGGACAAAAGGAAAAAAGATCAAAATTTAATGCAACCAAGTGAGTATATAATGACTGACGCGAAATCCTAATCTCTGTTTTTCTCTTTCATTTCTTAGTAACAAATAAAAGCATACAATAATGGCTCTCAACAGAAAGATTAGTAAGTAAACAGAACCCCCCCTTTCTCCTCCTCTCACTTCACTCTCAGCTATTTAACACAAATACATTGTAGCTTTAAACACTGGCGCTGAAATGCCTCTCGTCGGTCTCGGTACCTGGCTATCCAAGCCTGATGAAGTAAGAAAGGCTGTTAAGTATGCTCTTGAAACCGGCTATCGTCATTTGGATTGCGCCTATGTCTACCGTAATGAAGATGAGGTGGGTCAAGGTATCCGTGAATCCGGTGTGCCTAGAAGTGAGATTTTTGTCACATCCAAGGTAGGTAAATAGTAATTGATATCAAGAATAGTGTTGTCTCATTGCCTTGTAACTAGCTCTGGAACACACATCACCGCAAGGAATATGTTAAGTCAGCTGTAAAGGCATCTCTTGAAGCATTGGGTCTCGACTATCTCGATCTTTACTTAATTCATTGGCCCGTGTCCTTTATTGTAAGTCTGGGGGTCAAATGTGTATGTGGCATCACCAGTTGATTGATATTTTGTGCATTGATAGAACACTGGCAAGCCTGAAGATACTCCTGTTGTACCTACCATGGATTACTTGATCCCTAAGAAGCAAGTGCTAAACTAGTTAATGGTCCTAACCAATTCGTCTAACTCTATTATATCTATATGTAGAGATGGCGTCGTTCAAATCGAGGAAGTAGATCCTATAGAGACTTGGAGGGCCATGGAAGAGCTCGTTGAACAGGGGCTTGTCAAGGCTATTGGTCTCTCCAATTTCAACATTCAAAGGATCCAGCACATATTAGATCACTGCAAGATCAAGCCAGCACAGCTCCAAGTCGAATTACATCCTGGATTGCAGCAACCCGAGTTGGTAGACTTTTGTCACAAGCACGGCATTCATGTCACTGCTTACTCGCCTCTTGGTAACAATGTATATGGCGAAGAGCGTATTGTGGATGACCCCATCATTGTCAATGTCGCTAAAAAGCTCAACAAATCCCCTGCACAGGTGTGCATTGCATTTGCCGCTCAACGAGGCATCGTAGTGATCCCCAAGAGTGTCACTGAATCACGTATCAAGGAAAACTTTCAGGACTTTGAGCTTTCCAAGGAAGATTTTGATGCAGTTGCTAGTTTGGGATCTAGAAATATTCGTTACAATGATCCTGGTGTCAAGGATTGGAACTGCTCCATCTTTTAGATCTAATCGGACAATCGTTTATGCGTTAAACAATAAAAAACATGGAATGTAACCATAAACGCTTAATTTTCGTGTCATTCTCAAACACATGAATGCGTATTGTTTACGTTAGGTTGTGCTCAGATGTCTAAAACCCCCCCCCCCTTTTGATTTTTAATTTTAAAAATAATCTAGAAATCAGATTATTCACCCCCTTCTTTCCCTCTTTTCTTTCTTTATTTTACAACATTGATTTGACTCAAAAATTTATGAGTGTATTGGACTATATCGGTGCTGCTGTGGAGAAATGCTCCTACAATTTCAGGCCTGGAAATGAGACTGATTTCGCAGATTCTTTGGGTGGCTCATGGTAAGATTGTGTTATGAAATGAAGAAAGATGGCATTCTAAAGTCAATGGCAACAAGGTATGTGTCTCCCGTAGCACATGGTGTAGAGTTCTTGACGGTGGTTCCTTTTTACCTATTCATGACAGCTTATTTTGGATACAAAGCAGTGGTCAAAGAGTAAGTTGCCTTGAGATGGGGAGGCTTCAAGATGTGAGGAAACTGATTGTATGTACGAATCTCGCCAGCCAGCTTAATTACAACTTGCTAAAATCAGCGCGGAACCGACCTCCCAGATCACTGTTGGAGACGTTGTGTTTGATTCTCATGATCGCGTCATATGCAATAACAGTTATACACAAGATCGCTACAGGAACCAAGTACTTTCTATTACAGGTAACAAAAGAGTGGGTGGGATTGAGTATGTGATAGTCGATGACTTATATCACAGATAGCCTTGTCATGCAAGTGCTGTCATTTTGATTATTATCATGGCATGGCCAAATGACAGGCCACAGTTTACACCTCAACTGTTGTTCAACATTTACCTCCATACACTGTGGGGCTCTGTGCTGGCATTGGTGTTCCCAGACCTACGAGATCACGACATGCTGGGCGAAGTGTTTAACTTTTTCCTGGGTAAGCGTATCTGGACGATGGAGAGAAGGGGGTTGAGATACATACAGAAAACTCACATGGAGATATATACACATATATACAGAGCACGGGCTCATTCTCGTGCTTCCTTTTTACCTATTGACAACCAAACGCTATGTGGTTTTACCGCTGAATCTCGACATGGCACTGTTTAGCTTCTTTTTATATGCATCATACCACTCACCACTCCTTCATGCTGTGTCACTCTGGTCTGGCTACAATATCAACTACACCCTCGTTTCTCCTGCACGCAAGTATCTATAGAATAACACACACAGCATGTCCTAATTCTCATCACAGTTGGATTTCTCATTGTCATTGGCCATTGGTATCGATTTGTCATGTATGGATCTGCGTTTCTTCTCATGTTTATTACGAGATATGTAGCTGTGGAGCTCCTTGTCAAAACAGTCTTGAATGTAAGAGACTCTAAAAAGTCTGCTTAAAGAATACCTCCCATTTCCCCTGGAAGTTTCCCTTTTTTCTGCTTTGCAGTAGATATATATATATATATATATATATATATCTTGTTTGTTGTACCTTTTGCATTCATCTTTTTTTCTCTTTTATCATAAAAAAAAATGGAAACCACAAATAGTGATTTCAAATTATGGTCTCCACCTTTGCTGGATCTTTCATTAGACTCATTTTCAAATGATTTGTTTCAAGAGTTTGACAAGACAAGGTCGAGTATTCAAGATGGCAACACCAACGCTAATCAAATGCTCAAAGCTTCGTCGCCCATCTCGTCTTCACCAGCAACATTGTCCTCGCCTCCTAAAGAAGTCTCTTCTCTAGAACCACAGCAATTGCAGCAGCAACAGCAGTCTGAAGGGGAGGAGCAAGAAGGAGCAGAAGAAGCAGATACCTCGTCTGCTGCTAATCTGTTTCGCAAGTCATCCACATTTCTCAAGAAAAAGCTGAGCACCAACAGCAGCCAGAGAAACAGCGCCGTCTCGACTGCTACTACCACCAACAATGGAGACGATCTATCCAGCATTGTTTCTCGCCAGTATCCACCCAAGCCATTGCAATACTCTCCCATCATTGAACCTCCATCTGATAAGACGAGCAGAAACAGCCGTGATAGCGCCAACGTACTTACAATTACTGAGGAGGAGATACTGGAGCAGGAAGAGGAGGCATCCCAGGCAGGTGATGCAAGTATTCATCATGATGATCACGACGACAAGAAGGTAGTTACTGCTACCACAAGCCCTGCACCTAGCTCTCCTTCCACCATCTACACAACTGCTTCACCTCCCCTGGTTGAAACAACAGCACCATTGGAAAGATCCATCACATCACATCAAACAGCAGCAGCAGCAGCACCCGTTACCAATGCAACAACCACTCATAAAGCATCTACACCCGCTATAAACACTACTACCGCAACAACAACGCATACACCTAAAAGACGATCCTTCTTTTCCTTGCGGTTCTGCTAGGCCAAGAAGAAACTCTATTTTTACATTGCATATCTGTATGCTTGGACTGGATACGGGATGCCACTAAGGAAAGAAAGGGGGAAACAATTACAAGGGATTCAAATCCATCGTCATCTAGTCAGCAAGAAAGACTCTAGTAATGAATGAGCATCCCTTGATTCTATTTAATAATTTAATCATTCACAATAAAGCATATATTTAATCATCATCAAACACTGGATGTTTGTATAATGCGTGCTCAAAAGAGGGTATCCAGGTCAAGGCAGTAGTCCAATTTCGAGTTTCGGAATTTCGTGTTTTATGAGACCCGTTTTATAAACCTAGACGTGCTTTAGGAACACTCTCGCTCTTTTTTTTTTTTTTTAATTACTTGAATACACACAAAAATGGCACCACCCACTTGTGGAAATCCTCTACTACAGCAATGGATGAAAGAAGAGATGCTCAGAACACAAGCAACGAGTAGCAAAATGTATTATACCTATAAAAAAGTATGAGCATGTCATGTTGAGGATGGCGTAGTGTGATTGACACATTGAATCACTGTAGGCCTATGAATCACTGACCAAATGTCCTATTGTATTTGAGCATCCATATCAAGCTGTCCAGCTGGAAGGCATTGGACCCAAGATTGTAGATATGCTCACTGATAAGATGAAGGCCTACTGCGAAGAACATGGTTTACCAATGCCACCAGCCCCAAGCAAAGGTAAGCAGCACTACCACACACACACACACACACACACACATATATATATATATATACACACACACGCTGATTTGATCTATTCTCGGTGCTGCAATCAGCGAAACGAAAACGACCACCGCCCAGCATGACCGACGACGACGACAACATTCAACTAGATGAGAATGGCGTGCCTATCCCATTTCGACCCAAGAAGAGAACCAAGGCTTATGTGCCTCAATACAGAACAGGCGGCTACGGCATTTTATTGGCCTTGCTGGATCTTCATGATTACGGTAGATGCAATGCCACACAACAGCAAATTGTGCGACTCGCTCAGGATCATTGCGATGCATCTTACAGTCTAGCAGAACCGGGAAAAAACTATACAGCGTGGAACAGCATGAAGAATTTAGTGAACAAGGGATATGTCTATAAAAATGGATCCCCCACGAAATACCAGCTGACAGAGACAGGCGTTGAGTTGGCACAAAAGTTAAAAGAGATCAATGAGAGTAGAGGAGGTGGCCGTGGAAGCGGAAGCGGAAGTGCTAGTACGAGTACATCAGCTACAGCGCCGAGATCCAGACCAGCAACGTTACCCACATCTTCTGGAGCATCATTTGCAGCAGCGATAGGCAGTGGCAGTGAGGATGATGATATTGGCATTGACATGAGTCATTATGTGCTGAATCCAGAACGCTATTCTTCCATCTCCATTAACGGCCGCACATCCACAGCGTCGTCTTCCAGTAATCCTTCCACAGCGAGATCTCGAAACAACCGTAGTCAATTTGACAGTAATGATGATCTTGGTGATTTGAGTGGTATTGATTGGGATGCAATTGATCGACAAGAGAAAGAGCAGCAGCAACGACAACAACAGCTCAGACAGGAATCTCTACCGCGACCTTCTACATCCTCTTCCAGAGCAGATATTTTGGAGGCACTAGCCATCAACGAGAGTGCGAGTGGCAGTGGTAGAAGAAGACCTATCAGTAGCAGACCAAAGAAACCCAAGGGCGGAAGAACCACAGCATCCATCTTTGAGAGTTTATTGGATACCATGGGCAGTGAAGAGGATCTCACTCGACCTGATATGAGTCTGTATGTCATGGACCCAAGTCAACATCAAACCATCTGCTTGAACGGCATCACTGCTACCAACGCATCATCATCATCTCCCAGCAATCGCAGTAACGGCAGTAGTAGTAGGCCATCAGGCAATATACCCACTAGACCCACATCCACCGCTGCTACCTCTTCTGTAACCAATGCGAGCTCATCTTCTTTTGCCAGACGAGTCATGAACCAAGTCGACGACGACGATATACTAGTACGCCCTCGTAAATACAAGACACCTGCTACATCGACTATCCTAATGAATGATACAGCAGCTAGGAACAAGCAAAAACGACAGTACAATGTAGACGACTACGAGATGGATCTCACTACAGGCGTAGCCTCACTGCCTGAACTCAACTCGACACAATTGGCTCAACCATCGTCTGCTGATATTGTGGATTTGCTATCATCGCCAGAGACATCACCTCGCTTGCACCATCATCAAGGCAGTAATAATGCGGAGGAGCCCACGTTTGACGGCCAATTCGATCTAGATCAAGATTATTTCCCCATGTCTCAGTTACGCAATAGACAAATAGCAGACGACACGTTTCATTTCACTTATTTGGATACAGATAAACAGCCGCAGCGACATTTAGCGAAAGCAGCTGTGGATATCGATGATGTGAATGGCGGATTGGCTTATCTTGTCAAATACCAGACCAAGCAAGGCAGTCATCCCAAGGCGAAGTGTCTGGTCAAGAGAAAGGTGGAAGGTGATTTCACATTAGCGTATCTACCGGAAATGCATAGCGAAACTGTGTGTCCTGGCTTGCCTGCAACACCTATTCTGCCGCTACATCGAGAAGAAGAAGATTTATTTTGGCCAGCATCAACTCGTACGACTAGTAGCAGCACACCTGTAAGAAACAAGACTTCCACTGCTGCCCTTTCTGCTGCTTCTCCTTCGCCTTCCTTTGTCAGTGACAGTCAGCCCATGTTCCCTCTGCCCTCATCACAAAACGACATTGTATCGCAACCGTTTTTCCCCTCGCAACAACCAAAGAAACTGGATTTTGATGCCATTGTTGCCAGAGAACCCATCACAGAGACACTGCGACCTGGAGAGTACGAAATTGTGCTTGTAGTGGACAGTCGAGAGATTCAAATGAAGCAGAACCGCACCTACTTTCAAGACAGTTTAACAGCAAAAGGCGTGCCTTGTATCACACGTTCCATGGACCTGGGCGATGTGATTTGGATTGCACGACCCATTGGCAGCACCAACCAAGCAGAAGAGCTATTTCTGGACTACATTTTAGAGCGCAAACGTCTGGATGATCTGGTCTCCAGTATCAAGGACGGTCGATTCATTGAGCAAAAGACACGGCTCAAGCGATCAGGCGCCAATAAGGTGATTTACGTGGTGGAGAATTACAATCGAGAAGAAGCAGAACGCTTTGGTATGCAGGCAGTCCAAACCGCCATGTCTTCCACCCAGATCATTGACGGCATCTTTTTAAAGCGCACCAACACAATTGATGAAACAGTGGATTACTTGGTCTCGGCTACCAAACTGGTGAAGCGCTTGTACCAAGGACATACATTGCATGCTATTCCGGGTCATGTCATCACACGACAAAACTACCTCGATCTAAAGCAAGCGTACAGCAAGAAGGCGGGTGACAAAGAAGCCTATTTGGTGAGTTATCCTCTGTTTGGTCAATTGAATACAAAGCATGGATCCACCAGCGTGCATGAAGTGTACTTGAGAATGCTTATGACCATTCGTGGTGTCAATGCGGAAAAAGCACTATCGCTAATGAAGGTCTATCCTACACCGAAGTCGCTTTTGGTGGCATTTCAGAGCAAATCCCCTGAAGAGGCAAAGAATTTGGCCAAGGTAGCGACTCAGGAACACATCAATCGACGACGATGGGGCGCCAAGATCAGTGAGAGTTTGTATAATATATGGGGAGCCACGTCGTATCCTGGAAGCGATGACGAAGAACAGCATGAGTAGTTGTATGAAGATTGAGAAATAAAATTTGTTTTGATACCATCTCAAATATCAACTTTGCCCTGTGGATCGCTCACAGTAGCTCTGAAAGGCAATCTGGATGCCGCATGTTGTGCTTGGTGGATGTTTGTCTGGCGGTGTGATGATAAAGTGACGCATTTTAAGCTGTTGAACAAAAAATTTGTTCTTTTTCTTTTTCCATTTGTTTCTATATCTTCTTCCCTAACAAAATGAGTGAATCCAAGGAACATACTGCTCAAGATGATGTGATAGACAGCAAGGAGCAAGAAAAAGAATCAACTGAGACAACACAAGACGACAAGACAGAGCAACAACAGCCCACATGGACACCTGTTTGGGACGATAATGCACAAGCTTATTACTGGTGGAATACAGAGACAAACGAAACCACATGGATCAACCCTGATGCCTCAGCAGAGGAAGTCGCAGCAGCACAAGCGCAAGCAGCCTCAACAGCAACAGCAGCCAACAGCAACCCTTTAGATTTCTTACTGGATAGAATAGATAATGTTGTAAAGAAGAAATTAGATGGATTAGACGAGAGTACAACGACAGGCTCAAGTATACCTGCCGACAATAACACAGCAGCAGCTTACTATGACAGCAGCAACAGCTACGCTACATCTTATGACGGTTATCCTGCTGCAGCTGATCCCAGTGCTTCCAACAGTGCTGATTTATACACATCCCAAGCTCATTTTAATGCAAGAACAGGAAAATTCGCTACACAAGCAGACGTCAATCGCTTAAATCCAGAAATGCTTTCAATAGAAGCCCGTGCTAAAAGACAAATGCAGAACTACTTTGATGTGGACAGCTATACAGAACAACGAAATGCTCAAATACACAATGCGGAAAGTGGTAGAATCAACAAGAAAAGGCCATTGACACGCAAAGAAGTCGAATACTTTAAGAGGATGAAGAAGGAAAAGAAATCAAAAAGAGCCAGAGAATGGTTAATGCAGTAAATTTCATTTGAAATAAACAGTGCTTCTTTTTTATTGTACCGCGGTATGGATGGTTAGGATCACATTCTGGATACAGTCGTTTGGACAAGACATAAGTATGATATTTCTGTCTGGCAACTTTTAATTGACCATGCTTACAAGACTATATAAAGCATTGTAAGATCCTGCTGTGATATTTTATATCTTTTTCTCATTTCTCTTGCAAACCTTCAGTCATTATTCGGACTTCACGTTTGCAACTAACATGGATCGAGCAATTGATCACATCCCACGTAAAGTGTTTTGCTTTAATATCAAAAGAAGCAACATTTATCCATTTTGCTTTGAGGTTGGATGCTACTAAGAAATGAATGCCTACTGTGTCACTCTCTTGTCAATGGTGCAACCAATGCTGATTAAAATAGAAACTGGTGGCAATTACATCAAATCCATTGTTAATAAGCTTACCAGCAACATAGCGCATCAAAATTTGCATGAATCAGCTCTACCAAAATCAATATACCTCCTATTCAAATTAAAAATTGCTCAACAAACTACAGAACTGCCTTTCCAGTAAATTGCAGCTGCCAAAGATGTGATTTATGCCATGTAAATACACTCTATAAAGCAATACATAACCACATTTGAAAGCTTCCAAGCCTTCATATCTTGATGTGTAGACCTCTATGAGTCATCGGAATGACGCCAAACAATTGTACTTGAGTAGCAGTAACTTCCTGACACCTTTGCTCAACTTTTTGGGCCAAAAAAAAACATGGCCAAAAATCGACCCAAAAGCATGAGGGATACCTCATAGTTTTCTTCGAAAATCAAACGATCGCGTTTTTCACCTAGAAAATGAAGACTTTTACTATGGTATGTATTAATTCAAAATGTTTCTCTCGATCCAAAGCAACCTCTGAAACCACTTTTATGAGGCTTTCATATGCAAAACATGGCTATTTTGGCTATAAACCTCATTTCAAATTATATTGAATTGCTCAATAAGTTTAGTCAAAGTATTTATTACAATTAGTACTACTGGAAGCGCCTTGAAAAGTGCTTCAAGAATGTATTAAGAAGCGTAGGGTGATAAGCACAATTTATATAGTCGAATATCACAAAGTAGATTGCAGAAGTCGCAAAAAACACAATCTGTCCAATCTTGAACAGAAAAAATAAACTGAGTTTGGATCAATTTTGGCGGCGGCATTGCTGCTGGCTGACCTTTATGCCTTTCTGTTGATGACAATGATGATTGCGATGCTGATTAAATGGGGATCATGGAATTGAAAGGACAATTGCTTAGCGCAAATACTTTTTTTTTGGGGGAGCTTTGCCTCATGAAGGTGCCTTTTGCAATGACAATATCTCAAAAAAGGTCATCGAGCGTAGCGAGATAGATCGACTAGTAACAAATATACTAATAAACCTATTATTGTCTTTCACCATGGCCATTGTTGCAGTATCTGCAGCCATTCTAGCAGCGTTCTGCTCATGCTATCTTGACATGGCAAGCAATTGATGATCATACAGACACAATTGTAGATAAAATGGCCAAGTTCATAGATTGCCCGATCACATAAATGCAGCCCTTTTGTCATTTTTTGTCTTGTACCCTCATTTGCTTAGACCTTTGTCATTGATTTGATACTTGGATCATGCGTACTGCCGATTAGTGGTATTGGCTGTTGACAGCTACAACATCTTCTTGATTACTCAGCTTTATATACAAAACTCTCGAAGCGTTCGCTATATTCTGCTTGGAGTGATATTCAGCACCCAAATTATGATATCATTTGAATCATGATGTGCGCAATAACAAAGCTGTGGTAATGCCCTTAGATTCACATTAAAACATTACAAGTTGATAGCTTTTTATTTTTTTGAAGGAGGACCTGCATCGTATTTCGATTTCCAAATCCAACTATTGCCCATGATACCTTGGCCTTGCTTGTCTGCTTTTCGATAATACTTTGCGGCCATAAATAAGTCTTTCTTGACACCGTGGCCATGATAATAGCAGTGACCAAGATCATTTTGCGCATCGGCGTCATTCAGATCAGCAGCAATCTTAAAGTAATATACAGCTGTTTCCTTGTTCTTTTTACACTAACGCATAGGGTTAATACAACTCTCTCTCTCTTTCTCTCAATTTATGGAAATAGACTTACTCCCCAGCCATGCCGGAAAGACACACCAAGCTCATAGATGGCCATGATCAATTCACCTTTGGAAGCAGAAGCATTGACAGCATTTGAAAAATTGTTAAGATCTTCAACGGCATGCTCAGCTGCTTTTTGAAGGTATTGAAATGCTAAATGTTCGTTTCTTTTACAGCCCTGCAACTCAGATGTAAGCTACTGATTCTATATCCATGATGACAACTACACGTACCCAGCCATGACGAAGCGACACGCCATACAGGAACATAGCAATAGGTAAATTCAAGATGGAAGCCTGCTTAAACATGTCTGTAGCCTGCTCCAACTTGCCAGCTTCGTGGAATTTGATACCTTCGTGAACAAGACGCTCAGCTTCATTTTCGGGTTGCATGGACAGCTTTTTGGTGGTAGTTATTGCTCTCTTGAGACTATTGTTGGCTGATGGTGAATGTGGGCCTAATGGAGAGGGAAGCGTAGTGTGAGGTAAGAGTGTATTAGGTGAAGGTGTGCTAGGTGAATAGAATGGTGACAGGCCCATGGGTGAATTGGCGCTTCTAGATGAACCTGGTGTGCTGAGACCGCCTGGTGTAGATAATGTGGTGCTTGTGTTGGGTGAGTTTTGTTGCATGGATGAAGTGCGAGTGGGGGTTGTTGCCATAAAGTGAGTGCTGTTTGGTGAAGAAGAAGAGCGTATGGGAGTGGGTGGAATCACCAGAGGGGTAAGAGGTGGTTTGGGTAGTCTGTTTGAACTAGTAGAAGCGCTTGGCTTCATTGTGATATTTTGGCTGTTGTTGTTGTTGCTATTGTTGCCATTGACCTTTTTGTTGAGTGGTACAGGCTGTAAACTAAAACTGTTGGTTTGCTCGTAGACAGCCACTGAGGGCTGAGGCACTTCCACATAGGCGTGCTGAACTTGTATAGGAGAGGATGAATTAACTATATGCTGTACATTGGATTTTACAGATTTCGGTTGGCTAATCACAGTTTGGATTTGGGGATCTTGTTGATGATGTTGCTGATCTTGATGGAAATAGTTCATTCGAGTGTCATTCATGGTAGACATGGCAACAGGAGCAGCAACAGCAGCAGGCACAGAGGGAACAGCAGGCAGAGGGAGAGGAATGTTATGCACATAATAGTCTTCAATGGCAGGATCAATGACAAATGTTGACATGTTGGGTTCTATGTACGTTTCTCGAGCTGAGTAGCCATGCTGACCTGCTGGATCAATGAGAGATTCGCGATCATGGTAAAGTTGTTTTTGATTCGTTTTCAACTGCGGTTGTGATTGCTGTAAGGATGATGTTCTTGCAGGCTAGGGTATGTAAGTATATATGGACTGTATGTGAGCCTCTAAACCAACTTACTTGTCTCCAATTGTCATTGTTATTTGTCTGTCGATATTATAAATAAATTAGAATTATATTGATTGGTACGACTTGAGAAAACTTACATGATGATTTGGAGCTGTTGCTGGAGATGGTGCTGGCACTTTTCTTTGAGCAGTGTTTGTATGTGAATACGGTTGCAAATCAGGCTATTTTATGAATTTTCTTACCTGGAATTTGGCGTTATATATTGAAATGAGTAGTTGTGTTCATCGTGATAACCGGGTGTATGGTATTGATTCGTGTTGAACATGAAAGGAAAGGAAATGAGAGGAGAGGAGAGGAGGGAAAAGCGTAAAAAATGAGAGTGATGATAGAGAAAGAAAGAATAAAGAGATCTACACACAATGATCTTTGTACAAAATGCAGGATGAAATTGCACACACTCTCTTTTTTCTGAATGAGAAAAAAAAAGGGGAAACAGATTCATACTCTTTATGGCCACTGTAACGTGCTCTCAAACACCATTTCAGGATAACTTGGTATCACACACATAATTGTGTGCTGTTTAGTTTGAAAAAGACATCAGCGCATGCTGAATGCTGGATGTTCAATATTGATGAACATCTGCATGCATCTGGAGAGTAACCGAGCATGATCCGAATTTAAGAGTGGCGGGAGCATGCTACATACAAACAAGGGCTATACGAGTCGAAAGGGGGCCACTACATATCTCTATTCAGAGAAAGGAGGGAAGAGATGGTTAAAAATAGACTGAATTGAAGATAAATTTGACATGTGTGATACACTGTTTTTCATATATATACATGCCACTAAAAATACAGGTGGTTCTTATTGGAAATAAGCATTTGGGCTGAAGCTTCTCTTCAATCATAGGTTCTATTCTTGATTACACCAAACCGCAACATCAATCAAGAGCACTATCATATAGCACGCATAGACGCAAGTAGAATTGTGTGCAGTCTTACGTAAATTTGATACTGGAGTATTTTTGATGGCTGCAATTGGCAACTGCTTCCGATTTCTCAACTCTAGGCACACATTTCACTGTAAAGGCACTATGAATCCGAGTGGCAGAATAGCTCTGCTTCTCTACCAAGAGGATAGCACGAACTGTCATGACAAACGCTCTTGACATTTGGGATACCAGATGGCAGTAGTTTCTTGGGAATCTTCTATCTCTACTTGCTTGAGCGTAAAGCATAATTATTTATCTGCTTCCTGAAACTAAAGTGGTTTCAAAACGGTTGGCATTTCCGATCTACCTCTTGGAGAAGCTCCATCTATATGATAAGCTGTGACGAACGATGAAGAGCAATTTCTAATCTCACACTAAACAATGGTTTCATGTAAATCGATCAAAAGAGCAATGCATGTCCATAACCGTGATACCGAGGAAAGATTCTTCTGGTTAGTAAATTGGGGCTATGAAACCTTGGATGAAATGTCTCAAGAAACATGTGAGAGTTTTCAATGCTCTGGAAGCTAGTCAATGAAATGTCTTTATGCAGAAGAAACTTGGCTAATGGCGGTAGACGGATGCACACGAGTGCTCACCACACCAAGACATGTTGATGTACAAAGGTAAAGATATAAGGTTTTGCTTTATTACAAGTGTGTGTATGATGTTGGGAGAGGTGACAAATGGGTATGTGGTAATTTTTGGTATATAGTATATATTACATTATTCGGTAAATCCATGCGTCAAATGAATAATATCATCAACATTTTCAATCAATAGAACATTGGCCTCCGTCTCTGGTAAGGTAGGCAAGCATTCTGGAATACTAGTGGCGAGAGTCAATGAGGTCATAGGCACGCTGCTAAATGGTGTTACTGACGAAGATCCGTCAGTCATTGTGATGTCCGTGGCATCTGTGCCGACATGAGTTTCCATGACAACAAGAGGTTTTCTTCCCCAGCCCATGTAGTAGTTGAAGAAGGAGCGGTAGATTCTGCTTTCATGGATGACTTCATCAATCCTTTCGTCGCATTCGTGAGACGACAGGTCGTAAGCTTCCATAAAGAATTTTTTGTAGCTTCGGATAGCATCACAAATGCTGTTCTCAACAGAAACTGCAATGGGGCCCTCAACACCAAAGCCAACGGACACCTTTTGATGGTAAATATCGGTCAGTTCACCTTGAGAAGCAAGAACTTCGCAGATATGAGGCGTCCAAGTAACATCCACGGCATTCAGTTGAGCCATTCGCACCGCAAAATCAGAAAATACTTTCTCGGCGATTGGTCCTGGATGCTTTATGGTAGGATCAATGTCTCTGATTTCAACATAGCCACCAGGCTTGAGCACTCGATTGATTTCAGCGAGGACAAACTAAATTAGTGCGTTAAAGATAGAGCTAAGTCTCATAGGCTTACAAGTGCTTACCTTGAGGTCGACAGTAGAAAAGCAGTTGTACACGAGTCGCATGTGAATATACTCGAAATATTCATCAGGGTATGGAAAGCCATTCTTGTCGAGCAGATCATGCTGTTGAAATGTTGTATTTGGAGGCTTGATGCAGTTGGGAAAGATACAGGCAGCATCAATACCGTAAAACTCACTGTGGGGATACTCTGTGGCCATTTCAAGCACCCAAACACCTGATCCGCAGGCGACATCCAGCACTCTGGTAGGTGTTGACCAGTCATGTTTGACGGAAGATGCCGGACAAGTCGAAGTGACAGATGGTTCTACAGAGTTGTCTCTTGTAATTGTGGAGTTAACAGGTGTTGGATTAGCTAGACCTCGTGCAACTGATATTGATCTAGATAGAATATCATGCACTGGAGCCGAAAAGTTGTCACCAAAGCAATGTTTGAGAACATAATGCTGCAGTATATAATTAGATTAAACATGCTTATACGATGTATATGTAAAGATAGTTACTGTATTCGTGAGACGGTCTTGCTCTGTTTCGTCAATAGGCAGACAGTATTTCGTTGTCGACGAGGATATGTTGCTACATGAATTGAGCATTGTGCTGTCAAAACATCCTGCAGGCGCCGAAATTGATCGTCTTGGTGTAGACCGATGAGACGTTGATGTTACATCCAATGTGGATGATGATCTACCCAAGATTTTACTGACACATTCTTTGACATCTCCGATTACTGATGCAGGCCGAGATGTTGTTCTCGATGAGCTGCGACTCAGGCCCGGTGTAGGTAATGTGGATGTAGTCGACACAGGCATTGGTGCTATATGTGTAGATTCCAAGGATACATGTCTAGTGATGCTGTTTTTATGATTTTCACTTGATGGACTATTCCCCATATTAAAAGTACATGTAAAAAGTGATAATAAGGGAGAAAAGAGAAAAAGAATTATATAGGAGAATGTTACTCATATAAAAAAAAATGAGAAACATGACCCCCCCCCTCCTTGGTAATCTCATTTTGGTTCCTCTCTTGGTATCGCCCTTCCCCCCAATTTCCCTCATTGTCCTGACTTATTTTTTTTAAAACAGGTTTCTAAAGGGCAAGGTTTCAGGGCTGAAAGAAGCTCAGTAAACAGGACGGGCATCTTTTGTTTGAAATATAGCCAATCTCGATAAAAGCTAAAAGCCTAAAGGGCGAAGGTACTAAATGTCGATGCTCCCCCTTGAGAAAAAACTGGCCGTAGCATCTCTTTATACAGACAAAGGATCTACTCAGATGAAGATGGTCTTGTCATGAAAGTCATGCTGTATTACAGTATAGGTCGTGATTCGGACGGTTTATGGAACGGAACACTCTATTAAATTAAGCTTTTCTCCCAGTTATGCCAAATCATGGTTTTATTACTGTCTTTCATAATAGATGGGAATATATGAAACTCTTGAGTCAAGATAGAATTAAGGTTTGTGTAATCTGATGTAAGCATATCATCTAGCTTCTAGTTAGTTTGAAGAGACCTGCAAAGCAAAAGCATTGAAGCTTGACAACATTTCTATATGATACCAGTGTTTTAATAGATGGTACCACAATGAAACTGGACTTGACCCAGGTAGCTATGGAGTATTGCGAAAAAGAAATGGCACGACATTTTCAAACGAATCAAACATCAAATCAAAGTGATTTTCAGGCAGTGCTCTTTTAAGCGGGATGAGGCATTTTTATTCTAAATCAAGTAGGAGATATTTATGATTCCGCGATAAACAGACTCTGTATTTTATGTGTGTACAAGCCAAGCAAGTATTTTAGCACTGGCAACATGTTACCATGTATCAATTGAACTAGACACCCCCATTACATTCTAGGCCCTCGTTTATTTTCTGAAATTATCCAGAATCAAATGAACCTTTCACTACACTAAGAGTGCATTTGAAACAGTCTTGTAGAACAATAGTCAATGCTAGTTTGCCAAGTTGCATGTGTTTCTGCAATAAGCTTCAAGACCGTTAAAGTTACGAAGTAGCCCCTCTTGAAATATGCAACAGGGGCAGTAATCCTTCATTTGGTTAATCCACAGAAACAAAGTATTCGATATAGAATTTACCAAAATAGAAGGCACACATGTAAATAGTGCATATTTGTTCATCAGTCATTCATTACAAATCGTTTTAACCTGCAACACTCTTTCGTCACAATTGGACCCTATGGGATATTAATGGAAAAATAGGGCTCATTAAGTCATTATTTGATATTATCTATAGACATCTGTATACTACGATATCGCGCATCATTGTGCAGGTCAGGTTTATTCAAAAGCAAATCATTTTGATGTTTCATACAAATGTCAGACGTGCCCATGGGGATACAGCTTTTGATAGAGTAAATGTAATGTGAGATCGTATGCATAATCTGGACAAAAACCCAATAGTGAAGGAAACGAAATAGACACAACTCAAATGCTTAACATGACATTATTTCACTAATACGAGCCTTTCGACACTTCGGGTGGTTTCATGACCTACGCTTCGCTTCGGTGGAAATCAATCTACGTTCAAACGACTCACGCTGCCTCGGGCCTTTGGCTATTATCGCAAAATTAATATAGCTAAAATGTTAGAAGAACCCTGATTGTTGATGGATATAAAATCACTAATCATATGAGAGTTTATGCTTCGGATGGTTCTCTGCCTTCTCTTCGCCTCGGTGAGAACAGAACTGCACAGCGGCAGCTCGTGTTACTGATTGCTCTTGCATATTTTTTCAAACTACTGCTATTTTCGTTTTGACCTTCCACTTATACATGAAAAGCCTTTATATTATCTATCGATTTGACTCTTATGTGATGCTCTACATCCATATATAGGTAGCTACTTCATATACGGACAAGTAGCATACTGATATTATCTCTTTTTAGTCCTTGGTGTCCCTAATACAGCAAAATATGAGTGCATTTGAGCTGTGTTTTCTCGCGTTCAAGGCCGTTTTAGATTGTCAGAATAACACCAAACAGTTGCTATTGCCTAGCGGTAGCTTGCTGATACCTTTGCTCAACTTTTTGAGGACTAAAAAAAAAACATGGCCAAAAATTGACCAAAAAGCATGAGGGGTACCTCATGGTTTTCTTCGAAAATCAAACGATCGTGTTTCTCACCTTGAAAATGAAGACTTTTACTATGGTATATATTAATTCAAAACGTTTCTCTCGATTCAAAGCAACTTCTGAAACCACTTTTCTGAGGTTTTCATATACAAAATTTTGACGTTTTGGACAAAAACCTCTTTTCATATTTTTACAAATCATTCAATAAGTGTATTCAAAACATCTATATAACTTGGTACCATTGGAAGCGCCTTGAAAAGTACTCCAGGAAAGCTTAAGGAAGCATGGGGTGATTATCATACTTCACTTAGTCGAATCTGCAAAAATAGCTCGATCGAGTTCAGAATCATCAAAATTTGTCCAATCTGGAACAGACTATGATTCTAGGTTTGAATTAATTTTGGCTTGTGGGGCTAGCTGGAAAACTCAATACCCTTTAGAGTGATGCAGTAGTTTGGATTTCATATCCATGACCAAGTTTATTCAGTATAAAAATCATACAAATTCAACATAACTGAAATTTCCTGGGCAGCATTATAAAATCTCTTCCTCTAATTCCTCTGTAATCACATTTGAAACGACTGTAGATAGTGACGATGGTGCTCTTCTCTTTTTAGCATTGGCTTTCAGTATTTCCCATCTCTCCTTGTATCTATTCACCAGCACTTTTTGCTTCTCGTTTTGTAGCCTTAATTGCTTATTTTCCTCCTCCAAATCTCTCAAGCGAGAAGCTATACCTTGCTTTCAGTCAAGTTTGTCTCTTTTGACAGATGCTTTGCAAAAATACCTAAATCATGACTCCCATTGCCGTTCCCAATTGCCAATGGGGAGTGTCGAGATCCATGCATGATATTGGGCCCTGCTGCTCCTACTCCTCCTGCTATGAGCGACGCGGAGGCTCGCATAGAGGATTCGTGATGTGATTGCATAATTCTTTTTGCTTGCTTGTGGACATCGTCTCTGAATTGCAGCACACTGCTCTTGAGCATGTTGTTTTCTTCCGCCGACTTTTTTTTTCAAAAGAGGATGCAATCAGTTGCTGTAGGTATAATGTGGAAGCATGCGACTATTTACCATTTGCAATGACTTTAACCGTTTTTTTAGATGGGCTAATTGGACTCGTAACTTCTCGTTCTCTAGTTTACAACTATCTATAATGTTGGGAGCAGTGGCATCATTGATAGATAGTGATCCCATTTTCTTTTGAATTGTAGAGACCATGGATTCCTCTTTTGGATCTGTTACGATAAAATAAGAATCCATCATCGTGGCGTTTGTGTTGTGTGATTGCTGCAGAATGGTGGAACTTTGGTCTACATCTACTTCGTCTGGTATCGGGATATCGTTCTCATTTAAAGGTGCTGATGTGAATGCAACAGCTGGATTGCAGACGTTTTCTACAAGTTGGTTGACTGATTCAAAGAACTTGAGAAAATCGAGCTCTTGTCGTTCCTGTAAATCATAAAATAGGGCGTCAATGCATTTTTGCTTGGCTCGTTGATAAGAGGACATACAATGCTGGGTAATAAAGTGTACGATTCACCAATATCGCCGCTGTCAACGGTAGATGCATGGATGCCTGCTAATCTAGAGATAATACTGCTGCTGTTGCTCGTGGAAGCGTTTCCATACTCTTGTGATGAGTGATAATAATGCTGGTGTTGATGTTGTTGTGATGAAGATAGCGCATTACGAAGACCACCTCTGCTTCCAACCATTTGATGCATCCGGCTCTTTGCCGCTGCTTTTATCAGTCTTTGTGCTTTGCGATTCAACTCGTTTGCTTTCTTTTGGTGATTTGACGATAATAGCCTGAGTGTTTTTATGGCCTAGTTTTGTATATGTCAAGAGTGTATAGGCCTCTGATGAACAGGAATTACCTCGTCTTCAACAGAGTCGTGAATAGCAATCTCAAACTGCTCTAATACATGAGTATGCTGTTAGTGTATGTCATCTTGGGAGTGTCTAGATGACCATACCTGCTGCTTTCGTATGAGCTTCCGCTGCCTTTAACCAGTTTTCGTTGTCCTCATAATTCTCTGCCTCTACGACAAATCTGTGACCCTACCTCAATCTAGTTAAATACACAAAAGTACCATAGCATACGAATACTCACTGCGTTGATGGGAGCTTCGGAATCCATTAGCCTGTTCGAGTGAAATAAGAGATGTAGGGTAAGTTGAAAGGAAAAGAAAAAAAAAAAAAAAAAAAAAAAAGAAACTGCATTATCCTGATGTAAACGGATCTTTAAACCAATTGGCGGCTACACTTTTTTACTTCAGAGGTGATCATGCTCCTGGCATTGTGATGCATCATTTCCACAAGCAGCAAGAAAAGAATCAAGTATCATCGTTTATTGTAGCAAAATTCAAAACGTATTTGTCCAACTTGACGCTGTACCTATTTCACTTATTTGACAATCAACTGACTTTTCATCAAGTTTAGCCTTAATAAAAGAGCTCTGGATGATTTCTCAAAGTCATCACCTGCCAACAGAGAACGTTCAATGGCTTCACTGCGCTTTTCTTGCTTTTTGGTACAGAGAATCTTCAAATAGAGAGTGACAGAGTCAGTAAAAAGTAACATATGTCCAACCAAAGACAGCTGCATTTACCTTTTTATGACTATCAATGCGGGCAGAGATCTTGTTCTTTCTGATCAAAGTGATTAAATCATCCTCCAATACCTCCACACTGATATTAAACGCCTGTGCCATCCTGTTCATATCGATGATGGAGTAAGGTATACAGTACTGAACCATGGCTTTTTCACGCACAAGACGCAACAGGTTGTCCAAATGGGGCTCCAGATACATGTCCAATTTCAGCGTGTGTCTGTACTTTTCCAACAACTCAAAGCATGTGGCATATTTCGATTTATAAAAGCACTCGATTAGTTCCAACAAGGTGGGTTCCAAAACCAAGAAGTTTTTGAAATTGGTATTGTTGAGCACTTGTGTTTGTAATTGACGTCGGTCGAAAAAGATCAGAGCGCATAATCCACCGTAAATGGCGACATCGTTGGCAGACATGATGTCGTTGAAGGAGCTGACAGAATCAAATGAGACCTCCAAGAGCGCAGACGCAACTGAGCGATAGCGGTTGGGATATTCTGATCTGCCTAATAAGGATAAAGCTTGGCAGCATTTGAGTTTGCTCATGGTGTTGATTTTATCAGGTATATTGGGTGTGGATTCTGCTCGAGAGATGTATGTTTGGACGACATGAGAGTAGTTGCAGTCATCTAAGTAGACCTTTTTCGCCGAGTAAAACCCGTCAGAATACTGTGTGTGTACATTGGCTTGTTAACGGATAGCTTACCTTGATTGTATGAAAGCACATGTCCAACACATTTTGACTTGTCATGCAGTAATCTCTTGTACGCACATAGTTCTTCATGGCAGATGGAAGGTCGCCCTTGTTGTAAAAATAGTCGCCCAATTTGATATGGCACATGCGAATATCCTCCTTGGCGAGATTTGCTTTGGCCACTTTCAATTCATTCTCCAAACTATCTGCTAGTGATTTGTTCTCTCGTTGCACTTGATTGACCCAATCTTGGTCAATGGGCATTGTAGGCTGTCCTGTGCTGCGTAACACTTCATTCAGACACTCGACTGCATGTGTGTATTTAGCTGTGTTGCGTGTGTTTTGTTGAATGTCTTGAATGGCTGTCTTGTAGGCTTCAATGGCCAGACCTTGACAGTGCTTAGCAATGTACAAGCTTCTACTGATACGGGAATAGCCTTTGCTCAGACGTCAATACAAGGCATGGCGTGCGTCTCTGTATACAAAACATACCTTCGTAATTGTTGATATATGTTTCAAAGTCGAATCCTTCTGGTACGTCTACGCGTGTTTCCTCCATCGTTTTCGCTCCTTTTTGTTGTAAAACACAATAAAAAAAAAGAGAGACAAATGTGCTGTGGCCATTCAAATAGTGATGGCATTTCATTCAATCACTGCTCTCCCTATAAACACACTCATTGGTTGATGTAGATCACACTCGTCTCCTTAACATATCTGTCAAGGTAAGATTTGGTATAAAAAGAAAGCATGAATTCATGCTCATTCAAGGTGGATTGCAAACACTGATTATGCGCTATCTTGCTCTTTTCGTAGTACTGCTATTGTTCTCAAAATGCGTCCAATGTAGTATGTAGCAATGCTGTTCTTTCAAGCTTCAACAGACTGACCCATTGATATTTAGTTGCTTTTTCCACTCAATGCTGGGAAGAGCTCAATGGGTATGTAATAAACAAGTTTCCCAGCTAGAGCTCGTCTAGCTAATATGCGATAGTAAACAAAACATGTTCCGAGATGGTGTTTGCCAGCGGATCAATCAGATCAACGGCAGTGGATGGAGAACTCAAGAAGACGATGATTGGATCTACTACCCTCAGCAATACGGTACGTACAAAAGTCTATTCGAGAGCATGGCATGGCGCTTCTAATCACTCTCTCAATAGTCAACGTGTCACTGACTGTTGCCAAGGTCTCTGTTGCCCTCGTAGGAGGGTGTTGTGCACCCAACAGATACAAACCCACTGGATTTCTGTTTAAAGATGATGGCAGTACGTACTCCACCACTGGACACAAGATGGTCGCTATAGCAGATAGGCCATTGATTCAAAATATAACGGTGACTGGATGGTACATGAAGAAGTTTGTGGATGACTATGCCATGAACCTCACCCTCATCCCGTCCGTGCATCACCCGGATAAGCAATCCATCTTGTTTGAAATTGCAGCCTTTGATCGCGCCATGATGGTAAACTATCAGTTTTTTGATTACCAACACAAGCATATTGGCAACTACTCTAGCGGCGTATTGAGAAACGTAAAAACAGTGCCTGATATCACACTCCCAAGATACACCCGGTCCATTGTATGTACAACAGCAAGTAATGCTTTGATTTGCTATTTATCCCAATGCTTGTTTTAGGTGGTTGAGTTTTATGGTTCCAGAGCGGATCCCATGTGCTTTTCATATCTATATGCTGGTCTCTATGTGCATGGTCCTTCCACAACAGTGGTTAAAATATGCGCACAAGTAGCTTCTATACTGCAATATCTGTCATTGATCAATTTTGTCATTGTGCCAGTAGTGTTTGCAATCATGAGTTTACTGTCAGATTTCAGTTTTCCATCGCAAGTATATTGTACTTTGTTTTGACTTGGTACTAATAACTGACCCACTGCTCCTATAGCCCCATCCGCTTTCTTTGCAGAACGCCATCTCATAAGGTGCTCATGTGTATTGTCATTATGCTGGGTAAGTATATGCGAGGGTCATCGTGTACGCTAGTAGCTGTACCCTGATATAGATTCAAATATAGGATCATACATCTCCAATCAGGCTTGGAACTTGATCAACTCTCAATCAAGTATCTTTCATGAATGGCTTCCTCGAGCTGCTAAAATGGTAGGCAAGTATACAGCAACAACAAGGGATTGTTTCAACAACCTCACGGCTTCAATATGTATAGAGCTCTTTTTGTCATTTTTTCTATACGCTGTTTACTTTTATCCCGTCTTTCTCTGCTATCATGCCACCTACAGGTCTCGGCTAGCTAATTTTCTAGGTAAGCCTCTTCCTTTGGTTGTATATTATATAAACTCCATATCTGACTAGTATGCGTAGGTGCTTGGTCAACATGCACTCTGTTCGGGCTTCGGTTCTCTCTGGACCTTCCTTCCTACGTTGTTACCTACGCACGCAGTATCCCGTTTCTAACAATCAACTTGCTGGCTGCTGTACCCACCTTCATCGCCTATTGCATTGTGCTAGTATTCTTTGTAACCAGATGTGTTACATTTCAGCCTTGTACTGTGTGTTGTTTTGAGTTCCTGGAAGTGCAAGACATTGAGGAAAAGTATGTCAAAGTACTGATGGCTGTAAGACGCAAAAAGAAAACAGCTACTATCCAAAACACCTCTTTGGTGGGTCTTGTATGGCTTGTTCTCAACGAGAGATTATGGCAAAGACTAGATTGGAAGCTGATCATGAAGCGCATGCGTACTCGCAAATTCATGAAAATTTGCATTCGAAAGCTGTTTGGTATCCATGAACATGTTCGCATCCCTTTTGCCATCAAAACTTCGCTAACATTGTTACTGTACTGCCTTGGACAATTGGTAGATATATACACTGTGTGTATATGACTCTCTGTATTGACACAACATTACATTAGATTCCATTGCTCATTACACAGATGATCGGTGTAGGAGGTGTTGTCCCTGTTCATATATGCAGTTGGACACCTTATCTCTCTCAGTTTCAATACCATCCTGATCCAATGAGCTTTGCAATCAAGACATTTATGTTGATGCAGATTGCAGTGTATATCGCTACATTAGGCGCTGGTGGCGGTGAGTATAGGTACTGTAATGCTGATCAACGTCTAACCGTCTCTTTCTGTACAGTGTGCATGGTCTATTCATTAGGCATATTGCGTCGATTTACCAAGGATATACTGCTACTGAGAAAGGGCGATTACTTCTTATTCAAGGGAAAGAGAAACAATGGGCAAGTCAAAGAGTTCCTGCACAACAATAACATTCACTCATACCATCTTTTATCGCAGCATTGATCTGGATGATTCCATTCGCTTTCTCGGTGTGCTGATTGGGTTTGGCTTTACGGGTACACTCTATGTCATGGTGGAGATCAGTCTGATTGGGACACTCATCACTGCTGCTATTCAACTGGATCGAGTGAGGGATGTCGTGTTTCGTCATGTGGGATACGGCGTCTATTTCGCCAGTTTCTTCATCGCCATTGTAGTGCAGATGATTCAAAAGCGAATTACAAATCTTGTGTTTGTCGAGAATCGCACACGATTTAGTATTCAACATCGCGCACCCTTCTTGCATTATTGGTATTTCATGATGCTCACGTCCATGACAAGAGCATTGACATCCTACATTTTGCGCACATTGAAGTTGATCTTTCGATACCCATTGTTTAGTGTTCGTGTAGACAGAAATGCAGAGACGTGGAGTGTTCGTCGAGGAGATGGAGGCAAGTTGTATATGCATCCAAGTGGAGAGGACTGTATTAACATTGATAGAATCATATAGGCTTTACAGCATACTGTGGCATGGTTTGTACAAGATGGCACTGCGGTATTACTATTTACTCACGTATATCTCAACACAGCTACTCGCAGAACATGAATACAACAATCCAGTTATGCTCGTATTTGTTGAATGCTTACTGAATAGTGTGGACACATTTACAACACACCAACTTTTGGGAAGAAATGTCGAGCCAAACCTATGTCGATCTCATTTAAAGAAAGGTCGCACTATGGCTGAAAAAGACATTGAATGCTATGCAACCGTCTCTAAAACCAGTACCGACCATAAAAAAAACATTGTATCTTCGAAAAGAGCCTTGACAAGATGGTTTCTGTTATATACGTTGATTCGAAATCCAATGGTAAGCTTGCATCACGTGTAACGCTAATCCATGCTTTGGCTCACATTTATTTCTCTAGTTGATTCAGTATCGTCGTCGTTCTTAATGCTTGCTACTCAGCAGAATAGTGGTGCCACCACATTACAAATCATTCATTTCATGATGATAAACAAATAAAGCTACCACATGTCTTTTTTTTTCTTTCTATATCCATGATAACATGTAAACAAATAAACCGTATACATTTGGTAATTTCCATGATCATAAGACGCACTGCTTAGCCTTTTGGATTTTCTTACATGCAAAGCTTTCATAATGAGTGATTCAAATGGCTCAATGTTTGAATAAGAGTCTACTTTATCCTACCCACGCTTCTCTCTCTCTCTCTCTCTCTCTCTCTCCATCGTTCTCTCATCCACTTCAAACATGACACATTTCCAGCAAGCATACACAGCATATCCGTCCCCTGCAGTGGTAGTCAATACACCGACACCAATGACATATCAACCCTATTCACAGCACCCAAGCAGTAAGTGCGCTTGCCCAATGTTCATGTCGTTATCTAATCTTTTCTAATTTGATTTCATAGTGCAGCCGGCTTATTATCCATCAGTTCAGCCTCAAATCATTCAACAGCCATACTATCACCAGCCTGGAGGAAGATATATTCAAAATCACTCATCGGCATTATCACAACTATGCATGTGGCTTTTGTAAGTACAAATTTGAGGCAATCGCTCGGAGTAACTCAATCGCAGATCATAGATGTCTGGGCGCGTGCACGTATTGTTGCACTGAGGGCTGCTGTGGACCCAACGATTGTTGTGAAGGAGGCGCATATAACGATGATTGCTGTGGGTGTTGCTGATGACTATGAGAGATATACTTAGAATACCTAATTGTAAAATATATTAAATTATGAATAAACAAACCTACCTATTTGCTAATGCAATTCTACTGTACATTTGGCATCCTTGAGACACACGTTATACTATACCAAGCTGTAAAGATTGATTGTAATGTTAGTTTATAGCAGAGATTGGCTCCATTTACTGATACTTGGTCTTCTAAACAGACTTTACAATTAGATTTGTAGAAAAAGATGGCTCTCATCTGGTCACTTCTTCGTATCATTTCACGTCAAATTCAAAGCTATAAAACCACTGATTCAATTGAGGGTTGCAAGCATTTCTTTCAGCACATAGCTCTTGATGAAAGTTCTTAGCTACATCTACTCAAATGTGCAGCTCGCACAATGTAAATTGGTCTGCTCAAAAACAGGGCATTATCCAGCAAATACAGTCATGTTTAGCAACACTATTGTCTTTACAACCAAATTATCGAAAAATTGAATACAAGGCTAACTGTTAGTACAGTAGTGCATTTAAAATTCTTTTAGTGCGTTGCTAGTTGTCAATCTACGCCCTGAATTTATGTTCTAGAATTAAGCACCATTATGCTGTCGTTGAAACCCGTTTTTTGCCATTGAATAAACATTGTCTTGTCTTATGTTTTTACGGATATAATAGGGAATGCTATATTGAGCTAATTTGATAGTATAGTTTCTACTAGATGCAGACTATCTATAGCATTTAAAATGTCCAGCGTGCCTTACAACCGTCATCGCCTCACTAATAAGCTGTATCATTGTGCTATGGTACTGCGATACACCAGTGCCACTCCACCTAATATTTCCAGCTGAATATTTGGATGTAACAACATACTCTAAATCCAGATCAATGCATACAATATCTTTACACCTTTGTGTCATAATAAGAACGTGTCTATCGGCAAGCAAATGCATGCAACACAGCCAAATTTGACAGCTTTTAAGCCTTCATGTCTTGATATGGAGGCCTTCCTGAGCCACCGGAATGACGCCAAACAACTGTACTCGAGTAGCAGTAACTTCCTGGCGCCTTTGCTCAACTTTTTGGGGACCTAAAAAATATCATCAAAAATCGACCAAAAAGCATGAGGGGTACCTCATGGTTTTCATCGAAAATCAAACGATCGCGTTTTTGACCCCAAAAATGAAGACGTTCACTATGATACATATTGAATCAAAATGTTTCTCTCGATCCAAAGCACCCTCTGAAACCACTGTTATGAGGGTTTCTTATGCAACATATGGCTATTTTCGCTAAAAACTTCATTTTATATTTTCTCAAATTGCTCGGTAAGTTTAGTCAAAACATATTTTTCATTTGGCACCATTGGAAGCGCCTTGAAAAGTACTCCAAGAATGTATTAGGAGGTACGGGCTGATCATCACAACTTATATAGTCGAAATTAACAAAATAATTTTAAGAAGTCGAAAAAAAGACAAAATCTTTTTTTTTGTAGGGTTTTTTTTTTTTTTTGTAGGGTAAAAAAGACAAAATCTGATCAATCTTGAGCAGAAAAAATTAACTGGGTTTGAACGTGTTGTGGCACTCCTGGCCTATTTGATCATGGCAATGATGATTGATGGGATGCTGATTAAATGGAGAGCATAACTTTCAAAGAACTGTTGCTTAGCTTGGATACTTTCTTTTGCTTTTGGTGGGCATTTTCATGTCTGGCAATACCTGTCAGCCTGGCTCATCAGCAGAATATATGTGATCGCAACTTTCTAATCATGATTTGCAGCATTTCAACATGACATGTAGCCAGTATTTGTCGCATTAATTCATCTAAAAGAAACTACTGCCGTTATCTGAAAAGCTAATTCGGTATATGATGAAGATATCTTTAAAGGTTGTATCAGGGCTCCAATCTCATTTGAAGGTCGAGTCGAATATAAGCATCCTCGTTGATAAAATTCCAGGCCTGTCGCTCTTCTTCACTTAGGGTTTCATATGGATGCTGTTAAATGCGAACAAAGGGTCTTTGAGCCTTGTCCAGTGCTCAAATGTAAATGTAAAATATTCTGTCTTATACGAACCAATATACTTCATATTGCACTCAAGTGCCATAAGTGTGGAGTCAGGAGGTGGTACATAAGAATGTTCAAGGTGGTCCGTATCAAGCCTGATATCTTGTGATGACAGATTATTGATTGCAAGTAAAAGCTAGTTCAATTAGTATGCTTGTCTCGATCTTGCTGAATCATGAGCAAAACGAAGCTATGTCAACTAGATCGAAATGTTATTGACATGAGCATGAGTCAGATGTGTATCTGATTTTTTATCTCACAAATTGTAAAATCATCTCAAATATAAATATTGCGTTATCGAGTTGCAATATTTATACTCAACTAAAATTTTAGTGCAATGATTCATACGCTAGAGCTGGTAGATCTATACCGTATTTGATACTGATGTGAATGCTGTTTTAAAACTCCATGTACCAAGCCAGCATAACCCACATGGACGATCGTGAATCAAGTGCAATGTCGTGGCATGAATAGATATTGCCTGGATGTTTGGCGATCCCAACAAGTTCAAATGCAATGAAAATTCATGCAACAAGGTATAGACAAATGTATCGAAAAAGATGCTTGATAACCAAACAAATAAATGGCATTCAACTATCACCACCACGTGGATGGATTTTGATAGTTTAACTTTGAATGCCAATGCATCAGCAATTGTTCACATAACACCAATGGAACATGATAGATTTTAAAAGAAAAAAGATTACTATAATGAGAAGATTGGGGGAACTTTTTTTTTTATTAAGATCATTGGAATAAATCTGGGTATAGAGGGGTTTATCTTTAATGTACAACATTGAAAAGGTAATTTGTTTGATGAGCAATGAAATAATATAACAGTGGCTTGAATTAGATGAATTATTAATGTAGAGAGAGAAATTATTGTGGTGAGAAGCGACACCAGAATTCATGAGAGAACAAGAATGTATCCACGCCGCAGTATTGACAAAAGCCTGATTCAAACTGGTAACCAATGTTAATGCCAGATGTGGGTGTGTTTGATGCCGGTGTAGCAGAGTTATTTGTAGTTAAAGGCGTTGAAGAAGAGCAAATAGTGGCATAGGCACAAGATTGGTTGTTAGTTTTGGTAGAATAGCACTTCATTTTGTAGCTTGATTTTGTAATTGTAAAAAAAAAATTGCAATTGATCCTTTTTAAAATTTGAACCCATATGGGGTTGCTTATATAGAGAGAGATCGCCAAACTTGAGGCCCAAATCTGAAATCGAGAAATCAAGCTGTGTTTTGCGATCCTCACAAATTTGCCCTATCGTACTAATTTGTAAAAACAGTTTAATTTCTCAGCTATGGGGGACGCTAATAGACCCCGTTATAGCAAGATCGTATTTTGTCTGATGAACGGTTGAGTGTACGACATGGTTAGACCTTTTTCCCTATGGATTTCGAAATTTTTTGTTCTAAAGGGTTCCACCACATTAGCAAGCAAGTAACGCATGCATATGCTTGCACTCTTTTCCTTATTCTAATATATACAAAATTGAATAGAATCGAATTGGTTGTATGAATTTCATGCATCTGCATAGGTTTTTTTTCATGTCATTCATCAGTACATGTTTTCACAATCCTCTTCCAATGTAAGATAAAACAATATGTGATGGCTTCTAAACAGAAAATTTTTATACATACAACGTGGAGCAGAGCCTGACATCCGTCAGCGAATAATACATATGCCTTGGTTACATTCATATACGACCTTTTGATACCAGAAATTATTCGATGGTATTCTTCCTGCCATGTCAGTTGGTGTTTCAGCTCTTTTTTTTTCATTTTGGCGTTCTCACCCATCTTGATCTGAAGCATATACAGTGACAGAAGGTAATAGAATAAAAAAATCAGGTTTCTTGTGAGTCTATTGTGCATGCACATGCAGAAATAGCACTGTCTCTCTGTCTAAGATGACGCGAGAATTGACCATATTAACAATTTTAGTAATGGACTCGATCTCGATGGGAGCGACAATAAGTTTTCGTATTTCAGACAAATCTCGATAATCCAATTAGGAAGTTTATAAAACCTTATATGAGCCGACAAGCAAGAAATCAACACAAGCATGTTTTTATCTCGATATCAAATTGTCTTGAATTGCATAAAAAGCTCAATATTTCTCATACAACACAAGCCTCTTCCATTTAATTTATGTGTTGCCATCATCATCGTTGAGCAAAGGGTTCAGCGTCGATCACTACTAGCTCCAATGTCGAGCAAACATCTGGATGAATAAATTGAGAACATGTCTAGCCGTTCGGTGTACATATCATAGTATCCAGTATAATCATAAAAGAGTCTTTATCCTTCGTTTGCTCGAGATAAAAGTTCTTAAACATATCTTTATAGCGTACAAACAAGGGCGTCGATTTGGCAATTAGCGATCAAAATAATGAGTGATAATGCAGTGAGATTGGGGAGTGCCAAGCCAAAGAAATTGCTTCCTGGTCGTATTTTCCAGTGTTGGAGCTGAAGACAGGGAATATTAGCAGGCATTGCGCTTGAACAAGGGCTTCACACCCATCTATGCCCACGCTGAATCTTGATTAGCAAAGATAAATGCCCGTCCGTCCATACGGGGTAAATTTAAACAATGAAGTACAGGTCGAAAATGGGTTCATCCGATGTTAATGTAACCCTCCTCCCCCCCCCCAACTTCTGAATTGTAGCACAAACAAGGGGGTTTTTCGAGAAGAATAGAATATTATATTATAGAGTGTTTATTGATTATATATACAATGTATTTTGCAAAGTAAAAAGTTCATGTTTATACACATTTCAGCAAGAAGCATTGACTTAGATGTCGTTGATGCTGATGAGAAATTTTCTGTAATCACGATGGGTTCCAGCTACAGCAGCCATGGCCTTGGAGGCAGCAAATTGGAGGTGCTTCTCATTAGGATCAATATCCTCGCCTAATTTGATGATGGTCGAGAACGTATTGAGCAAAGTAACCACACCTGGCTTATCTGGCTTTCCCGGGTCACTGGAAACGCCTAATCTTGCAAGTACGCCCAATAGCTCCATGGCTACGACGTCGATCACTTCTGCATTCAGTAATGGCCAAAGACTGGTTCGGATAAACACGTCGTAGGTCTGATTCCAATCATCCAGCACGATAAATGCCAATTCAAAAGAAGTGATCAGGTTATAGGAAAGCAAATCAAACTTGTCCTTGTCCTCTGTGTGCAGCTGTTTAAAGTAATCACTCTGCAACGTTGTCATTGCATCTTGTACGCACTCCAAAATTGGCTTTGGTTTGGATGGCCAGTTAAAGGTGTTAGATAACTGGTCGTACATGCTGTTCATCTATACAGACAAATGTTAGTATACTATACTTGACACGGGCAAATCACTGCTTACATTCTTTACTGAACTCGAGTTACAGCTGATGAAGTAAATACTGGATACAAAGGTGTTGTGCAAAGATGTGAATTGCGGTTGCGTTGCCTCAAACAGGAAACTCTCTTTCCAAATGATGCCTGCGTTCAAAAGGATAGGGATGATGGAAGAGTGAAACGCCTTTGTTCTGAATAATCCATAGATCAAGGAACGAAGCCGGCCAAATGAATTTTCAGACTTGCAGGCGACAATGAGCAATCTCACCAAACGACTATTACAAGTTGTTAGCGACATAAATAACACGAAACAAACCCCACTTACATTAGTTTGTGGTTCAGTGGCGTCTTTGCTGGTGGGCAATGCAAGATGGTTTTGGCCAACATGAACATGAACTGATCAAACTCATCTCTCTAATAAATAGGGTAAGCACACTGCACTTTACCTTACAGACCTCCACTCTAAGCAACTTACATTTATCTTGAACAAGCAGACCAAGAACCATGCATACAGTTTTTCACGTTGATCCATTGACTTGGGTAACTGCAATTCAGAATTGCCAAACTCGACCAATTCAGTGTCTGTAAGCACTGCAACCGACTTGATTCGCGCATAGCAATCTTGGATCTCTTCCAGCAAGTTGGGCAAGATCTCGTTTGATTCCTCCATACTGGGCAGTATGGTTCCTTTTTGCTTGTTAAACAATCCCTCAATGACATGATTCAAATGATAATCCGGTTTGGTGCGTTTGGCTACTGGTGTATTGGCAACACTAGTCTCAGACACAGGTGTTGAAGTAGAGGAAGACGATGTTTGATCCTCCATGTCCACTTCTTTATTCGTGCGCTTCTTTGACAGGCTTGGTGCAGGTGCATTGGAAGCCGCTCTCTCAAGTACTCTGGATGGGTTTTTGGCAGTGGCAAACTTCTCCAACAGGCTCTTTCGCTTCTTGACCGACTTGGTTGTATTGATTTGTGGTGCTGGAGCAATGAGCCCTGATTTTTGTTGAAGGAGCAACTCCTCAGCTGCTGACTTTTGCTGTTGCTGCTGCTGTTGCTGTTGCTGTTGCTGTTGGTGAGCAAGACGAGGGTCTCGAGACTTGGCAACAGCTTCTTTGAGTGGGCTGGGTCTAGCTGTATTTGAGGTGGGTGCTTTAGTGGGAATCACAAAACTCTTTTGCGTTATCGCTTGTAATGGCGCTGGTTTTGGAGGCGATACGATTGTATCATCCATATCTACATCTTCCACATCGTTATCTGACACAAATCCTCTTTGTTCTGCTTCATTCTCCAACGCTCTACGCAATTCTTGCTCCAGAAATGCATTCGTTCTCTTAATAAATTGGTATTCTGCCTGCAGTTTGTGGTATTTCTTGGTCAAGTCTGGATGTTGTGTGGGTGGATTCGCTGCTACTGGCACAGCTACTTTTCTCTCGAGCTTGACGTTCAACTGCTGGATGTGCCTCTTCAAACTCGCCACTTCCTCGGCGTGCACACGTTTCATTTCATCCGTCGCTTCTGTGCTGACCTGACTAGATGCATGTATGTTTTGACTCTTTTCATACTGTAGCTGCTTGATCTGCTCATTGGCTAGGCTCAACCGCTCCTCCAGTGCTTCGTTGTGCGCACTCACTTTGGAAACCTTCTTTTGCTCCATCTCCAATTGCAATTTCAGTGATACCAATGCCGAATCATCCGTCGTCAATGAAGATTTGAGGTCATTGATCTCCTCCTGCAATGACTCGACTGTCAGATTGTGATTGATGTTTGTCTCCATCGCATCTTCATCCATTTGATCTTTCTCAGCTTGTAGTTTGCTCAATGCCTCCTTTAATTGATGATTCTCTTGCGTTAACTTGGTTACTTGATCTTTGGCTATTCTGAACTCGGCGGCACTGGATCCCATTCTCTTTGCGAGATCTGCTTGTGTTTTGAGGTCGCTTTTCAGCTTTTTGTTGGTTTCAAACAGTGCATCAAACTGGGCTGATTTCGCCTTTAATTGGGTTTCCAGAGCTTGTACCTGTTCTGCTGATTTCTTGCATTTTTCGTCTGATTCTTGAAGACTCTTGATGGATAGGCCAAGATTAGTATTCAATGTGCTGATTTGAGCTTCACGAGCTGCTAGTTCTATTGTATTAGTGCATTAGTATTTCATTTTGCTTGCTCAATCTGTCTAAAATATACCATTCTTTGCATCTGACAAGTATTTAAAAAGCTTATTTGTGGCAATGATTCGTTCCTTCAGCGCATGAACGTCGATGGCATTATTGCTGTTGCTAGATGACTCGACGGTTGGTGTTTCGCTTGTTTCTTTTGATGCTTCGTTATCTGTAATTGGTGTGGTTTGATTATCGGAACTCATGATGGTGATATGTATAGGTGGTATAAGATGCACTATCTGGAAAGAAAGAGGAAAATTTTTATTGATGTTGGCATCGCAGGAATGTCAATCAATCAATGCAGTCACCAAGACGATGAATACAGTAACCTCAAGGTAATCTAATTGTATTGTAAATGCATCAATAGAGTGATAGTAGACTTGATAGACAGCCGCTCAGACAGCTCCATAACACATCTATCTGATTTCACTCAAAAGACACACTGGATACCATTGAACAATACGCTAATTTTGACATTGGGGGTTTTCAAGGATTGTTTCTCGGTCAAGATGAACTAAATGCACTGTTTGCTTTCTCCATGCTCTACTCTGATATGTACTAACAGCATCTATATTTTCTGAAAGCTGTATCTACTAGGACAGGAGGTCATTCTGTCTATCATGTCTTATTGCCTGGTCGAGTATGTGCTGACTGTTCGATTTTGTACCTGATTTGGACTCACGCGGGGACGCCATCGGCTTTAAACACCATCCCCACCTTTATGGATACACCCTTTTCTTTCTTTTTCTTCTGCAAAACCACACCATGTCTACACAACGCACCATGTCAACAACCATCAATACATTGATGAAGCAATTAAAAGGTATTTCATCTAACAATGCGTACATCCACCCAACTAACATCTCGTTCTATAGAAAACCCTTTGAATTGGGCACTCATCGCTGTGAGTTTTCAGCATCATTCATCACTTGTATGTGTGAGAGAGGCTCATGTGTGTTTTCTAGATACTAGCCTATGTCATTAAATCATATGCAAGCTCAAGCAAGCCAGCAGTTCAAGAAGCAAAGCATCCAGAAGTGATGGTTTTCAGGAATTATACACCACTGGACCTTTTACCTTTTGATGGTCTTGGCAAGGAGGGCCGTATTTTAATGGCTGTCAATGGGTCCATCTATGACGTTACTCGAGGTAGAAACTTTTACGGACCAGGTAAGAGAATCAGCTTGGAAATGGCAAGTAGAGAGAAGTTTGATATGGATGCATGTTTTTAGGTGGACCTTATGCTAATTTTGCTGGACATGATGCTTCTCGCGGATTGGCCAAGAATTCATTTGATGCTGATATGCTGACTGATCCCAATGAACCGATTGATAAGCTGGAAGATCTTGCCGCTGATGAATGGGAGTCATTAAGAGAATGGGAGGTTGGTATAGCTCATGTAAATAATGGGCCCCACATGTCACTCACTCTTTGTTTGTTAGCAACACTTTGCTTCCAAGTATCTCTTTGTTGGTAAATTGATTGAAAATCACCAGTAATAAACTATGTTTTGTGCGTGCAAATGTTTGGATCATGCGACTGTCAAGTTTATCTCGTTATTCTTTGTGTATTTATACAAGAGTGGCTAATTCATGCTTTTTGTTCGCTTTTCCTCTTTCATTTTCTCTTTCATTCTTATCACATTGGACATTCTTTGAGCAGGAGGAAATATGTCTCTGATTGAACCAGGTATATCGATGGAAACGACGACATGTTGTTACGGAAGCATACTGTTAACACCGATATTTGTGTATAGATCCAGCCATGCCTTGCCGTTTACTGCAGTTGCCAGACGAACTCCAATTAAAGATACTCGCTCAACTACCGGTTCAAGATCTTTTGAAATCGACTGTGGTATGCTTGTTGAATAATGCAATTTATTCATAAAATAACGAAATGCCCAATTCTAGATTTGCCGTAAATGGTATCATCTGATCTACAGTGGCCCATTGTGGACGACAATCGATACAGATCCATTCTACAAAATAATCACCATGGATCAAATTGTGAGATTACTCAAGGCGTCTGCTCGATTTTTAAAAGTAGCCAATTTCAGGTACCTATGCATGAGTTGAGAGTGCAACACACACACACACACACACACACACACACACACACACTAATACACACACAGAGGTTGCATTCAGCTGACAGGTCATGGACTCAGAACACTATCTCTCTCATGTCCTAATCTTGAAGTGTTGAACATTAAAGATTGTCGAGGTGTGTCATCTGCCAGCCTAAGCTACTTTCTGCAACATGCCGCCAACCTCAAGGTGCTGAACGTCTCTGGTCTGGATACAGTCAAATCTTCAACACTGTCTCATGCAACATGCTCAAATTTAGAAAGACTCGAAATGAGCTGGTGCCGTAATATCACTGGCAATGGCATCTTGGCATTTGTGAAGCAATCTTGCTCTACACTAACCTATTTGAAGATCAATGGCTGCCCTCAATTAGACGACGATACCATGGCATCACTAGGATCCAGTTTGCCAAATTTAACACATTTCAGTATGGCTGCTTGCACAAATTTGACGGACACAGCCTTAGTATCCTACCTCAAATCGCCCTCCAAACACAAACTCACACACTTGAATCTATCCAGTTGCGCCAGACTGACGGACACCACGCTATTGGCCTTAGCTCTATATACACAGCACATCCGGCATTTGGAATTAGCTGGCTGTGTCTTGATGACAGATCAGGGATTCTGTCATTTGTTTGCTCGAGTACACACTCTTGTCCACCTCGACCTGGAAGATGTGCATCAAATCACAGCAGCGACTGTTCGATCCATTGCAAATCATCAACCTCATCTACAACGACTGTGTCTATCGAGTTGCACGCAGGTATCCGATGACGATGTTGTGTATCTGGTGAATAGCTGCCACCAACTACAGCATTTGGAATTAGACAACTGCACCATTACGGACCAAGTATTGACTTTGATAGCACAGCATATGCAACAGCAACAGCAACAACAAGAGAGAAAATTGAATATGGAGGTGCTGGATTGCTCCAATGTGACCGAAATGGGTATACGGAAGGCATTGGCCAAGGCAAGCCCATTCCTGTCCATCAAGAGCTTCTACTCATTCCAAGAAGAGGAGCAGCAACAAACGGAGGATGGCTTACATAATGATGAACATGCCATGGACAATATTCATCGGCAGCATGGTCTGGGTATTAGTGGTCGATACAGTGCAGCACTGAATAGTGGCCGACACAGACGGGGAGGAGGAGCACACAGCAATGCACATGCCAGTGCCAATTGCATTATTATTTAAAGGCGTTCAGACAGTAAACGCATACATACACACATATATATATATATACATATACCACAATAAACACCATACTTTAGACAATCACGGAGACATATGCTTGTATCACGTATCCATTACGTAAATCTCGAGTAGCTCGTACTACAAGCATCCACATTCACCAGAAGCATCTATATAAATCATCAAAACTAGAGGGTGTTATACTACAGGCTAAGCTGTACAGCTTCGATAGGCAACACGAGTACCTGAACAGCCAGTCGCTTGCCTCAAATGCAATTGGGCATCATTGCGATGGCAATCAGCCAATTTAACATGAGTTTGAATTAAGCTCAAGATCGCTCGATTATAAAACTGTAGACAGTGCACGCTAATTCTGTTTCTCTCTTTCTTTTTTTCTTTCCACCAAAAATATGCAATCAACGACGGCAAGACACATGCTGGGTTGCGCACGCCTGTCGCTACAAACATCCAAAAGAACCTATATCACTACATCTCTCTGCACAGGCACCACATGGAAACGGACGCCCATACAGCAACAACACCCACAGACAGCCGCCTTGAATACAACTTTTCATCGACCTCGCACAGCATGGTTGATAGGCAGTGTGCGCCAACATGGCACGCACGGACACCACCACCATGATGCTGATCTAATGGCATCTCTCAAATCCTCAAGTGAGTTGGCAAGTCGAGAAAAAGATGAGCAGCACAGTAGGGTTGACACTCTGTTGTATAGGCAAAAAAGGGACGAGAATCACCATTATCGGCTTGGCCTCTAACGTAGGCTTGACTATAGCAAAAGGTGCGGCAGGATGGTAAGATGACAATAACGGGAAGCCAGCTCGGCAGAACTGCAAAGGCCAACTGTCTGTATATAGGGTCATGAACTCTGCCTCTCTGTTGGCTGAAGCGCTTCATTCATTCAGTGGTAAGTAGCAGCATAGCGCTTTGTGTTGGAATCTCTGTAATAACTATCCCCCCCCCCTCCCCCTTTGGCAGACTTACTGAGTGATTTTGTCACCTTGTATACGTTCAAAATGTCCAGAAAGCCTGCTGACAGTATTTACCCCTATGGATATGGTACGATAATTTTCAAATAGGAAAAATGTTCGCAATATGAAAATTAACACACGAATGTAGGCAAATTTGAGACAGTTGGATCTGTCACTGTATCCTCGCTGTTATTGGCAGGCGCTGTGGGCATTGGATGGCACTCGTTTGATCTCTTATTAGCCACATTGCAGACAGCAGGGCCGTTGGTATCAGACACAACAGCCACCGTTGTTGCTGCCGCTAGTACCAATGTTGCTGAAAATGCAGCACCAACAGCAGCAACCGCAGCTTCTTCCCCACCACATGTGCATGGTCATGGTGGTGTGTTAGATCCTAATGCTGCTTGGTTTGCATTGGCTAGTGTTTTGATCAAGGAATGGTTATACAGAGCTACCATCAAGGTAGGTATATCAGAGAGAAGTGAGGTGTTGATGGCCAACGCATGGTAAGCTATATTTGTCAGCAGGATCAGTGGTACGTATACACTAATACGCTTGTCCAGGCACCACCGTTCAGACGCTTATTCCAGTGCTGTTGCACTCGTTGCTATTGTGGGCAGTTATGCAGGCATGCCCGTCTTGGATCCTCTAGGTGGTATTGTGGTATCGGGCATGCTTGTCAAGAGCAGTGTTGGATTATTGGGATCCTCCATGAAGGAATTGATGGATAAAGGCATTACACCCGAGCAATTGGATGAGATTACAGAGGCCATCAGCAAAGTCAAAGACACGGAAATGGATTTGATCAACTTTCACTCTGTGCGTGGACGCAAGCAAGGGCCATTCAACCATGTTGACCTTGTATTACAACTGAATCCTGTCATCTCCATGGAAAAAGCATATCAAATTGAAGAGTTGGTGCGATCATCAGTCAAGAACAATTGCGATAATATTCAGGATATCCTGATTTACTTGGAAGATGCTAAAGCAGCAGCAGCGAAAAAGCATGAGTATGAGCATGATCATGAGCATGAGCATGAACATGAACATGAACGTGAACATGAACATGAACATAAACATCACCACGATCACTCTCATTAGATTTGTACATCTTTGATAGATATACACCTTATAGTATATAATTTCTGTAATTTTCTTTCCTTTCAGCATCAAGTCTCTCTCTCCCTCTCTCCCTCTCTCCCTCCCTCTCTCTCTCTCTTTCTCTCTTTCTCTCTTTCTCTCTTTCTCTCAAATATCTTCTTCATCGAATTGTTAAATTATCACCTCTTTACTTACATTAATCATAGATATTTGAAAATTGCAATTACATTAAAACCTCATCCCCTTTGTATAGAGAGAAGAAACGGTTTATTCATCGTTAATGACAATTTTTGGTATAATCAAGTGTTCATTGCTGCTTCGCAGATCACTGTATCCGTTGCCATGGTTGAGCTGCTTTTTGAGTTTTATGATTTCAATGATGAATTGCGATAGTACCAGGGATAGTACCTATAGTATACTTGACGGTGAGAAAAAGATATGTGCATACTCTTGATTTATGCATACCACAGCGATGAACAGGTTTGTATTGAAATACATGACAACTAGCATGTACAGTAGACGCATTGTAGTGGCAATGCCGTAAAGCATTGTTCTTTTGATAATAAAGACATATTGGTTTGTAGTGCCTTGCTGGAAGAACTGTGTGTCTGAACAGTGAGATGTCCATCTTTCTACAGTGCATATTAGCCAAACAACTAAATAGCCTATCCACATGCTGCCGCTGTCATTTAATGAGAAGGATTCAAACAGCAAATGCAAGCCATTGGCATCTTTCAAATGTGAGCACATAATCCGTTCATATCATTGCTAGTATGTATATACCACTATGAAACCACTGTTTTCCATTTTCCATATTGCAGGTACAAAGACGAAAGAAATGTAGACAAATGCTGATCTGGGAAAATCGTCCTGATTAAAATGACAGGAATCATGCTCTTTCTTCGGACTCACTGACCGCGTTTATAATGACCGAGTTTGAATAACAATGTCTGCTCTCTTTTCTCTCTATACAAATGGCACTCATGGAAGATCCTATCAAAAGATATTGGCTAAAGCAATCCACATATAACACAGCTGTAGGCATCTACGCTGCGTTGCCATTCCTGATGGTACCAGCCTTGTTCTTTGTCAATGCTCCGTATGGTAACCAGACATCAAGTAGTAACGCGTAGTCTATCTTGCAGGAATTGAAGTGATTGTATCTACATTTAGGTAGATTTGCAGGCAAACTGGGCGTCGATTGGAGCTTGCCTGGCAAATGGAGTTGGGCTTTTATGGAGGTCATTTCGCCCATCATGTTTGGTACCTCTCTTCTGTTTACTCGACCCACAGGCACCCCCTTCCAAATCATGCTTTCCGCTGCTTGGATCATCCACTACATCAATCGCAGTATCATCTATCCACTTCGAGCCACCTCCATGGCGCCAATTCACATCTTGGCATTTCTCGCCTCCATTGCGTTCAATGTCTTGAATGGCTACACAAATGGTGTTTGGATTGGAAGACATAGCAATGCGACAGATGCTCAGTTTTGGATTGGCATGGCCATTTGGCTGTCAGGCTTTGTGTCCAATATACACCACGACAACATTTTGTTCCAATTGCGAAAGATCAAGAAAGACGACGGCAACAAGCGATACTTTATCCCTCATGGCGGCTTGTTCGAGTACATTAGTTGTCCCAACTACTTTTCAGAGACCATGGAATGGTTGGGATACGTCATTGCAACCCATGGAAGCATTCCTGCCATCATTTTCTCAGTCTCCACAGCAGCCAACTTGTTTCCAAGAGCATGGCGTACACATCAATGGTATAAGCATCAATTTCCAGACACGTATCCTCAAAATCGAAAGGCAGTGTTGCCATTTTTATTGTGATTTTTCAGAAGGAGCAGCAGCCTTGTTTTTTACATACAATCTTTCGTACCGATTAAAGTGATTCCACATGTCTCTTTTTGATCTCTTTGAGCCCAAATCCTCCTTTGCTTTGATCATGTCTCGTCCATGTTTCATGCAGGCTTTGTACACCTTTTCTTCTTCATCCAATGTCCATTCTGATTTGTCAATGTCGGGTGCCAACACGTTGTGGTAGTGCTGTGAGATATGGCGCGGCGTACGTGAGATACCTGTCACCTTGGCCACCACTGCAAAATTCTCGCCGTACTTTGACACAGCATCTAGAATCTGATCACCTTCTTCCTTGGAGAATCGTCCCTTCTTTTCATTCGTCATTTGCCAGCGCCAACGCTCCAAGCACTGTCTAGCAGTTCTTGAACCCATCATTAGAGCCACTTGTTGCATGTTCTTTTCGCCGTATCTGTGAATCAGTGATGTCAATTTCTCGATTTCCTCCTCTGACCATTTTCCATGCTTGATGTTGGGATCAATGCTGTGCTTGTACGTCTGTTTGATCATGTATGTGGGTCGCTGTCTAGGCAATTGGCTCTGAATGGCCTTCCAATCTTGAATTTCGTGAAAAGCTTTTCCTTGGCCCGCCTTTTCCAGTGCTTTCAGTTCTTCTTTGGCCCAAGGTCCTCTTGTAGAAGAGTCCATCAGTAAGCGGTATCGATTCATGACGTTGCTGGGTGAACGATCCACAAAGTGGCTTGACAGCATGGTCCATCGTTTACCATGAGCTGCAATCAAATCAAGCAACTTTTGATCTTCTTCCTTTGTCCAGTTACAGCGAGAACGCAATGCTGCTTGTCGCTCAATTTTCCAGGCCTTTTCACGAAGCAGTTCAATGGGAGAGAAAGCAGGTGTCGCGGGTATTTCTTCTCGACGGATATCGATTTTTTCCTCTTTAATGGCACCGGTGGTATGAATGAACATCCGAGAGGGTGCTGTGGCAAAGACCACACGCGTGCACAAAAGCGGCAAGGTAGTTTTTTGGAGTAGTAGAGTGTTTTGGCTTATGCTGAACGCTCTCTTCAATAAGGTTGTCATGTTGAATTTGTTTAAAAGCAAGAAAAAAAGGAAGGAAATAAGCAAATTTGTTTGCCAAAGAATTTAAATTCAAAAGCAATCCCCCCCCCCTGCTAAATACACTTTGCAAAAGAGAAGTTTCTTCTTTTATCATCATACCATTCAAAATCACTTACAAACAGAGAATATGTGTCTTGTCTTGCTTGTACTAGTTGAAGCACCTGTTCATGGCTTGCAGTCATGCATCCTGTGTCCATCGCAATGCAGTCAAGACTCATCTTGATGCATGATCTTCCTCTCCAGGCAGCGCACGATGCGAATTCTACGCATTGCACCAGTCGTCAATCAAAAGAAAAAAAAAAAAGAAAGCTATTACTAGAAATAAAAAGCAAGACATAACTCCTATCCGTCAATCATTCGATCAAAAGTCCAATCCATGCAAATGAATAGTCAGCGTATGAAGAGACCTTCCTTCAACCTCGAATCCCATAGATTCCAATCAACATATTTTATGCAAATACATTTATTATCATCTAAATCAGCAAGTGCAAACCACACCACCCAAAAAAAAACCTTGCCAACATGTTCTCAACAACATCCACCTGACGAACTGCTTTTCGAAGGCGAAGATTGATCCAATCTGACTTCCTCTCTCTGGCGTGATTGTTGCGCTTGCTGTGTATCGATTAATCGCTTCTTAATATCCCTATACAAAACGCTTAGCTGAATGATGAATGAAACGAGCAAAAGGCCCAGCCTCTACCTTGCTAGATCGAAAAAGGCCTCCTCTACACCGATGTTTGCTTTAGCACTTGTCTCCATGAATGGAACACCCAATTCATTGGCTAAATTTTGGCCATGCTCCTTGGTAATGACCTTTTATTTGTTTCCGTCTCGATGAGCAACATGATAGCTGTAAGCCTTCTTCCTCATTGACTTACCCGTTTTTCCTCCATATCGCACTTGTTGCCAATCAAAATCTTGTTGACTCCTTCGCTAGCATGCTGTTCAATGTTGGAGAACCAGTTTCTTACATCTAGCATGGAGCATTAATCCTACATACATCCCATCCACTTGTAAGAGTATTTACTGGCAAAGGATCTTTCATCGGTTGTATCGTATACTAGTAAAATGCCCATTGCACCACGGTAATAGGCTGAAGGCGCAGTCAATTCACTACTACAGAGAGTAACAACCGAGATGTCTACTTGCCTGTAGTAATTGTGCGGAATCTCTCTTGTCCAGCCGTATCCCAAATCTGGAGCTTGATTCTCTTTCCATCAAGCTCAATCGTACGAATCTTGAAATCAATGCCAATGGTTGTAATAAAGGATGGAGTAAAAGAGTCATCCGAGAAACGTAGCAGTAAGCAACTTTTACCAACACCTACACGTACAATATGAAATGTGAATGGCCCATCCTAGACGCACCAACCGATTGCTGCTGGTAAGCTTACCGGAATCCCCAATCAACAAAAGTTTGATCAAATAATCATAGGAAGCACTCTTTGCTGTTGTCATGCTAATAAAAGTACATACAATAAAAAGCAGAAAACGAGAGGAAAGAACGAAATGCGCGCTTTCTACCATCATGAAGAAAAAAAAAATATCACGTGGACCATCGCTTGTGGGATGTCTGCATTGTTTCACTTGAATGCTTTGTCACCATTTATAATGAGCATTTGATCTTTAAAACAGCTCTGTTTCGAAGACAAGCAGGAGACACCTACTATGGATACATGTAGGCATGAAATATCAAATGTTCGGTACAAAATACCATAATGGCTGATCTGTAGCTATTCATCCCATGATACTACATGTCATTTTATGACCAACTAGTGCTCTTTCATGCGCAGCTACATACATTTGGCATTGATCAGTTTGAAATACATCTCTGGATAGCTATCAGAAAAAAAAAAAAAAAAAAAAAAAAAAAACTAACAAGAAGTGTTCAGGGAACCGCTCAGTATTCTTGGATACTAGCAGGAAAGGCCCATTACAATGCTTTATACGGATTGTCTTGCTATGAGCGATCTAGCAGCCATTTTGAAGCGCTCATTATCTTGCTGTGAGTTGATGATGGACGGGTTTTTCTTGTGTCTCATTTTTCATTTCACTTGAAATTTTGACTGCAACGCCAACTTGCTTCTTTTCTCGTTACATCAATAAGCACATATCAAAAGGTAAACATGCAGAGCAGCAAGTTTGCTTCAAGGATCTAAGCTAACATGCAAAATCTATCTAGAAATCATGTCTGAAAGAGTAAGCCGGCATGGATGTTGAACGCGACGTCGAGTATTCATTTTCATAACTTGTAGGGTGGTCGTGGTCATTACAACAACAGAGGTGGAGAACGAGGAGGTCGTGGAGGAGGCAGAGGAGGAGGTAGTTCTAGAGGCGGTCGTGGTGGATATCACAATCAACAAGACAAGCCCAAGAAGGAATCCATCTTTGACCCAAGCAAATATATGGATAAGAAAGTTCGTGTTCGATTCAATGGTGGCAGAGAAGGTATGATGTGAGAAAGGTATTCAAATGTAAGAGATGCAGTGATAAACAGTTGCTTCCTAGTTGTTGGCACTTTGAAGGGCTATGATCCCCTATTGAATTTAGTCTTGGATGACACAATTGAATATCAAAAAGGTATTTATGCAAGCAGCAGCATTGACAACCATGGCCGTTTTATTCACTGTGTGCTTGTAGATTTGGAGACTGGATACATTACCGAAAAGACAAGACAATTGGGTTTATCAGTACTCCGTGGAACAGCCATTATCCTTATTTCACCCTTTGATGGTATGAAGGAAATCGATAACCCTTTTGCTGAATAAATATGTACGTGGTTTGATTCAATAGATGGTTGTGTTGTGTTGTGTTGTGTTGAATGAAATGCTGCCTCTGTGGAGGTATCAGGGGTTCGACAAAATCGCATGTTGTAGGATTCTGGTCGGTATTCAATAGCAGGCATTGATTTGGCATGATATGTATATGTGGTTTATGGATCTAGTTGAAAAGCGTCATGAGATGGACCTTGGATTCTGGCTTGAGCCTGCCCTCTAAATGACTTCACTATGTGGATCACATCAATTTGCATCAACATACATCACTAATACGAAAGAAGACAAAAAGCAATGGTGTTTAATAGTGTTACAAGAATATATAAATTACAAAGAAAGAAAAGTACAATAATCTACTGATACGAAGGTTCTCCCTGTTCAAAATGATGACCGAAATTATCGTGTTTAGTAGGACGTTGTTGCTGAATAGACTGAGGTTTGTTGCCACCACTGGATTTGGTATCACGGAAAATCTTGCTATGAATGCGCTTGCCATAAGGTGTTGTTCGAATAGTAGGCAATAAAGGGCGAATACATTCAACCAGCTAATCAAAAGAATGAGATGTTGATACACCTTGAACAAGAAGCAGACTTACCTCAGCTCGCTGATCCTCATCTGCAAAATCCAAGGAAGTTTGGACAACGTAATTTGCAAACGAGTCGTGTAGTAACTTCTCCATGACGCTTTGATTGACAAGCTCAGCAATCAGCAGACGTCGGGTGGGTGATTGAGCAGTACGAATACACTGCAATGGCATACACATGAGCATGAAATCTTAATACACACATGTCCAACCCACTTACATTTTCAATGACGTTGGAGCTGAATTTTTGCACAGACAGAATACAAACATGATTGACAAACTGCTGGATAACACTTTCCGAGTAGCGAGTGACACCCAACTCGAGCACATACTGTACAACATAGTTGCCAAAAGGATTTTGTACCAAGGGAAGAGCATGTCTGGCAATTTCCTCCACCAATTGATCCTATGTTATCATGTCAGTCCTCCAATGCTTTCTTCCGACTAATGCAACATACCTTTTGAGCACTCGTGGCATGATCAAAGCATCTTTGCAGCACACAGCATCCATGTTTATGAGAGGCAACTTCAATGCAATGATCGCAAACAGCGTCGTAGATGAACTGATTGTTGTCCGAGGACAAGCGATGTAGGCACTTTTGAATCACGTGATTTCCGTTCAAATCCTTGATCAACGTAACAACATTGGGAGTGAGAGCAGCAATCACAGTCTTGATCTGTCCAGGAGTCGATAGATACTCAATCAGCTTTTGGACAGCTCTAGTGCCGTGCATATTCAATGCAATCTTGACCAATTCAGGTGCCACTGTCTCAACAATGACAGTGCGTTGATCGTGATTACACTTTTCCAGCATCTTTTGGCACAAGTAATTACCAAAAGGATCTGTGCACACACACACACACACACACACTCCAATTAGCACGACAATGACGTAATGCAGTTTTTCGTTTTACTTTACCTGTCATGAGCTCAGTGAAATGAGGATGAATTTCATCAAACACAATCTCCAGATTCTTCTCGCCATTTTCCTTTTCCTCAATCTTCTTTTGCAAGAAACGACATCCGTTTTGATCCTTACAGAGCTCATACAATTTGCCGACGAAATCACCAATTTCTGCATCTGCAAATCGATCTTGCTGCTGCTGCTGCTGTTGATGTTGTTGTTGGTGTTGCTGGTGATGATGGTCTGATCTTCGATTATTGTCAAAGTTCTTCTTTTTAGGATAAAACTGGTTCTTTTGAAGCGAGGGCAATGGTGTGGGATTCATTGTATAATGTTGATATAATGAGCTTGTGGGTGGAGGAGGAGGTGGAATAACAGACGTCTGCTGCATTGGCATAAAAGCGTTGTGCACAAACGGACACATGTCATGGCGAGGACAGAAACCAAACTGCTGGAACTGAGGACACAAGACGTCGCGAGTGAAATTCATGCTGGCAAGATCATTTTGAGATTGAGATGTCACCAGGCGATCTTGAACAGGTTGTTGTTGTGGCGGTTTGGTGTGCCAGCCGTACGAATAACGTCTAGCCTGGTCCATTGGGTCGTTGTGGATAGGGCTCATCATCGTCATGGGCGGTATCCATGGAGGCGGATGCGGTGAGACAGCATGCGTGGGCTTGTTGAGAGGCGCGACCACTGGGCGAGGGGCTGCTGGCTGGTTGTCCAGGTTTGTCATTGTAAACTAATAATGCATCATAAGTGTCAACGTTTGTCTTGATTCAACAAGGGAAAAGAAGCTTACCAATCCAGCATATTCATCGTCATTTGATGCAGATGCTACGGAAGCAGAGGAGGGTACATTGGGAGCTAGAGAAGCATACTGACGATTTGGAGATTCCTTTGCTTTGGCTAACAAAGGATTGAATAGAGGGACTATATAACATATTAGTATTTATGCGGCAGCTTTATGGAAATCCACCATTTACTTTCTGGTTCGTCCAAAGACCGTTGTTGCTTTTGAGAAAATGTGCCAATGGGTTCTTGGGGAGTCATGGCAAAGGGCAATTTTCTACTAAAACTAAAATTCAACCTGTGAGTACAATGTACAAGCACATGAATATGTATGCCATACCCAGATTCTCGATCATTCAACGATAGTTTGGTGCCCAACAAAAGATCCAAAGTATGGTCATCATTTGAATTCCTTCTGGAGCCGGGAACGGAACGAGAAGCTTGGATCATCTTTGCATAAGTTAAGGAAGGTGAGGGTTGAATTTGATTGAAATTGAACAAATCTACTGGATCGTCAAATATCGAGTGATTCAACGCCTCCTTTGGGTTTTTATCGTTATTATCCACCATAGTCTAGTCTCTCTGCTGTGTGTCTAGAGAACCTAATTTTAGACGTTTGACATGTCGAGCTCAGCAATGTGTTGCATTTACCTTGTTGATTTTTTACTCGAGATATTAGTTGTTGGAGAATGAAAAAATAATGAGAGATGTCTAACGCGTATGAATATACAGGAAATGAAAGAAATAAAAATACAGAATATATATATAATACAAAATACAAATACAAATGAGAGAGGAGGAAGAGATGAAAAAGAGAGAGAGAAAGAGGGAGAAAATTCTTTCAATGCGCATGTTTTACAAATGTAAGACTCTCAGTCACGAAGAAATGACATGAGAAATGTGCCTTGTGCAACTTTGGACGAATTCACACTAAAGCAAACACTCCACATTTGGTCATGCGCTTGGCCGAACTCATGCCATCATTCTTTTGAACGTGAAATGAATGAAGTGCTACTGAATGATGAAATCGTTCATATCATATTCTACAGTGCTAGATGTAAATCATCTCGTAGAACGTATTTCAGTCGTTTGACATCTTGTACATAGATCACTAAAAACTGATATTGGAGTAAATACTAGCTATAACTTGCAAACTGAGGCACTTATGTCCGCAGAACTCTAGGTTGAAATATTCAACAAGACCTAGTCTTTCACGCAATTGATACAAATGCAGCATGGTTTATTCAAGATGGAAGCAACTCGCAGAGACATAACAATTACCACAAAGCTATAGGCTATTACTTTTTATAGCTACTTGGAGGGTAATGTATAAAAAAGAATCCACTCGTCAAACATCTTGCAATGCTACCTCAAGATCAATCCGAATAATACATACCGGTTATATCTTTTGTTCTCACTCGGCATTTGGAGACATTCAGTGGGTCAGTGGGTAGCACCCTCTTCTTCAGAGCCATGTTTTTTGACACCTTTGCTGGAGAAGGGCTGGCAAAGTTTACAAAATTGCGAGCCATACCCGCTGCCTGATTCGAAAGATATTACCCATATGCCACCACCATCAAAACCCGTTTGAATCGTCGCTTGATATATACTTTAGATTGGACAGATTTGATCTATTTTCAACTCGATTGAACTATTTTGCCAGATTCGACTATATAAAATATGATGATCACCCCATGCTTCTTTAAGCTTTTACTGTTGACATAGACGATCTAACCGAAAGCCTCACCAACGCATCCTCTCCGCCAGCCTCCCCTCGCAACACTCCTTCAGTCTCTCCCACCCATCGCAATCCAATCAAGTACAAAATTCTAGCCTATGCAGATGACACATTAGTCTATTTGAAGAACTTTTCGGATTTTCTTCTTTTGCAGGACTCTATCAATACATACATGAAAGCATCGAATGCACTACTAAATTACAGGAAAACTATAGCCATTTCGCTCTCTGGACACCCACAACCAGATTGGCGCGAGTTTCTTGCTACACACCAAATCCACCAAATGCATGACCGCACCTCTCCTGATCCAGTAACATATCTTGGCTATCCCATATGCTCCAGTTTATCCCAACGCAACCTCGCTTTCCAGCAACTCTACAACAATATCCAACAATGCATCCATATTCACTCCCAACGGAACCTCTCCATTCGTGGAAGAGCTACCGTTCTCAACACACTCATTTTCTCGAAACTCTGGCATGTCATGCGCAACTTTATTTTCACCAAATCTTAATTACTCTCCTTACGCAGCCTTGGGTCCTCCTTCATTAACTTTCGTATCTTCCCCAAACCATCCTTTAGAACCCTTCAACAGCCTCGCCATCATGGCGGCCTCCAAGTTTTAGATCCCATTGTCCAACAACAAGCTCTCCAATGGCGCTGGATTTGCCCCCTCATTTTGGCCGCCTGTCATTCACCACTATTACCGACATACACCACCCCAAGCATTCCACTCCTTCAGTACACCTTGCAATGGTATTTCCACTCTACCGCTTTCTCTGATTACTTTTACTACTTACTCTTTCCTACTGCTCGACAAACCATCTGGTTCCAACATCGACCCAGCCCACACCAAGCTTTCCTTAACATACTCACCAATGTCATTACCACCATGGATCGAATACCTCGCTCCTTCACAACCTGTCACTTAGATTTTCATACAGGTTTATCATTACCTTTCCTTGAAATTATCTTACATACCCTCCCTTCTACTCACCCCCATTTCTCTTCTTTCACAGCTCCAGATCAACTGTTTGACCGACATCACGCCGTCCAGAAACTACTCGCAATAGATGTGCTTACCTTGACTTCGACTTACAAGTGATCCGTCTTAGAAACTGGACATTCCTTGAGTTTTGCCATTATCCAAGAATATCTCATCGAGTTGCCCGTTGGATTGAGGAAGGCCAAATCTACCTCCAACCATTCTTTCTCGCTCTCTGCCGTCAGGCCCCTCGCCATTCATTTACCGGTGCCTCCTTTGGTGCCAGCCCCCACAACATCCGCCCACTCATTCGCCGTCTTATCAAACCTATAACACCACTACCTCCAACAGTGCCACTCAACAGTATTCAATACTACAAACACTTGGTTTCCACTGAAATGCCCACCATCAACACCTCACCTCTTTCCCCATCCCAATGGCGCCTCTTTCGGAAACTACCTATTCTCCTTCAATCCCGAACTGTATGGTATAGACTTATCCATCGAAAAATTCCCTCCAAATCGATCCTCCACCACTTCATCCCCACAACTCACCCTTCACCTTCGTGTTCTCTCTGTTTGACCCAGAGCCCGGAGGATATCCAGCATTTCTTCTTTACTTGTCCTCTCAAACTCGCTGTATGGCGGTTCCTTGCCACTACATACCTATCCCACACACCGATGACCGACGACGCCCTTCTCCCATTCCTCCACGGCATTCAAACTCTATCCATAGCTGAACCCACTCGCTCTGCCTCCTTATCTTTTCCAGAGCTTACCGTTTATCAAGTTTTCGCTACCAGTCTACTCTGTATATGGCAAGCCCACTGGCGCTCCATCTTCGACCATGTCCCTTTTGTCACTCTCAACGTTAACACATCTATTGCCCGTTCTCTGTCTCGCTTGGAATCGGAATTACAGTTTGATTTGTAAGTATGTACCCCCAACGTATTTTATGGTCGTATTCCACTTCCTTGCTTCCTTTCTCCATTTCCTTGCCTTTAAAAATATATCCAGTCTTCTTCTTCCCACATCATGACATTTAGAGAACTTTAAATAAAAAATGGAGTACAATTCCCCTACAAAAAAAAAGCTTCTTTAAGCTTTCTTGAAGCACTTTTCAAGGCGCATCCAATGGCACCAAGATAGATGTTTTGAACAAACTTATTGAGCAATTTATGAAAATATGAAAAAGGTTTCTGGCCAAAAAGTCGAAATTTTACATATCAAAATCCCAGAAAGATGTTTTCAGTGGTTACGTTAGATCGATAGAAACATTTTGATTCAAGATATACCATAGTAAAAGTCTTCATTTTCAAGGTTAAAAACGCGATCGTTTGATTTTTCGATAAAAAGCATGAGGGGTACCTCATGCTTTGGCAAAGCTACAGTGCTCAACAATTTGATCTTGTCCAAATGCTGGTATGTACTATGAGTAACTCTGTTTGCTCAAAGTAATGTCCAAGCTATCCAGTCCATTTGTACCAAGTTTCTACGAAAAGGCATCTTTCCTGTTATCCCCTGGGCCACATGGACCAAGCCGAAGCCATTAGGTGGATTAGGTGTTCTGGATGTTGCTCTGCAACAATCAGCCCTATACTTTCGTTGGATTCAACCGCTCTTCCATCCCTCTGACTCGCCCCACATCCTAGATCTCATGCTGGTCATGCTAGTGAATAAGCAAAATCAGAGTGCGCATGTGCAGGTTCCGTTGCTCTTTCCCCTCACACGAACCACTGGTCTCACTAAACAACGCACCAACACGGTAACAATGATCTACAAATCAGTTGACCACCTCAAACGCATCAATGAATCAGTTCACCTCAATATTGCTACCGCCTCAATCCTACCTGTCAAAGCCATTCTGCAGCCGTCTGTTACTGTCTCCAAAATGCCGATTAGGGCCACTCAGTTGCAAGTACAGGATCTTTATCAACCCAATCCTGACCAACCTCTGCAACTCAAAGAAAGAAAAGCACCAACCATCCCAGCTGACATTCGACGCGCTTGCAAGAAAATCCTGAAGCAAATCAACGAGAACAAAGTACATATCCAACCGTACTTTAACCTCATGCTACAACCCCCTCAGGATGGCACCAACCGCACAACCGACATCTCCTTCAAACCGTTCATTGATTCCTATGACTTCAACAGCCAGCAAGACCTCACTCGACGGATTTCAACCAGAACATTCGGCATAGCATGCATCGAGGCTCACACCTTCAGCATCGCCAGGTCCAACTGGAATTTCTTCTGGTCTCTGTCCCTGAACCCTGTCCACCGTAATGTCATCTATCGCTTCCTCACCCACACCATCCCGGCCAAACGCCTGCTACACTACTTTGAGATAGCTGAATCACTTCTCTGCCCGATCTGTGGTAACGAAGAAAATGCTGTACACTTGCTTTTCCTCTGTTCCAGTAGGATATCCATCTGGAAAGCTATCATCTTTGAATTCTTGTGGCTAACCGTTTCGATTGGTGATATTATCCAAGCCTGTTCCTCGCTTGACTTTGAAAACATCAAGTATGTCTCCAAATCATACATCACTGCTCACATGGTCGTACTGGTAACACTTGGCAACATTTGGCGAGCTCAAGTTCGTATGATCTTTCACTCGACTCCATTTACATCGATCGATGTGGTCCAGCAGATCAAGAACGAGCTCCTTCAACTACATGCCCAAACTGAAATTCACAAACAATTGTAATTCTCTAATCACAATTGTCACCTATCATCTGTTCCTGTCATCTATCGCTTTATCCTAAATATAATTGAATATCATATCAATTGCGCCCGCCTCTTGGTAGTGCCCTAGGGACCTACTTACACGGAGCAATCAATAAAAACAATTTAAAAAAATAAAAAAAAAGTACCTCATGCTTTTTGGCCATGTTTTTTTTGGTCCTCAAAAAGTTGAGCAAAGGTGTCAGGATGTTTGTGCTAGGTGAGATCAACTACTTGGTGTTATTCTGGCGGTCTAGAACGGCTTTTAGCCATAGAAATCACTGTTCAAATACATACAGACTTTGCTGTAATCTGCGTTCATTTGAGTAATTAGAGGCAATGTAAATAACTGTCTGTCCGTATATGAATTTCTTACATTGATACAGACTTGAGTATTTTAGAAGTGCCAGATTTTTAGATACAGAGCGTTTGTAGAGTTATCACAAGACAGTGGAAGTTGGGGTTATTCACGTCTGGTACTATGCCGTTTCGTTTTCGCCGAATCGATTTGCTGTCCATCTAATGAACACGAAAAAGATGTTTGCGGTAAGTATTGATACTTGATAAACCCATACCACAGGCTTGAGGTCTTACTGCTTATGACAGATTTTTCATTTGGTGTGTTTTTCGTTTAGGAAGAGGCTTCAGAGCCATGTAATGAGCATGTCGCAAGTGTTACCTGAATGAATGCATATTTACTCTTAGCTTGAAGCCTTTTTCACATGATTTGCAATAGAAATTGGGATCATGTACATCAGTTTCTTCGTTGATATTTCGATTTTTTCGAGGATTTGTATGCTTAATATTGTTGATGGATTAACAATGTTCCAACATAAAATCGAGATTTGCCAACCTCTTCTTACACATATCATAGTGGTAGTAACAGCCTTCTTTAACAATTTCATCTGCAAATGATGCGTTCCAGGTCCTCTTTCAAAAAAATATTCGGTTGCCTTACCTTCTTGTTGATTCCATAAACTGCGGTAATTCTTTGTTTCATCCTGCTTGATAGTAACTTGAGAAGTACTTGACTCATCAACCGTAGAGGTAGGCGTTTTGGTTAGATTATCAGAGTCAAACTTGCGATCTTCTTGCTCGATACTGCCTGAAGGATACATCTTTCTGTCTCTCAGCTTGATAGTTGTTAATAAAGTGGTAGAAGGTAAAGGCATTTTGATACTGCAAAGAGGCCATACTCCCAAGTTTTGAGGGCTTTTTTGTTTTTGTTTTTTCAAGCCACTCCACCCTTAATTGTATTGTAATATGTAACCACTCTTTATTTGTTATATCGTTTAGTTTTACTAGCTGTAGATAATCAAGTTAGCTGTGTCTGTAGTATTCATATGTACACAATGTTATGCATTATTTATCATTGGGTATACAGTATATTGAACTAAAGCAACTTGCAAGGATCGAATCAAAGGATGACATGCATATCGTGAACAGCTTGTAAATGGTAAAAAAAAAAATGCAGGCTTGCTTGAATATCGATGTTCACATTGTGAGTGGTGATCGTTGGGATTGTGAATATTAATTTTTGCTGTGAGATCCAACACAGAGGAAGGACTCAATGTCAACTGGTGAGTCCGTTTCCATGTTCTCGGTAATGTATTGTGGTTATTGTCGCAAACACTCCAATGAAAGCTTGGATGGTTGGGGCCAGGAACAATAATGATTTGGATCTTCGGTGTCTGCGGTGGCCTCTAGATTGACAAATAACTCTGCAGGCTTGATATCATGCGCAATCAGACAATGTACATTGTATTCATGCCTTGTCTCGTATGAAAAATCGCATATTCTGCAATAGTTGGGGAGGTCATTGGAATCTGGAACTTTTGCTGGTCTTGCAGATTCTTTCATTTTATGAACTTTTTTACAGTGAGCAGCGTATTTTGATTTTGATTTATATGTTCGGTCGCAAGATGTGCAGTGGAGAGTTGGATCGTTCCAGTCAGGTAAGATACCAGTGTTCATGGAGCGCCTCAATGATTTCAGGTTCATGCCATGAAGCCTTCTCAAATGGTTTCGATATATATACTTGTTACTGTAAGTATGCCTGCATGAACGACAATAGAAATTAGGATCGTCAACATCTGGTTCCAAGCTGCTTTTCTTGCGTGGTGCTGACAGACAAATGGAGTGTACGGCCAGTAAATGCTTTTTGAAGGACTTTCTGCTTGCAAACTTCTTCTCGCAAGAACGGCAGTAAGAGTTGGGATCATTCGCATTTGGTAAAATGTTGCCTTGTTTTCGTTGTGCCGTTTTGCTATCCATTTTGTGTGTAACAAAAATGTGTTTGCGGTAAGATCCCATGGTCGCTAAACGTTTGTCGCAGGTTTGGCAATATGTATCCATACTGCTTGATGTAGATTTTTGAGTTGCGAGTTCGACAGGCTTCACTCCATGGGCATACCGACAATGAGCTTTGTAGCCGTACTTTTGCTTGTAAGTATAATCGCATGCTCTGCAATAAAGGTTTGGATCGTCAGGATCAGGAACAATGCCATTTTGTGGTGCACACCTTGCAAATTTGGACTTCAGGACCATGTGATGAACATTCCGTAGGTGCTGTCTGTACGGCTTTTCGCCACCATAATCTGCTTCGCATGATTTGCAGTGAAAGTTAGGATCGTTTACATCAGGTTCAGTGTCTATGTTTCTGATCATCGTGACGCTCCAACGGCAGTCAACGTGGATTGACTTTCGATGCTCCAACACTGATTTGAGATTTGCCATCCTCCTTTTGCATATGTTACAGCGGTAGTAATAGTCTCTCTCGCCAAATTCTCCTGCAGATTATGTAATTTAGAAGTTATTCATAAACAAAGCAATTATCTTACCATGCTGCTCTGACAAGTCTTCATAGTCTTTTGCGTCTTCTTGTTTGATAGTGAGGTCAAAAATGTTGTTGTCAGTAGTTATAGAGGCGGGTGATTCAGCAGCAGTGAAAGCAGGTTTGCGATCCTCTTGCTTGACGTTGTCTAAAACACGCTTCGTTCTGTCTCTCAGTTTCATTGTGGGTTGGTTAAGGAAAAGAAAAAAGTCGTACAACAGGCAAGAGTTCCAGTCATTATATTTTCAAGCCACTTATATTCCTCAAATGTGATGTAACACGCTTCATCTTATGCAGCATTTTATTCCCTCATGTGTCGCATGTATCAGAACCAATGGGTCTATACACTGTACTATATTGATCGTCACCCATAATCTTCAAAGCAGAAAAAAAAATACCCTCAAATTTGGAAGATGAACACGAAGGCTCGTACTAAATGTATGGACTATTGACTAGGATAGACAACATTGTTGCATTTGGCGATTGGCATTTAGATCAGTATTTGGATACGCAATTTGCAATCGTGCATCATTCAGATATACAAATACGCACCAAGTACATTGAAGATGAGTCTGACCGAAACGGAGCGTTGTTTAGTTTAAACAGTCTTCGTATTAGCTCCATAAACATCAATTGTCATCCTGATTCAAAAGGCACTGATCCTGCCAGCCAGCTAGCCAGCCACCAACACCACCAAAGCGATTTATAAGTCCGCTAAAGTTCTGTTATGATTTGTTAATTTCTAATCTTTTTCGACCTAATTTGACCTGTTTTTCAGATTCGACTGTATAAAGTGTGTTAATCCTCTCGTACTTCATTAAGCTTTCTTGGAGTACTTTTTAAGGCGCATCCAATGGTGCCAAATACAAGAGGGATTTTGAACAAGATTATTGAGTAATGCTTGAGAATATGAAATAACGATTTTGGCCAAAAAGTCGAAATTTTACATATCAAAATCCCAGAAAGATGTTTTCAGTGGTTACGTTAGATCGATAGAAACATTTTGGTTCAAGATATACCATAGTAAAAGTCTTCATTATCAAGGTCAAAAACGCGATCGTTTGATTTTCGATAAAAACCATGAGGGGTACCTCATGGTTTAGAGTCGATTTTTGGAGATGATTTTTTGGTCCAAAAAAAGCCGAGCAAAAGTGTCAGTAAGTAGGTGCTAGTCGAAAGCAATTGTATGGTGTTATTCTGGAGGTCTAAAACGGCTTCTAACGCGCAAAATAAATGCTTAAATGCACGCAGATTCTGATATATTTGAAATACTTTTGAGTAGTAAGAGATAGTCCAGGCATGCTGTGTGCCTGTATATGAGTTGTTTGCATTGGTACATACGTGGAGCATCGCAGAAGAGAATGACCATAACTGGGGTGATAGTGATAGAGTAAAGAATAAGATTTTAGTTATATTAGTATGATGGTAGATGCAACTCATCTCTTAGTACATACTTATGTTATTTGTTTCCAACAGCACTGCAATGTGCTGTATATATTTCATACATATCTTATCCGAAGCTGCTACTATTGGAGCAAACACTACTTTGAAACTTGTGCCTTCTTCATCAGCTTGTAGAGACAGCCGTGTTCACCAGAGACATCACCATTGTCGTTGAACAAGATGTTAGGGCTTTTTACAACTTTTTGATGCGCAACACAGGAAAGAATTAGCTTGTTAGACATCTCACTATAATGCCACAATACTAGCCACGAGGAATTTCAGAAATTTTATACCTCTTGTTGCAACTCGCAATATGAAAACATTCAGTGGCTCCATTAATGGTACCTCTTTCTTTCAAGTCATATTTATGGAATCCTTGGTAAAAAAGAATAAGCAAAGTTTAGCAACTTGAGGTTATACCCTTTGCCCAGACATACTGCAATATATACGACACTTTTTTACATCGACTTTGTTATACTTTGAAGGAAATCACATTGAGTTTTCGTGGAATATGTTGTGATCCAGTCTTGAAGCAGAAGAGCTCCCAGTGCCTAGACAAACTGACCCAACTGCAAGCATTAGCCTTCAATTGAAGTGTGCATGATTTCAAGGGAACAGAGACTATCTTGAAAAATTGTGGTCACCTAGAGCGATTGACGATTTGCTTAGCTACTGACGATCTGTTTGGTGGTGAGATACACATGAATCACTGGATCGAAATCAATACACAACAGCATAATGCACTTAGGGCACTCGAAATCAAAACCGACAAAACATACAATCCATATTTGGTCATGTACAAATATCCAAACATCGAAACCATCATCGTCAAGAAGACCGATATCAAGGAACCTTGAGAGGCAACTTATGTGAAGCCGATGAAGCTCAGCCGCATTACAGATGTACTTGTCAAGATTGAAAGAGTACCTAGTTACACATTGACATGTAAGACCTAGGAGTCCGAGGTCGATGGTATCATCAGCACCTTGGAATCAGATGGGTATGTGGTCTCAAAGACGAATCAAGACTACATCTATCCCCTTATAATAGCGATAAAAAAATAGCTCAGATCATTGCATTCAAAGCAGCATATCTCGTTCTATTGCATCCCCTACTCCTATGAAAATGTGTTGCCCTTTTGAACTTGATAAATCCACGAAATTGTTACGAGAATCTATTGAATGGTTGCAAAAACAAAGATTTGGTCAATGGTTTTTTCATACTCGAAAAATTGAGCAAAATCATTAGGAAGTAAGCACTAGACGAGAACTGCTGTACATCATAGAATATTCAGATCAACGATTACAGATAGTTGATAGACGATTTTCATGCGATAGTAGACGGTCAAAAAGTAAAATTACAGTTGTATATTTTTAGGATCTGATATCCATATCTAACTTTGCTTCTTTTTACGCAACTGAACCCACTGCTCGTAGTCCCAACGGGCCACATTCTCTACATTGCTCATATCTCGTAGATACAACTTGCGAGCAACCCAGGTATCCAGAATCCAATTGATACAATTTGTAAGATGTAGCAAATTGACAAAGCCATACCACGCTGATCCAAATGTGGCGCCTACCAGAGATCCAATAATGACTTGATTCAAAGTGTGATATCCAAGATAAATTCTGATACAACGCCTCTGTCAGTTCTGAGCTAATTTCGCTGCTGTCAATCCTTCATTTACCGTGAGATGGACACTAATGCTGCTAAAGCAAACATGGCCAAGCTAGTCAGTATTTTCCAAATGCCATGATCCAGATGAATATATCGATGCATGTAAAGTGAGCCGTAGACAGCAAAATACCAGATAAACTGTGAGTGGCTCGATGGCATACCATACCCATCGCCCAAATGAGCTAGTATCGTTCAGTCGCTGGTCTATTTAACACGTTGCTACTATAATTACCGTACGGTCTATCTTGTTCAATGTGCTCTTTGAGTATATAGTTGAATGCTTCATTCAATAGTTGCCCCAGCAGTATCAAAATACCAGCAATTTCTCGTCGCGAAACAATGACAGAAGCATAAAATACCAGAATGGCAATTGGAGCCAATGTAATATAAGCAAAGGCATATGATATCTTGTCTAGTGGATTGAAATATACATGTGTCAAGGAGATGGAAGCAAGAGTATGACCTTCATGCCCTGTTGTCATGGTAAATGAGAATAAGAAGAGAAAGAGGTGGTGTTTAAATACAGCCTCTTCGCATTCTCTTCATGAAACATGGCCGATCCCTTTTTCTCCTGACTGAATGAAGCCTTTCACCTCATGATTAGTTGAAAAATTCAACTCCAATCACATTGTTTAATCTTCTTTCTTTTCCTTTTGCTTTACCCCATTCTTTTTTCTTTTTTTTTTTTTTGTACATATGGCACCACCATACACATATCCGGTTGCTGGTATAGTCTATTTTGCCACGCATCCTCAGGTAAATAGAATCAGAGAGAGAGAGAGAGAGAAAAAAAAAAAAGACAGAATCTGCGACTGACAACGTTCTCGATACACACAAAAGCTGTGGATTAAAGCATTATGTCCATTCCTGCTCACACTCATCTTTGGCATCATCTCCCTGGTGCTCTCCTTTGTTTATCTATTTCCATTACAAGCGCATGCACTTATTGTCGCCAAATGTCCAGTCTGGCTAGCTTGGACAGTGTCAGTCATCTTCGTCTTGTTGGAATCAGCTGTGTTTGATTTGATCTTCTTTGCTGTTCTCATGGCATTTATGCAGGATGCTTTGTTTGATGCAACACTCAAGGCGAGAGGATTAGAACGTATGTTTACAAACAGGGTGCCTGTTTCAGGCATGAGACTCTGCTGTCGTGGTATATCCTCGGGTTTAGCATTACTGTGGATTCTCGTGCTAGCTCAAGTGTTTGTTTTGATCATCACTGCTCCGTTACATTTGATCCCTGTTGTCGGCACATTTATTGCATGTTATATCAATGGTTGGGTAGCCTGGTAAGTGCTTGAGGTGATTGTTTGATGGCTAAAGTGGCAACTAACACAGAATTCGTAGCTGGGGCCATCATCTGCATTATGATATCGAGTTTAGAGGCTTTTCAGTGAGTGATTCTCGCAGTTTTGCTTGGCGCCACAGATCAAGTTATTGTAATTTCGGCGTTGTCGCTGTCGCACTGGAGTTGATCCCATTGTTCAATCTACTTTTCATGTGGACCAACGTTGTAGGTGCTGCTCTTTGGGTCGGTGATAAGTATGAAAAGAACGAGAGAGAAATTGCTAGAAGAAACAGAGGAAACGCATCAACGGAAGCACTCGTTTTTCAACATCCTGGACTGAAAGATGGGTATGGTGCAGTTTGAGTGCTCTTGTCTCAATAAAACTATTTATACCAATTTCTCAATAGTTTATCGCAGCTGTATTAAGCCATCGGAATCCCTGCAAGTAGATCAGTATTCATAGTATATATATATATATATATATATATATATATATATACCTCAGATTCCCCTTCACTGACTTTCCCCTGAAAAAAGGGAGGGTCAGCTACATCAAGCCAATCAATAAAGCCATAATACCCTTCATGGCCCTTGAGCATCAAGTTACTGGCACCTATATTTATCGCAAATAGGTATCGATCCCCTTCCTTTTTTAGGAGCTACGAATCAAATTCATTTTTTGTGTACCTGGAAATTCAAAATCAAGACCTAAAAATATCTTTCATATAACAACAAAGTTTTTTTTTTTTTTTTTTCTTTCTCTTTTTCTTTCTTTTCTTTGTCTGATAGAAAATGCCAAACTTTTTGCCATCGGCATCTGGATTGGGTAAAAATCCATATACCACACAAGCAAGCCAAGCAAGTTCATCAGTTTCGCTACAAGATTTAAATCAGCGTATCGTCACTCCACCACAGCACACAGATTCATGGGATTCTCTTCACAACAATGATCTTCCAGAGCCTGTCTTACCATGGATGAAGTCAGAGTCACGTCAATCATTGGGTTCTCGCACTTCCGTAGATACAACAAGTCTTCATGTCATGAAGAGACAATTACCTGATCCAGCCGTAAAGAAAAAGCAGAGATGGTCCAAACACAAATGGTGGCTATTGTTTTCTAATACAGTGGTACGTCTCTCGCGGGATTAAGGCACAACATGGACTAAAATTTGCATAGTTGTTTTGTTATGGGCTGGGAATCATGTTGCTGGCACTGTTAACCTATTTCAAATGTAAGGGGACTTACCATATACAAGAAGCTTATATACATGTTGTCTGAAAAAAATTATTAGTTTATCTTCGTGCAGATGTTGTTTTAGTAGGAGAACGAATGATTCTCAATTGTAAGGAATAATACTATACAGCAAAAACACGCACATGCCTAATACCAACCCTGATTAGTGATTCTTGCTACCGGCGTTGTGTGTCTATTCACATCGCTGCTGGGCTACGTCGGTATTATGCTGAACAATCGTCCGGTGCTATCTATATACAATCTATTCTTATGGCCATGCTTTGGCCTCATCGCCGCTATCGGTTACACGGCCTATCGCAAAAACAAATGGAATATCGAAGGTAAACTTTCGTACCAATGGCATTATGATCTCGATTCCGATGGCAGAGCCCGTATCCAAGCCAATCTTCATTGCTGTGGATACAAAAGCTTCACCGATTACCACGAGAGATCCAACAAATGTTTCCCTCGCACCTTGTTACCTGGCTGCAAATTCAAATATCAATCTTTCACCAAAGAAGCATTGACCATAACTTGGATCGTAGCATTCAGTATGATCCCAGTGCACCTGTTTGTCATGTTTACAGCTCTCATGTGTTCAAATCACATCAATCGCAAATTCGGAAAGGGATTGCCGCCAAAGATCTATCGCTTGGATTATCAAGGTATCGTTGCTGGTACACCCACTGGCAGTTCATTGAACCTTCATAAGGACGGCTTACAACAAAGACATGCAGCATAAATTATATCACCCAACAAGCATAATACATTTATACATGATTAAACCTACCAGTGTCTATACATTTACATGTGCTACAGATGAATGTTCCGTGTAGAACATTGAGAAAAAATATTGCTTTTCAACTTGTGCTATTCGAGACATGTTTAACGTTTTTCGTCGCCCCTGAATTGCATTAGAGCTAGCTGGTTCTCCATTTCTCAGAACTCAAAATCTCGAGCTAAATCGTAGAATAATGTGCAAATGGCCAGATGCGTGGCAATTTGGCACTATACCAATCTAGCCGTAAAGCCTCGACATAGCAAGCACATAAAATTTGAAGTTCTAGTAGATTAAACCTTTTCAAAGAATAAAAAAAACCGCAATAAAGTCAATGCAAAGCTGGCCAGGCTGTAATATAGTGCTCTCCGAGTCATGATTCCCTTCTTATTAGCTTTACGTACATTGATATTTTTCTGAAAGGCATTGCTTTGGTCAGCAGCCAGAAGCGGCTAAAGCTCAATTATTCGCTGGAAATGGAAATTTTCGATTGATTTTTCGACTTGGCCGACCTATCTTGAAAGATTCGACCACAGACATCGTGATGGCCTTCATGTGCTTTGCAATGCATCCCTGGAGTGCTTTTTGAGGCACACCTACTGGTGCCAATTAAAAAAGCAATTTGAACAAGCTCACTGAAACAATGGCTTATAATATGAAATAACAATTACCGCCCAAATGTCAAAGCTTGTACATCAAGGTTTCACAAAAGTGATATCAAGAGTTGCTCTGAATCGAGAGAATCGTTTTGATCTAATATATCATACCATATAAAATAAATTTGTAGTCCACAGACACTTTTATAGCCCTAATATGGAAACTAAGTTGCCAGGCATTTGTCAGGCATGGCTCATACGGTATATGATTAGAGATTTTGTATTAAAATACTATCAATCAACAATCAAGTTTCTTCTAGCTTTTTAGCTATTGTTGATTTTGCAATATTAGCGAAAGTCCCATGGTAGCGCAAGCTACCTAAACGTAGGTTGCTTTCCATCGAAGCGAAGCGTAGGTCAGGAAACCACCCGAATTGTCGAAGAAAGGCTCGTAATGTATAGTAAGTATCACTCAAGGATTAAGGATATACAAATAGTAATATTTGCCTTGTCCACTTGTAGTATATCTGTCTTTTTTAATACAACAGGACCATTGTGCTCTATTACATCTATCATCACTCACACTACAAGTTGATTGCAAAATGTATAAAGATACCCTTCTTTCTTACTCAATTCCAGAACCTTTATATTATTTTGATACACAAATAGATAAAAGTTAAGCTCTACTGCTCATTTCCTTTGTGATGTCTTTCAATCTGTTTCCACTGCAATACATATTCGTCGAAAACATTTGCGGATGTTTTCCTTTTTTTGGTATTTTCCAAGGGTTTAGCATAGTAAAGCTGCGCTCAAGTGAAAGCAAAATATGCTCATAAAGCCTCCAGCAATGTATTGAGTATTATTTGGTATGTGTACCTTCACTAGAATTGGATTTATTGTCACTCAAACGTACACTCCATAGATGTTACACTCCATAGAAGTTACACTATAGATGCTACACTATACGAAATTTCGAGTTTTGCATTCGAGATTTAGGACCTGGAGGTATCGACAATTTTGTTGAAATTTTTTTTCTATTTATATACTTTATAAATATAAAAAGCACCTCTGGCTACATAGAAACATATTTCTGGGTCATACAGTCTCATAAAACTCATACATGCTCAATTGAAAACCATGTATCCCTACAGACACCCCATCTTAAATTACCCCGTATGATTTGATAATGCATATTGTTGAGAGGGCGCGGTAACAGGATGTAAATTACCTGTGCTTTTAGTAAAATTACGCTTATTCAACTATTAAGGGTTCTGACACGTCAAGTAGCTATTACGATCAATACTACTTCTATAATGAACAGAATAGAGGCCAAACAGAAAAACAAACTTAAGGGGGTCAAGAGACTCTGTTAAGCACAAAGAATAAAACGATTATAATAATTTGTAGCTTATAAAAAATGTTCGATATTATAAAAACAAGAAAAGACTTATTTGAATAAGATCAAACACAAAAACTAAAGATTTATTGATGAAGACAAGAGTTATTCTATTTATACTAAGTTCTGAATGCCAAAATAGCAATTTATCTTGTACAACGCTTATCACATCTGGTAAACCCCAGTATTTAGATAGCTGAGATGCACTTCACTTATCATAGCTTGTCCATGTTGTTGCACAACACAGACATATCTACCCATCAAGAATACCTTAATCTTTATAGACAGTTGTAGCCCTTCTGGCACAACAATGCTAAAAGACAACTCCAGCAAGCTAATCATGATTTAGCTTTGCCTGGATGAATAATTAGACTCTCATCCGAAGTACCCTGATCTATCCTTTCTATAAGGATAATCAATATCGATCTAGTAGTAGCATGTATCCGATAGGTACAGTCTACTTAGTCTATATCAATAGTACATATCTGAGTGTATATCGCTGAGCATACATCTTTAGCATGTATCTGGATATATGGCATATCGTATGCATGTCTGTAGCATGTCTCATATATAGTACAAGTCTGTAGTAAATAAAGTATCTGTAGTTAGTATCACGGATATAAACATGTGTCTTATAGCGTGGATCATAAAGTGCACAACATCTGAAGCAACATGCTCATATTGCATTAATCTTGGTGCTTATCCAGATATGGTAAACATCCATAGTCAATGTCGGAATACAAGTATAAGTCTATAGCGCCATCCATGTCCGTGGTGCCATCTATAGCCTATATCTTATATAGTATAAATCTTATAGTACTAGCGTATCTGAAGTCCATATCTTTTTATAGTATAAATCGATATCGTACATCTAATCCAGTGTACATACACTTTATATCTAGATCTGGTAACTGGATGAACTGTCGGAATGCAGATCATAGTGGATGTATTCCACACCCATGAAGGTCGTAAGAAGTGATGTGCTAATTACCCTAATGAGGACAAATAAATAACAAGCATACTCAAATATAACAATTATGCCCCAATGCCATATTTGTACAATAGTCCTCCTGATAAAGGGTTCAACACTTCAATAACAAACATCACATCTTAAGCTGTCAAGATTACATGAAATCGTGCTATCATCATGACAGGTTATTCAAGCCCGTCAAGGTTACTCAAATCGACCCTTAAGACCAGTGCTCTTGCATTAATTACCACTTTAAATCAAACATCAACGTTTGCCAGATATCACAATAGCAGCACCTATTGCTCTCTATCATCACTAATCCTACAAGCTAGTTGCAAATGTATGAACACTCATCTTTTTTTTTTACTCAATTCCAGGATCTTCAGTTCATTTTACACACAGATAAAGCACAGTTACTTTCTGTTGCCTGTTACTATTGCTTTATTTATTTTGTGACATCCGTGCGTTGCACCTAATCTCACTGCAACGTCTTAATTTCAGGTCAAATTCTGCTCAAATTTAGCCATTTTCAATCACGAACAACTCATGCCACAAAACGTTTTGAGCGCCTGGAATAGCTCCAAACGGCTCTCCTTTGATATGCCTTACACACTGATGCTTTATCTCAATTTCTTTTAGTTCATTGCAAATCCTTGAAAATCATCATTTTTTCATGAGTATTAGCAAGGGAAAATTGTTGAAAATCAAACGATCACGTTTTTCGCCACAAAAATGAAGACTTTTTCCATGATACATATCAGATCAAATTGATTGTAGAGACGGAATACAGCAGTAGAGACTACTTTTTTTAGACTTTCATATGCTAAATTTTGACATTTCCGCAGAAAACCTATTTTCAAATATCTCAAGATTGCTCTTTATTTTCGGTCTGAAAGCTGAATGCAGCCAGTATCATTCGATGCACCTTCATTGACTCTTTATAAATGCTTTAGAAGATAAAGTATAATAACGACAATCCTCATAGTCAAATTTAGCAAAAACGTTTAAAGAATGTGGATTCAAGTCGCATTTGAACATGAAAATACCCACTGCACAATTTCAAATTAAAGCGCAGCAGTTACGGCTGCCACGGCAGAAGACTGAGACTAAATCTACTGGCCGTGACGTCGGTTAGGGCACCCTCTCATTTTCCCATACCACCGTTTTTTATCCGTTTTGCAAAACGCGTTTAGTATCAAAACATATTGGTTTTGGAACCCTTTTGATTGAAAATAACACTCTAGCTTCTGATAACATGGCCTTGCACTGTTACAAGTACTTGCTTCTGCTTCTTTAAAGTGGAATATAGTACGTAATATTCGATAACGAGCACTGGAAGACGTAAAATCAGCACTAATCGAATTTGTTTATTAGGTTTTGATAATTTTTTGCCTGTTTGGCGTAGGTGCTGCTGCCATTACTTCTCTGCTATCTCTGCTATCTCTGCTGTCTGCTTCTTTGGTTTATCATGTCTGATAGCTGCTTCTTTGGTCTCTCTCTCTGGTGGTTGCTTCTTTAATCTTTGTCTGGTCTCTGGTGTCGCTCATTGTTCGGTTTTTCTCTACTGCTAGTGTTGCTGCTGGTGTTGCTGCTGGTGTTGCTAACCTGGTCTTTCCTGTTGTACTGTCTTTGGTGCATGCTCGTTCCCTGGTCTATATCCGGTGATTGCATATTATCTGGTCTATTTTTGGTGGCGGTAAGTGGTAATTGACCTCTTTAATCTTTGTTTGGTCTCTGCTGGTAGCGTTCGTACTTTGGTTTTCCTCTGGTGCTGGTGTTGCTGCTGCTGCTAATATGGTATTTTCTGGTCTGCTGTCTTTGGTGCATGATTCTTCTCTGGTTTATCTCTGGTGGTTGTCTATTCTTTGGTCTATCTGTGTCTATGGTAGGTGGTAAGTATCTTTTTTTCTTCTGGTCGCAATGATAAATGACTTCTTTGAATGTTGGTATTATTGCTTCCTTTCTCATGATAATGCATTCATGATGTTTTCTTTGTTGCGCTTTGTTGCGTTTTCTTCTTCTTTTGCTGGTTTTGTTTCCTCTGTGGCTTCACATGAAACAACGTTAGTCATTACGCTGTATTGCACACTTATAATACCATTACTGTTGCTTTTGCAGTTGTTGTGCGTGTTTATGTTGCTTTACATCCGACTATTACTACCGTGCACATTGCTCATGTATGCATTTTTTGTTGCAACAACAACGAGCTTTTTTGAACATCTTTGATGTTGTATTTGTGATATGCTTTTCTTTGACCCACTTTGTGTGAGTGTCCTTTTTTTTGCCTACGTACTACTATACTCCTATAGTGATATGTTCTTTTCTTCTTTTATTATTGTTATGTTTCTTTTGAAGCATAACTTTTTTTACGTTGTGTGGATGTGCCTATCCCTGAAGCTCAACAAGACTTTATCCGAGGCTAGGAGATAGATAGGCTGTCTCCACTTGGTTATCGCTACTTACTTTAGTGATGATTGAGGGTCTCAATGCCAGAATTTAAAAGCTAGATGATGTAAGTAAGGCATGCTCTAGCACCTGGGGGAAATTTGATGATAACTACCGCTATATTGCTATATATAGCGGTGTTTAAATTTTTGCCTCACATCAAAACAGAGGGAAACCCTCGCAATTTTTTTTTAGGTCAGCGGAGTTTTCAAGCAATCTGATTGGCTCAGGGGTTGAAGGAGAAAAGGTTGATTTTCTGTTGATCTGCCATTTAACATTATTTTGTCTTTTGTAATAATAAAAGCGTAATCAAATCAAAACAATTTAAATCCTTCTTTGTTCAAGAGTAGTATAAGGTGCGATTATTGAATTTAACAGGCATTAAATAATTTTATGTGAACGATGTTTTTATAAATGTATTTTGTAAGGGAACTAATATAATAGACACTGCAGCAGTACGCTAGGTACAGGGTTCTCCCAGTACCAAATTTCCCGCCAAACATTCGATGTACGGCACATCATTCATTTCCAATATGTTATGTTTCAACTTTTCCATCAAGATTTGTTATCTTTTACCTCATTGATGAGTTCGTAATAATAAGTCGATGATAATAATCGGTTGTCAACTGTATCTAAAACGAAAGCAAAGAGCTTCTTTATTACAGGGCATCTAACTAGCTTGAATATGATAGATCCCTGGTCAATGACTACTATGTTCAGATGGTAAATAAATAGCAGGCCACTGGGGTCTTATGGATTGTTGGTATAACTTGTTGAGAGGCCACCTAAGTCGATATGTTTCATGTAGTGTAGGTGGATCTCGATATCTTGACATTAGGGAGATTGAATCTATTGTAGTTCCGGAGGCACTTGTGCACATATAATTGACTGGATTTGTAAACATAGATGTGATGTGATACGATAAACATCATCTATGTTGCTACACTGTAAAAGTGGCTAGAGGAGAAAGTGAATGTACACTATGTGGAATACATCCACTATGATCTGCATTCCGACAGTTCATCCAGTTACTAGATTTAGATATAAACTGTATGTACGCTGGATTAGATGTACGATATCGATTTATACTATAAGAAGATATGGACTTCAGATACGCTAGTACTACTGTAGGGGGAAAAACTGTCCCGTTCGTTCAAATAATCTTGACTTTTACCCAGTATATTGCCAAAACTCAGAAAACAAAGCTACCCCATACTGCGTTCGATAGAACAGCCTATAGGGATTACAGCAACATAAAAACCTTATAGCTGGACTATATTTTAATCCCAGTATAACCAGCTAAAGTGAGACGTGGCAAAAATGTTAGGTGGGTAATTCTAGATGATATAAAATGGTTGATATCTTTACTTCCAATAGACGTATTGAAGAAATCTAAAAAACTACCCGCGGTATGCTCAGGATATTTAATATCCCAGGAGCACTCTAAAAGTGTAAAAGAAGCTAGTTTCTTCATGTTTTTTCTTTATTTCTTTGCTTTCTTATTTTTTTTTCAAAACTTTCATTTTGCCTGCTCGTTTAACACAAGATTTGCGCAACATTCTCCAATCTTTGCTCCAACGTGGTCTTTCCCTCTCAAAGATAAAGAATTTGTGTCCAGGAGTGGGTAACTCTACCCTTACAAGGCTCAGAAAACTATATTGCCCTGACCCAGCTAGACCTCTTGGCGGAAGACCGAAAAAACTTGGTGCTAAAACTATGTCCCTAGTGTCAAGAGGACTTCGATCAGGTGCTTTAGATAATCCCCGAGCAGCACAAGAAATTTTAAGATCGATGGGCCATGATATGTCCATTAATGGCATCCGCAAGTCATTGAGACGAAATGGACTTAAATCTCGTAGAAAAGTAAAGACCAATTTTGTTAGCAAGACAAACAAGCGGCTTCGATTGGCGTGGGCTAAAAAGCATAGGCATCTTACTATTGCTGATTGGCGTCGTTGGGTGTTTTCGGATGAAACAAGAATAAACCTTCGGGGCTCAGATGGTAATTCTTTTTACTGGACGAATGGTGACCGAACCATGCAGCCTCATCAAGTCAAGCCTCAGTTGCAGGGAAATGACGGTGGGTTATGTTCTGGAGTTGCATAACAGCGGAGGGGCCTGGTTATGGTACTACCATTATTGAAGACGCAATAAACTCGGGCCTGTATGTCGATATTTCGAAGACATCATTGAACGACACTCTTGAGCACTTTGGGAAGACACCATCTGATGTGCGATTTCAACAAGACAGAGCAACACCGCATACATCGGGCATTACTAAACAATGGTTTACTGACAATGGGTTTAACCTAGACGAAATAATGGATTGGCCACCCCAAAGTCCCGATCTTAATCCCATTGAACATGTCTGGCATCTCCTAAGGCTTCGTCTTAATAAGTATCCCACTAGGCCCTCTACAAAAGAAGAATTAGAGCGGCGTATTAACATTCAGTGGTACAAAATAACAGAAAAAGAGTGCCAGAAATATATTGATAGTATGCCTGCCCGAATCAAGGCTGCCATCAAGAGCAAAGGTGGTTCAACTCACTATTAATGATTTTATAATAAAATGTACATTTTTCTATATTTATTTTTAACCAATAAAATCATTGGATTTTAGTTTTTGAAACAGTTATAATTATGTATAGATAGCACTAATTTCTCTCATTCAAACGATATATATTTCGACTTTGTATACAAAGAAATGACCAAAAACTTGTGCAAAAAGACAAAATTTTAAACGAACGGGACAGTTTTTCCCCCTACAGTATTTTGGCATTCAGAACTTAGTATAAATAGAATAACTCTTGTCTTCATCAATAAATCTTTAGTTTTTGTGTTTGATCTTATTCAAATAAGTCTTTTCTTGTTTTTATAATATCGAACATTTTTTATAAGCTACAAATTATTATAATCGTTTTATTCTTTGTGCTTAACAGAGTCTCTTGACCCCCTTAAGTTTGTTTTTCTGTTTGGCCTCTATTCTGTTCATTATAGAAGTAGTATTGATCGTAATAGCTACTTGACGTGTCAGAACCCTTAATAGTTGAATAAGCGTAATTTTACTAAAAGCACAGGTAATTTACATCCTGTTACCGCGCCCTCTCAACAATATGCATTATCAAATCATACGGGGTAATTTAAGATGGGGTGTCTGTAGGGATACATGGTTTTCAATTGAGCATGTATGAGTTTTATGAGACTGTATGACCCAGAAATATGTTTCTATGTAGCCAGAGGTGCTTTTTATATTTATAAAGTATATAAATAGAAAAAAAATTTCAACAAAATTGTCGATACCTCCAGGTCCTAAATCTCGAATGCAAAACTCGAAATTTCGTATAGTGTAGCATCTATAGTGTAACTTCTATGGAGTGTAACATCTATGGAGTGTACGTTTGAGTGACAATAAATCCAATTCTAGTGAAGGTACACATACCAAATAATACTCAATACATTGCTGGAGGCTTTATGAGCATATTTTGCTTTCACTTGAGCGCAGCTTTACTATGCTAAACCCTTGGAAAATACCAAAAAAAGGAAAACATCCGCAAATGTTTTCGACGAATATGTATTGCAGTGGAAACAGATTGAAAGACATCACAAAGGAAATGAGCAGTAGAGCTTAACTTTTATCTATTTGTGTATCAAAATAATATAAAGGTTCTGGAATTGAGTAAGAAAGAAGGGTATCTTTATACATTTTGCAATCAACTTGTAGTGTGAGTGATGATAGATGTAATAGAGCACAATGGTCCTGTTGTATTAAAAAAGACAGATATACCACAAGTGGACAAGGCTAGTGTAATGAAATAGCTATCCAAACGCAACTTGATTGAAAACCGTGTTTAGGATTTATTAGGTCATCTCTGAGAGGCAAATGTATTATACAACGTATAATACAGGAGAAGATTTGAGAACGAGCAGATATGCGCAGTAGTTTGAGGTTTCTTTATTCAAGCAGCACAAAGGAACATGAAGGCTGCCATCAAATGGCTAATCTATATCCTGGTTCCTAGAGTGTGGTAGTAGCCTATGATCTTTCGTTATTCTAAACGAAAAGAAGCCTGGTTAAATTGGCAGTTGTATCGATAATAGTGTTGGAATACTTGATTTTTTTTATACTAGTTTCGCTACACTTTACTCGCTTAATTATCTACAAGCAGTGTAGCGAGTAAAAATTTGTTTATATGTTAAGCATCCCCTCAAAGTGGGCATATAATGTTCTACTATGAAGGCTCTAGCATCAACATGAGGCGCTTCCCCTTCTTGGTAAAATGCGCAGCATTACTTCTTAACCCCTTTGTCAAATTATTATTATAGTAAAACGAGATACAAACAAGCGGTCGTTGACTACAATAATGCTTTGAATCAACTTATCTTTTGATTTTTTGGTTGTAATTGCTTGTAATGAAAAGATCATATTTGAAGAAGTGGCAAATCTTGTACTCAAAGTGGACAGCACGCTAAAATTTGTACACGTCCTTCAGTATATAAATGATAATGGCTCGCTGATAAATTTTTGGGTTTTTAAACCTTTCGTGGCCATATTTAGATTCATTCGGCTCATGCTGGACCTTGGTTGCCTGTGATGTTGTCTATTTTCTAGTTGTTTGTTCAATGTCAGTGTCTTTTAACAGAATAGCAGCCAAATGCGTGCTTCCAGTAAAATGAGAAACGAACAACGAAATTTTCCAACTACAAATCTGAGGGCAATGCCTTTCTTGAGCTAGAGCAAGTCAATACCTCCTTTATCCACTTAGTGAAGCTTGATTCCGCTCATAACTAAGGCTATCGCCAGGAGATTGCTTGAAAAGCACTTGACATGAGGATTTCATTCATTGTGTGCCAAAATCAATCAGGGTACTTGTCATGTATGGCCGTTCCCTGTGTTTGTAATGCTTTCTTGGGGTCATCCGTGCCGGCAATTGCCTCGACTGTGTCTCTGCAACCAGCGTCGATTGTATACACAATCTCTGATAGCAGTACATGCAACTGGATTCACCTTGTAGGCGAAAAGGTCTGGAATTGGTGGAGTTTTTTCAGACAGTCATGTTATGCTACTCGATTGCGCAATTTGATCGGTGCCATAATGATAAAGACCTTTTTGCACTATTATACTAAGTGTTAATGTGTCTACACAACACATTTATTTTGCATATGTAAATGCTTCTTACTAGATCTCAAGTACAGATATTCTATGTGCATATGTATGTTGTACTTTTAATAAGAATGCACAACAGTTGATTGCACTGAAAATATTAGGCCATGGACGGCTTGCAAATCATCAAGCCATTTTTGCCCGATACTTATGATAGGTCTCGAAATTGACATTGTTGAATGTTTATTAATTAGTAAAAATACAAGCTATAACAATATACATGGTATTTATGAAGACAAATCTGTGGTATCATCGCCTATAGGTGTGATGGAAGTAGATTTCTATAAGAAAATGTTAGATTCTGCGTCATTCGGTCAATCTAATGTACACAACTTACAACAGCACTACTGAGCATTTGGGCCTTCAATTCGTCTATATCAAATTTCTGCATTAATACACTGCTTCTATGTCAATCTTTTCACCGTAGCCTACCAAATTTAGCATCACTCAAAGGCGAGAAACGAATTGGATTGTCATCTTCTGGATGATCGTACAAAAACGATTCTGTGATTGAGAGTTGTGCACTTTGATGAGCTAATTTTGCAAAAATAGCAATATCATGGCGGTATCTATCCATCATTTATCGTCAATACCACATCTTAGACAGACATAGTCTCTGTATACACCTACAGTCTATATGCTTCCTTGTTGTTACAGTATTTATCGTTCAATCCATCGAGTACCACCTTCTTGAACATGTTCTTTAGATAGTGAAGCACATGAAATGTGTAATCCTGATATGGCCTCCAAACTGGAAATTGCTGAGAGATGCAAACATTACCCTTGACATCAACAAGTGGATGAAACAGATCTGTCAGAAGCGTAATGGAAGGTGGTTGATTTGGGTAATTATCAGGTAACGTCAATCGAAATTTGAATGTGCCTGAACGATAGAATCCCTTGTGCACGAATAAAACACCATACCATACTATCAAGAATCCGAGTTAAGTCGCTTCAAGGTGATGGCATTCTTGGTTTTTTTTTTTTTTTTTTTTTTTTTTTTTTTTTTTTTTTACCATGTAAATCTTCTGTTGATGGCATGACATAAACACCCAAAGGACAATGGCTAGGATTTCGTAAATTGATGCTATGATAAAGGAGAGGGAGTCAACAGGAAATTCGGGTTGTACTATAGGCAATTCTCAAATTACAGTTCGGTCATGATTTCGTATCTACTGAAATGTTCGGATGTCAGTCGAGGTGCTTTAGGGATGGGTTCTCCGAGGCCATCTTCATCCTCTTCGTCGTATATGGAATGAAGGAAATGATTAGATGATGATGGCTCTTGAGGTTGTGATAGTCTTTTGCCAAGACGTCCAAATGTTGCGCTCTTTGTTCTATCCAGCAATGAGCGTTTTGAGCCTGCATTTATCACTGAATGCTGTAAACTACTGGTTCTTTTAGGAGTCGTGTTGAAGCTATCCATTGGTATATTTGTAAATGAAGAAACAAAAAATATATTTAATTTGGAATGTGTAAATTTCTTTCTCCAATGTTACCTCGTGTCGTCACTTAATTTTTCCCTCTCTACACAGTTGCATGTAGAATTTTAGGTGCGTTGAATTGATAATAGCTCCCTATCATTTACAATTTCCATAGGTTACCAATAAGATCTACACCTTCAAAATTAGATCTTGCTCCTCTCTCCTCTCTAGCTCGCTCTGAATGTGGCTGAAGAACCTTGGCTTTTTAGAAGAAACAGAACAAAATGATCGAATCAAGCCAAGAAATGACAGACACTACATGATTGTACACCCGATTTCGACTATAATTGATATGTGTGAGAGTAACCACAAACTAAAATCCAAGTGTGATTCTTGGCTTGGATCACCATTGCTGTTTTCAATCAGATTTCGTATTTGTCTGAGGAGTAACATCGACAGAAAGGTATACAATGTGCATTGTTGAATCGATATTATAATAAAAATGGGATTTTAGTAACTGTAATACAAGATGTATATCATGATTAATTGCTCTGGATACAATTCACCCTTTGTCTATCAAACAAAGAGATGAGCCCTTGGCTATTCTCTTCTCACCCGAAGAAAGTCATTTGCTTTTTGTTTAATTATAGATCAAATATATATATATCTTGAAAGCCAGCGTTTATATTTGCTACCGTACTATGGTGTTGTGTGCCTGGCATTTGTGTGAAACTACATCATCTTAATTACGAAAATGGATTAAACAGCTCCTTGCTTTTTTTATTTCTCGCTTTCGTTCTTTCTTTCCTTCTTCCCTCTTTTTCCCTTTTATTTTTTTCTCTCACAACACTTGCAATCATGTCAATGGACACTCCTCCTTTTGATCCTTCTGATTATTCCTATGTGATTGGTATCGGTAAGAACATGTTGCTGATCTTTGTATAGCATTGCCATGGTAACTAATGTAAATGCGTGTATTTGATGATAGATTTTGGTACCACTTTCTCTGGGTGTTGTTATGCCTTTTCAAAAGATGGAAATGACGAAATCATTGACATTACTAAATGGTACTACAAAGAGCCCACGGTACGCCAGCAAGTCAACTAACACTACTGATAGGCCCAAACAACAAAATGTATATCCCAAGACACCCACACTCTCATTGTATAGAAACGGCTCTACTAAGCTGGTTGCTTGGGGTCAAGATGCTAAAAAGACAGCCATGAAGCGCAATAACAATGATCAACTACTTTCACGTTTCAAGTTGCAGCTGGATGAGAATTTAAATTTAGCTCCATTACCAAACGGTTTAACAGCTTTGGAGGCAATCACTGACTATCTCGAGGCATTTCACTCACATGTATGCAAGGACCTTCAACGTGGATTTGCAAACAACTATGATCAGAGCAAATTTCGTTACTGTTTAACGGTGCCTGCCATGTGGAGCGACCAAGCAAAAGCAACCATGAGAGAAGCTGCTATTCGAGCCAACATTATCAATCGATGGGATCATCCCAACAGACTCATGTTGATCAGCGAACCTGAAGCTGCTGCTCTTTATTGTGAAAAGAAGTGTGATCAGTTCAATCTGGGACATGGCCAACGATTCTTGATTTGTGATGCTGGTGGAGGAACTGTGGATCTTATCGTATTCGAGATTGATGATTCTGGTGAGAGAAGGGCTTTGAAAGAAGTGACAAAGGGCCTCGGTGATTCTTGTGGTTCCACCTTTTTGGATATTCGTATGCGAGAGTATTTGAAGGATCGATTTTATCATCACGGTAAGGTCAGCGATACAGCCATGGAGTCCATGATGGAAACTTTCATTGATACAATCAAGGTAAGCACTAAATGAAAGGGAGGTGTGATGGTGGTAGTCGTAGTAGCCGCCGTTGTAGGAGGGAATAAGACAATTCCCCTTTTTCAAAATCTTTTGTGTGTGTGCGTGTGTGTGTGTGCTGATTATTATGATTCTCCCCATTCTAAATCCCCTATCCCTATTTTATAGCCTGAATTTGACGGAGATGAGGACCAGTATCTCGCCTTGCCTGCAGCACTAGGTATTGAAGGTGTCGATGATCCAGACGCAGGCATTGAAGACGGCACACTCCATATTCCCTGTCATGAGCTGCGTCAACGAGTATTTGAACCTGTCATCAACCAAGTCATTGATCTGATCGAGGAACAAGTACAACAATCATCCACTAAACTAGACGCTGTGTTCTTGGTCGGCGGTTTTGGTCAATCAACATATCTTTACCGACGAGTATTAGCCGAATTTCAATCTCGAGTTGGATTTATTGGTGTACCACCTCGTGGTGAACTAGCAGTTGTTCGTGGTGCAGTTTACTTTGGTTTGAATCCTCATATGGTGACAGAACGTGTATCGAGACGTACATACGGTCTTGAAACCAGAATGGTATTTGATCCTCGCAATGATCCTCCTGAGCAATGCATCAAGGGTGATGATAACCGGCTGTTCTGTAAACAACGTTTCAGTGTCTATGTGCAAAAGGGTCAGACCATCAATGTGGATTACTGCGTGTCAAAGAACTTTATGATTGCCTATCCAAACGACACAGATACAGGTTAGTCAAAAAACTTTTTTTTATATTTATTTTTAATGGGATCATTTCTCTAATCCTCTTCTCCTCTTTCTTTCTCCTATTTTTACATGTACAGATTTATTTGCTTATGATGGCGATGGCCCCATTCCTCGTTTAACAACGCATCCCAACGTCTTCAAGGTGGCTCGATTCCCCATCAAAATGCCGAAATTTGCTGATGTTCAAAAGGGACAACCTATCTTTATGACCATCAAAATGTACTTTGGCCAAACAGAAATCAAGATTGAAGCTCACATCCGCGATCGCAAGTTCACCTTTACCTCTGCTTTTGAGACAATGGAGAGAGAAATGATGCATTCGCTAAATTCGCAAACCAATATACTATCCATCAAGCCCGACGAGAATAACGAGAATGCATATGCAAACAACGGTGGTGGTAGTGGCAGTATGTATGGATATACTGGTAATGCATCAGGCTCCAATGTGTCATCATCAAATCACTATGGCTCTTCTCGCCCTCCATCCCTTCCTTCCAGAGACAATGGCTATCCCTCGCCCATGTCAAATGCCCGTAGCATTAGAGAGGACGATGGTACATTCTATGATGGAGATTCTAGACACTCGTCTACCATGAACGGTAGCTCAAGGAAGATATTTGGCATCAAGTTTGGCAAGAAACGATAAAGCATCTATCACCAATTTACTTTTTATATAATATTCGTAATAATACACCTTTTCTTTTATTCATCTCGTTCTAAAATACGCCATTAAATATGTACCATTGTGTTCGACAAAGCTGCATCTGCATAGGTGGGACTAATTGCTGGTGGAGATAGGCGCACTCAGAAACTGTCGACTGTCAACGAAATTGCAGCCATCATTCCCAATGAATATTCTGATACAATTTCTAAAGATACCCTCACTATATGCCGAAAATGCTTTTTAGTCAGCGGCAATAGTCTTTTAAACGAATCAATGTAATGCTTTTTGTCTATATGTCATGTTGAAATGCTGCAAGTTATGATGAGGAAGTCGCAATTATATGTATTGTGGTAGTAAGCCAGGCTGGCTGGCGTTGTCAGATATCAAAATACCCCAAAAAAAAAGCAAAGAAAACTACACAGGCTAAGCGTTAATCCTCTCGAATATATGATTCTCATTTGAGCAGCATCCCAATCATCATTATCATCATCAGAAAGGCATTTTGGTCATCCAGCAGCGCCAAAACCGATTCAAACTCAGGTTGTTATTTCTGCTCAAGATTGGCCAAACCGTGTTTTTTTTCGACTTGATCGATCTATTTTGTAAGATTCGATTATATAAATTGTGGTGATCATCTAATGCTTCCTAATACGTTATTGGAGTACTTTTCGAGGCACTTCCAATGGTACCAAGTAAAATAGATGTTTTGACTGAACTTATTGAGCAATTTGGTAAAATATGAAATGAGATTTTTAACGAAAATAGCCATATTTTGCATATGAAAACCTCATAAAAGTGGTTTCAGAGGTTGCTTTGGATCGAGAGAAACATTTTGATTCAATATATACCATAATAAAAGTCTTCATTTTCAAGATGAAAAACGCGATCGTTTGATTTTCGATGAAAACCATGAGGTACCCCTCATGGTTTTTGGTCGATTTTTGGCCATTTTTTTTTTGGCCCAAAAAGTTGAGCAAACGTGCCAAGAAGTTGCTGCTATTCGAGTACAATTATTTGGCGTCATTCCGGATGCTCGGAAAGATCTACATGTCAAGATATTCATGCTTGAAAGATGTCAAATTTGGCTGTGTTTTATACATTTGCTTGTCAATAGGCGCGTTTTTGTTTTGATACAAGGGCGTAAAGACATTGTACGCATTAATCTAGATTCGGCTCATACTGTTACATTCAAATATTCAGTTGGAAATATTAAGTTGAGTGGTGTTGTTGTATCGCTGTATCATAGTACAACCATACAGCTTATTAGTGAGGAGGTAGCGGTTGTAAGGCACGCTGCACCTTTTAGACGCAATAGATAGTCTGCATCTAGTACAGCATATAATATACTGATGCACTTCAAACAATGATAACTTAGACTGAGTGCCTGTGAAAATGCACTGCCTATTTCGCGTCGTTTGTTTTGACGTTCTCTTCTTCCATACATAACGAGGCTCTGATTTGATATGTTCTGTAAAACCGGCATGATTCCACCATGAATAAAGAACATTATACATTTGGTAAAAAAAGGCGCGTTGATCAGATTGCAAGTATTGACAAATCAGGTTGATCATTGTTTTAATGGGAGACACTGCTATAGTTGTTGTGGGTTCAATTCTCAAAAGCATCAGAGCACAATTTTAAAGACGATGTAACGATTCAGAAGCACTAGAAGACTCGATCTTCAAACGAGGATAGATTTACGATAAATAAGCAACCAAGAATCTGGAAAACATAAAATTGAATGAAAATACACCTCAAATTTCAACAGCACAAGCAAAAGATGGAATACTACGAGAGAAAAAAGAAAAGGGCAGAGTCAGGATAGCTTCGATTGCTGTTCCAAGTTTAAAGTTATATATAAAATGATACCTATATATTATTTATAAACATTTAAATTGACCCCCAAATGCCCCCCTTTTTTTTCTCTTTCCAATCTTTTGACAAGCTCAATAAGCAATTGACAAAAAGATTCTACACTGGAAAAGAAAAATACATGTAAAAAAAAAGATGGGTGGGAAGGCTGCTGCTGTCTTCCCTGCACTCTGTGTATCTTTATTTCTTGAAACAGAATCCTCCACTTGCAATTTAAGCAGATTCTTCCATGACATTACGCTCGGAGACGTAAATACCATCCAAAAACTTACGGATATCCTTATTCTTGACGAGACAAGATTGTTGAATATCAGCGGCAGATTGAGAGACGTTTTCCAAAGAGTTACCAGTCAAGGTAAGTTCATCCTTTTGGTTCTTGGAGGCAGCGACAGTGACACCTTCACGCATCTTGACATGGAAGACAACCTTTTGACCCAAAAAGTTACGGATCTCAACAGCATCAGCAGCATCGTTGATGATAACGTTGATGGGGAAATGAGCGTAGACATAACGCAACTTGTACTCGAAACCCTTGGTAACACCAACGATCATGTTGTTGATCAAAGAGCGGACAGTACGGATACAGGCAACGTGCTTACGGAGACCGTGGTGGACAACAAACTTGATCTTTTGTCCAACAACAGTGATCTCAATGTTCAAGTGACGAAGGTTCTTGGTAAGAACACCACGGGGACCTTCAACGGTGACTTGGCGAGACTTGATGGAAACGGTGACACCCTCAGGGATGGCGAGTTCGTCTGACTTGTAGATGTCTTTCATGTCTTTGGTAGATTGTGTTAGTTTGATGAACAGATGGATGGATGGATCACAGCAATGTCTTACCGAATGGATATACAAAGGAAGTTGCAGCTAGGAAGGAAGGAATCCATCTGGATCGACATTTAATGGTTGATATTCACCATTTGGATCTTGGAGGTCACATTTGATAGGATTCCCGGGTCGAACAGAAAAAATTTATGGATCAATCTCCTTTGGAAACTGGATGTTCAGTGCCACATGTTGCCTATCCAGCTGGATTTTTAATGTCACTAGCGAGAGCCAATGTCGAAAAGTGCACATATACCGTTGGATAAATATGGATGACAGGAACATTGGCAGTACGGTTTAACATTGGAAGTGTATGCTTGCATTTGGTCAATATCCCAGATCATATGCTTTTCAATTGATGAAATCCCAATGTCTCTTGTTCAGCAGAAAACACTCATGGTCTACCTTCAGCATCAGCATGCACCAAACTTGCAGACAACTTATTACAGTCAAGTACACCGTTCCCTATCCACTAATTTAATCAATTTGAGAGATCTGCTGGAGCATTGATCTGTGACCGGCCAGGGGTATTAATCCATGCAACCGCTTTGAGGGCAAAACTTGTTTTTCTCTTTCTGCAAAATATATATCTCATAAAAACAAAATACCACTATGCCTGTCAGCAAAGCGAGGCGAACAATCATTCAAGATTTCCTAAAAGAGAAGCAAAACTATAGCAGTGAGTGGTGTTGTTGCAATATCACTTTCTCGTCCATCACCGACATTGGACGTCATGTCAACCAATGTCACCAAGCCGAGATTGATATCAGAGAGACCAAGAAACAAGAGGAGAAGCAAAAAAAAGAAAACAACCTATACTTATTGAAACAGAGGAGAGGAAAGAAGGTACTTGGCATTCGAATGTATCCATTGGCAATATGCACTCATTAGTCACCCAGGGCTCTTCTGATCCCATCGCTACAGAGTGTCAATGTCAGCTCGAGAATTCCAAAGTGATATTGTTCTACAGATATACTCTGGTAAAGGACCCAGTCAAGTTTGCGTTGGATCATCAGTCATATTGTGGTAGCATGACAGGCAAAGTGCGTATCGCTGGTGAAGGCATCAATGCAACATTGGCAGGCTCCAATGAAGATATAGATGCCTATCTGAATTGGCTTACAACAACACAACCTTTTGAAGATGGTGCTTTGAGCGAACTGAGGCAGCCCGTCAGCTTGAATCTAGACGACCCCACCACTGCTCGATATAAGTTTTTCAAACCATCACAAGGATGCAGCCACGTATTCTCAGAGCTCTCCATCAAACTCGTAGATGAAATCTGTCCCTTGGGTCAAACAACCGTTGTTTTAGGCAAATTGCAGAAACCAGATCATGGACACGGCAAGTTAAGTCCTAGAGACTTTCATGCCATGCTATCCAAGCGACATCAAGATGACTTCATATTGCTGGACACCAGAAATTACTATGAAAGCAAGATTGGACATTTTGAGGGTGCCATTCAGCCACCTATCCGAAAGTTCAGCCAATTTCCAGACTATGTGGAGCGCAACAAAGATGCGATGCAAGGCAAAACCATCTTGACGTACTGTACAGGGGGCATTCGCTGCGAAAAAGCCACGGCATTCATGCGTCAAGCATTACCGGGCGAGGAAATTTTTATGCTGGATGGAGGCATACATAACTACATGGAATGGTGGAAGCATAAAGACATTGACAGCGAGGACCCTGTGTGGCAAGGCAAAAACTACGTTTTCGACGCAAGACAATCCTTGGGCCTCCAAGACGATAGCATAGTCAGTCAGTGTCAAACGTGTCAACAACCTTGGGATAAGTACAAGAAATGTGGGTCTGCTGGATGCCATTTATTGGTTTTGTGCTGTGATACCTGTTGTGCACCTGATCAACAAGTGTATTGCTGTGATGACTGCCATCATGGCCAACAAAACGGGCTCTGTGCTTGCGAGAAAGAGCGAAGACAGAGAGAAATGCAACGACTTCAAGTGCAGTAGCTTGGGATGCCTTAAGAGTAGTTTCATACAAATGTGAACTGTTTGTATTACAAATAAACCAAAGATCTTTTCATTGAATTGAAATTTCTTAGAAATATATAAATCAATTGTCTTGCAATATTGTCATCTCTATGAAATTGCAAGTAGTATTTCCAACTACATCCAAGGGCAAAGACAAGATGATGAGGAAGCCTCTTTTTCCTCCAGACACACATTCCTGAACACATCGTTGCTGGCAGCCGCTCCATTGAAATCATGGTTGATCTTGGCGATGATTGCTTTGTGAAGGAATTGTAAGTTTTTTGAATGGTGCTGAAAGCAGTGTTGATGGCAAACTAAAAACAAGATTCGTTACGTATCAGATGCATTTCTGGTTATACGTTTTATTTTGAGAAAAAAAAAGCTAATTGCAACAAAAAGCTCGATTCAGTCTAAATGATCTCCTGTTGATGAGCATTGCTCCCGAATGCAAACAGAAGAGCAGAATGTCCTTATAACGTAGTTGAGAGTCTTATGGTTCCGTCGATCAAGTACAAAATGGTAAGGGTAGAGTATATTTAGAGGAGCAGAATGTGCTGCTGAAAGAGATGGACCAGTTCTGACAGAATGCTTTGAGCTACTTTGCATTGCTGTTATAACAACCTGACCTTGATACAGTATATCCATCTGTTTTTAGTTTATTGATGATATTAGCTGTTTCCAGCGAATGGGCATTGCACTTCAGCGTATATTTGGGTACACTCTTGATTTCTCAAGTACATCTCCAATAGTGTTGAGCTCCATCGACCACACATAAGATGATTCCAAGGTCGATTGACTGTAGTCCTCTCCACGATAATTGATTCGACATTCGGATATTTGTACATGAGATAATTGATAAAGTGTGGGTTGTATGTTACATCAACTCTAGTTGAGTGCTTTGAGTGTAATACATTGCTGCTATTCATTGATTAATGTTTGTTTCACATCTTGTCGAGCGCATCGCTGCACTCTAGGACAGCTCATGATGAAGGACAAAGGACAACATGAGGTATTTCACTTGATTTGGCACTCTTTGATATGTTAGGTTTCACATCAACTACTACGACATGATTAAAAAGACCAAAGTCGAGATGTATACATTCGACATGACACAAATTACTGCACAGCATCTTCTGGATTTCCTGCGATTAGAGAAACCACCTCCCCGGGATTTCCCTCTCAAATTCAGTATATGAAATGGTCAGGGCTGAAATTAAGAAGTGATATCATGATCAGTTGAGATTTCTGCCATGACATTTATGGAAATCCACTAGGCTTAAAATACGAAAGGGGATCCTCGAGAAAGTTGATTATGATGGAGGGAGGCTCACTGGCAAACGTGTATGGGCGAGCGCAGCCTTTTTATTTCTCATGGGGACATCAGCAGATCAGCAGCGCTAGATGATGTACAACTTGACATGTTTTGCTGCACATATGGCTTCACGAGACTTGTATGATTAACTGCAGTGTATAGTTGATACCTTACATATGTAACAAGGGATGTCTACGCTATCTGATGGGAGATGTAGGCTATGCGATGAACATAGTAGATGATAGTTTATCTCAATAGCATCGTGCTCATAGACCGAAAAAGATGGATTCTTACCAGCCAAAATGAAGTTTCGATGTCCATTTCCATGTACTTCTTTGCAATTGCCTTGTTTAATCGCTGCTCCTGTTTAAACATTGATGAAATATTTTTTTCTTGTGTTTGTTTGACTCGGGTCCGCCATGTTTCTTCTTTTTTTTCTTTCTTGGTTATTTATTTCTCTTTTCTCTCTTTTTCTATTTCTAAAAACTTAAATTCTTTCTTTATATCAAACCTGTCTTGATTTACATTCACAAACAAGATTATCACTAAACAAATTTCAGCTGTAGCTCACACACATTTACAATCAGAATTTAGTTTTTTTTTTTTTTTTCTTCATATAAATCAAGGTAAACTATCGCACACGAAAAAAAAAAAAAAAAAGTCGCGTTTCATATGAATGTGTTGGTCAATGACGTTGTAGAGGACGAGGAGACAGAGACAAAGAGACGAGCGACCAGAAAACAGCACAAACCCGGTATTCACCCCCCCCCCTTTTTTTTTCATAGAGCAAGCAAAAGAAAATGGCAGCAACTGTACCACCACAGCAAGTTACAGCTGCCCAAAAACTGGCCCAAGTGAACGAACAAACTTGGTTGACGATGGGTGCGTATCAGCCTATGTATGAAATGTTGCCAAAATGTTAACATGTTGCGAAAAAAAATCAAATGACAGGTAATCTAGCAGAAATGATGACCGATTACGATAAAGCCATGAGCTGCTATGAATCAGCCCTTAGACACAATCCATACAGTGTGGTTGCCTTGTCTCAAATCGCGTCCTTGTGCAGAGGCCGTGAACAGTTTGGTAGAGCAGTTGATTATTTTAAACGCATTTTGGCTATTCAAGAGAACAATGGAGAAACTTGGGCCGCTCTGGGTCATTGCTATCTAATGATGGATAATCTTCAAGAAGCCTATCAAGCCTACCAGCAAGCTCTATACCATCTCTCGAATCCCAAGGTCAGTAGAACGAGAGAAAGAGGGGGAACGGTATCATTGACGCTGCATTCTAGGATCCTAAACTTTGGTATGGTATTGGTATTCTTTATGATCGGTATGGCTCGTTAGAACATGCAGAGGAGGCCTTCTCAGCTGTAATGAAGATGGATCCCAAATTCGAAAAGGCAAATGAGATTTATTTCAGATTGGGCATCATCTACAAGCAGCAACAGAAATACGATCTCTCCCTTCAGGTAAAATCATAGCAGTGACGGATGGCATGGATGTGTTGAGTTTACAGAATTCTGCTTGTAGTGCTTCCGTTATATCCTTCATAATCCACCAAGACCTTTAACTGAATCCGATATTTGGTTCCAAACTGGTCATGTCTATGAACAACAAAAAGAGGTAAATAAGGAGTTAGTTACACACACACACACACACACACAAACATGGATCAATAACACACCCACTCCCTAGTATGAACTAGCAAAAGAAGCCTACGAACGTGTACTTGCTGAGAACCCTGATCACGCCAAAGTATTGCAACAATTGGGTTGGTTGTACCATCAACAAAACACGTCCTTTTGTAATCAAGCATTAGCCATTCAGTACTTGACCCGTTCTCTCAAATCCGACAGCAACGATGCTCAATCCTGGTACTTGTTGGGCCGTTGTTACATGGCCGAACAAAACTACAACAAGGCTTACGAAGCCTATCAACAAGCAGTGTATCGCGATGCCCGCAACCCCACTTTCTGGTGCTCTATTGGTGTATTATATTATCAGATCAACCAATACCGTGATGCATTGGATGCTTACAGTCGTGCTATTCGTTTGAACCCTTACATTTCTGAAGTATGGTACGATTTGGGTACCTTGTATGAATCTTGCAACAATCAAGTACAAGATGCCTTGGACGCTTATCAAAGAGCTGCTGAATTGGATCCATCCAATCCTCACATCAAGCAACGTCTCGAGTTGCTGAGAAAGTCTCAAAATGTACAATCATCACAGCCTAGCAGCGCTCCCGTGCCTCAAGATGTCAGTAATCCCAGCCAATACCAAAGTGGTGGACACAGTGGACAGCCCTTGTCAGGTGCTTCTTACAGTCAATCTGCCCCTACAGGGCCTCCTTCCAGCATGTCTGCCTATCACACTGCTTTGGGTGGCGGCAATGCTCCTCCACTTCGCCCCAATGATGAGCGAGTACCTACACCACAATTACCTGTTGTCAACCACAACATGAATGCGCATGAAGGCAGCAACGGTCCTGCAAGAGATCTTCCTATGCCTGGTGCTCCTCCTGCTAGTGTAGGTCGTCGTTCGCCTGGTCCGTATGGCCAATATCCACCTTCCTCTGCTTCTCATCTCTCCAGCTCAAATCAACGTGAAGATGTCCGTATTCCTGATATTGGTGGAGGCCGTGCACCTACGCCATCGGATCGTTCTCAAATGAATCCCATCATCCATGATGAAAGACAGCAGCAGCAGCATCCTCACCACACCCCACCCTCGCTTCCACCTCAGCAGCAGCACATGCCTCCTCAGCACATGTCTCCTCAACAACAGCATCAAGCTCAACATCAACAACAGAGCCCACAAACCAACTTACCTCCCATGAGCATGCGTCAACCTTACAAAGAAGAGACTCGCTCACCTAATCCTGCACCCATGCCTTCCCCTCATTCTCGACCTTCTCCACGTACTTCACATCCATTGGCACCACCTAGTCAATACGATCATCGTTTGTCTCCTCGCGCCGGCCATAGTGACAGATTCTATGAACAGCAACAGCAACAACAACAGCGCTCACCTGCTTCGAGACCCATGGAAATCGATTCATCCAATACATCCTCGCCTCGTGTAGCACATCGTAGTAATGATTATCATCGCATGAAGCATGAAGAGTACAGCCGTTCCAGTGGCCCTCAGCCTATGGATTACGCCAAAGAAGAGGCAAAGAGAGAAGAGCACCATCAGCAACAACAGCATCACCAACCTCCTCCTCCTCCACCACCTCAGCAACAACGTCCTGTAGATGAGGATTACGATGAAAGCGCTGCTGACGCTTTATTAAGTATGGGTAACCCTCAATTGGGTCAGAAACGCGTATTGCAACATGAGCAAGAGGAAAACAAGAAACCTAGACCTAGTAACGATGAAGAGGACGAAAACAGAGCTCATCAGCCTCAAGCAGAGGAAATCAAAGAAGAGCCTGCACCTGCTGCTGCTGCTGCTGCTACTGCTGCTGCTGCTGCTGCTGCTTCGACCCCTACTACTGCTCCTGCAGCAGCACCCTCCTCGACATCGACACCATCCGCACCAGCACCAGCAGCTGTGGAAGAAGAGAAGGAGGAAGGAGAACATCAGGAAGAAGAAGAGCAAACATCTACGCCTACTACAGCATCGCCATCAGCAGCAGTGAAAGAAGCAGCTTCTGACGAGCATCCTCACGAATCAATAACGCCATCAACGGCTGCTGCACCTGCACCTGCACCTGCACCTGCTGCTGTTGCACCCACGAAAGAAGAGCCTGAAGAAGGAGAGGTTGAAGAACACGAAGAGGGTGAAGTCAAAGACGACGAGGAACAACAGCTTGAGCAGCAAAAACAAACCGATGTTGCTCCTACAGCTGCCGTGGCTGCTACCAATGCTGCTTCAGTGGCTGCATCACAATCGACTATAACAACAGCAAAGGAAGAATCTACTTCTTAAAAAAAAATCATCTTTCTGCAGGATCAGCATTCTTTTTTGTCCTTTTATACTATATCATTTATTTTGGCTTCTATACTCTCTCCACATTTGTTTTCTTACGTTATAAAATAAAATGTCTTATAAAAAAATGGGTAAGATCATGTCGATTGCATGGATCAATGCTTCATATCTGCAAAAGCAGTAGCATGAGGATGTGAGAGTGAAGTCGATTGCACTATCTTTGGTACAACACATCTTGGATCTTGATTTGATGGCCAAGTCACTTGATATTCGCAAAGCAATTATATTTAAGGATGCAGTTGAATAGATCCGGCATGGCGTCAGTGTTGTTGTAGTGGGATTTTGATTGATATCAAGTCGATCTAAGCAAGTCGGCTTTTGTAGAGCCCCAAAAGAGTTTTATGGAATCAGAAAAAAGAGAGACAAACTACTACAAACAATTGATCTATTAGGGGCATATAGACCGTTTTTGGACTTTCATGCAACTCCAAGATATTGTGGATACTGTACTACTCGGGATCCTCCGTATAAAGAGGGTAGTTCCTATAGATATTGCCATGATGTCACGAAGAATTCATTTCGCATGTCATAAAGCAAGGTGATACCACGATAACCAATGCAACAGATACTACATTTGGCGTTGGATGCTGAGCAAATACCTTGTTTGATTTCAAATCAAGCAGATCCATTCGCCCAAGGGAAACACCTGGATCACACAATAACACAATGGCTTTTGATTTGTCAGATATTGATAATAGTAGTGGTATTAGAAAGTATTACGGATTGTGGCGTTGGTTGTTAAGGAGAATGATCGTATATGTTTATGCGGCATGCTTGACTAGTAGAAATCAAGCTTAGAAAATACATGTGGTCAAAATTTGCTATTGGTAATTTACATTTTTAAGCACACATCTCAGAACAAGCGTCTTGCATGTTTATGATTGGCATGGACCAGGTTAATCGTATACACACGATTTAAGGTTTGTCTTCCATGTAACTTTCCCCACACTGAGGGTGGCTAAAGGTTTTTAAGATTCTGACAAATAAAAGCCTGTTCATTTGAATGGCATCCATAGATCAAAGAATTCAACGTGCATAGCCGAGTAAATAGAACGCGTTGCTATACACTAAATTTGAGAGTAATCCATCGCATCGCATCGACATCAACAGGTGATCATGGAACAGGCCATAAAGACCGGTATCGTTGCAATCAAGAACGCCTCAACTTTGTCTTCCGAGGTGATTGTGAAAAAGGAAAATGCTGCGTGGAAAGATCATATACACTCACTTTACACAACCACGAACCCCCCCCCCCTCCTCCTCCGCCCCTGTATGGAATCCATGGTCAATCCCAATCTTGGCATGATGTATAGCGTAGAATATGATTTATTTATATAGTGTATTGGTATTAGATAAAGTATACTTAGAAAGCACGTGCACCAGCATTGGCATCCATGGTACCCATTGAGAGATAGTTTAAGCACCAGTGTTGGTAGGATCAGAGGAAGGAACGGGTCCCAATCGTCTTGCTGTAGGATCATCAAAACCGTACAAGGTATCGGGCTTGTTGGAAGTTCTCATGGCATCATTAGCAAAACCTTTAGGGAGTTGGGACAAGTCTTGATGTTCACGCTTCTCGTGATGATGCTTGCCATGTTCTTTGTGAGCTTCATCTTGGGCAGTGGTAGGGGCAGTCTTGTCACTGTGCTTGAAGATGTTGGAGAAATGCATTGTTTATATAAAATGAATACGAGTGTTTGGATAAAAGAAAAAGGACAAGGAAAGACCAAATGTAGGCTGTATTTATAGTCAATTGTTTCATCAGATCATGTCAAATTGAAACCCATCGACAAATTATGTGTGCACTACGCCCATGGAGACGCTGACTATTTAGGAAATGGTTCTATGGCCGTCATTGGGTAAGCCCATCAGTACGAAAAAATTAGGGCAGGTAGTGCTTTTGGCATGCGAGAAACTTGGATAGATGAAATGGCATGAATCTACCAAAGAAACGTAGATCATGTGCGACCTCAATAAAAATATACTTAGTCCATTATACCATCTATACACAAAATCGTCATTGACATATTTATTACAAAGCCTCTATAGGATAGGAATCAATTAATCTAGCAGAATTTAGTTGGCAGCGATCAAGGCTTCAATTTCATCAATTTCCTTGGGAACAGTGGTCAAATTGACATGGCCATCCTTAGTGATGAGAATGTTGTCTTCAATACGAACACCACCAACAGACTTGTATTTGTTCATGACATCCTTGTTAATGTACTTGCCAGTCTTGGCATCATTCAAAACGGGATCAATCAAGAAATCACAGAAATAAACACCAGGTTCAACTGTAACGACAAAACCTTCTTCAAGGTCACGACGCATACGCAAGTTGCGGATACCGGGAGCATCAATGCGCTCTACACCTTCCATGTAACCGCCAAGATCATGCACATCAAGACCAAGCATATGGCCGACTAAAATATAGATAAAGATGGTTGATTAGAGCTCTTTTCTCTTCAGATTAAACCAAACCAAACTTACTGCCGTGAGGGAAGAAGGCGGCAACAACATGGTTAGCCAAGATTTCTTCTTTTTCACCAACAAGAATACCGCATGCTAAGAGACCATCGCATGCAACGCGGGTAGCAATGTTGTGAATCTCTTCCCAAGCAACACCAGCTTTACAGGCATCAAGACAAGCCTAAATGAAATATCAATATCCCACTCACATGATCCAGTCTAAATCCAGTTACGCTATACCTTTTGCATATCGAGAACAATGGTGTAAATGACGCGAGCCTCAGGGGTAAACTTGCCACCCACAGGGAAACATCTAGTGATATCAGAAGCATAGCAGTCAACTTCACAGCCAGCATCGACGAGAACCAAATCAGTTTCATTGCGCAAAGGAGCATTGTTCTTGCTGTAATGGAGGGTGGCAGCGTTCATTCCGACACCAACAATAGGGTAGTAGGCTTGGAAGAAGGCACCACGGCTGTAGGACTCGTACAAGAACAAAGCATGCAATTGAGATTCAGAGAGACCGACCTTGGCGGCCTTCATCAACTAGAGCAGCACGCAATATTCAGTACATGCTTCCCGCTTGCGTCCATACAATCCAAAAACTTACCTTGGTATGAGCAATAGAAGAGATCTCATTGGCCTTGCGAATAATCTCAACTTCCCAATCAGCCTTGATAGAACGAGCCTTTGCAAAAGCAGTGTGCAATTGCTTGCTTTGTTCAGCATTACACAACTTGATGCTGGCGGTATCAATCTTGTTGGTCTTGGTGATGGGCAAAGTATAGACAGTGGAAGCTTGAGCTAAACGTTGGTTCAAAGTATCAATGTAGTAAACATCATCGACATCGTATTTGGAGACCAACGTTTCCAATGAATCAGGCAAGCCCATCCACATGACATGTTCAGGATCAAGGTTAGGTGAGTACAAGTGGATTTCCTTGGTAGCAAGGTCGATGGTGACATGGAAATCAGGCTGTTCACAGCCTGGTTCAGGTGTAAGTCTACTTTTTTTTTTTTTTTTTTTCAAGAGGCATGTTTATGTAGTCTCTTACCAGTAACGTAGAAAAAGTTGGATTCTTGACGGAAAGGTTGTTCGACATCAGTATCATCTCTTTCAGCAACAACTTGGCCACTGAGGTAGATGAGACCTTCCTTGGCTTCAAAGTGCTTCAACACCTTGCTTACGTTTTGACGGGTAGGAAGACGTTGTTGTGTTACAGACATGTTTTATTGTTTTTCGTGGGAAAAGGGAAACAAATGGGTGTGGATGATCGAAAAAAAAAAAAAAAAAAGATTTTATATTTGAAATGGAGATTCGGTAAAGGTTTTCCCCCTTTTGATGCTGAGATTGTTGTAGCACTAATTTCGATCAATGGTTTAATTCATGGGTGCATCATGTCATCCATACGAGCTACGTTCACTGTGAGCTGCAAACGAGAGAAAGAGAAATACAGAGCAGAATCTCGAGGGACTGTACAGCGTAAGTAATGGTGCCGTGTTCCGATTGAAAAGAGATTAAAATTGAGCAGAAGCATCAATGCCACGCCATATCCTTGTTCTTCAATGGATGACAAGTTTAGAGTCATCCGCTGAAGTTCATTAAATGGGACTATACACATCGTGGAAGTAAACTTTATCGTGGGTCAACATGAACAAAAAAGTATGAAGCTTTTGATTACCTAAGCAAAGTATATCCAGGTACTACGCCCATTGATATTCAGGACCCTTTTCGTATTTACCAAGGAACCGGAATGGTAGTGATGTTACAAGATGCAGCAATAGATGTTTAAACTAGTCGTTGGCTGCGTGCCGAGAAGCGGCTTACATATGGACGTTTAAGCTACTGTATTGCTTTACTGCTATAATTATTCTTGATCTCTGTGTATGATGTGATGTAGATTAGAAGGTAGTTGGTTGGTGTGGGCTTGCCTTCAGTGCTGTTTGAAACTACCTTTGTTAGCCAAAGCGCGTTCGCACTGTGCACGCTATGGATAAGTCTTTTTTGCACGCGTTACAGTAATAGTGAGGACTGTAGGGGTCTGGTAGTGTCATTTGATGTACTAGGCAAGGAAGCATTCGGTAGCTGCTTCTGGAAGGATAAGTCTTACTATATGCACGGTAGCAACGGTCGAGATCGTTGACACATGGTTACAAGCTGCTTTTCTTTGGTGCTGACTGAAATATAGAGTGTATCGACATTCAGTGCTCTTTGAAAGAAATTTTGTTTGCCCATCTCTTCTCACAGGAACAACCGTGAAAGTTGGGATCATTCACATTCAGAAATACGTCGCTCTATTGTTTTGCTGGCCATGCCATACTGCGCGAGGTAAATTCTTGATTTGATAACTCAATAGGCTTCACTACATGGGCATGCCGTCCATGAGCTTTGTACCTGCCTTTACGCTTGTAAGTATGATTGCATGCTCTATGGTATAAGCTGGATCATCAAGGTCAGTAATAACGTTGTTTGGAGGTGTTTTCTGTTTAGGAAACGGCTTCAGAACCATGCAATGAGCAATTCGTGGGCGCTTTCTGTACGTTATTTTGGTATAATAGTCTTTTTCGTCAAACTGATCTGCTAGTGGTATATGTTGGCGTATGTTTGTTATCATACCGTTACCATGCCATCTTGCTGTACCAGCGTTTTATATTCTTTCGTATCTTTTTGCTTGATAGTGAGATCAAGATCAAAAGTGTGCGTCAATGGCTATAAAAGTAGATGAATAAATGGTAGCAAAAGCAGGTTTGCGATCCTCTCGCTTGATGTTTTTTAGAACACGCCTCATCTCATATAATAGTATTTATTCCCTCCTATGTTGCATATATCAAAACCAATCAGTATATACACGGCACTTGTTCAAGATTCTTCTGCTAGTCTGACAAGTGAAAAGGTAAGCTACACTTTGAAAACCAATATATAAACACTAGGACTCGCGCTCGAGGTATGGAATGTTCAATAGGGCGTGCAGCCTTGCATTTCGCATTCATGTTTGCGTTTAGATAGGCACTTGACAGTAATTTTATCTACCTGTCATATATATATATATATATGCATTAAAAGCTATATAAAGTGTTCAGTCTAAGCTATAGTGTCTTTTAAGTTGCAATTCCCTTCCCATTAGCTTTGAAAACATACATTGTTTTGATCAAAAATGCATTTTGCGAGCCAAATCTATTTGAATGTCCGAATAACGTTTTTTCACTCGAAATGGGAATTTTTTTATCAATGTTCGACTTCTCTAATCTATTTTATGATGTTCGACTATATAAACTGTGATGATAACCCTACGCTTCCTAATACATTCTTGGAGTACTTTTCAAGGCGCTTCCAATGGTGCTAATTGTAATAGATGGTTTAACTGAGCTTATTGAGCAATTCAAGGAAATAGGAAATGTGGTTTTTGGCCAAAATGTCGAAATTTTGCATAGAAAAGCTTCACAAAAGCGGTTACAGAGGTTGCTTTGGCTCGAGAGAAATATTTTGACTTGATATATGCCTTAGCAAAAGTCTTCATTTTCAAGGTGGAAAATGCGACCGTTTGATTTTCAGTGAAAACCATGAGGTATCCCTCATGCTTTTTGGTCGATTTTTGGCCATGTTTTTTTTTGGTCCAAAAAAGGTGAGCAAAGGTGTCAGTCAGTAAGTGCTGGGTGAAAGCAATTGTTTGGCACTATTCTGACCGCCTAAAACGGCCTTGAACGCGAGAAAACGCGGCTCAAATGCACTCAAATTTTGCTGTATTATGCGCACTCTTGACGAAAAAGGGATAATATCTGTATGATACTTGCCCGTATGTGAAGTAACTACGTGTGTATGGATGTAGAGCATCATATAAGAATTATACGCACAAATAATATGAGGGTTTTCATGTGCAAGTAGAGGACCAAAATGAAATTAGCAGTGTTTTGATAAGATACGCAAGGGTAATCGATAACGCGAGCTGCGTTGCGCAGGTTGGTTCTCACCGAAGCGAAGCAAAGATAGAGAGCCACCTGAAGCATAAACACTCGTATACCCTAATATAGCTTCAGAAAACATATACGGGAAAAGCATTCCATTGGAAGAACCGTAGATAAAGCAAAAGAGAAGCTGTAACCAAACGCCAACGATCCAAACAATTACTGTTGTGTATGTGATGGCAAGTGTACCTTAAGAGTCAACTACCGTCGCCACCTTCGCATTGTTTCTCTCATGGTATTGCCTAGTCCTCCTGCTTAAGATTCCAATCAGGTTTCTGACCCTCAAGATCCCTTCTTGCTTTGCCGTGTCAGTAGGCCTCATTATAAGCACAGATGAGTGAATCGACGACACTGTGTAAGTGCTCATCATATGAAACTCCCTTCTTTGATGCAGGTGAACGTGAATCGAAATGCAGAAATAGACATAAATGACCCGAATGTCAAAATGCGACAAAAAGCTGAAATTAAGCAACGTGTGTTTATATCATTTATGGCAGACTCGCGAATTACGACGAAACAAGCCACGCCTGACAGAAGCAAGGATTGATATGAATGATTCAAACCTCTGTTGCACACAATGCGAGGAAGCACTATATCGACTATGGTTTCACCAGGCACTTGTAGAGAGCTCACAATTCACGAAAAAAGATAAACAATGGCAACTAATAATGAACTTAATGCATCGATATGAATAAACGGAAATAAAAGAGTTGCTACAAGTCATCAGCATGATTCCTTGTTAGTCAAGATGTTATGTGGAAGATACATACACCTGTGGCGCATTATAATCCTTCCAGTAATGCAAGAAGCTTGACATTCAACTGAGTCTATTTATTGTATCAATCTTGAACTTTTGGAAATCGTCAATGTCTATCATAATGACATCGTGAGAAGGATGGTTTCGATCTATCTTTGGACTGTGGAATGTGCTCGAAGAAATCGTACAAATATCAAGTATACTCTTGCATGAATAGAAGTCTATTTGATCAGATCAAGGTATTAAATCAGATGAATCTCGGTTTTGAAAGGGAAGTATGGTGAATCCACCCTTTCCTGGACTCTCGATTTGATGCATACCTAATTCTCTGGCACATTCTCTCATTCGCCCTCTTGCTGATCTTTGATTGATTTCATCAAATAATGTGTTATTAGTTTTCCCGAGCGATTGTAATGTGTATTCATCGCATTTCCTTGGCTTATTCAACACCATTCAGCTGAGGATTAATAACGTATTTAAGGCTCAGAGCTTACTAATTGAGCAAGTTTCGTGAGATATAAAAGAGCACCACTTCAAGGCGGGGTAAACGAATGCATTAACTTCTTTCTAGTCTTTTTTTTTCATTAAACAAAATGTCTGCCACTATGCGTGCTGTCCTCGTTAATACTCCTGGTAGGGTGTTTTTGCACAAGGTCGAATACAAGAACTGACATGCCAGTCATTGTAGGAGACGCGTCTCAACTCTCTCTAGGCCAATTCGAGAAGCCTACTCCCAAAGCTACCGAGATTTTGGTTCGAGTATGCTGCTTGAATTTTTGTCTTGTACACTACTTGTCACTCATGAATAGCAATAGGTCAAGGCATTTGCTCTTAATCGCATGGATATCATGCAAAGAGAAGGAAAGTATCCTGTGGCAGTGAACGTCAGTCCTATCCTTGGTGTGGAAGTATCTGGAACTGTTGAGAGCATTGGCAAAGATGGTATGCTTGACTTTTGATAAACGCTCATGATTGACGAAATTGATACGATTGACATCTAGTCAAGGATTTCAAGGTTGGCGATGCTGTCTTTGGTCTTATGCCTGGAGGAGCTTATGCTGAGGTTGGTTGATATAGCCATCGATATATCGCGCGCATGAATAACTCTAATTTTGCTTTTATTATCCAGTTTGCTGTCCTTGAGCAATCTTTAACCATGCATAAACCTGAAGCTCTTTCGTTTGAAGAGGCTTCTGCTATCCCCGAGACTTGGTTTACTGCCTACCAAGCATTGTTCTTTGTAGGCGAGATGAAGAAGGGCCAAGATGTGCTTATTCATGCTGGCGCTTCAGGCGTTGGTATTGCTGCCATCCAATTAGCCAAGGAAGCTGGAGCGTAAGTTACGTTTAGATAAGCCGCTTTTACATGAATCTTACAGATGACTATCCCTATAGCAATCGCATCTTTGTCACTGTCGGCTCTGATGAAAAGGTCAAGTTCTGTGAGAGCATCGGTGCTACCAAGGCTATCAACTACAAGACTGAAAACTGGTCTGATGTCGTAAGTACCAAAGAAATGGTTCCAGTGATGTGAATAGATGCTGATAACTTTGATAGATTTTGCAAGAAACTGACAAGAAGGGCGTCAATGTCTTGATTGATTTCATTGGCAAGGACTACTGGAAACAAAATATGGAGGTCTTGGGTTTAGATGGCCATATGGTTATCTTGGCTTTCATGAGTGGTAAGATATACGTGTATAGCATGCCAACAACCACATGTCTAATAACTTTACTCCTCCTAAACAGGCGCCAAGATTGAAGACTTTGACATTACCGTTTTGCTTCGCAAGAGACTGAGAGTAAGTTTATCACGATCCCTCAGTATATACGCACACACTAACATTTGCTTATTCACAGATCGAAGGATCCAACCTCCGTGCCCGTTCTTTGGAATACCAAGCTCGTTTGCGCGATTCAATCTATCAACATGCTGTATTGGACCACTTTGCCAAGCACGATGGCACTCTCAAGGTCTTTGTTGATAAGGTCTTCAACTGGGAAGACATCATCGAAGCTCACAAGTATCTCGAAAGTAATCAGTCCAAGGGCAAAATCGTTGTCAAGGTTACTGAAAACCAATAAATGCCATCTCTTCCAATTCTAATCATTTGAAATAAAAAAAAAACACACACATTTCGGCCACATTCGAATCCTTTGGATTGTGTATAAGAATCAATTTATTTTTTGTTGGTTAAAAAGAAAGAATAAATTTATTTCTCCTACAGTAAGAAATCATCGTTAGTATACATGACATCCGCACCTCACACCAGCATCAACTTACAGGGATCTCAACTTCACCAGCATCAATGGCAGCGCAAAGATCCTTGGGGTTTTGACCATCAACGGTACAACCGACGGAGAAAGCAGTACCGAGGATTTCCTTGACGGTACCAGAGAGTTCACGAGCCAAAGACTTGAAACGCATGGTACGAGCGATTTCAATGATATCTTCAAGAGCGACGTTACCAGAGTGCTTGATGTTCTTTTCCTTCTTACGGTCACGGAGAGGTTCCTTGAGAGCCTTGATGACCAAAGAGGAAGCAGAGGGGACAACGGAAACTTGAGCTTGACGGTTTTGAATGGTCAATTGAACAGTGACACGGAGACCCTTCCAGTCCTTGGTACCCTTGGCGATATCTTCACCAACCTTCTTGGGGGACAAACCAAGAGGACCAATCTTGGGAGCTATAATGAAATGAAAGGAATGAGAATCATAATACTGTGCTGCAATGCTGTTGTGTTGTATTTACCGAGGGCACTGGAAGCACCAACTTCACCACCAGTAGCACGAAGGTAGATAATCTTAACCTCAGAGGGATCGAACTTGGGAGGCATCTAGTGTGTGATTAAATGGATTTAGTCAGTTGGGTTGATCGATCAGAGTGTGGGATGCAATCGATTCATATCGTATCATGATATAAATGGATGGATGGATGTTACGATGTTGGATACCTTTGAACGTGGAGAAAGAAGGTGTATAAAATCAGGCAGCAAATCCTTATTTGAGGATTGCCCCCCAAAAGGCCAAAAATAAGTGGCTGATTTAATTGAACAACCGAATACTGAAAAAGTTTAAATTTCCAACATTGGCAAGCCATTCACTCTTGCTGATGTGTATGAATGTCCACGCTCTTCCGGATTCAAGTACTTGAAGATGCTGGCTTTCCTATGCTGCCTTTATTACAAAGAGGTAGTGTCAATCGTTGCGTTTATAGCGTTCGTTTTTGAAACAAGTGCAAAATTGCAACTCCATTTGTTATTTTGCAAAGGTTTGGCAGTTTATTTAAAATAGAAACAGATAATTATATATAAATGGATGATGAGAGTGAGAATATACTATATGGATGTCATGGCAGCATCCAAACTTGCCATGCTGGGACCTCGGCTTAAACGGTTAGGCAGATTGGGTCTAGTTTGCGTTGTTGTGTTGGATGAAGTAGATGAAGAGGACACGGGTGAATTTGATTTGGGTGTTAATGCTGCAGTAGTTGCAGACGTCAGTGGCAAGTAGACGGATGTGCGAGGGCTTGGTGTTGCAGAGCTTGGTGTCATATTGGGTGAGTCAGATAGAGCCAGTTTCTGTTGCTGGTGGCTGTAATCTAGTAGCTCTGCTTGTGATAGTCGAAAGGACAGTCTATTTTGTTGCGTGTTTGCATTGTTCGTATTGTTGTTGAGGGACCGAGAAGACTGTCTTGATCTCACGGATGTAGGCCGTGAAGTGGGTGATGGGTTATTTGATAAATTGTGCTGATCCAAGAAGCGCTCCAGGAAATCAGCGATCAAAGGCTCCTTCATGGCGGATAATTTATATTCGTCAAACGACTATACACGTTGTTTCATGAGCAATGGATTTTCCCAGTCGGCCAGCAGCTTACTTACCAACTTGCCGTCGCAATCCACATCAAAATCCTCAAACATACAATCAATGGATCGCTGGATTTCTTCGTCTTGCTTGTCTTCATTCGCCATCATTTTCGACTGAAAGTTATCCATGTGCTGTCAATGTAATGCAATACCCCAGTTTCTGTTCACGCTTACCAGTTGCAACATGACATGCTCTAGTTCATCCTTGGATATAAATCCATCTTTGTCCACATCGTATAGCTTGAATGATACTAGGTAGAGTGAGATCAGCGTGCTGTCAGCAGAAAAATTCGCATGGCTTACATTTCAACTTTTCCTCTGGTGTACCTTTCATAAATACGCTCAAGCCATCCACAAATTTGCTATACAGAACAATTCAGCATCGACATGTCATCAGACGCTATGGCGCAACTACCTGAAATCTAGGCATTGTTCCTTCTCTTCATCACCGCCAAACGCACAGTACAATCGCTGTAGAAAAGCGTCATCTGTCATGGACACTGTCGGCATGCATTGCTTCACAGACTACAAGGGATGCATGAGCACAACGTTTTAATAGAGGGTTGCTATAGTTACATCTTTGAATACGTCTGCTGTAATGTTGTTCTGGTCTTGCGTCTTTACATTTTGTCGGAGGTTGTCTATTTCCTTTGTCGAGACTATGATGTAAATACATGAGATTAGGTTTTTTTTTTTGTCTGGCAGTAGAATGACAGAACGGATACATACAGTGCGTGGTTTTCGAGAGTGCGTTATTTTCTCTGCTTTTACTTTGACCCATAATGTAAGATGTTTGAGGAAAAGAATGGAAATGAAATATAAAAATCTTTTTTTTGGGATAGAAATGTCTTGCATCATGAAAATTGGAAGCATACAACAATATCCACACGGACACGAGAAGATTCACTGAAAGCACTGTGATTGGCAGACAGAGATGGAATCTCGGGGCTGTCCCACTTGCCGTTGGTTTCTGCAACCTACGCCGGTTACATTGATAATGCCATTGTACTCGTAAGAAACATGCAATCACATTGATCCCATTGTATCTGCATTTATTTGCACTCAGTATAACATGAAGCCTATCTCCATGAGAATCTATTCAGTACGTTTTGCCTGTACACGTACAAGAGAACAGATGGTGGCACATTCGGCGTAACATTTAAACCGAAATCGAAGGGATCGCCTCTACAGACGGGTGATTTTCTCCTCCGCGCACCTTTAATTGAAACTTTTTGGTATATAAAGGTGATACATTTTCCATCTTTCCCTTACTTTCTTTGTTTTTCTAAATTTCATATCCATTATGGCCGTAAAAGAAGTGAATGCTGAAGGACAGCCTACTGTCAACAGCAACGGTGTTCCTCTATTTAAGAGTAAATTGACAAAGCATGAAGAGGAAGTTGACAATGAAGTTGTGTATGAATTTGGTGGACCTGCTGGTGCACTTGGTATGATGCTGGGCTTCCCTTGTCTCATGTATTATTTCTGGATCTGTTTGGAGTACCACCAAGGTCACCTCATCACCCCCGCCTCCTACACCAAGGATGGCATCATGCAATTCCTCTCAGAAGAGATCCTTGCAAAGATCGCTGTTGGTGCTTACCCCACCTTCACTGCTGTCAAGATTTATATGGGCTTTGTTGTGTACTCTTTCCTCTGTGCCTATTTTATGCCTGGCCCTGTCGTCAACGGTCTTCCCCTCCCTTCTTTGAAGGGTGGCAAGGTATGTAAACAAATATTTATGTTTTTTGACTAGTGTCATCATTGGAACATGTGCTAAAATTACATGTGTTGTTGTATATAGCTGCCTTATCTCTGTAATGCTTTGTCTTCATGGTATTTGACCCTTGCTCTCTCTGTCATTCTCCATGTCACTGGCATCTTTCGCTTGACTTCCATCATTGAGAACTTTGGCGGCATCATGACCACTGCCATCATCTGGGGTTTCACCATGTCATTCCTCGTCTATACCACCTCCATGATCAAGGGCACTCAACATCGTATGTCAGGTAAGCCCATCTACGATTTCTTTATGGGTGCTCCTTTGAACCCTCGTATTGGTCCTGTCGACTTGAAGATGTGGGCTGAATGCCGTGTACCATGGCCTGTTCTTTTTTTCACCTCTGTTTCTTGTGCTTTGAAGCAATATGAGATGCGCGGCTATGTCAGTGGCCCTGTTGCCTTTATGGTGCTCGCTCACTTTTTGTATACCAATGCCTGCCAAAAGGGTGAGGAATGTATTCCTACTTCATTTGATATGTTTTATGAAAAGGATGGTAAGTCAATTGTGTGGAGGGAGCGAGAAAGGGGAATGGGTTATTCATCCAACAATTGTGCTTGCAGGTTTCATGCTCATTTTCTGGAACATGGCTGGCGTCCCTTTCACCTACGGCTATTCTTCCATCTACCTCATGAAGTACGAATTGACCACAGGAGAAACCATCACCCACAGCTGGGCTTATACCATTGGTATCTATATCATGCTCCTTGCTGCTTATTACGTTTTTGACACTGGTAACTCTCAAAAGAACCGTTTCCGTATGGAACAGAATGGCTCCTTCATTGATCGCAAGGCTTTCCCTCAACTTCCTTGGGGTAGAATCAAGAACCCTACCTATGTCAAGACTCAAAACGGTAACTTGTTGCTGACCTCTGGATGGTGGGGCATCGTCCGCAAGCCTCATTACACTGCAGACATGTTCCAATCTCTCTCTTGGGGTTTGATCTGTGGTTTCGGCTCCTTCTTGCCCTACTTCTATTTCTGTTTCTTCTTCTTGGTCTTGACTCACCGTGTCTCCAGAGATATGGAGCGTTGTTCCAAGAAGTATGGCAAGGATTGGGAGGAATACTGTAGACGTGTTCCCTACATCTTTGTTCCTTATGTATTTTAATTCTGTTTCCCTTGCTGTAATTGATCTTTAGTATAGAGAAATCATTACAACTCATTCGTTTATTTAATCAATCATCTAATATCTCATCAATAAAAAAAAAAGAGCTAATTCCAACCATGTAACTTTTATTTTCTGCTGTGGTAGTATTGCGTAACAATGACAGCCGCCTTTCTTATTTCTTCTTTGCTTGTTGTACAAATGATGAACCGGTTATAAATTCATCAGGAGTCGAGAGTTGCTCGTCGCACAGGACCAAGCGATTATTAATGTTACCCGCTTTGTACGACAATCAAAAGAATAGAAAACGTACTAGGAATCGTGTTGAGAAGTACAACTTGCCATTAGCTCTAGTAACAGAGTACTCCTGATTGCTTTGATATGATATTAGTAGCGCTACGCAAGAACTACACTGAAAGAACGTCTTCTAGTAGTAGATCAACCAGCCCCATGCCACAGATGGACGACGAAAATGTCGCAGTGATGTATATGTTATACTAAGGCAGGCTTACTTGTTAAAAGCACATGGATAAAACCACCCCGAACCGAAAGTTGCACAGAGTTACATTAACATTCATATCTAGTAGTGTGATATCATTTTTTGCTACCATCACGGACCAGTATACAGTAGAATGTTCGGCGTCATGGAGCGAGCAGCATACAGATACACAAAGCATTGCCTTATAGTAACTTTGCTCCATATCTTGATTAAAGAAGCGTGATTCTCCATTGTAATTACGGAGCATCCAATTCAAGTTGCAGAAGAGACATGCTTGTTGCAAACAAATAATGTTGTTTATTCGCAGATGGATGATCTCGAATACTACTTTTAAAGGCACTGAAATTTTGATTTTTAACTTGAAGTATCCTGTAAAATCTCTTCGTAGACGACTTGTTATTGTGGATTCGGCTCGTTTACGACGAAACACGTTTGTCTCAACAGAAACAATTTGTATACAAGCAGAGAGCATACCCCCAACTACCTCTTACTACTCAAATGAATGCTCATCACAGCGAGATTTGGCTGCATTCAAGCCGTGATTTCTCGCATTGAAAGCCGTTTTAGGCCGCCGGAATAGCAAAGAACAATTGCTTTCACCCAGCACTTACTGACTGACACCTTTGCTCACCTTTTTTGGACCAAAAAAAAACATGGCCAAAAATCGACCAAAAAGCATGAGGGATACCTCATGGTTTTCACTGAAAATCAAACGGTCGCATTTTCCACCTTGAAAATGAAGACTTTTACTAAGGCATATATCAAGTCAAAATATTTCTCTCGAGCCAAAGCAACCTCTGTAACCGCTTTTGTGAAGCTTTTCTATGCAAAATTTCGACATTTTGGCCAAAAACCACATTTCCTATTTCCTTGAATTGCTCAATAAGCTCAGTTAAACCATCTATTACAATTAGCACCATTGGAAGCGCCTTGAAAAGTACTCCAAGAATGTATTAGGAAGCGTAGGGTTATCATCACAGTTTATATAGTCGAACATCATAAAATAGATTATTTTTTTTTTAAATTGTGTTTATTGATTGAGCCGCGTACACTAAGAGTAATAGGTCAGAGTGAAGAGGCGGGTGCAATTGAGAAATGAAAAAAATATAAATATAAATGGAAACTAAACTAAACTAACAAAAGGAACTATCTAACTATCTAAATTACAAGAGGGAATGGATTTGATCTTCATCCACTGTCTGTCGGACAGTGGAGTGGATATGTACCAGAATCGCCTCAGGGACAAAGATAGTGCCGTCAAAAACAAAGCGCATATGGGCTAGCCATATTTGAGACAGGGTGATGAGTAGGATTCTGTATGGATGGATGCCTTTGACTTGGGAGTACCAGATATCTGAAAAGTCCAGGGACAGAAGAGCCTCTTTGATGTCAGTGATGGACGTGGTGGGCCATAGGAACTCAAAAATGACGCCTTGCCATACCTTTTCTTTGGATGGACAGTCAAAGAGCAGGTGGCTGGCAGTTTCATTGGGAGACAAGCAGACAGGACAATTGTGGGACTCGAAAAATGCAGGCATCATGTAGTGTAATCTGCTTCTAGAAGGGATACAGCCTGCGATGAATCGGTATATCACATTACGTTGAATGTAGGTAAGAGACAGGGACCAAAAGAATTTCCAATTAGCAGCAGAGACATTTTGCAAGACCAAGGGCTGTTCCACCGACGACAGTACAGACAGACGAAATGTTTTGGCGGAAGCCTGAGCGTTTCTAAGAGATTGGCCATCGTGCAGACAAAATTGATCCACCAGCGGCGCAAAAGAGACTCCAGGATCTACTACAGGGGCTGGATTACACACTGGGAGGAAGTAGGGCTGGAATTTAAGAGTGCCAGATGCGAGGCCTCTGAACACTGTTGAAGGAGCTCTCTTCCACCTGAGGAGGGAAGGGTCACGAGTGTCTCTCCAATGTACAAAGTTAAGCAGGGCATCGTACTGAAATACATCAGAAACCATCATCTCTTTGACTTTAAGAGGAACAACCAGTGAGGAGGATGGAGGAACATAGAAAGCCGCCTGTAATGGAAGAGCCATGGCAGTTGCAGAATTGATCGGTGCCGCATCAAACAACTTAGGAAGATAGTCAACTGTACGATATAACATATCGACAGTTCCCGTGCGTTGCTTTTTCAACCCCTTAGTACGACGAGCAGAGGGAAATAGCAGCGGGATTTGATGGTGGGGGTAACCATTAACATTGCGAATGTGGTAGCTTAAGAGGTACGACACAGGATGGGAATCTATGACATCTTGATCTTGAACCAGTAATGGGTGGAGCCAACGAAAATACAAAGCTGAAGCTTGTATTTGGATGTCTACAACACCGAGACCACCTTTGTCCTTTGGTAGAGTCCACACCTTCCAAGGGATGACGGGGAAGATGTTTCTTCTCAAGAACTGAATAGCCAGAGAACGCAGCTGCTTGAAGTCAGCTTGAGTCAAAGGCGTAACACGCAGGATGTACCATAGCTTGGAGAGCAAAAGAGAGTTCAGCACTGTAGCCTTTCCAACGACCGACAGGGAGCGACCAGAATGAATCTGGATGGCAGTTTTGATCTTTGTTACCAAAGCACCCATAAAGTGAACTCGCTGAATCCTACTTTGGACGAGAGGAAATCCCAGATAGGTCAACGGTTCATCGTCCTCAACAGAATGGAGATGTGTGATACCCATTTGTGATAATGGACCATCCCACATATCCCATGTATCCCGACCAGACACTGAAAAGGCTTCCACCTTGGCATTATTGAACTTGGCGTTGGAGGCAGCACAGTAACGAGCCATATGGAGCTGTAACCGAGTCAAATCATTGGAGTCATGGATAAACACCAAAGCGTCATCAGCATAGCACAGGAGTTTTGTTCGTGCAGTACCCATCAAGTAGCCTTGAAATTGGCGATCATGCAGGATTGCAAGCAGAAAAGGTTCAAATGCCAAGTTGTACAGTACAGGAGAGAGAGGATCCCCCTGCTTCAAGCCTCGAAGTTTCGCCACTTCAGTTGACAGATGGCCATTGATGTTGATACGTATGAGGTTGTCACCCATCAACTTGGAGATACACTTGATAATAGGGCGAGGAAACCCAAATTTCCCCAATACCTTCCTCAAATATTCCAAGTTCACCCGATCGTATGCCTTTTCTTGATCCAGAAGAAGACCGATGTCATAATCCAAAGTGTTAAAGGAAGGATCATTTTCCTGTTGTTCAGCGATGGACCATTTCCGTTGAGCATCTTCCATTAGGAGCTGGCAGATCATTCCATTTTCAGCAATGAATCGACCAGGAATAAACCCAAGCTGATGTCGGCTGATCAAGTTGGAAGAGACTTCCATGATTCGACGGTTGATATTGCGAGTGAAGAGCTTGTAGTCTGAATTAGCCAGAGACAGAGGACGGTAGTTCTTCATTTCAGCTGGATCGCCTTTCTTGTAAAGCAGACACATGACGGATTCGTTCCAAGATGGCGGGAACTTACCCTTCTTTAAAGCTTCATTGTAGACTAATTGGATGAGATCATGGAACGGTGGAAATTTCATTACCAAGTACAGGATTTCATAAGGTAATCCATCAGGTCCAGGACTACTCAAACGACGAGTCTGCTTGCTATCGGTCAAGAGTTCCTCCACATCAATCGGCATCATCAATGATTCCTGCTGCTCGCTGTTGAGCTTCAAATGACCTGGGATGTTGCGAATTATAACACTGAGGGAGGTTGAATCCAGAGCCTCCGGTGTGAACAGTGAAGTGTAAAAGTTGGTAGCAATGTTGGAGATACTAGGTTGATCTTGACATAGATCGCCAGTTGTAGGGTTCCTGAGTTCCACAATTGAACGACGATTTTCTCGAGACACCACAGAGCGCTTCAGGAAGCCTGGAGATTTCTCACCATGTTCCCGCCAAAATTTTCCTGCCTTCAAGATCTCTATTTCTGCAAGAGAGTGCTGGAGAGATTGAATCTGTTGATTAACCGTGTCCAAGCCTTGAAACACCAAGCCTCTTGTCTTCTTATGCCGCATCATCTTGTTTCTCTTTGATAGCAGTCGGTGTAGCTGTTGTTTCCGCCAGTTCAAATCCTCCATTTGATACTGTTTGATAAACATCTTTACTTCGGCTTTGATCCAATCCCATTGTTGTTGGGGAGTGGAGAAACGCTTGATTTCTGCCAGACGCGCCTCACTATCAATGAGGAATTCTGCCAATGCCTTCCTAAATGTTTTGTTGCAAGCCAAGAACGGATTTGCCTTCCAGTTACCAGGGCCACGGCCATTCGCATCTTGATATCGAAAAGAGAATCCCAAGAGTTCATGGTCGGTCCAGGCAGGAGACAGATACTGCTGGTTGGTGCTAGTGACTAGATGATGGGCGTTTGAACTACAAAAGATGTAATCCAGAATCCCTGAATTGCTTCCACTATGCCATGTGTTGTGTTTGTCTTCCCCAAAAACGTCAATAAAGTAATCATCGAGTAGATCGGTCCATTCTACTGGTGCACTGGTGAGGGTGCCATCGACTCGACGATCCTTGTACTGGTAGTTGAAGTCTCCCATGATAAAGACGGTGTTTGTTGTAGTAGTAATAGTTTCTTTGACAATTTGTGTGCCAATGAGTTCTGAATAGAACGCTGATCGGTCGGTGTGAGCGGACGCACGACCGTAAATATTAAGTATTGTTGCTATTGGTGGTGAATTGGGTGAATTTTCCAGGTCTCGAGTAAGATGAAGGGAAGCCAAGATAAATCGACCCCCATCAATGCCTTCTGAGATGTGTTTGAGTGAGTAATGAGTGTTGAGGGAAATGATGCCGCAATGTTGAGTCCAAAGACTCGACTTGCAAGTAAATTGAGTGTTGAGTATGTCTATAAATGTGTTGTCTGTTGCATGTGTTTCTTGAAGCACTAAGATGTCATATCCTAATGTTCGAAGATATCTAATAAATTGTTGTCTTTTTTTGGTGTTATCTGTTTTTTTTAGGCCACGGCAATTGAGGGTGGCTATTTTCACTGTATTTTGCTGATTAATCATATTAATGTTGGGGAGGTGAAGGAGGGCCTGTCAAGCCGAGTTGATGTCCAGTCTCTACTTCATTAGATGCAGCTTGTTGTTTGGCAGAACTAACATCATCCGCGCCATTAAATTTACCGATCTTCTTCGCAGGGCGTTCAGGGCGCTCCTCTCGTTCATTAGCAGAATGGGTAGAAGAGTCGTACATGATAATATCATTGGAAGCCCCTTTCCCATCGACTTCTTTAACTTGGAGTTTTGGAAGATCATCCATTTGAACATCTCTATCAACTACCTGCTTTCTAGCACCTGTTTGACTATCAGCGTCACCTTGAGTGCTACCTTGCTGGGTAGCAGTAGTTCGATTATCGGAATCACCTTGGGAACCACCAGATGCAACATCCTGGCCTTTTCCTTGGGCATTACCTTTGTTTCCAACTGGAGCACCACCAGGAGTTACTTTGGAGCCACCCTGAGTACCCTTTTTACCCTCTTTGGCCACCTGAGAGCCCTTTCGGGGTTTGGCAGGAGTGTTTTCCACCGCACGGACCTTGTTTGGGCTGTCATTGCGACTGCAGTTCTTCACCACATGTCCAGTTTCATTGCAATGATGGCAGCGGACCCACTTCTTGTAGTCAGGACAATCAGCCCGACAGTGTTCAGAGCTCTGACAATTACGACAGAAAGCCGGCATTTGATCCCATTGGAGTAAAACTTTTCTTTGATCCGAAGCTGTCAAATCCCAGACAATGACACGACTGAGTTTCTCCAAATGGCGATGACCAGGGCAAGATTTCCCAACGGGATGTAACTCTTGACATTCATAACCAGGGCTGGAAGGAACCGTTAGATTAAGTGTAGCATAACCTTCTCCTTGATAGATCCCATCAGTTCTCGAGATGCCGTGATCCAAGACATCCCCGAACGCAGAAAGTCGGGCAGCCATTTCCTCCTTCAACTGAAGGGCCGGCAAGAAAGGAAGATTCTCCAGGGTCAGTTTCACAATCGTAGCATCAGCATGGTACGAGGCAAACCCTTTCACAAAGGTGCCATCCTCTAGAGTGATACCTTCTTCAATGAGAGTCTTACGACCTTCGCTGTTGGGCAGCCACATGGTTTCCAAGAAGGCATGGTTGAGGTAGTGTCGAGGTTGTTTCCGGTATCCAAGAAATTCTTCATACATGTCTTCAGCATTAGAGGCTTCGTTGAATTGAAGAAGAGCCTTGTTCAAGAGATTGCGATCCTTGATAGGTGTCAGATCGATGAAGACGGAATCCTGTTCCACGCCTTTGAGGAATGGACGGATAACCGCCTGAGGAGGTGGCGAAGTATCCCCATTGATGGCCTGTTGCGAGGCCTCTGCTTCCGTTACAGGTCGTTTGACGATAGTGGGATTGAAAGAGACGATGGATTGTTGTTGTCTGTTGTTCCCTTTGCGGCGTGAGTTAACCACATGAGTCCACAACAGTGGAGCCGCAGTGTCAGCTTGCGAGGAACGTTGATGTACTTGACTAGTGTCTGACATGCGAAAAGGGATATATAAAATAGATTAGAGAAGTCGAACATTGATAAAAAAATTCCCATTTCGAGTGAAAAAACGTTATTCGGACATTCAAATAGATTTGGCTCGCAAAATGCATTTTTGATCAAAACAATGTATGTTTTCAAAGCTAATGGGAAGAGAATTGCAACTTAAAAGGCACTATAGCTTAGACTGAACACTTTATATAGCTTTTAATGCATATATATATATATATGACAGGTAGATAAAATTACTGTCAAGTGCCTATCTAAACGCAAACATGAATGCGAAATGCAAGGCTGCACGCCCTATTGAACATTCCATACCTCGAGCGCGAGTCCTAGTGTTTATATATTGGTTTTCAAAGTGTAGCTTACCTTTTCACTTGTCAGACTAGCAGAAGAATCTTGAACAAGTGCCGTGTATATACTGATTGGTTTTGATATATGCAACATAGGAGGGAATAAATACTATTATATGAGATGAGGCGTGTTCTAAAAAACATCAAGCGAGAGGATCGCAAACCTGCTTTTGCTACCATTTATTCATCTACTTTTATAGCCATTGACGCACACTTTTGATCTTGATCTCACTATCAAGCAAAAAGATACGAAAGAATATAAAACGCTGGTACAGCAAGGTGGCATGGTAACGGTATGATGACAAACATACGCCAACATATACCACTAGCAGATCAGTTTGACGAAAAAGACTATTATACCAAAATAACGTACAGAAAGCGCCCACGAATTGCTCATTGCATGGTTCTGAAACCGTTTCCTAAACAGAAAACACCTCCAAACAACGTTATTACTGACCTTGATGATCCAAAGTTATACTCATACTAATTTTATGATATTCCGTAGACTATTTTTCTTCACTACACATTCAGGAGTAGAGGTGGAGCCGTCAAATATAACAATGAAAGCAATACTGGTGATGATGATGATGACAACAAGTTGCACTCACACCGCATCACTTGTGCATGTACATGTTGATGCAGAAGTTTGGATACAATAGTATACAAAAAGTAAAACGCACGATCCTCATTTATGGATACGCTTGTAATGAGATGATACAGTTTATATGATGTGTATGGCATACAACGGTAACACAAGCATTAGGCTGGAGTGAAAATGTGATTCATGCATTGATGAAAGAGAGAGAGAGAGAGAGAGAGAGAGAGTGAGTGAGTGAGTGAGTGAGAGCTTTAGTCCTGATGATCTCTTTTACCCCTTAATTTTCCCTGACGCTATTATCCACATGAATCATTTATTATTATTCATTTAAAGGGGAGCCATCATATTGTATAGATATCGCCATGAAAGAAGGAGACGGGTATATCAACAGAATAAGATATACAATCTGGGGATGAGAGAACCCGATGATTATAATGATGATAATCTCTGAATATAAACATGCTGAATAAATGCTGTAACAAGTGATCTGTTTGTTCGAATGATCTCGGACCCTTTTGTTCCGATATAAATCATTATTCTAATGTAAATAGCAACTGCACAGCAAGTGACAAGATGTAAATTCATCTGTTTATAATATATACATTGATTCACTATGCTAATCATACAATAAAAGTAGATGAGTTTCATTCATGAAAATGGCAAAAGGAGGGAAAACTATAAATGTGAGACAAAGGACGGGTAAAAAGAAGGGAGAGAAGACGCTCATGTGCAGCAGCAGCAACAATAGCAAAGCAGCAGCAGCGACACAGGCAGCACAAGCATTGCAAGAAAGCAGTGGTGACATCGCAAGAAAAACAAATAGCCCATAAAAAGGGGGGGATTAATCTAGCACCAACAGATCAAAACGGGGAGTTTTTGGGGTTTGTATTCTTATGTTGTTTGATATGAAATGGCAATATTAAACACTGATATATTGTTATGATCAGTCTTTTGCTATTTGTTACACACATTGATTGAGATCAAGAGGGCCATATGACACATAATACAAAGCATAAACTTACAGAGGTAGAGTCATTCATCCTATGTTAAAGTGTGGAGAGGGGGGAAAGAAAGGAGAGGACATAGCGAAAGCAATAAGAGGAGTGGCATAGACACAATGCGATCCAAGTGGGGTTAATCCAGGTTGGGATGACCTTGCATACACCTTTATAAGTATATATGATCGTATTGGACTATTTATAAATCAAACAACTTTTCTTCTTCATCAACAAAGTCTAGTTTAACTCTTGCTTCCCTTTTCCCTTTTTCTTTATTTCATTTAAACACATTAGAATTGGCAACACTCATTGCAATCATAAGCAAATCTCACCTTGTCTCTGTTCTTCCCTTCTTTCATTAAAAAAAAAAAAAAAAAGTATTTACACATATAGCATCATGTCAGCTCCAGCATCCAATGCGCCTTCATCACCATCATCTACTAGCACTCTGCCTTTAATACAACAATTAATGCACTATTCACGAAACATATTTGGCAAAATGACAAGCAATAGCACTCATCCCACACAGCGAAGACGCAGCCAGCAATCTGTTGAACAACATATATACCCCACGCAAGATCAATTGATGAACAGCATGAAATTGATCGACCAAGCAGAAAATCATCTGTTTGGTAGAAATGGCTGTCAAAAAGACTACAAGCTCACCATCAAATTACTGGTGAAAGCCACTCAACTACACAACCAAAGCGCTTTTGCCGTGCTTGGATTCTGCTATGAATTTGGATTTGGTGTGGCGAAGAATTTCAAGACGGCAGAACAGCATTACATTTCGGCCCTTCCACCCGATGACTTGAAATACGGCATCAACGATGAAAGAATCTTGCTTGCTATTTCTCGGCTGGCATTTCTGCGAAAATACGGAAGACCAGGAGTCTACATTGACCGCATAGAAGCCTATAAATGGGAATCTCAGGTAGAGTTGGGCGGTTTAAAATCGATTGCATGGATTCAACGTGCAGCTATCGATGACAATTGCCCTGCAAGCCAGTACTGTCTAGGTGTTTGTTATCACGATGGCTTGGCCCTGAAAAAAGACGAGAAGGCTGCTTTTCATTGGTACAAGACGAGTGCGGATCAAGGCAACTGTCGCGGTCAAGGCATACTAGGCTATTGCTATGGCGAAGGCTTTGGCGTAGAAAAGAATGAGGTTGAAGCCATGAGGTACTATCGACTGGCTGCAGCACAAGGGGAAACTGTTGCTATTTATAATATTGGATACTGCTACGAAGATGGTATTGGCGTTGGAAAGAACATGAAGGAGGCAGTAAAGTACTACAGACTCGCCGCAGAACAAGACAATGCATTTGCTCAGAATTCGCTCGGCTATTGCTATGAAGATGGCATTGGCGTAGAAGAAAACCAAGATTTGGCTGCTGTTTGGTACAAGCGATCTGCAGAACAAGGCTATCCATGGGCGCAATGCAATCTGGGCTACTGTTATCAAAATGGCATTGGTGTACCCAAAGATGCTGCCATGAGCGTTCACTACTATCGAAAGGCTGCTATTCAAGGGCACGCTCGTGCACAACACAACCTGGGCTTCTGCTACCAAAATGGCATTGGCATTGAAAAGAACGAAGAAAAGGCTATCGAATGGTTTCAACAGAGCGCTGAGCTGGGCAACATTTTTGCATTCCATTCATTAGGATACTGTTACCAAAATGGAGTTGGTGTTGAGGTGAATGAACCGGAAGCAGTATACTACTACATGCTGTCAGCTGAACACAACCATGCTCCTGCTCAACTGTCCCTAGGATACTGCTATCGTAATGGCATTGGCGTTGAAAAGAATGAACGAGAAGCATGCAAATGGTTCCGATTATCTGCTTTGCAAGGAAACGCAGTAGGGCAAAATTCGCTTGGATTCTGTTATGAAGAAGGCATGGGTGTCAAAAAGAATCCTCAAAAGGCAGCCTACTGGTATATGAAAGCAGCAAGGCAGAACAATGCATGGGCACAATGTAACTTGGGCTTCTGTTATGCAAATGGCATTGGTGTTCGACAAAATGCAGCCAGAGCAGTCAGTTGGTATCGAAAAGCTAGCGAGCAGAATCACGCAAGAGCGCAAGATAAGCTGGGTGTCCATCTACAAAGCGGTATTGGTGTCGCTCAAAATCTCGAGTTGGCCTTCTTGTTGTTTGAACGCTCAGCAAAGCAGAATCATGTTGCTGGTCAGTTCCATTTGGCCAATTGTTACGAGAAAGGATTGGGATGTCCAGTTGATCTTGGAAAAGCAACAGCTTACTTTGAAAGAGCTGCAATGGGTAACTATATACATGTGAGACCTGTATTGAAATCCATACTAATCATGCATATATTGCATTTCATAGCTGGCTGTCGAAGCTCACATGAGCGTCTAAGAAGACTACTTGTGCGCGTATGTCTGCTGTCTCCTGACACACTTCCTTCTGTCACTACCATGAACGAAAGCGAGCTGTTCTCAAAGGGGTTCATCATTGGCTGCAGTGCACCTGCTGCTTAGTAGAGTAATCATGAAAAGTATATAATAAAACATTTAATTTTAAGAGCTATTAAACCTGTACATAGCCTTATAAAGATGTGCTTGGTCGCTGTTACTAATACTGTCGCGATACAGCCGGAAAAGAGCAACAGGAATCAATTTTTTTTTTTTTTTTGAAATCCCACACTTTCCGGGAAGCACAATCTATTCGGTAAAAGCAAATGTCAATCAAGCAATGCTAGAGATCCTTCCTTTATTTTTCACGTATGTATTATTCTGGATGACAAGATGGCGCATAAAGAAAGAGATAGCATGATGATATCAATACAACACTCATCGTATTGAAAGATGGATGTCTATGGATCCGCAACAAACAGCACTGTATTTTGGATGATGGATACCAAATTCACCTTTTTTTTTTTGGATGGATCCTGAGTATGGAAGATACAATAGACGCATCCTACGCACATATCATCAATCAACTCTCCATCGCATCCATCCATCGATACCAATGAAATATCCAACATTTCTGTGCAAGATCAAGCATGGATATGGATGCATCATTCATGGATATGGATGCATCATTCATGTGAATCTCTTTCTTTATGCTCTATTTTGTGACCTATCTCACATAGTAATCACGTAGAAGTCTGATCACTAACGCTCTCTTTTTCTTTTTCTATATATGCATTTCATTCACATTTTTTAAACTACTACCAACATCAAAATACATCAAATCACCATCTCAACGTTAATCTCTAATTCAACATGTGCAAAACTTCACCTTTTTCTGTTACATTTTCCACTCAATAGTCAAGATGGCTTCTAACAAGATTGTTAAGCAGACTGGTGCCCCAGCTGCTGATGAGTTCGAACTCTCCGTTGCTCAAGCTCTCATTGACTTGGAGTCTAGCGTTCCCGACTTGAAGGGTCTCAAGGCCCTGCAAATCTCTGCTGCCAAGGAGGTAAGACATGTAGAATTGGATCTGATGGGAGAGACACTGAATTAACACGTATCCTTGAATCTAGGTTGAGCTCGGTGCTGGTAAGAAGGCTATTGTCATCTTCGTCCCCGTCCCTAGCCAAGCTGGTTTCCACAAGGTTCAAGCTCGTCTTACTCGTGAACTCGAGAAGAAGTTCTCTGATCGTCACGTTGTTTTCGTTGCTCAACGTCGTATCTTGGCTGTCCCTGGTCGTCGCAACAACGGCAAGCAACCCCGTCCTCGTTCTCGTACCTTGACCGCTGTCCACGATGCTATCTTGGATGACCTCGTCTACCCCACTGAAATCGTCGGTAAGAGACTTCGTCAAAAGGTTGATGGCTCCAAGACCCTCAAGGTCTTCCTTGATGCCAAGGATGCCACCTCTCTTGAATACAAGATTGATACTTTCTCTGCTGTCTACAAGAAGCTCACTGGTAAGGATGTCGTCTTTGAGTTCCCTGCTGCCGTTGAGTTCTAAGTAAATCGAACTGGTTGAAAAAAATAAATAAAATTTTATATTCATTTCATTATTTTTAACATGCATGGATTGCTATTTAACGTTAATAAAGTTATTTTTCAATACAATGATTGCAACATATGGGCTGATTTGTTGAAGGGAAAAGCACCTTGATCTGCAGGAAATGTCTGCCTGAAACTACTCAAGAGCTGGTGCAGAATGTGAACCTTGATTAGACGCTGTATGGGCGTCTGCCATTTGAGATGAGACATTCAACATGGATCAACACTGCAGCTCTCTCAACTGCTCGGCGGAATGGCTTGGTCTGGCTTCAAGGGCACTATTCTCTCATGTCAATGATACACCCAGGCAACATGTGCTTCATCCATAGTATTTAAATGTCAAAAACGTTACATTGCTTCACTGATCTTGCTTATAGACACCTTGGACTGGTAAACCCAAATGATGGCTCTTCATTTCCAAACGTCTACAACTTATAACTGTCTATCTAGAAGGCATTGACACCGCTCAATTCAATCTACAGCTTCATAGGTGCATGATTCCAATGATCCTGTCAAACGAAATCAGGGATCCACTGACTCCGGTGCGAGCAAAGCCTTCCCGGTAGTATTGTTTACGATAATTTTTTCACGTTTCGTTACCCGAAGAAGTAATATTCAAGACCAGTGGGAGAGCGAACAAAGTCAAGGTGAACATGACAACCATCAAGGATCCTCCTCTTTTTTCTACACCCTTAGAATAACCAAAGTAAGTTTTAAACTAAAAGAAGCCATCCATCGCTCAACACAAATATCCATCAATGTGGATTGATGGATCGATGGACCGATGGATCCACAGATGCATTGCGTGAATTATTGTAAACTAACTACTCATTATGTAGTATGTCTGACCACGAAGAAGTTATCGATACTCAAGAAGTCGAAGTTGCCGTTGAGGCCACCTCCGGTCAAATGTCCGTTGAAGATGCTCTTCAAGAAGTCCTCCGTCGTGCCCTCGTTCACGATGGTCTTGCCCGTGGTTTGAAGGAAGCCGTTAAGGCTCTTGACAGGTAAATTTCGTAGTGTACATGCTTTTGGACCATGTGGTTTGACATAAATCTCAATGATAGACGTCAAGCTCATTTGGCTGTTCTCTGTGAGTCCTGTACCGAGTCTGAATACATCAAGCTCGTTGAAGCTCTCTGTGCCGAGCACAACATCAACTTGATCAAGGTCTCTGATGCCAAGAAGCTCGGTGAATGGGCTGGTCTCTGTAAGATTGATCGTGAGGGTAACGCCCGTAAGGTTGTTGGTTGTTCTTGTGTTGCTGTCACTGACTTCGGAGAGGAGTCTGAGGCCATGAACGTCCTCTTGGATTGTAAGTTGTCAAGATGATAGTCGTTGTGATTTAGTTGACTAACATGACAATTGAATAGACTTCAAGACCCGTTAAATTGTGCCCTTTTTTCTTGTAAAAAAGATCATTCTTGTCAAAAAATACAATGGAATTATAATAAACTTAATCCTCAATCCTTTTTTTGATCAATATCTTACTCGTCTTTGACATGTTGGCAGCTATATGCTTGGGCTACTTTAGTGTAATAATCTTTCGCTCCATTGCCAATTGAGTGCATTCGCTGGATGTGCATACACGACACTTTACTACATGACAAGTACAGGCGCTTTTTTTTTTTTTTTTTTTTTTTTTTCAATATGAAGATAGCAAATCAAGTGCCACACAGAGGATTAGAGTGCCCAAGTAGAAGATTTTTTGGGGTCTGTAAATGACACTGAAGCGCAAATCAATGTGAATCATATTACACCTTAAAATTTTATTTTATTGTAAAATTAATGTCAGGAGATTTAGATGAAGCCAATCTTGTTAGCAACATCGAGGGCATCGACATCAGCGGTGAGACGAACGAAAGCCTTCTTGTAACCATCGGGTCTGTAGAAAAACAGGGAGAAATCAACATCAAGGTCCCCACTTTGATATAATCACACATATAAACTGCTTACCTGATGAGAGTGTTGATCTTGGCAGCCTCAACATCATAAAGACGCTTGACGGCATCCTTGATTTGGTTCTTGTTAGCCTTAACATCAACGAGGAAGGTCAAGGTGTTGTGTTCCTCAATCTTCTTCATAGCGGTCTCAGTGTTGAGAGGTTGACGGATGACACGATATTGATCCATACGGGGAGCATGGGCAACAGACTTACGGGCGTACTTGGGGGCACGGTTCAAAACCAAAGTCTTGGGGATGTGGAAATGGGTAGAAGTACGAATCTTACGGACAGCCTTACCATGGACACCCTTAAGGGCGGCCTTCTTGGCAGCGAGAGCCTTGTTCTGAGAAGCTATACATGTGAAATGTTGAATTTAATAAAAACTTGTTTGCAACGACATATAGTCAAGATCAACATGAGCGAGCAAGTGAAGAGTGATGAAACGAGCGAATTGAATGGGTGTGGGTGTATGCGTCGGCTTTCATGAGAAGAGTTCAGAAGCAATTCTACTTCTTTCCCTTCCCAGATTGTCATCCATCCGTATCAAATGTGCCATCTGAAAAAAAAGTATCCATCATCCATTCTCCATCCAACATCGTTCTTCTTCATCATTCTCTCTCATCATCTTGTCAAATCGACTGTCGCTCATGTTGATCGTGCTATTTGGATATCATGTTGTATGGATATTTACCAGCCATTGTATGTTCAGAAGGAAAAAGAGACCGTATCAGGATTGCCAGCTTCAGCTCAGTGTAAGTATGGCCCCAGCCGGACAGAGAAATGTTCTCAACATTTCACAGTGAAGCAATGTGGTTTGATCGGAGGTACCGCCACACTGCGGGCCGGAAACATATGATTGGAAAGATCAGAATGTGCTTGAAGATCAAGAATTTCGTGAAGGTGGACTTGTATGCTATACCATGTTTAAATAATCAACTGAGAGAGTGCCATTGTCTAGAAAATATCATATTTATTGTAATTATTACTACTATCAAGTTTTTTGTTATATAACAGCGAATGAGATTATGATGTGGAAACGTCTACCAATTCATGCTTTGACTTTGCCAAGGCGACTAAACTATCAAATTCACCAGAATTGCGACACATTTTGTAAAAGGAGGATTCAGGATTGGTGACCAGAGTCAAGGGGCTATCAAATTCAAGAATTTGTCCTTGATCCAGCACCAAGATACGATCATATTCAATGACAGTATGCAAACGATGGGCAATACACAAGATGGTAGAGTCAGCGAACTCTGTAGCAATGGTCTTTTGAATGGCCTTGTCAGTTTCGAAATCAACGCTGGCAGTCGCTTCGTCCATCAGCACAATGCGACTACGCTTGAGAAGAGCACGAGCCAAACAAAGTAATTGTCTTTGACCTTGAGAAAAGTTCTTGCCGCCTTCAGTGACATTGGTAGTCAAGTCCTTGAATACATTAGCATTGACCTCATCCAGAGTAGAGTCAGATGCGATTGTCTCTGCATTGTTATCGCCTTCTTCAGTAGGCAACAAATGCACACGACGCAAAGCAGTGAAGATGTCTTGGTCAGTGAATTGATCAAAGGGATCCATGTTGGATCTGAGCGAGCCAGAGAACAAGGTAGGATCTTGAGGGATGATAGTCAAATTGGAACGCAAATCTTCAGTACCCAAATCCTTGATATCAATGTTGTCAATGACAATGGAGCCTTGGGAGGCCTCAACGAATCTAAAGAAGGAGAGTGCAAGCGTAGATTTGCCACTGCCAGTTCTACCCACAACGCCAATTTTTTCTTGGGGCTTAACAGAGAATGAGATGCCCTTGAGAACAGGGTCCAGATCAGCAGCATACTTGATTTCAAGATCCTTGACGTCAATTCTACCTCTAGTAGGCCATTCTTGAGGAGGTCTCAGTTCAGTGATGGCAGGAGCTTCTTGATCCATTTCCATAAACTCGACGACACGCTCAACAGCGTTGAAGCTCATTTCCAAGCTAGTATAACGACGGATACCCCAGAACATTTGATCAGTGAACAAGAGGACAAAGCTAAGACAGAAACCAGCCAGAGAAGCGTCCATTCTGTCTACGCTCAGCAAGATGATAATGCTGGTAATCATGTTGATGAGAGCACCCGAGAAGGCAAATCTGACAGAGACCCAGCGATTGACCAACCATTGATAGTAAAAGGGGCGTGTATTGGTATCAATATAAGTTAGCATGTCTTGCAAGAATTGACGAGTGGCACCAAAAGCACGGATAGTAGCCACGCCAATGATGGTTTCGGTAAAGTTACTAAACAAGGGGGAGCGAGAGACAGAGTCCATACGCTTCAGCTCACGAGAAGCAGAGACAAACATCATACCCAAGTAGACATTGACCAAAGCGACAGCAAGCATAGGCACCAAAAAGATGGGCAATACAGATGATACAGTGATCATACTAGAAAGAATGATGACCCATTGGATGACAAAATTGAGCAAGTCGTTGGGAATGTTGGAATCAATGGTCTCGAAATCCTTGGAGAAACGATTCAAGATTCTGCCAATAGGTGTTGTATCAAAGAAACGAAGGGGGGCTCTAAAGACGCGATGCAAGAGTTCAGCGTAAAGCGCCTTGTTGGCACCGAGGACACCCCAGTAGAGAACAGCGAAACGAGCGGTGCCGACAACAATATTGGTAAGCGTGATCAGACAGTAAACACCCAAATAGTAGTTTAAGCGATCGTCTTTTGCATCCTTGATAGTGATGAAATCATTGTCAGATTCTGATGCAACCACAGGCTGGTAGGCAAACATGGGCTTGGATTGCGAGACGATGCTTTGTTGCTGGAACATGTAGTCATCGCTAGAAGCGCTATCGTTGTGCTTGGTCTCATAAGATTGAGACCATTGCTTGATCCACCAGTTCTCAGTAACGTCTAAACCACGAGAACCTAACACTAAGGCAACCATGATGAACCAGAAAAGGGGGCTGCCCACCATACTGACATAGAGCTTGTAAAGTCTCACTTTAACCATACCAGTAGCGCGCGTTTCTTCTTCAACAAGTGCACGAGGCTTCTTTTGGTCCTTGTTGGCAGCAGCAGCAGCAGCAGCAGGTAAAGTTTCTTCAATGGCCTTTTCTTCCTCCGCATTTTCTTCTTGTGCTACTTCCTCCTCTTCACTCTCAAAGATAGAAGCAAGTTGACCTCCTTGACGCAACTCGTTAGGGGTACCCACAAGGCTAGCACGGCCTCCGTCGATGTGAACAATGTAACCGCTGCCCTTGACACAGAGTTTGACATGATGAGTAATCAAGACACGCGTACGTTCCTTCATCAATGGACCCAACAAGCACTTTTCATACAGATGTTTAGCCGTATGAGCATCCACAGCACTCAAGACATCATCCATCAGCACATTTTGAGCACGGGAATACACAGCTCTTGCAAGCGAGACACGCGCCTTTTGACCGCCAGACAAAGTGATGCCCTTTTCACCAATTTCAGTTTGGTCTCCATCTTCCAAAATCTCAAGGTCCTTGTCCAAAGCACAAGCAGTAAGTGTGTCACGGTATCTGGATTCCACGTAGGGCAAACCAAACAAGATGTTATCACGAATGGAAGCATTTTGCAACCAAGCAGTCTGAGAGACATAGGCAAGGGCATAAGGCAATAGCCAATCCTTGGGATCAATATCCTTGGAGGTGACAAATTCATCAGAAACAGTATCTACTATAGCTTGACGAGGACAATGAACCGTGCCTTTGAGCACAATGGCTTCACCCAAGAGACCCAACATCATCAGAGTCTTGCCAGAACCAGTAGCACCACTGATCAAACTGAGTTCATTCGGAGGGAACTCAATGTTCAAATCCTTAAGGATAAAGCTGGTGCTGCTTGCTTCAGAAGTAATGTTGTCGCTTGCATCCGTCACCTCATCTGTGTAGTTTTGCTTGCTCCAACCAACAGTAGCGTCCTTGAAACCAATGGTGATGTTTTCAGGAATCTGGCCAGTCAAGGGATCAATTTCGTCTTCGTTGGAAGGTGGCTCAATCTCGTCTTCATCCAAATAGGTTTGAATACGTCTAATACTGATCAAAGCTTGCAGCCATTCGATAAACACTTCAGGCAACACATTCAAGGCAAATCTCAGTTCGTTGAATACAGTGATAGAAGTGAAGGCAATGGGAGCAGTGAGTTCGTTTCCTTCCAGCTTACAGAAAGAATAGAAACTAAGCAAAGTGACCAAGATGGGGGAACTATGGCATGTGTGAATAGATCAAGAAATCTGTATAGGTAGAAACAATGCAAACTTACCCTTGCCACAGCAAGGTGAACAGGACTTCAGTCAGATAAGTAACACCCAAATGATGGAGTTCAACTTCTCTGGCCTCCATGACACGCTTTTCCCATCTCTTTTCCCAGGCGAAAAACTTGATTTGACGGATACCCTGTAGCACTTCATTCATTAAAGATACACGCTTATCACGAGCCTCCATCAGCTTGTCTTGCGTCTTTGCAAACGTCTTGGCATTGTAATGGTTGATGGGTAGAACAACAATCATGACCAACAGGCCCAAGAAGCACGATTTGCCTAGTAATTGGTACAAAAAGTATATGCCGACAGCCAATTCAGTAGGTGCAGCCAAGATGGAAAACCACCAGACACTGAATTCAGAGATACGATTGGAGTCGGTACTCATCAAATTGACAATGGTGCCTGTGGAGGAGCTTACATCCTCTTTTTCATCGGATTCGTCCTTTTTGTTGGAAACCGCATCATCGCCCTTCTTTTTATCAGTACCTTCTTCATCATCGAGCTTTGGAGATTCAACAGCCAAATCACGGCGACGCAATGTCTTGCGATAGATTTCAATATTTAGCATAGCCTTGACTCTGACTTGAAGCGAAGATGAAGCTATAGGCACAATGGATACATTTGAGTCAATTTTGCATGAAGGCATTGAAATTCAGTGATCCTTTACCATAATACCACAATTGCCCAACGAGGATACCCAAAATCAGGATGGTAGCGCCCAGACTAGCAACAATGACAAATCCCTTTCTGATAGACACCTCGTCTTCCACACCATTCATGTCTTGGATCAATGTCAAGAGACGGTTCACGAAATAGGCAGGTACGTAATAGACCAGTGATGTGGTGAAAGCGAGCACGATTTGAATGGTGATGGCCTTTTTGTTGGTAGTGTAGATGCGCTTCAGCAAGCTCTTGTTGCGAGTAGCACCAAAAATATAGTACAAATTATGGCCACGGTAAAGCGGTGGCAATGTGGGTAAATCCTCGTCTGTCAGTTTCTTGTTCTTGTAGGCCAAGTTGATCAACGGTGTGACCCATGAGAAGTAGAGGAAGGAGTAGATCGAAGCTACATCGATAGCTGCTACTTTTCTGCCGTTTTCATCCAAGAAAGGAGCGCCGCGAGGTGTTGTGGCTGTTGTAAAGACGAGATCAGATCCCAAAATCAATGCTAAAAGTCGAGGCAGCATGTGGATCCAGTTATCAGAAGGATTGATCACATAAGCGTCGTAGACATCATACACAGCGATGCACCAGATCATGGTGTAGAAGATACATAGATGCACATTGAGAATCCAGCCCCATTCGCTAGGAAATCGATAACGATGGGCCACAAGCACCAGCACAGATGCATACAACCAAGCAACGAATTGAGCACAAGCAGATGCAGTCATCCACCAGTCTGATGACTGTTGTTGTTGGATCACAGTGCGATAGAAATCCAATGCAGAGAGTAAGGCCAAAGTTAACGTACCAAACGTCAATCGAACAAAACGAGCATCGTCATCTGCCACAGGCACGCTGGCATCTCTCTTCTTATCAAACACAAGTGGAGCACGATCCAATTGCTGGGATTTGTGCAAATAGGTTCGCTGTAGTGATAATACAAAAGCACTGCCACACGTAACAAGTGCTAATGCACCAGATAGCCAAGCATCTATCGGGATGCTATCTGTCATTCTTCAGTCTTTAGTGAGTATATGTGGAAGAAAAGAGAGAGAAATGATGCAAATTTTTTCTACTCTTTATTCGTAATTGATAAGCGGAAAACATCATCCGCAAATTGTTAATGCTGCGGTCAAATCCCATCACAATTAGGCAACCCCGCCTCATTTTGGATCAGGGTAGCCTGAATCAATTCGAGTGCAACATCAGATCTGTAATAGCCTTTAAGGGTTTTAATGGACACTGTATGCTATGTCGCTCAGACAAAAATGACCCTTCAACGTGTCAATCAACAGGGGAATAAGCATTTTGATCCAGACCTTTTACAAGCTGCATTCCTGCTTCATCCATGTCTAATGGAGATGGTATGATTCGCTCATTTTCAAACGCCATGCCTGCTGCACCATGCAACCGCAGCAGCAACACTCACAATGATGTTATTGTTGTGTGTGTGTGTATGTGTGTGTGTATGTATGTGTGGAAAAACTTTAAAATAACGTTAGCATCTTTGCCAGACAACAACATTTGTTTGTTTGTGCGTGTATGATTTCTAGCGTTACGTTACAAATGTCTCGGTCCATATTTACCATTTCTTTCCTAAAACATAAAAATGTGTGTACATCAGTCAGTTTGCTTGACTACAAAAACAACTATTTTTGATCATCAATTTATCATATGATATTGAAACGTAGTAGTTTAATTTAACTTTTGTATGAAAAAAAAACAGTCGTTGGCGCGCTTTGCTCATCACGTCTTGTCAAGGCGCAGAAAGAAAGTCGATACTGTATTACGTTGAATGTATCCTTCTGCGGATCCATCAAGATACATTTACCAAGTCCATGTAATCGCTTTTCATAGATATTACGTAATCCAAGCTGCCATGTAGCATCACTGATCAGCGCAGCTACTGTTTGCTATGCTTTGCAAACGGGGATTTACCTCTACATGCGCTGGAACGACTCATTATTATGTACATGCGGACCCCCCTACAAAGGACATGCCAATATGGATCTGGCTCTTCTACCATGCTCCACATTTGCTTCAATGGAAGCAACTTATATCTGGGTAGACGTAATACCTCTTCTTACTACTCAAATGAATGCTCATCGCAGTGAAGTTTGGGTGTATCCAAGCCGTGGTTTTTCGCGTTAGAGGCCGTTTTAGACCGCCACAATAGCGCCAAATTATTGCTTTCATTTAGCATTAACTTCCTGGCACTTTTGCTCAACTCTTTTGGGAACCCAAAAAACGTTGCTAAAAATCGAGCTAAAAGCATGAGGTACCCTTCATGGGTTTCATCAAAAATCAAACAATCATGAATTTCATCCCAATAATGAAGACTTTTGCTATGGCATATATCAATGATTTATCAGAAATAAATTATTTATAAAAGAGTGTGAAATTAATCAGGTAAAGAATATCGTTTATTACATTGGAAATAAGAGGAGGGTTTATATACTATTCGAATTGAGGGATTTGATGTGAGGATAAGGTATTAGATGGGTTGGTCTGGGTGATAGGATAATAGATCCAATCTATTATCCTGAACATGCCATGATATGGATCGTAACTGAATCCTGTTTCATGTCAAAGTTTATTGATCTGACATGATCGGTGCTTGAACTGATTGTTTCTACGCATTTGGAGATCCGGTTTAGAAATGATACATCAATCAAGTCAGAATGTTTCTCTCCATCCAAAGCAACACTTGGAACTACGTTTGTAAGACCTCGGTATGCAAAAACTCGACGTTTTCGCCAAAAACAGCATTTCATACTTTCAAATTTTGCTTACTAATTTCATTCGAAGTGTCTATTTTGATTGGCATCATTGAATGCAGCTTGAAAAGTACTAAAAAAGTGCAACAATAGAAAGCATGGCATGACCACCACAACAACTTACTTAGTCGAATATCAAAGAATAAGTTGAATCGTGTTCAAAAGTTCAAAAATCAACGAATTGAGGCAGAATGTCGAGCGTAGCGTTAATCAATTTTGGCGGCAGGCTGCTGGCTAGACTGATGCCTTAATCATGAAGGCAATCCTTGTCTAAGAAGCTAATGAGAAGGGCGTTTTGAATTGAGCAGTGCTGTTGCCTAACACAACAACTAATTTTGCATACTTTTGGTATAGACTTTTATACTTGATGGTTGTTGCACTGATGATTAAATATTGCTTGCCAAACATTGCCTACCAAAAGCGAATCCAAATGCAAAATTGCTCATACCACCAAGAGAACTAAGTTTCGTAAGAAGCAGAATATATGGGTCATTAGACAGAACCTTAATTTACTTGCTGTTTCGGCAGCATAACCTACTACACCTTAATTTTAGATCAAATTCTGCTTAAATCAAGCCATTTTCAAGCACGAACACCTCATGCCACAAAACGTTTTGAGCATCGGGAATAGCTCCAAAAGGCACTCCTTTGATATGCCTTACTTACTGATGCTCTATCTCAATTTTTTTTAGTTCATTGCAAATTCATGAAAATCGTCGTTTTTTCATGAGTATTAGCAAGGGAAAATTGTTGAAAATCAAACGATCGCGTTTTTCGCCACAAAAATGAAGACTTTTTCTATGATACATATCAGATCAAGTTGATCGTAGAGACGGAATGCAACATTAGAAACGACTTTTTTTTTAGACTTTCATATGATAAATTTTGACATTTCCGCAAAAAACCTATTTTCAAATATCTCAAAGTTACTCTTTATTTTCGGTGTGAAAGCTAAATGTAACGAGCATCATTCGATGCACCTTCATTGACTTTTTATAAATGCTTTAGAAGATAAAGTATAATGACGACAATTTCCATAGTCAAATTTAGCAAAAACATTTAAAGAATGTGAATTCAAGTCGCATTTGAACATGAAAATACCCACTGCACAATTTCAAATTAAAGCGCAGCAGTTACGGCTGCCACGGCAGAAAACTGAGACTAAATCTACTGGCCGTGACGTCGAATAGGGCGCTCTCTCATTTTTCCATATCCTCCTTTTTTTTTACCCTTTTTGCAAAACGCGTTTAATATCAAACCACATTGGTTTTGGAACCCTTTTGATTGAAAATAACACTCTAGCTTCTGATAACACGGCCTTGTACTGTTAAAAGCACTTGATACTGCTTCTCTTAAGTGGAATATAGCAGGTACCGTTCGACAACGAGCACAGAAAGACGTAGAACAAGCACTAATCGAATTTGTTTATTAGGTTTTGATAATTTTTTGCCTGCTTGACGTGGGTGCTGCTGCCATTACTTCTCTGCTATCTCTGCTGTCTGCTTCTTTGGTTTATCATGTCTGGTAGCTGCTTCTTTGGTCTCTCTCTCTGGTGGTTGCTTCTTTAACCTTTGTCTGGTCTCTGGTGTCGCTCATTGTTCGGTTTTTCTCTGCTGCTGGTGTTGCTGCTGGTGTTGCTAACCTGGTCTTTCCTGTTTTACTGTCTTTGGTGCATGCTCGTTCCCTGGTCTATATCCAGTGATTGCATATTATCTGGTCTATTTTTGGTGGCGGTAAGTGGTAATTGACCTCTTTAATCTTTGTTTGGTCTCTGCTGGTAGCGTTCGTACTTTGGTTTTCCTCTGGTGCTGGTGTTGCTGCTGCTGCTAATATAATATTTCCTGGTCTGCTGTCTTTGGTGCATGATTGTTCTCTGGTTTATCTCTGGTGGTTGTCTATTCTTTGGTCTATCTGTGTCTATGGTAGGTGGTAAGTATCTTTTTTTCTTCTGGTCGCAATGATAAAATACTTCTTTGAATGTTGGTATTATTGCTTCCTTTCTCATGATAATGCATTCATGATGTTTTCTTTGTTGCGCTTTCTTCTTCTTTTGCTGGTTTTGTTTCCTCTGTGGCTTCACATGAAACAACGTTAGTCATTACGCTGTATTGCACACTTATAATACCACTACTTTTGCTTTTGCAGTTGTTGTGCGTGTTTATGTTGCTTTACATCCGACTATTACTACCATGCACATTGCTCATGTATGCATTTTTTGTTGCAACAACAACGAGCTTTTTTGAACATTTTTGATGTTGTATTTGTGATATGCTTTTCTTTGACCCACTTTGTGTGAGTGTCCTTTTTTTTTGCCTACGTACTACTGTACTTCTATAGTGATATGTTCTTTTCTTCTTTTATTATTATTATTATGTTTCTTTTGAAGCATACCTTTTTTTACGTTGTGTGGATGTGCCTATCCCTGAAGCTCAACAAGACTTTATCCGAGGCCAGGAGATAGATAGGCTGTCTCCACTTGGTTATTGCTACTTACTTTAGTGATGATTGAGGGTCTCAATACCAGAATTTAAAAGCTAAGTGATGTAAGTAAGGCATGCTCTAGCACCTGGGGGAGATTTGATGATAACTACCGCTATATTGCTATATATAGCGGTGTTTAAAATTTTGCCTCACATCAAAACAGAGGGAAACCCTCGCAATTTTTTTTTTAGGTCAGCGGAGTTTTCAAGCAATCTGATTGGCTCAGGGGTTGAAGGAGAAAAGGTCTACAGCTAGTTGATTTTCTGTTGATCTGCCTGTTATGTCAAAATACAATGTAAAATTGAATCTGCCAAAGAATTACACTTTTATTGAGAATGCATCCCAAGGATGCATTTATATGCTTTTCATTATGCTAGGGTTTACAGCATGATGATGAACTATAATACAAATAGGTTTACTATCTACCCAACAATTGATTTGTAAATCATGATTAGCATGATTTACCCAAAGGACCTAAGAATAGCCTAAAACCTTTAGTGTGAGACCTTGCTATGACATTTGATATAACACTGCCGTTTAACATTATTTTGTCTTTTGTAATAAAAGGGTATCCAAACAGTTATAATTTAAAGCCTTCTTGTTTATTAAAATGTAAGACAATGTTCAATCATTCAATCCAGCGTTCATTAAACAGTTTCACATGGAATGTCTCTTCAATTTGATATACGATGGGGAAGCTAAGGTTATTATTATATAGATGTAGTAGTAGCATACTCGGTACTAGCAGGTCTTCCCAGCACCACCAAATACCCTCCCCCCCACCCGCCGAACATGCGTTGTGCGTCATTGAGTTTTAATATGTTATAATTTCAAGAGTTGCTCTATTTTGTTTCATAGCAAAAACTCGGGATGTTCAAAAGTATTTCCGGTTTCGAGACCTGGTCATCCAAAATCAAGTGTAAATATTGTGGTTAGAGTTCTGAAACTAGCGTGTTCCTATAGCAGAACGTTGTGAGCGAAATGATAGTAGTGTAGTTGGATTTTAGATCGGATGGTGGATTGTCGTTCAGAAACGGATGATTTTAGAGGTAATAAGTTGATTTTGAGCAAAGATTATGTACCTTAGGGTCTACTGAAAGCTGTTAATTACAAATGATTACGAGTCATAGATGGATGGATCAGAAGCTAGAAAACGCTGTGTTTAAGACCGTTCGGTGATACTTCGCTTTATTATGAGCAATCGTTTTTCATTACGAGTAATAAATTGATAAGTGAGGCGTTGCAAAATGTGGTATTGAAAACCGCTTGGTTATATCTTGCTATGTTGTAGTTTGGCAAAGGTTTACAGCTGAGCATGGTTGCTGTTACACACAGATCATAGGTAGAGCATTTCACGTCAAGGGAGTTTCAAACGACTGCGGCAACATTCAACGCATTTAAAAGATGACAAAGGAGCAAGCTGCTTCTTTATACATTTTTTTACCAATTACGATTGACATGTCTGAGGTGCAACATGTTGGGGATCATCCCAAGAAGCCTAGCAACATTGATGAATTGAGAAGGTTGAAGCAAGCCAAAAAGGAAGCCAAGAAGAAGCTCAATAGCAAACCGCAAATGAAACAATCGCCACCAGGAAAAGTGTATGAGCGTCCCTTTGCCACTGTTCCTGATCAGCCAGCTCTCATCAAGAAATCAGGGGAAATATGTGTCATGACTTTCAATGTAAGTTCAAAAGAAGCATGGATAATGAGGGGTGTTATATTGACACGAGATTAGATTTTGGCACAATCTTTGATCAAGCGGAAACTATTTCCTGATTCCGGCGACTACATCAAATGGAAGGCAAGAAGGAAAATGATTTTGGATGAAATCAAGCTATACAAGCCAGACATACTCACCATGCAAGAGCTGGACAACTTTGAAGTGTATTATGAGGCCATGTTTAACGAGATGGGATACAAAGTGATGTATTATACACATCCAACAAAGCGTCATGGCTGTGGCATCGCCTATAAAGAGAGCAAGTTTAACAGTGTAAAGTATGCCACTGTAGATTACAACACGGATACAACATGCCCTCCTTCGTACATGACGGGAAATATCGCGCAACTGTTGGCATTGCAATGGAAATCAGATCCTAGCATTGGATTTGTGGTTGGCAATACGCATCTGTATTGGAGACCCACATCAAATTATGAGCGGTTTAGGCAGACCATCATCTACTCCAACCGACTATTAGACTTTAAGCAAAAACTAGATGAAAATACGAGATGGGAACCCTTGTTGTTTGGTGATTTCAACACAACGCCCGATGATGCTGCTTATGGGCTATTGACTACCAACCACCTTTCTGACTTTCATGTCCAGGACTTGAATGAATCTCGTATCTACAAGGCGACTGCGAATGGTAAGGAGCACCTTGCAGAGGAGGAGGAGGAAGAAGAAGAGGAACAGGATCAGATCACCACCATCTCCGCCGATCAGTTGGATACCATCGAGATGCTCCTAGCCAAATACCATAACCAGGGCCATTGGAAGAGTATCTACAGTCATTTCGGCCGCGTCAATCCAGACAGCACTAACCAAGGGCTCTTTGGAGAGCCCAGGTTCACGGATTACGCGTCTCAATTTCAAGGCACATTAGATTACATGTTCATAGACGCCAACTCTCCCATTAAGATCAACAGCTTATTGTTAATGCCAGATGAGGAGCAGTATTTAAAGCCCTCTCTGCCAAACAGGTATTTTGGCAGCGACCATTTATGTCTAGTGGCACGCCTGACATTTTAGTGTTTTTCTTCTCTTCTACACCTTTCAATAAAAAGCAATATGAAAGTCCAGATACTTGTGCCTAGTCAGAATCAGAAAAGCTTCAGTATTGATGTTGGAAAGGACGATACTGTAGCTTTATTTCGCAGCACAATCATGGCCACATTGAAGATACCAAAAGATACTGCCTTCTCCTTGATTGCACTTGGTAAAATTGTAAGTGTGGAAGTGAGATACGCTACTTGATTCACGAGTTAATCAATTGATAATAGATGCTAGATCATTGCCAAGACGGCACGCTCGCTAGACTGAACTCGACTTACAGAGTGAGAGATAAATCAACTGTCTTTGTGCACTTGTATACTGCTGCGAAAAAACGCAAAAGACCCTGTCCACGAATTGTTATAACGGCAGGGAGAAAGCGACAAAAGACGCCCACCATTGACAACATGAACGCAGTGACACTGCCATTTGACGATTTTGTCTGTCCAACTTGTGCAAATGATGCACGTCGAAAAACGTGTCCTGATTGCGGATGTGTCAAATGTCTCCTGAAAACCGGCGATCCATTGGTGAGTACCATTGCTAGTTGGCGCTTTTGCTTTATCTCACACTGCATGCTAGATATGCGATCAATGCAACAACTATTGGCACATTGAATGCGCGGGACTATCAGCAGAACCCAAATGCCATTACTGGTAAGTAGATATAAGACCAGATACACAATGGCACGCACACAGTAATCCTGCTGATAGGTATTGTCCCGACTGCTACAATAGAGATCACGAAAAAATTGTTGGAAAAGACGAGCAGTTACAGTCGTCGGGCAGCAAAGGCATTACTATCAAGGAGCAAGAGTGTGCTGTGGTTCATCAATATCACGTTGGAAAAATCCCTGGCGTACGTGTTGGACAGACATGGGCAACACGAAGTTTGATGACGGAATGGGGAGTGCATCGAAGTCCAGTGATGCGTGTTGCTGGTAATGGAAGGGTTGGAGCAGTGTCTATTGTACTGACATACGGCGTCATTGAGGATCCCGATGATGGAGATGAGTTTATATGCTCTGGTGTAGGTGGATTTCCAAAGCACAGGTCCGTCTTCTCTAACGCAGAGCTGGAGTCTCAAGAACTGACTCGATCCAATCTACTTTTGGCCCTCACTTGCAATACACCCGTCAACGCAGTGAATGGTGGAAGAGCACTGGATTGGAGAAAGAGCCAGCCTATTCGTGTGTGCAGATCGAGCACATTAAAGGCGCTGCATCCGGAATTTGCACCGGCAGAGGGATTTAGATATGATGGAGAATACAAGATTGTGCGCTACTGGCCTTACAAGGAGCCTACTACTGGAAACCTTATCTGGAAGTACCTGTTCAAACGAGATGATACGGAGATGCCTCCATGGTCGTCCGAAGGAAGAAGAATGATATCAAGAAGGGGCCTCCGCATGATCAATCCAGTGGACGAGGAGACAGAGGAATTGCGAAGATTTACTCCCTCGTATAAGGCTCAGGTAGCCATTGCAAAAGATACACAGAATAGGCGTTTATGGAATCAAATCAGTGAGCTCAAGTTTTGGTCTGAATTCGAGTTTCTCCAGTATGTGTTTGATGAAGCATTTGCATGCTCTAGCCATGCCTGTCCTAAACCCATCAAGGTAATAACGTGCTTGGATGTTCACATGTGTAAGGCGAGCTGACATGAGCCTCCTATAGAACCCTATTACTACACCCTGTGGCCACATCTGTTGCATGCGCTGTCTCACGAAAAGTAAATCTAATCAGTGCTTTACCTGTCGAAACAATATACCCTTGGAATCCATACAGACAAATGAAAGACTGATTCGTATCTTGAAAAGGATCAATCCTGCTTACAATACGGCCGAAGACACTTATGAGTTGCCCTCTACCATCGCAGAAGAACAGTTACAAGAAGATGCACTACAAGAAGTACGGGTGGTCATTGAGCCGTTGAATTCTGACACGAGCATGTCACCCGAGACACACGAGCAGAGCGAGATACGCCCATTGGAAGCTGTTGTCATCATTGAAACATACATGGAATAAACAGGACATTTATCGTTACAGTGATCATAGTATTAAGTAGTATTTATTGGATTATTGTGTCGAGCACCAAAAATATAATAGTAAGGTTGGTTATTCCCACATGAATTAGCTAATGTATTACGAAATGGAAAAATTGGAATCACACTAAAGTTTTTCTTGATTGATTTTTATGGTTTCATCAACACCTGATGTGTTGTTCGTATCACCTCTTTTTGCTCGAAGTGGTGCTAACCAGCCAAATAAGCAACCAAGGAAAGAGGGTGGTGGGGGATGATTGTTGGGAATTGCCTTCTTTGTTGTCTCGGTGGTAGGCAGGGTCTTTTGTTGTTGAGAGGAGGAGACCCTGATTTTGAGCGGTTAGTTTCTGTTTGTGTTTGTGCCATGTCGCATCGTACTTACTTTTGCTGCTGCTGCTCTTCCTTCTCGGCCAACATGGCAATGAGTGCACCGCCAATACTGCCTCCGTCTGTAGCCAGTTCAACTCGAATACGATCACTCACCTGAGAGTCGAACCAGGTGATAAGCGAGCGATAGATGCGTTGATGCATATCAGGGTATTTCTCATAAGTCGATCCATTCACACCAATGACAATAGGGCTAGATCCAGTCATTAAATCTTGCTGTTGCTCAATGAGCGAGGCCATGGCAGCACCAGCTAGTTTTGCAGCGCGATTGGATACGATTTGACACAGCTCTGTAAACACATTCAGGTCATCCAAGTCCATTGTATAACCATCTTGGAAATGAATCAACTCTTTAAGATGTTCAAAACGTGCTTCGGTCGAGTAATCAAGATGTCTAAGGATGTATAATTAGAATATGTGGTGGTACAAATGTATTACCCTCATTATATAACAATAAATAACATAATACACCAGGGTTCTTTCTTGCAAACAAAAAAAAAAAAAAAAAAAAAACTCACCCTTCAATGTCGCTTGGAATCGATGTGCTGAATTCCATCGAAACTGCAAATTCGGTAGGACGATGGCCCTTGAACAAACTGCCATTTTCAATCATATCCAAAGCAGCTAGTCTCACCAATTCACCAATGCAGGCACCAGACATCATTTTTTCATACAACTGGAAATCAGGCTGCGAGTGATTGGCGTCTAGTTCGCGATCATACTTGTTGAGAGGCAGATAGGCATCACTGCCGAATATATCAATCTCGGTGTTGACAAGCATAGTGGCGTCTGGGTTGTAGTGCTTGACCTGTTGGTTGCCCTGCAATTTAACCATACGAGACACTTTTTCAGGATAAGCTGCATTTACACCTGTGCCATAGATGAAGCCAACGCGAGTGTCTGGATTGGTGTATGCATGAGCAACTAGTGTACCCACTGTATCATTCAGCAGTGCTGTCACTTTCACATTGACATTCTAAACATGTCATTAATAACACTACGTTTCGAGCCCGGACACCTGGAAATTACCTTGCGGTCAAAAGCCTCCTGGAACAAAGTAGAGAGATCATAACCTTCGACACCTTCGATCGTAAATCCTTTTCCCATACGAAGAATTCTGCCTGCAGAAATGCTTGTTTGACTAAAAAAAAACACACACACACACACACACACATGGATGAGTTATGACTTTAGTGAAGGCGCACATCTCTACACGTACTCTACGGGAAAACTCCAGCACACACCCAGAGATAACGGGCCATCAGCATGGACTGCATGATAGCCAATCTTTTCAATCAATTCAGCAATTGCATCCACAATCCAGTCAAAGAATGCAGTAGCTCCACTTGTTCTCAGTGGATCATTGGGAGCAATATGACGACGGATCTCTGTTACTGTCACTTGACAATTGCCCAGCAGTTCCACAGCACACACACGCAGCGTGCTTCCACCTAAATCTAAAGCGAGATAAGTGCCCTTCTCTTTACCTGTGGGTAATGTGGTAACATAGGAAGGGATCATGGTAGCGAGGCCTGATGCTGAAGCTGTGCTGAGGCCGCTTTCGTATTCAGCTTTGAATCCATCGACAATGGCTTTAAATACTTGCTGATTCAGATCAAACTCTTCTCGAATAGATGCCAGTGGATCTGTCATGTTCAAGATAGAAAGGAATGAATAAGAGAGGGAAAGTAATGAGAGAAAAAGAAAAAAAGGGTACAAAAACTATAAAAAAAAAAAAGAAACAGGTGTATATATATATTATATATATAAGCCCAGGTTAGCTCATCAAGTGGTTTGCTTTGTCAGGTGGTACGTTGTGCACTGTATTACGCTCAAATCGCACGCTTTTTCCCTGAGACCCTGATAACATTATTTAATGCTTTTGGTGCAAGTGAAAAACACAATGTACATGTACCACAATGTTTAGATTATACAATTAGTGTTTTTATGTGGTTTTTATCTGGGGATTACAGGTGTATATAGATATAGTTATAGACAAGAATAGAGTGAAAATGCGTGAAATTAAAGAGGAGCGAGGGAGGATGCTTTACTCGTCGTAAGGACCATTCAAGGGAGTTTGGGATCTTGAGCTGGAAGTCAACTTTCTGAGTTGCTTGACACCACCTTGAAGAGACAAGTTTTCAGGGCCAATCAAGGATTGATGGACGTGTTCAATAGACTTGAAGTACTTTACAGTCTGTGTTTTGCAATACAAGTTAGATGACAATATTAGATAAGGAACACAGTTGGCCTTACCTTGACATGCAATTCAAGGGTCGCATCCTCATCACACACGATCAAACCCTTAGGATGCATTTGAATAGCCGATACGGTCCACATGTGGTTCACACCACCTTCAATACAATTAGCCAGAGCAATGGCCTATATAGTAAATTGTTTGTGTGAGTCATGGTTATACATTACATAATATTTGTATCTGCTTACCTTGTGTGCACCAGTGATGATAACAAGCACCTCACGAGCGTCCATCACAGTAGCAACACCGACAGTCAAAGCGAGCTTGGGCACCTTGGAGACATCGCCATCAAAGAAACGAGCATTGGCAATGATGGTCTCGTAGGCCAATGTCTTAACGCGAGTGCGAGAGGTGAGAGAAGAACCGGGTTCGTTGAAAGCAATATGGCCATCTGGACCAATACCTCCCAAGAAGAGTTCAATGCCACCAACCCGGGCAATTTCAGCCTCAAATTTCTTACACTCTTCATCCAAATCAGGAGCATTACCATCCAAAATGTGAACGTTCTCGGGCTTGATGTTGACGTGCATAAAGAGGTTCTTCCACATGAAAGAGTGATAGGATTCAGGATGATCACGAGGCAAGCCAACGTATTCGTCCATGTTGAAAGTAACAACATGCTCGAAACTGATTTCACCAGCCTTGAACATTTCGACCAAGAGCTTATATACACTTACAGGAGAGGAGCCAGTAGGAAGACCAATGACAAAGGGACGCTCAGCGGTAGGGTTGAATTGCTTGACACGCTCCTTGACGTAGTTGGCTGCAGCAAACAGACGATTTAGCACATATACTTCTCTTTATGCAATCAAGCAAAACTTACCAACATAGTTTGTCACCTCATCATAATCGTCGCGAATAACCAATCTCATTGCGTGTGTTTGTTTTAATATATATGTGATATGAAGAAAATAAAAAGGAAAACAAGAAAATGAGATTGCAACATCAAGGCGAATTTATACCTTTCTCATCAGGATTACCCGAGTTGAAAAAAAAAAAAAAAAAAAAAAAAAGTAGAGACAGGGTCTAATCCAGTGATCCAATCATACCCAAATTGCATGTTTCTGGGGCGACACGGGGAAGCGGGTGCTCATTTCATAGGTTTTACATCCTATTCAGGGTCTTTTCTATAGTTCCCTGACCGAAAAAAGGAAATTCTCTCTTTCAGTGGAATGCCATCTAGGATTCCAAATAGAGCAGGGGAAGCAAGAATATATTTGAGCAAAAGAAGAGGCATTGTAGGGAACTAGTGAAAATCGAAAACTGGAAAAGCCTCGGAGAGATGCTCTGCATGTTATCAGTCATATAGCCACACGAAAAAAAAAAAAAAACAACCTGATTTCATAATCAATGATATCATTGGTTTGCATCGCCTGATTATCTAATCCAGAAAGACCCTGGCAGGCCGCTGAATGGACTGTTTAAATTAATGACACTAGCTTCTATAAACCCTGACATCCCCGCCAAACGTAAATGTGAACCCTGTTGGAAAGACCCTCTCTTATGAATCAGGCATTCCTATTAGATAATTTTGACATTCCCAGATGTTGGATGGAAAGTGGAAAGAAAAAAGTCTACCCAGTGGTTTCACTTGAGTCCATTGCACCACTTGAGGGCTATACTAAAGTTAGAAGATATGGTCTTGTTTAGGAGAGAGATGGGAGTAATATTGGACCCTTCATCTAGATGTGACATTCGATTGCGTGTTATCCATGACAACTCCGTTATGTGCAAGTTGTTTGTAATCATTTACCCTAAAACCACATGGCAATGTCAATCTTGTTCATTCGCATGTCAGCTCTTCCGAGATAGAGCATGTGCAATAGGGGTGCTAACATGACAAGTGCATCTCATGACAAGGAAAAAGCCCATTGCTTCCACTGAAATACATATGGTTATGAGAGGTATCTTCAGATGTCTTAGAGAGCGAATGCTTGCATGTAAATCAGTAGAGTATTTGCATATTAGATACGACTGGGATAAACAAAAGCCGTGAAATTTACATGAACAGCACTAGAATGGCATTGAAGAAATTACCCCTGGATTTCTTATTGAGCGATCGGTAATGAACCCAAGCAATCCACTGATCCAAAACCTGAGCATTTCTAAAATGGACGATTATCGCCATTCTTCCACTGTAACACTACATTAAGCAAGATGAATATACATTCAAGAGAGATGGAATGGATGGATTGGCTGCTGGCATGCACACACTACACTGCTTAAGATAAACGTCAATCATGGACGTTTACAGCTGGAGCAACTAGAGTAAAACGCGCAGACTTTCAGATCTACCATTCAAAGTGCATGTTAGTGCAAGGATTTCTTGAACACTAGCAAGAGCAGATGGCTAGTCTGGGATACTCAGTATCCTGGATACATCTTTTACGGCGTATGCTTCGATAGCACCATGTCTGTTGCTACATGTGCAAATACTCCAACCATCGCATAAGAGAGCTCCATAGCTGTGAGTCTTAATCTTTTGCAATGATCCGTGTCTGTGTTAATGCGAGCAGTTCACATAGGGGCACACAGCATATCAACATTACCTACTACTACTCAAATAAATGCATAACAAGCGAAATCTGAATGAGCTTGAGCCCCGTTTTCTCCTGGTAGGAGCGGTTTTAGACAACCAAAAAAGCACCAAACAATTGCTCTCGTCTGGCAGTTACTTATTGTCACTATTGCTCAACTTTTTGGGGACCAAAAAAAACATGGCCAAAAATCCACCAAAAAGCATGAGGTACCCCCTCATGATTTTCAACAAAAATCAAAGGATCGCATTTTTCACCTTGATAATGAAGACTTTTACTATGGTATATATTAGATCAACATGCTTCCATCGATTCAGAGCAACCCCTAAAAGGGCTTTTGTGATATCTTTAGTTGCAAAATCCCGATATTTTTGCCAAAAACCTCATTTCATATTTTCATAAATTGCTCAATAAGCTTCTTAAAAACATATGCTTTAACTGGTATTATTAGAAACGCCTTGAAAAGTATTCCAGAAATGCATTAGGAAGTATTTTTTTTTTTTTGTAGGGGAGACGAGCTCCAGTTTTTATTTAAAGTCCTTTAAATGTCGTGCTGAGGGATAGAAAAGACTGGATATAGAGACAAAGGATCGGATGGAAAATGGGTTGGAAAAAAAAAGGTGACAGAAGAATGAACGAAAAGGTAAAACTGAATACTTACGAATCAAGATTTAACTCGGCATCCAAACGAGCAAGAGAGCGAGCAAGGCGAAGTTGAACGGTGTCAGCGATGAACGGGGTTCGGTCGAAGATCCAGCGCCAATGCGCTTGCCAAATTGTCAAAAGAGTAGTTGCGAATAATTGAGGAATAGAGAGTTCATTGAACGAGAGAGAGGGATCACGATTAAGAAAAGGGGAAGAACAGAGTAAAATTTGTTGTAAGAAATGAATCAGATCAACATCAGAGATTGATGGAGAAGCAGAAAGATAGGTGTGATACATGTATCGCCAGACCAGCAACTTGGGAGGGCAGGAGAACAGAGCATGTGTGATATCCTCCGTGGGAGAGGCAGGGCAGATTGTACAGCGGTGAGAAGGGTGATTGTCAGGAATGCGTAGATGTAGGAGGGCTCTGGTGGGGATTTTTTCATATATAGCCCGATACCAGACCGTGCGAGCAGCAAGGGGAATTGCGAGTGTCCAGAATGAGCGCCATTGAGGAGGTTGGAGAGGAGAAAGAGAGGAGGAGGAAGAGGGTAGGTTTTTGCGTAGTTTTTTAAAAAAGCGGATGCTGTTGAGTGGCAACCGACTACGCGAAGGCGAGGAAGAAGGAGGGACGAAAATGCTACGGCAAAACGCCCGCAGAGAGGGAGGTTGATGAGGGTCTAGGGCTGGACGGGGAGCAATGAAGCATTGCTGTGCAAAGAAAGGCTGGAATATCAGTTGACGAGAATTGATGAAATCAGCAACACGTTGGGAGACAATAGGATGGCTAGCAAATTGGAAGGAAGAACGAACACGAAGCACCTGATGATCAGCATCTAACCGGAAAATGTCGCTTACAAGAAGCTTCTTTGCAACGTTGGAGCCGTCTAAGAGAAGATTCGGTGGTATAAAGCTAGATGAATAGAGAGTATTAGTAGTAGGTGGTGAATGTAAAAGAATATCATAGAGAGGAAGTGAGTAGCAAGTAACAGCATCAACATATAAGTTATGACGCTCTGTTATCTGGAAAAGTGACAAACAGGACTGAAGATTAGTAATTGGATTGAGATAGCTGTGTCGACGGGCATTAGGAAGTATGCGATGATCATCGCAATTTATATAGTCGATTATCTCAAATTAAGTCGACCAAGTCGAAATTGACCAAGATTTGTCCAATCTTAAGCAGAAAAATATTAAGCGGGGCTAAATGATTTGACGGCTGACAGAGTTTATTACCGTCGTCTAATCATGACAACAATCAATATTTATAAATCCAACAAGAAGTTGTTGCTTATTGAATTGTACTAGAGCTTAGTTGGGCCTAGTTTTTGTTAATTTTTTGGAGATACTTAAACCCAATAGATATAATCGTAGCAAAATATTCAACCAAACACGATACCTAATGCGAGATGTCAATTTGCCATCTTACCAAAGTGTTATGATCATCGCTACCTGGTTCTATCGTCAACGCAGTAACTAGATATGAAACAGTGGAACTCAGGATATAGCAAAAGCTCTCATTGAGCATCAGCGAGTTAAAGCAGCAATAGTCTTGACTCTGCTGCTGCCACAAATTGACAGGTACATGGTGACTGCCTGAGAAATGCACTGATCCAGCAGGATCCCTCTATCTAATTTTAAAGAGAGCCCCTGGCAATAAGCTTGTCTTTTTCAACTACTGCATGTCAAATTAAATATGCTTCGCAACTCAACACAGCTGAAGCGAGTCTTGCTGAATAAATACAATGCTCCCACAGGATGCGGTGGGATCCTTAGTGTATGTCAAAGATCCCTGTATTCCACTACTGCACCTGGTAAGCTAAACACATGGACCAGTCATGTTGGAGCCAAATTTCTGAATGAACAAATTAGACTTTGAAATTGGAGCCAAAGAAACCAAGATCAATGGACAAGTGCTCAGCCGAGATGAATGGACCAACATTTCGCCCACAGTTTTATCAAAAGTGAACCGCAAATTACATTTACAGCCTCAAAACCCCATTTCCATCATTCGTCAATTGATTGAATCCAACTTCCAAGGTTTCAAGACGTACAACGACTTTAGTCCCGTTGTCACTACAAAGCAAAACTTTGATGATTTATACATCCCAAAGGACCACCCCAGCCGCACCAAATCTGACAATTACTATTTCAACAAGGACACAGTGCTTCGTGCTCATACATCAGCTCATCAATTGCAAGGCTTAGCCTCTGGTGAAAACAAGTTCTTGATCAGTGGTGATGTCTATCGTCGTGATGAAATCGACTCGTCTCATTACCCTGTGTTCCACCAAATCGAAGGCTTCTTTTACTTGGATAATGATCTCGACAAATTGGCTGCAGAATTGAAGCGCATTCAAGCTACAGAAACACCCAACATTGAGGTAGTGGATGACACTATCATTAAACCCGAAAACCCTTATCAAGATTGCCACTCACCAGAGGCTGTCGATTTGATTTCAGCACATTTGAAGCATTCAATCAACTCTATGATCAGAAATCTGTTTGCTGATGAAAAGGACTTGAAGGTGCGCTGGATTGATGCATACTTCCCTTTCACCAGTCCTAGCTGGGAGGTGGAGATTCTGTACAAGGGCGAATGGCTCGAAGTATTGGGCACCGGTGTGGTGAATCAAAAGATCATGAATCAAGCAGGCCTCGATAACAAGATTGGTTGGGCTTTCGGTATGGGCCTGGAGAGATTAGCCATGGTTTTGTTTGGTATTCCCGATATTCGTCTATTTTGGTCAGAGGACAAGCGCTTTGTGGATCAATTTACTCCTGGAAAGATCAACAAATTTGTTCCCTTCTCCAAATATCCCCCCTGTATCAAGGACATTTCATTCTGGTTACCTGAAGGCGAATGGCACGAAAATGACTTTTGTGAGATTGTGCGTGGTGCAGCAGGCGATATTGTGGAGACGGTGGAATTGGTACGTAGTCATTGTGTGCTTGAGTGTGGCTCTAGGCTCAATAGCGTTGCATTAGATTGATGATTTCAAGCATCCCAAGACAAATAAGCGTAGTTTGTGTTATCGCATCAATTACAGATCCATGGATAGAAATGTGACAAATGATGAAATCAACGAAATTCAAGAAAGAGTCCGATCTGTTGTACAAGATGAGTTTAATGTAGAACTTCGATAAACTGAACTCACCACAATCAACAGCGTGTACAATACGACGCGCTTGTCGAGTCGTGATTATTCGTGTCGAGTTGATACATCACAAGAATTAGAAGCAAACACAGATATGTAGTCTACGCAACTAACTACAAATAAACAGATGATCTACTGTATGTGATGTGGCATGTGATGGGTTTATATATGTACATATATCAAGCGGTATTCTTCAAATGATGATTATGACCCATTAAATGACCGAATGAAGAAAATGTGTATAACAATTCCCCCTGCTTCCCATTTCGCTCTCTTTCACTCACTCACTCACTCTCTCTCTCTCTCTCTCTCTCTCTCTCTCTCTCTCTCTCTCTCTTTCTTTCTTTTTCTCATTCAATAATTTTTTTTTTGGTGTGCTTGAAGCTCGACAATTATACTAAATGGATGCTCAGGTTGAGGTAGTTTCTTCCTTGTCATCGTCATCTGCTGCCGCTGCTATTTATCGCAAAAAGTAACTTTCATGGGGTTCCATTAACAAAACTTTTTTTTTTCTCACTCGTATCCTCATTCTTGTATAGTAACAACAACAGTACGCTCGCAGTATTTTCCTCCCTTGAAAACATCAACACCAACACAAATGCAATGAGCCAGAAATTACACAGCATTCTGCCTCCAAAAAGACGCTCTATCTCGCAAGATCCAAAAGACAAATTTTACGCCATTCATCACACGCAACACACGGACGAAAATGACAACGAAAACAGCGAGCCCATCTCTGCAGCAACAAAAGTTAAAAAGACGAATCGTGGTCGCAAGAGAATGGGTGATAAAACGACGGCAGATGGTGTCGCAGCAGCAGCAGCAGCATCCTCTTCATCCTCATCATCTTCTATGCAACAACAACTCATCAAGCAGCAACGCAAGAAACCACGCCAACAATCAAAATCGCGTAAAGACCAGCATTCCATACCTTCCCTGTATCAAACATGCGTAGGATTATGGCCAAAATCAAGCACATTGGATGACCTTGCTTACGATCAAGTCAAAGCCATGAGTGATTTGCTCAAGGTCAGACTGTGTCAAGCTAAATTCAAAATGATGGCAAGACTCGATCAAGACAATGAACTGTTCACCTTTCTATCCAACGAGTATGTGCCACCCAAGCCTACTGCTCGTCAACCTGTACAGCTCGTATCGAGAAAGAGACAGAACAAGTCCACCATGTGCTTGGTGGGTAATGGTAAGAACCTCTTTGCTCGCAACAACAAGTTCAACAAGCCTGATCAAGCAGGGCCTTCCTCCACTGGGCCTGCTGCTGTGCATGCCTTGAATGAAACTTACGACACTACTGCGCTTGGTGGCGGCTCTATTACAACCTCACCCCAGAGACCAAAGAACCAAAAGGAGCGCAAGCGAAAGACGCCTAAATCTGCAACGCCCAAACAAAAACGTGTTACAACACCAAAGAGAAGATCTGCTGCTGCTGATGTAGTACCTGTTACTTTGTCAGATGGCTCCTCCTTTTACGTGTGTGAACCATGTAACAAAAAGTACAAGAATCGAAATGGCCTTGCCTATCATATGGAACGATGCAAGTACACGGATAAATCCAAGCTCCCGTCTCACCAACCACCATTACAACAACAGCAAGAGCAAGACCCACAATCGCAACCAGAAAGCACTTCCCATCATGCTGTTTGCTGCCAACAACAGCAATTGGAGCATGCGACCCTGATCCAGTGCGATACGTGCCACAGCCATCTCCATGCTGACTGTGTTGGTCTGTCTGACGACGTGCTAGAAGAGAGCTTCTACTGCCCTACTTGTAAAGCCAACCGATATCATGTATCTGAAGCAAGTCAAGTTGGAAAAGACTTATTGCAATGTCTATTAGAAGCACAAGCAAGCGACCGAGATCAGCAGCAGCAGCAGCAACAGCAGATGGCTATGCGGCAAGACCATTTCGATCAGATACAAGAGTTCCTCAATCATCAGACACCTTCTCAACAGCAGCAGCAGCAGGATACGCAAGAAGAAGACGAGCTACTCAGCGTATTGACAAACCAAGGTGAAGAGCAATCCTCACAACTTCATATTTGGGATGATTTCAATGCGTCCTTTGACAAGAACAACACGGGAGAGCAATGGAGTCTATTGGAAGATGATGAACCATTTTCCAACTATGACACCGATATACCTAGTTCAGCATGGAATATGAGCGACATTGGCATGTTTGGTCAGCCTCCTTCCCTGCTATTCTCTGATAACACTGTCAATACCAATGACGATGCAAATGCACCTCTGATGAGCGATTTATCCACTTCTATGCCATTGAACGACATGTCTTCCACGACGCCTATTGCTTGTGGGGGCCCCACGCCTTTGGGTGATGTGTCCACTCCTTCTGGTATCTCTTCCAACGCCAATACACCTATCCAAACTGCTGATGGTCTATGGTTTCAATTTGCCAATTTCGAAGACGACTATCAATGTGAAAATTAACTGTTATTTGTCCCCCCCCCTCTCCCCTCCCCTTCACATATACGCATCAATAAATGTCATAATTTATTTTGTTTATTGAAAGAGTGTTTCTTCATGCTTCTTCTTTGATTTAACAGTGCCAGGCTTTCCTTGGGCATCTGGATGAACAGCCAATTCGTGTGGGACCTTGGAAATGCTTGATTTTGCGAGCATCTGTCTGAGGTCATACATCACATCAGCATCCTTGTTAGATAAAAATGTGATTGCCACACCAGAGTTACCAGCACGACCTGTACGACCGATACGATGGGTATAATCTATATATAAAAAAGCAATGAGTACAGTGAGATACAGCATACGATGCCTATACATGCCTTCAATGGTCTTGGCCATGTCATAGTTGATAACCAAAGACACGTTCTTGACATCGATACCACGACCTGCCACATCTGTCGCGACCAGCACACCAGCAGAGCCATTCTTGAGCTGCGCCAGAGCCAATTCTCTCTGTTCCTGAGATTTACCACCGTGGAGGGTCACTGCATGCTGGCCTGATCGATTGATCGTTTTAGACAATGTATCCACGCCACGTCTTTGATTGACAAAGATGATAATGGGTGGTGCAAATTTGCCAGAATTAAGAATCTCCATAAGACGATTACTATAAAGCAAATCGTGTTAACATGCATCCTCCATTACAAACACATACTACATACGTCTTTTTGTTCTCGTCGTTGATCATTTCCACACGCTGTTCAACAGACTCTACGGCTTGACCTGCTTGACCAATCGTGACCACAGCTTCTCGGCGCAAGTACTTCTTTGCCAAGCGTTCAACAGCAGGTGGCATGGTAGCTGAAAACATGGTGGTCTGTCTGTACTTGTAGCCTTGAAGAGGCTCCACTTGCATCTCGTCGTCGTTTTCAGGCTTCATGTTGGTCACTGGCAATGCGTCCAAGATAAAGTTCACATCGGCCTCCATGCCCATATCAATCATGCGATCTGCTTCATCCATCACTACATAGGTACATTGATTCAACACGAGAATACGTCTGTCCAAACAATCCTTCAAACGACCAGGTGTCGCAATAATGATCTCGGCACCATTACGTAAATTGAATGATTGCTCTTCAATAGCATGACCACCTACGATGGAGACACAGGTGAAGCCCAGTGGTGTAGCAAATTTGATGGTTTCCTCTTCAATCTGCTGAGCCAGTTCACGGGTAGGAGCCATAATCAGTGCGTAAGGACCCTCTGCCATGTTTTCTTCAGTGATCTTGGGGAGATCCGAAATGTAAGTCAGCAAGGGGATCACAAACGAAGCAGTTTTACCAGAACCAGTTTCTGCAATACCAATAATGTCTCTGTTCTGGATACCAATAGGGATAGCTTGCCTCTGGATAGGTGTGGGCTCTGTATATCCCACACTTTCAATGACCTGCAGCATCTTTTCAGGCAGGCCTGATTCAGCCCAGGAACGAATGGGATGAGGAATGTTGCCACCTTTGGTCGAAATGTTAAAGTCCTCCTTGAAGATACGCCAGTCTCTCTCCTTCATTTGGTCTAAAGGCTTCTCAGTCCAATGACGCTCATCCCACTTGGCCTTGGCCTCCTTCTTGATGGACATTTGCTTCAGTGCCATGGCTCTCTCCACCTCCTCCGTTGTTCTTCGTTCTTTCAACAGTCGATCATAGAATTCAGATTGCTGCTTCTTTTGCTCCTTGCTGTCAATACCAGCCAAATGTCCTCGTCCAAACATTTGCGCATTGTGTTTGTTGGCGTACAAGGGGTTGAAATCATGCGACGTATCCTCTCCAGCGTCCCAGTCAAACACAAATTTACGTTCGTTCATTCTGCGAATCTTTCTCTTCTTGCGCTCTCCACCAAAGTATCTCTCTCGTATAGCTTGCTTCTCTTTCTCGGTCAATGCTGCGTCTTCATCTTCGCCCATTGCTGCGTCGTCCACACTGTCTCTCTTACTATCACGGCTTCTCTTGTTGTAATTATAATTACCACGTCTGTCTCTGTCTCTGTCTCGACGATCATCGTAGCGAGATGAGAACGAAGAGCGTGAAAAGTCTTGTGTTTTTCTGTATTCATCCTCTGCTGCCAGGTCAAAATTCTCTCTTGCCTTTCTCTCCTCTTCCTGCTTCTTTCTCTGTGCTTCAACTTCTTGCTGGCGTTTCTCCAGAGCTAGCTTAGCGCGCTCTTCCTTGGTCAAAAACTTGGGCTTCTCTGTCAGCTTCTTTTCCTCTTGCTTCTTTTGCAACAGCTCTTCAATGGAGATGGGCACTCTCTTCTTGGCAGGGGTTGCAGCGGAAGCTTCTGCAGATATCATTTTGATATCTTCGTCAATCACCGTGCCCTTGGTGCTGCTCCTATCCTTTTCAGAGCGACGGTCGTCTTCGTAGCGTCTGGCATTGCCATCACGATCTCTGTTGGATCGACCATCTCTGTAATCGTCGTAGCGTCTATTGTCACGTCTATCGTAGTTTCTATCGTACCGACTGTATTTGTCGTCGCTTCTTCTCGAAGGTGAGCCAGAGCGATTATATGAACTAGACATCTTTTTTGTGTAATAATGAATGAAAGAGAAGCGAAAAATTTAGTTGCTGACATTGGATGTCATGCCACTGTTGAGATAGGTGCCTGTAGTCATCATGGTGGTTGATATGCCGCAGTTGCCATAATAGCTTGGTTGATTGTGTCATTGGGAACAGAGATGGTATAAGATCAGATATTATATCCATGTAGTAATCTGCTCAAGTCTCTTCACTATATCAACTGAGAGATGACTCAGATCACTGGACCTCATGTAGATCTGCAAAGTGCCTGGTGATCGTTAATTAGCAATTACTGGATGAGTAGCTCAACGCGATCCAAGAGTAGCAGAGCAGCGAATGTTTACTCTTACAAATAGCTTAGCTATGCAGTCAAGGTAGTGTAAACAAGAAAACACTAGTAATTGGAGAACTCAGTAACAAAGATGACACACCACAAATCAGGGCTGCTTGTGAAACTTGTGTTATCAATTCATCTCTTATATGTTACAGCATATGACTCGAGTATCAAATTGAGTTACATTGATCAGAATACCCTATAAATTGAGATTATCTTTCCCATGCAACAGTTTGCTTCTTGTTCTCATTAGTATTTACCATGTCGACAACAGAGACAATACAGATAGCTGCCATAAAGACAGCAGAAGAGTCGTCGTCTCCGTCTTCTTCTTTGTCAGCATCCTCAAAGATCGACTTTTCAAGCACGCAGACTACCAATGAACAAACACAGCAGCCACAGCAACAACAGCAAGATCAAGCAAGCCGTCTTCAAAAGGCTAAAAAAGTAGCCTACACCTTGTTTGTTCGATACTGGTTTTTGCTTGGATTGGGCATCGTTATTGGATTGGCATGGGCGTTCCCTCAGGTGGGCAAAGCCAACGGAGACATCCAAGCTCAATATACGGTGAAATGGGGAGCAGTTATCGTCATTTTTTTACTGTCAGGTCTCGGCTTAGAAGTAAGCACCATGCTGAGGACAATTCTTCGGTGGCGTCTTCACTTGATTGTACAAGCCATCAATTTCATTCTGCTGCCATTTGTCATGTACGGCATTGTACGCTTCTTTATATCTGTGCATGCTAATCTGGATACGACTGTGTACAAGGGATGGATGATTGCGCTGTCAACAAGCACCACTGTCTCGTCTAATGCCATCATGACTCGAAATGCAAACGGAAATGATGGTGCAGGTATGCATACATCAAAGGTCTTGGTTTTTTTGTAGTGGGATTACTGATGTTATACGTAGCACTCTTCAATGCTGCTTTGGGCAATGTGCTGGGTATTTTTGTGTCGCCCGCATTGATGACAGCGTTTCAGAATGATCCCATTGTCTTTGAACCAGGCACTGATCGAGGAAATCCAGATTATTTGAGTGTGCTCAAGACACTGGGTAGCACAGTATTAGCTCCTTTGGTGGTGGGACAGATCATACGCTACCTATTTTCCGCACGGGTAAAGTATTTGGCAGCAAAGTGCAGGTTCTCCATCATCAACAGCTTGGCTCTGCTGTGTCTTGTGTGGTCTGTCTTTTGCGATGGCGTAGCCAGCGATGCGTTTACCAAGATGACTGGTGTCGACATTGTTGCCATCATCTTTGTGGATATTTTCATGTATCTGTTTGGCTGTGCAGCTTGCTTGTTTGTGGCAAGATTACCATGGCCCACTCGCTATGTAAAGGAGCCAAAATGGATTGCAAAATGGAGATTCTCGAGAAAGGATGCTGTGGCTATTATGGTAAGTCTTGTATCATTGTTTATAATAGCGTCTGCTTCAACTTTCTACACACTCTAGTATTGTGGTGCCACTAAAACTGTGTCCATGGGTATTCCTTTGATTAACGTTCTCTATTCGGATAGCAGCTACGGTGTTGTTGGTGTTCTGTCCCTCCCATTGTTGATGTATCATATTTGCCAGTAAGTGCCCCTCAATATTTGTGTGAATTAGGATCTGATCTACCTGAATGTTAGGCTCTTTATAGGTAATTTTCAGGTGCCCATGTTGAAGAAATGGATAGAGAATGATCCTGCAGAGGATGATATCCTCGATAATACAGAAGTTTTGCCTACTAGAGAGGCAGCAGAATCAATACAACTATCAACCATGAGACGAAGAGCCAACTAAATAAACTATCTTGAATTGCAACTTGTCTAGTAGTAGGATATGATTACTTTAATGATTTTATTGAGCACCCTCGTTCCATGGCTTTTTCGCAAACCATTCGATAGCAGCTATGGAGTTCCTGGCCATTGTGGCTTGAAGAAATGAATGAATTTGATCGGTAGTGCATACTGATACCAAGCTAACATGTAGAGACAGAATAACTGATATTGATAGTCAACATCAACAACAAAAGCCTTCTAAAAATGTGTTTGCATTTATGGGAGCCTCGTCTCCATCTCTACATACATACAATGGTGATAATCATCTGCTCAATTCACTCTGATTGAGACCATTGTCCTTGAATTTTATTTTTTCAATACGTCAGGTTAAATGCATAATGAATTAGTGATTGCTCAATGAGCTACCTCGCAACTAGCGCGATATACCGTGATGAATACACGCCAAGGACAACGAGGATCAACTTTCAGATATAAGCATCAACAAATTGTTGCTTGATACTCTACTTCATTTCAATGAGTATGTAGCAAAATTGACACATTCCGTCAACGTGGGCAATAACATGAACAATAATATTGCATCAATTGATCAGTTTCCAAAGTATGATGAACATACCAGATGAAGATGAATGGGAGGCTTGACAGCAAAACGCAGATTTAGATGGTTTTCTTAGAAGCGGCAACAAAGCAAGATATGATCAAGCAGTTTTTTTATTCGGCTATCACTATTTGAGGACGAAATGGCATACTCACCTTTGCAAGACACGGATGTAAGCTGTCTCTGTGTATTCAAGCAGGCGAAAGCGAGGAGGACAAATGGTTTCAAGTTCTCTAAAGTGAGAGTTCGTAAAGTTATCGAAAAATGACCCATTCTAGTATTTGATTACTAGCCGATCTATCTCGCTACGCTCGATGTCGGCGTCATCCTGTGGGCTCTCGCCAAAGACACTTTAAATCAGATATTATAACATTTTGGTATATCAATTAGATTTTATACAACCAATTATTATTAGTAAAAGAAAGATTATATCAGAGCCAGGAGGAGGAGAAGAGGTTTCTCCCTCAGCATTCTTTTTGCTTACATTGACATCATACAAAACCTATTATTGGGACAAGATGAAAGAAAATTTAAGATTTATTACGCAGCATTTGTACATCACAATTGCCATTTTCTGATAATAGAATTGTCATATCATTCGCTGCTGCTGATGCTCTTAGTAATGAGATAACGACATAAAGCTGGCTATGTGTAAATACAGGACTTTAGCAAGATCTACAGCAACTTTTTTCAAGTATTGTCATTGCAAAAGGCACCTTTATAAGGAAAATTCCAAAAAGAATACATTTGCGTTAAGCAATTTCCCTTTCAATTCCATGGTTCCGATTTAATCAGTATCGTAATTATCATTGCAATCATTAGAAAGGCATTTATGCCAGCCAGCAGCAGCAGCAAGCCGCCGCCAAGATTGATTCAAACTCAGTTTATTTTTTTATTTTTTTTTGCTCAAGATTGGACAAATATCATTTCTTCGACTTATTTAATCTATCTTTTGATATCCGACTATATAAATTGCGATGATTACACTATGTTTCCTAATACAGTCCCTGGTGGTAGGGCGAAGTGGTAGAACTCCCGTATGCCAACGGAAGGATCCCCAGTTCAAATCCTGGTGAACGCAAGTTGTTTGGATTTTTTGACGTAGTACTGATGTCCTCGTTTGGTGTTTTTGTACTCTTATCCATGATCTATATTTTGACGATTTCCGCAAGACTGTACTGGCTCTAGGAGTCGCACCTTATTAGTAGTAGATTTCTTTCCCAACTTAGTTCAAAAATATCTTATTCCCCTTCTTTGCAGACATTGGGTCCACCAACAGTCTTTTCTATCCCTCAGTATGACATTTAAAGGACTTTAAATAAAACCTGGAGCTCGACTCCCCTACAAAAAAAAATGTTTCCTAATACATTCTTGGAGTACTTTTCAAGGCGTTTCCAATGGTACTAATTGTAATAGGTGTTTTGAATGAAATTGTTGAGCAATTTGGTAAAATATGAAATGAGGTTTTTAGCGAAAATAACCATATTTTGCATATGAAAGCCTCGTAAAAGCGGTTTCAAAGGTTGCTTTGGATCGAGAGAAACATTTTGAATTAATACATACCATAGTAAAAGTCTTCATTTTCAAGGTGAAAAACGCGATCGTTTGATTTTCGAAGAAAACTATGAGGTATCCCTCATGCTTTTTGGTCGATTTTTGGCCATGTTTTTTTTGGTCCCCAAAAAGTTGAGCAAAGGTGTCAGAAAGTTACTACTACTCAAGTACAATTGTTTGGCGTTATTCCGGTGGCTCAGAAAGATCTACATGTCAAGATATAAAGGTATGAAAGCAATCAAATTTGGTTATGTTTATGCTTTACAGCTTTTATTTACACTTCATGAATCACATCTTGGGTAGTTGAAATTTTCTGGAAGGGTAATTGCGCAGCCTGTGCAATTTTTAATTCGAATAGGAGGCATATTGATTTTGTCAAAGCTAATTCATGCAAATTTTGATGTGTTATGTTGCTGGTAAGCTTATTAACAATTGAAATAAAAATTTGAAATTGCTGCTTACTATATACTATGGTTTTGCATATTCCCTTCGCTACAATCAAGCCCTCGTATAGATCAATGTTTACCAAGTGTTGGATTAGACGCCTAATTACCATGGCTTTGCACTTTTGATTTGCTACGGTATAACCCCCCTATATCTCAATGCTACCTAATGTTGGATTAGGTGCTTAGTTGTCATAGGCTTTACACCTTTGCTTCACTAAGGTAAACCTTCCCTATAAATCAATGTCATCAAGTGTTGAATTAGATGCATTATTATGTTCTTGGTGGAGGGGCTGAGCCCCTCCCCCTAACCCCCTCCCCATTGCCGGCTTCGCCGATGTTCTGGCTCTCAATACTACTAAACTTCTATTTTTTAAAAACATAGTTTTCCAGTATATATATCAGTGATTTGAGTTTTTTGCTAAACGGCTTAAATCAAACGAAGCTTGAAGAGCTCACAAGATCTCGAACATCGCCAATACATACTTGGCAAAGAGATGCTCTAGCAGGTTGTGGTAACAGCTCTTGGACGTCATTGGCATTTCGAATTTGAACTATCAAAGGTTGAATAGGTTGATTCCAGAATCTGCTCACATGTAAAGTTTGAATGTAGTCTCTTGCTGGTTACTCGCTGACAATGTCTTGCAATTAAGATGTAATAAATTGCTGTTGTTCTGTGAGTATCTGTCTATTGCAAGAAAATAAGATTGAATTTAAAAGAAGGAATTTTGAAATCAAGAATTCCTTTTATACGGGACAGGAAACGACAATAATTGATATAGATATTTTATAGGGCAGAGCTGTAATGATGGGAAAGGGATTTGTATTTTATCTCTGGCACTGGTATAATAGTATCAGTTCCTTTTATAGACTTTGATTGAGTTTTAGTCTGATCGCCTTTTGTTTATCCACCACCGAGAAGAGTAGTGTGTAGTGTCCTGCATGAGAACAGGCAATACATCTGCAAAATCCAACAATCAATCGCTTTGAAAGGTCTTTTGGAGTGAGGAAAAATGAAATTTTCCCTCTCAATCCGCAACGGCCCAAGCTACTCTGTCTATAGAAAAGTCTGTAGAAACAGCCCACATCAATGTTTGTCAGTAATCTAGTAAAATGCAACAAACATACACATTATACAAAAACTATAGTGATAAAGACAGTCCATGCCTTACCGAAAATATGCTAACTTTTACTTTACACTCTTCCATTATTATATGAAAAACTTTGTAAGCAACTTATAACTGCATATTAGATCCTTCTACAGCGATTTACATCTTTACCAACAAAAGCAGCTTATATACGGGTAGGCAGCATGTATGTATTACCTCCAACTACTCAAAAATATGCAAAACACAGCGACACTTGGGCACGTTTGAGTAGTAATTTCTCGTGATAAAAGCCGTTTCAAACTCTCAAAATAACGTTAAACAATTGCTATCATCTAGCACTTACTGCCTGATACCTTTGCTCAACTTTTTCGAGACCCAGGAAACATGGCCAAAATCGACCAAAAAGCATGAGGGGTACCCTCATGGTTTTTTACGAAAATCAAACGATCGCGTTTTTCACCTTGAAAATGAAGACTTTTACTAAGGCATATATGTATATATTTAAATTTTTTTTTTTTTGTATTTAAAAGTGTCTTTTATTGAGAATAAAGAAAACGACAGTACGGGACCATGAGGTTGCTTACATGTCGTCTAAGAAAGAAGAAATCAATTTGGAGTGATCGGCGAGAAAAGAGGAGAAAACTATCTGAGTACGCCATGATTTACCATCAAGAGAACAGCTCCAATGATGCTGCCATAGAGAAGAGAAAGCAGCTCCAAGAAGTTCCAAGATGGAAATATCCAGAGGATTTTTTTCCTGGTCGTGAAGGGTAGAGAGACCAATCCAGATGGCATTGTCCGTAGGGAACAGATCGGAAAGACCGAGGTGGGAGATGACCTCAAACCAGAAGAGGGATTTCATGTCACAGCCGACGACCAGATGGTATTCATCTTCAGGCGCTTCAGTACACAACTTACAGAGTGGGGAGGGATGCCTGGCACGGTTGATGATATGTAGGCGAGCCTGCACAGAGAGATGGCCATGGAGCAAACGCCACCAGGGTGTGAATGCCTTGGCAGGAAGACAGAGGGACCAAAAATCACGCCAGAGGCGAGGAGGAATCAAAAGATGAGTTGGGCGATACCGAGGAGGGTGGGCTGGGCCACGAAGCAAATCAAATGATGGGTGCCAATAACGGCGTAATGCACCGAGCTTGATCTGGGCCATTGTAGCTTTTGATCTAGGGCCGGTGGTGATATACCAATGCGAAAAGCTAGCAGTGGGTGGAGAGGGGGTAGGCTGGCTCTCCAACATGGCGGTGCGTTCTTGGTCAGTGAAGGCCATAACCGATCTAAGAGGAGCAGGAATGATCCACACAGAAGGACCTACAAAGGGGCACAGAGCATTGAACAGATGTTGCAAGGAGATGGCATCAAGAGGACGTACACATGCCAAGATGTTAGTATCTGGAAGCACACTCAAGAGGTTGGCAATCAACGCATGTGGTGGGAGTTTGTCACTAGCCCTAGACAAGGTCTCTGTTGGTGAAAGGGAGCAGACACTTGACCAAGGTAGATCGAGGAACCACCAAGACGGCCACTGAGTATAGGGAGTCAGAGTGGGCAACCGAGAGATCAAACGAGCGAGATGTGCTAGATGAGGGCATTTTCGCAAACGAGGCATGTAAGTACGAGGATACATCAGCAAAGGAAGAGCAGTAGCGTGACCCGAGTATACATGAAAGGTATACAGCAGCCAAGGAGAGAGAAAATCAGTCTGAGCACGAGGAAGAAGTAAACGTTTGACATATATGAGATGCAGAGCGAGATGCTGATTCTCAATGTCGACTAATCCTAGACCTCCATGTTTGCGAGGAAGGCAAAGGGAATCCCATGACACCACCGGCCAAAACGAGACGATGTACGTTCGTACAATGCGCTTGACCTCCTGAAGCCACTCAGCTGGCACCACAACCACACGAAGAAGATGCCACATACGAGACAAAAGAAGGGAATTTGCCACTAAACCCTTACCACGTATGGATAGCTGCCGTTTCTTGAGCAAATTGCACTGACGCTGTAGGTTCACCGTTACTGAATCCAGAAAATGAGCCAACTGTTCCTTGGTGTGATACAGAGGATAGCCGAGGTATCTCACGGAGCCAATCGAAGATTCATCGTACCACTCTATATTGGACGTTTCCGCCAAATGTGTCCACGATTCATGACGCTTGCCAGACAGCGACACCAAAATTGTTTTATTCAGATTGACCTTGGCATTGGACGCTTTGCCATAAAGAGACAAGAGAGACAAAAGCACTGGCCATTCCGCCGTGGACGTCAGAAAGACTTCTAGATCATCAGCATAACTGAGTAGTTTGATCCGTGGAGGGCTCTCTGGAGCACGTAAGAGATCATGGTTGCCATGTGGAGGTATTTGAGACGAAGCATTCGAGGTACGACCTGCAAGAGGGGAGCGAGTATTGGTAGACATAGCCACACCGCGTAACTCTGAACAAGCCAGAATGGTCCGAAGGAAAGGCTCAAAAGCGAGATTGAAAAGCAATGGCGAGAGAGGATCTCCCTGTCGTAGGCCACGTTGTTGTTGGATAGGAGCTCCCAACCAGCCATTGATGGACAGTGAGATGTGAGTTCCAAAGAACAAACTTGACACGCTTTCTACCAAAGAGGCTGGAAATCCAAACTGATGTAGCACCATCCGCAGATATGTAGGATTGACACGGTCATATGCTTTTTCCTGGTCCAAAAGCACTGAAACATTGGGATCATCAGGAGCAGCCGCACGGAGGTTGGTCATCAGCGTTTGGTTGAGCCAGGCGTTATCCGATATCAAACGGTGAGGCATAAAGCCCGTTTGATATGGAGTGACGAGCTTAGACAGAACACGCTTGAACCGGTTAGCTAGCAGCTTGGTAAATATCTTAGCATCACTGTTAATCAGGGAAAGAGGACGCCAGTTTTTGAGCAATTCTGGGTCACCCTTTTTGAACAGGAGCACCATCCGCGTTTGCTTCCACGATTCAGGAAAAACGCCATTCAGAGCATCCGTCAACACTTGTTGCAAGAGAAGCAGAATCGGCGGAAATTTCGCAGCCAAGTAGGAATAAACCTCAAATGGAAGGCCATCTAAACCGGGAGACTTGTTCTTGGGTGCATGGTCAAGCAACAGCAAGACAGAGTCTGTAGAAGGTGGTTCCATGAGCCTTTCCGCCTCCGCCTCTTGAAGCTTCGCATCGTCAGGGATATTTGCAAAAAGAGAGTTCACAGCAGCCAGATCAATGTCATCAGGAGTGTAGAGAACCTGATAGAAAGATCGAGCTTCTTGAAGAATTTCACTCATGTCAGTCAATTTCTCACCAGTGCCGGCCTTTTTCAAGGATTGGATGGTTTGTTGGGCTTCACGATCCTTAATCACACGAAAGAAATACTTGTTGTTCTGCTCCCCCATCTCAAGCCAACGAGTGGCCGAACGCAGCATAGCTTGACGAGTATCCTCTTGAATCTTTTGCTCAATAAGTTGTTCCAGTGTCTTGATCCTAGCCGACTCCTCCTCGTCACCAAGCAGCTGTTCCCGTTCACGTTGAAAGTGGGAGACGCGAGCTTTGTAGCGAGCCTTTTGGCCTTTTGTGAACTGCTGAGCACAGTACTTGATCACCGCCTTGAGAGACTCCCATTTCTCTTGGACGGGCCGTAGACCCATACCCTCAGGGCCATCCCCCGATACACTAGCATCAGCCGCAACCCCATCACAGTAATCCGAAGCCAGAAAGAGTTCTATGGTTTTATCCAAGAGAGCTTGGAATTCAATGTTTTCTAACAAGTATGGGTTAAACCGCCAGCTGCCAGGGCCCAACTTCACACCAGATGTGATCAAATCAGCAGTGAGAAGACTGTGATCTGTCCACGGTTGAGGGATGTGATGCGTCTGAGCATTGACCATACGAGTAGCCATATGGGGAGGACAAAAAACATAATCAATGGTGGTACCGGTTCGAGGGAGCGTCATTGTACCTTTCGGAAAACAATTGAGGAAGTGGGTATTCAGCCATTCCACAAAAGGTTTGATCCTAGGGCTTCGAGCTTCGACCGGGTTATGTAAATGGATATTGAAATCTCCAAGCAGAATCCATTGGGAGTCCAGTATATCCGACCAACAGGGCATAGACATCAGCACCGGAAGGAAAGCGTGGCGATCTGCCTTCTGCACTGGGATGTATACATTGGCCACTTTGCAGATGGTGTGGTGGGCATCCGTAACAGAGGCGGTAACGCAGCGTTCATCGAGAGAGATGGCTGTGTCCGTAAGTTCTAAGTCTTTGCGAAGACAGACGATAGCGCAGTGTTTAGATATAACAAAAGAGCAGCGAGGAAACATAAAAGAGAATTCACGAATATTGTCATCAGAGAGATGAGCCTGTTGGCGAAAATGAGAGACCTCCTGCAGACAAAGAATATCCAGCTGGAGGGATTTGGAGCGTAAGAAGGAAGTGAATTCCTTCTGTGTAGTTTCAGAGGAACCCTTAAAGATGCTCCGGGCATTAAGGGTACCTATACGCAATGATTGTTGTATCATTATGCCCTATGGGCGTCCTGATACACTGTTGGCTGCGACATAGACGTCGAGCTCATAGAATGACGGCGGAGAGAGGGCACATCAGTCTGGAAATCATTGGGAGAGGAGACATTGTCAGCAGATAACTTGGGATCCAAATGCATATGGAAGGACGAAGCTAACGGAGCATGCTTAGAAGCATCGCTACCGTTGGGAGAACGCTGGAGGGTCTGGGGATCTACCTCCATCACATCCGGAGACTGGTCCCAGGTTTGGCTGTCATCTGCGGAAAACCAGGTACTGATCTGGCTACTTTTGAGCTCGGTCGTTTTGCCGGCTAGCTTGTCTGTGGTGGTGGGCTGAGATGGCAGTTGCTGCGCGAGAATACCATTGATCGCAGGAGATGCTCTGTGGCCCTTCTCTTTTTCGTTATCTTTATCAATTGGAGTGACTGAGTAGGAATCAGTGTGATCCCTTTGGCTCGACTCATATTCGGCGATTGCTTCGTCAAAAGGCTTCTCTTCCTCTCGACAGAACTTAACAGTGTGTCCCAACTTGTGACATTTGAAGCATTTGCGTTTAGCTAGGATAGGACAAGCAGCGCGAATGTGTCCACTCTGACGGCAGAAATGGCAAACTGGTGGTGCTCCTCTGTATGTCGCTGGCACATAGACATCCCAGGCGGAAAGGTAAAGCATGCGACTCAAAGGCTGTACGTCGTAGGAGTGACCTTCCGCGTCAGTGTACTTGACCGAAGTGTCGATCAGGAAGCTGACATGACCCTCAAAGAAGCCATCAACAGTGTACTTCTTGATTTGGTATAGCTTACCATAGTATTTCAGCGAGCGTTGCAAGTCCTCCAGAAAAGTGGTCATGTTTGGCATGCGGACAATAGTCATCTGCACATGGGTGAGTTTGCCCTCGCTGTTGTCCTTGACAGCAGTAGCTTTGTATACCACATCGCCATGAGTGATGCCGTTGTTGATGGCTCGTTTGGCATCCTCAGGGGAGTCAAATTTAGCTTCCACCAAGAGATCTCCAGTTGACTTCTGGTGATACAGACTAAGGGGGCGAAACTGGACACTAGCAGCTATTTGTTCCTGAATGAGGCGATACGCTGTTGTACGATGCACAAAAAGTTTGTTTGGAAAGGTAAACAAAACCGATCCCGGTGTCAAAGCTTGCTGCAGGATGGCAGTAGCTTTACGAGTGAGCACCTCGGCCTTCAGATCTTCGTGTTCGAACATAACTTCAGGAATTAGTTTAAAATGGTCATCTTTAGCTCGCTGTTGTGGAGCATTGATGACCTTCTTGGAGAGGCCTCGAGAGAGGACCGTGACCCAAGAGAGGTCAGTGGTGGTAGCCATGAGGATGGGTAGTGGAACGCTGGTGGTTATAAGGTTGTAGATGTGATTTAAGCAGTGGCGTAATTTTCACCTTAGGGGTAGTGATGGTTACGCGAAAGAGCCTTGTATATATTTAAAATGTTTCGCTCGATCCAAAGCAGCCCCTGAAGCTTCTTTTGTAAGACTGTGATACGTAACATTTCGACATTTTGGCCAAAACCCTTATTTCATATTTTCGTAAATTGCCCAGTAATTTTGCTCAAAACATCTATTATAATTAGAGCCATTAAAAGCGCCTCAAACAGTACTCCAGGAAAGCATAAGGGAGTATGAGGTGATCATTACAATTTCTATAGTAAAATCTTCCAAAATAGATTAACCAAGTCGAAATTAATTGAAATCTATCCAATCTTAAATAGAAGATAATCGAAGTTCAACTAGTTTTGACTGCTAACAGAAACAGTTTTTGTTGTCTAATCATGAAGACAATAGATGTTTTTGGGCTAATAAGAAGGGGATTGTGAATTGTTAGGGTCTTCATCTTGGCCTAGATATAATCTTTTGATACAGCTAATGAGTTTTTGAAATTTGATCATTGCTAATGGCCATCCCCGATGAAAATTTTGATGCAAGTCGTGAAATCGTCACCCCATCACACTTTTCAATCGTTGAGCTACGAGTTAGAGCGAGATCCTCACTAAGCATTAGAGTTGCCAGGAGGTGACTAGCGCATAAATTCGCTAATGGCACCAAAGTCATCTATACATCTTAGGAATAATGCACAGAGAATAATGTAAGCAGATTGCACAAGATGTTGTAACGATATGGTTGCTTTAGATTTTGACGGCCATGATTCAGTGGTACAACAAAGTTATTATGCTTCCCCAATACGGAATGACATCATGGAATGGATCAGACTTCAAAGAAACGTGGATATAGTATTGTAAACAAAGCTGCACTATCTATAACTAATTGCAACATTTAGTGCCAAATACACACATGATGTGGCAGTTACTATATATTGTGCACAGCTCAACCCCGGGGTTGAAGGACTTTTCTGTTGTTTGTTGTTGTATACTGCAACGAAATGGATGGACCTGGGTTTCTCATGTCATTAAAGTATTGACTTTATTGAGCCCAAAAATGGAAGCCTCAACTCCAATGCCTCATTAGATCAAGTGTGCTTCATCATGGAATGTGGCATCATGAGAGGTCCAAGAAAATCCCTTTGAACTCTATCTGTATTCAAAAATTGAAGAATCGATGAGAAAGCTATATGAATGGCGAGCTATATTCGTATTGCAGAGAGCTCATTAAAGGCGTCATTTATTCGTATAACTGTGTATTACTCCAGAACAGCTTCTAAAATATCTAGTCTGATTGTGTTTAGAGCCTCTTCTTGATGGCTGAATCCAATCTAGCAGACATCATTGACAGCTTACTTAATAGGTTGATGCTCTCAGCTGACCGTCGTCTGTTCTTGATATCCACACTTCTTCTGTTGATAAGCTACGTTTTAGTATATAAACTAAAAAAGATCTTCAAACATTTTACTGCTAATTAAGGTAGCAACGATTGGTAAAAGTGTTCCATGTTTCTTTCGATTTGGTCGACTGTGAGAAAAACAAATTGAAATGAGATGATTAGTTCATTCATTTAGGGCTATGTATGGGGGGAATGGCTAAACCAGATCTGGATTTCCGGGGATAGCCGAGGAGGTATAATATAAAGTTCGTGAGAAGATCTCATTTTTGTCGAATGTGTAAATGAAGGGAAAAAGATTGCAGTAAGAGCTGCGAGATGATGTCTTTGGGTACATATCGTTTTTGCTAAACAATAGATGACTCAATTCGAGGCAGGGATCGAGTGCAATCTGCAAAGAGATGTGTCATCTGTCAGTAGTTGAGGAAGAGGGTAAACCGTATATCCCCCTTGCTATCATCAGAGATTGGGTTCGCAGCTACATGCCACGTCATGACATTTGAGTACAAGGCTATGCCATGCCAAGATGACACTGGTGCACATAGTCATGAATTTAGTGCACTAAAGGTTGATAAAGTTTGTCTGATAACACGCCTGCAGAGCCTTATCCGAGATTAGGGAATGCATGATGATAAAGGCACTCCATGTACATGATGGCATTGTTATAGCATGCTTTTGTCTGATTGCCCGGGATTCTAAGACGAAGTTCACACAATAAAATTTATAATTTTGAACAGCCATTTCAATACACACATGCACAACAGGGAAAATTCTTTTTTCATATAACATTGCATTTGATTTATTGTTTGAGCAACAGCTGTAAGTAGCATGTTTGTACAATATTAAATATAAACCTTGGCCAAGTACAGAGATTCGCTTACGAGACACATTATCAATCAGACCCGTGCGATAAGATTCACTCAATTAGACGATATTATCTCAGATAATCTCAGCTACAAACCATTTAGAATTCAATCACTAAACCTGATGTGTGTAACACACCTCAAATGGTTGAAGATTCGACCAAAAACCGGACGAATGAGTGATTTTGGGAGCGAATGTATCAAGCAACCGGAATTTAACTGCATATTGGAACATGTATAAAAAAGTGCACATCCGGTGTTGTGTTTTTTTTGCCAGCAGTAATTCAGATCACATCCAAGGGTGAGCAGCCTCAAATGTACCAAAAAGGCTAGATTATAAGTTCCGTGTTTGTTCAGAGATGATATGATCGTATAGGTGCAATATACCCCTCTTTTACCAAGAGCTCCATACAGTTAATAAAGGATGGATTCGTTTCATTGATTGGCTGCATCAATGCAATAGATCACATGTACACGGTTCTTCCCGTACATGTAGAATTGGGTATTACAATTGGATCGGCTATCATATTTTATATGAGCGATGGATACCATAAGAGGACAATTTCATGAAATGATTTATACTTTTGAAGTATTTAAATGTACATCGGAACTCTAGCATTCTAATCATGTCAAAACGATTGAATATCCCCGTAATCTGGCGGTATTCTGTATGTTTGAAAGAGATCAAAATGGGTAATGATGATGGGTCCCTTTTTTTTTTTTTGTCGTGAGAAAAATACCTAGTGTGGGTTCTTGTGAGCGAGTATGTATAAACAATGTAATATATTCATATTATTTTAGTACAGATTTTGTCATACCATTTTTCCCGCCGCAGACAGACAGACTCACAGTGAGAAGATAAACATGTTTCACCAACGTGTGATACCGTACGATCTGTTTTTTAATTATCATTATCTTGTATTTTGATTACGGAAAAAGCTAATCTGTATTTCGTGGTAGAAATCTGATGTTTTCTGAAAATCATTCCCTTTTTGCGTGAGAAAAATATCTTGCGAGATATTGTAATATTACTTTTTGTTTCATCCATGGCATATTGAACAAGAAGCATGAAACCGGAGTTAACAAGGAAAGAAAAAAAAGTGGAACCATTAGTATCTATTTGGTAAAAAGTGCGTTTGTAGGTCATAGGCCAAAAAACTAAACAGTCGAGCGGTATTTGGTATCAAAACCTTACCCCTCCCTTTTGTTGAACCAACCATACATCTCTCTGTTTGCGGGGCTTTTGGCTGTACTAATCCACTTATCTCTTTTAGAGTTTCAGGTATTACAAACATCCATTTAGAATTTTTTCCTTCAATTTGTTTTTTCTGTATAAATACACGCCTTTTTTTCTATCCATACCTTCTCTTCTTCTCTTCATTCTATTCTTCAATAAAAAAAAAAGTAGATCTTTTTTCTTTCACACTTCAAATGCCAATTGATTCGTCTTATCCGCCTTCAGTCGCCTCTGAAAAAGTCAAGGTTGAAGAAACCGTCATTGACAATTACGTTGAGGAGGATCGTGCTTCCAGCATTGTCAATGAATTTGGTCACGGAAATGGTACTTTTTTGACCGCTTACTTTAACGTTGTTTGCGTCGTCGCTGGTACTGGTACTCTAGGTCTTCCTAAGGTGAGCATTTTCTGATCTAGATCATACTCTCAATTCAAAATCTAACTGAACATTTTACCAAATTTAGGCATTTGCTGAAGGTGGTTGGCTAGGTATCCTTATCCTTTTCCTTGCTTATTTTATGGCCATGTACAGTGCTGTCGTCCTCATCCGTTGTTTATACTACAAGCCTGGACATCGTCTCCATGATTACAAAGCCATTGGCACTCATGCGTTTGGAACCTTAGGCTATCTGGTTGCCTCCTGTCTTCACTTGCTTAATTTGTTTGGCTGCCCTGCTCTTTACCTTGTGTTGGCTAGTAACAACATGGTCGCTTTACTGAAAGGAACAGCTGGCGAAACCTTGGACTATAAGATCTGGGCCATTATTTGGGGTGTCTTCTTGCTTTTGCCTTCTGTCATTATGAGAACTCTTAAGGAAGTTACTGTCATTGCTGCCATTGGTGCTGTTTGTACTATGATGGCCGTCTTTGTCATTCTCATCCAAGGCCCAATGCTCCGTAATGCCAATCCTCAAGTCGTTGTCGAACACGATGCTGTCATTTGGGAAGGTTTCCCCGTAGCTCTCTCAACTATTGCATTCAGTTTCGGTGGCAACAATACTTATCCTCACGTCGAGCATGCTCTCAAGAAGCCTCATCAATGGAAGTACGCTGCTCTTGCTGGTCTGTCCACCTGTACCGCCCTCTACTTCTTAACTGCTGTCCCTGGTTATTGGTCATTTGGTAGAGAAACTGCTAGTCCTATTTACAATTCGCTTCCTAGTGGTTCAACCGGCCAAGTACTATCTATGATAGTCATGACTATTCATGTTATTTTCGCCATTCCCATCTACACCACTTCCTTCTCTCTTGAATTCGAACAATGGACTGGTGTCACCGATGAACGTTTTGGTAGATTTGGATGCTGGTGTCTCCGTGGTCTTATCCGCACTGCCACTATGGTTATTCTCGTTATCCTCGCTGCTTTCATTCCTTTCTTTGATGATTTCATGGGCTTAATTGGTGCTCTTGCCAACTGTGGTCTCGTATTCCTTTTGCCCGTCTTGTGTTATCTCAAATTGACCGGTGTTCGTAACAAGCCCTGGTATGAACTTGCCTTCTGTGCTTTGACCCTCTTCTTGGGTATCATTGGCTGTGTCTTTGGTACAATTGACTCGATTAAGGCTTTAATCAGAGATTTCCAAGCCTAAATTCGCCAGACATCTACTTTTACCTTATACCTTTATAATCTTCTTTTTTCCTACGTCTTGTATCAATTATTATCTTTTTCTGTATTCACCCACAAATTGTATATAGCTACCTCCCACTCTTTTTCTTTAAAGTAGAAAATAAGTACATTTTAACAATAAACATGTAATCTAGATGATTTGCATAATATTTATCGTCTCTGTAGTTGATCTGATAATATTTGTTTATTCCAAAAATCTTTTGCAATTCTTCCTAATGAGGAAAACACTTTAATTAATAAAGTATATTCCCACCAGCCGATCTATCTGCTACACACAATGTCGGCGCCGCCCTGCGAGCTCTCGCCAAAGACATTTTAAATCAGATATAATAAAATTTTGGTATATCAAGTAGATTTTAAGCAATCAATTATTAGTTAGTAAAAGAAAGGTTATATCAGAGCACGGAGGAGGAGGAGGAGGAGGAAGAGGAGAGGAGGTAGCTCCCTCAGCACCCTTTTTGCTTACACTGATATCAAACAAAACCTATTATTGAGACTATGTGAAAGAGAATTCAAGTTTTATGCAGCATTTGTAAACCACAATCGCCATTTTATGATAATAGAATTGTCATATCATTCACTTCTGCTGATGCTCTAAATAAGATGGCGCATAAAGCTGGTCATGCGCAAATGCAAGACTTGTGTAAGATCTACAGTGACATTCTGAGATATTGTCATTGCAGAAGACACGTTTATGAGGCAAAACTCCCCAGAAAAAGTATTCGGGCTAATTAATTGTGTTTTCAACTCCATTATCCCATTTAATCAGCATCACAATCATTATTGTTGTCATCAGAAAGGTGTTTGGGCCAGCCAGCAGCAGCGCCGCCTGTCGCCACCCGCAAAAATCAATTGAATCTCAGTTTATTTTTTTCTGTTCAAGATTGGACAGAATTTGTATTTCTTCGACTTCTTTAATCTATTTTATGATACTCGACTATATAAGCTGTGATGATCACCCTATGCTTCCTAATACAAGTCCCTGGTGGTAGGGCGAAGTGGTAAAACTCCCGTATGCCAACGGGAGGATCCCGGTTCAAATCCTGGTGAACGCAAGTTGTTTGATTTTTTTGACGTAGTACTGATGTCCTCGTTTGGTGTTTTGTGCTCTTATCCATGATCTATATTTTGACGATTTTCCGCAAGACTGTACTGGCTCTAGGAGTCGCACCTTATTAGTAGTAGATTTCTTTCCCAACTTAGTTCAAAAAATATCTTATTCCCCTTCATTGCAGACATTGGGTCCACCAACAGTCTTTTCTATCCCTCAGCATGACATTTAAAGGACTTTAAATAAAACCTGGAGCTCGACTCCCCTACAAAAAAAAAAAAAAAATGCTTCCTAATACAGTCTAAGAGTACTTTTCAAGGCGCCTCCAATGATGCTAATTGTAATAGGTGTTTTGATTGAACTTATTGAGCAATTTAATAAAATATGAAATATGGTTTTTAGCGAAAATAACCATATTTTGCATACGAAAGCCTCATAAAAATGATTTCAGAGGTTGCTTTGGATCAAGAGAAACAATTTGAATTAGTACATACCATAGTAAAAGTTTTCATTTTCAAGGTGAAAAACGCGATCGTTTGATTTTCGTAAAAAACCATGAGGTACCCCTCATGCTTTTTGGTCGATTTTTGGCCATGTTTTTTAGGTCCCCAAAAAGTTGAGCAAAGGTGTCAGAAAGTTACTACTACTCAAGTACAATTGTTTGGCGTCATTCCGGTGACTCAGAAAGGCCTACATGTCAAGATATGAAGGCTTGAAAACTATCCAATTTGGATATGTTTTGCTTTACAGCTTTTATTTACACTTCATGAATCACATCTTGGGTATCCGAAATTTCCTGGAAGGGTAGTTTTATACTGTGCAATTTCTAATTTGAATAGAAAGCATATTGATTTCGGTAAAGCTAATTTATGCAACGTTTGATGCGTTGTTATGTTGCTGGTAACCTTAGTATTAATGGAAATGAAGGGCCAAATTTGCTGCTTGAATACATGGTTTTGCACCTTCGCTTCGTTACAGTCAAACCGCCTTATAGGTCAATGTCACCAAATGTTGAATTGGATGCGTTATGTTCTTGGTGGATGGTCTTAGCATCTCCTCCAAACCCCCTCCCCAATGCCGGTTTTGCCGGTGGTTTATTCGCCTTGTACGGTACACAATTCTTCAGATTTTTGAAAGGATATGATATGTTTTTCTACTTTTTTTTATTTTTTTCGGTATATTATATGATTTGAGTACATGTATTACAAAATATGGAACATTAGAAACATGTACGGTAGTAGATCAAACAGTTGGAATTGAGTCCGAAAGCTTGCCTCTCGTAATCCGCAGTTGAAGGTGGAAACATAAATGATTCTGTGAATAAGGCTGATGGAGAACATCAAGCAATATCTAATGGGGTGATGTTCACAATTATCACATTGAGGGCTTCTAATTACAACTTGCCGGTGAGCTTACTACTTATGGCAACGTTCATACAAACAGGCTTGCATGGAATTACAGCAATGCAGTGCATTGGATCACGATATTAATAAGAGAACGAGGCCTTCATCTCTGCATATGACTAATATATGCGGAGGTTTTCGCTTCTTGCCGAAATATCTTGTGCACTAACTGGGCATTGATGATCTTTGGGATAGACTTGAGCTTATAAGTCATCGCTTGCGCAACTTTCCCTGACAAACTCTCTGCTGCTCTCTGGAAATACGGTTTTCCTGAAACTAGATTACATGATAAGGCAGCAAATTTCATCAGCACTCTTGACAGGAGGATCTATCCATGTTTAGTAGCTTATACACGCAATACACACGCTATAGCAAAGGTGCAAACTTCAAAACATACTTAACCGCGTGAAAGTAGCGCAAAAATAGTATCAAACAAATTAGCAAAACTTTCTTCATCTTTTGATATGACATTTGCTCAGATTACGTTCAATTTTAGTAGCTTCTTCAATCGAGATGAGAATCTATTGACGTTTTTTGGAAATTGAATTTCAAATTGCTATATTTCAATCATTAAGCATATTGGAGAGATAGAATTAACAAAATATAAGAGCCAAGAGCTTAGAATTTTTTTGGCGCAGATTTGTACGTGTTTTCTAGTTGACTTGATCGATTTACAGTTCATCAAAGTTGAACGTTCTGCTCAAAAACACGCCAAAAACACCAATAAAGAGTTTGGTTCGACTGAGTTTAAATCTTATATCAAACGACATTCTGAGCGCAGAAGCTTGCACTGAGGCAGAGGTGGTTTATATTGTCTTGAACGTTCACTGACCTCGATGTACAGCTACGAACCTGCTGAAATAGCGCTCTTTATGTAGGCACAATACAGATTGCCTTGTTTTTTGAAAATGAAACAATATGCCCGCTTAGATATAGGGTCTCATTGATATTTAGTATGGGTATGTCGTGCCATTTTACTGAATAAATAAGTATATAGTGAATAAATAGTAACTTTGAGATGCGTGAGATAAGCAGCCTTTGATTTTACAGTAGTTTAGTGATTCATTCTGCTGTAGCATGGAGTGTCAGGTGAAAGCATAGGAACAGTATCATTCTTGAGAGTGAAAGCTTTCCAATAGTCAGGAATCTGGAGGTTACGAAGATGAGCGGGAATCTGGTCAGCCAAATCAGCACCTGTGTGCTCCATAATTTTCTTTACAAAAATGTTGCATTCAGTTTAAAGTTACTACTCTACCAAAGCCAACTTACCTGAGGAATTTTGCCGCCGTGCTTTGTGTAGACACCTTTTTCGTAGTTTTGACGCCAGAGCAAAGGAACACGCTGTTCATGCTCTGAGCCAGGAATAAGAGGCTCAGTGACATAGCAATTCTTACTGTCAACCAAGGCTTCTTTGGGATCCAAATTACCAAGGCTGATAATATTGGGGTCCAAACCTTCAGAGGCGCCAAACTTATTATCAGAGAGAACGATATGCCAGCCCCAAGGAGAAATGGGAACACTGGCATTCCAAATAGGAGGGCGAATGGTGTAATTCAAGCGTGCAGTGTAGAAATCAAAGAAAGTAATACCTTCATAGAGCCAAGCAGCCACTTCTTTTTCATCAGGAGCAACCTCAGGGTTGAGGAAGCGGTAAAGGAAGTTGTTGTGAACCACCATGTTGCTTACTTGCAAGAAATCAGCGTGCACAGCGGCGTACATCATGACACCGGCGTTCGCAAAGTAGTTGGACAAGATGTAACCGTCGACCTATATACATAAAATACAGAATGTCGGTTCATACAGACAATACGGTTCCATATCATACACTTACAGCTGATGTCAATCGAATAGCACCACCCATATCAGCAATCTTCCAGCCGGCAATAAAGTTTTGGTAGATGTAGGTTTGGTTGGATCCAACAACACTGATACCATGGTCTTGAGCGATGTTATGTGTGTCGGGGAATGTTGCATTCTAGAAGATATCATGCTTAGTAAATAAACAAAGAGTGTATTTATGCAGACATACCATGATATTCTGCTTGATGGTGATATCCTTTGAATAGTACATTTGAAGACCAGAGGCCAGATAGCCTTGCTCATCTGTGAGGTCACGGCCAAGGCATTCGTGAATAAACTTGAGGTCTTGAAGAGGCTTCCTCAATTGTGAGTTAACCACAGGCTCCAAGACGCCCTTCTTTCTCAAATCCATGCCAAAGATATTGTTGGAAACGACACTGCTCTTTTGACCTCTGAACAATATACCCGTATTGGTGTCGTTGTAACTAGGAATCATCTTTTCAGCTTGGTGCAGGTGATCACGCAAAAAGACGTTGCCATCTGTGGAGCGTCCTGTCAGTGAGTTTTTACCACAACAATGTCTACATTCACATACCAATGTAAAGACTTTGACCGTGTTGAGCAATGACAGAGCCGCGACCACCATTGAAGAACAGATTGCCCAGAATTGCAGTTTCATCTTCATTTTTATTCTGTTCAACCACAATGTTTACATTTTCAAACACAATGTTTTGAATAGCCCAACCCAGGTTATCGTGATAAACTGCAATTCATGTAAATAGTGTGGTTTGTTTGGCTAAATACCAAGACGTACCTTCGATAGATGCTGTGCCATTTTTGCTTTTGGCAGAGAGAATGGTGGGCTCTTTTAAGCTGCCTTTCAATGAAACACCTTTCTTCAATACAATAGGCTTTTCTGGATCAATTTCAAAGAGGCCAGAATCAATATAAACCACAGGTGTGCTGCATGCACTTGTGAATATTAGATCAGTAGAACGTGCAGACATACACTCACCCTAAACGACTGGCTTCATCGATCATGTCCTGAAGTGTGGAGGAGTAATCCAAAGCACTCTCATACATTTTGGTCTGTCCCAATGAACACTCCAGTTTAGCCTGGACAGAGGCAGACAGTACCAGTAAGGCAGCAGAGTATATGATACTAGAGAATTTCATGGTTTCAATAGAGAGTAAAGAAGGGTGTCTTTTTCAAGCTGCAGCATATTTATACTCGGATGTTGTTTACTTTAATTTTGATCCTTACTAGCAATCAAATATGTGCTGGATATTGAGGTCTGTTTTGAAACAGCCATCAGCATGCTACTTTGATTGGTTAATTTGCGGGCTCATTCGCTTCTGTTCCTAAAGAGCACACGCAAAAAGAATTTTTCTTTTTCTCTCTTTTTCTCGATACACAATCAACAACATGGCCTCCTCTGCAACACAGCATTTAATACCAAAAGATCCGCCTTCATATGAATCACTATATCAAAGTATACCATCGCAATCATCGTATTCGGTAGAACAGCAACAACCACAGAGCCAGTCAGCAAAAATTTCATATGCTGTGAAGAGATACATCCGTCGACATTCGCCTTTTCTACAAACCACAACGGCTGCCATATTTGTTGCTGCTACTATCTCAGCGACTGTCATGCTGCTGCTATGGCAGCTACAAAATCTGGCCTCGCCTCAGGATCCAGATGGCCCATGGTTCAACCCTGAAGAATACTCAACATCTTGATCAGTCTAGCAAAACAAAAAAGAAAAATACCCTCATCAGCTTCTGTCATCCTCTTTTCTATCATCTCATTTTGAATTTCACTCAATAAAAGACACTTTACATTTGTATCATAATAAGCAAAGTGTAGTAGAACAAAACAACAGTGCAATTGACGTCAACCTTAAATCCTGCTGCTCGCTGGCATTGAATCCAGAATGCAGCATAACAAAAGAGAGGTCCGTTAAATGAAAATAGACACATTGCATTTTTTTTTTTTTTCCCTTCTTGCTGTTTTATCACCTGCCTTTTGAAGATTGAACAGACTGGCATGTCAAACGGCTATACAAGCGTCTCATTTGGCGATGAGGAGGAAGATGAGAACTACGAGAACATGGTAACTGAGAAGCAACGCTTGCTAACGTGGAAGCCGGTGAGCGCGTCGAGCTAATTCAACAATCGGTAGACAGAGTACAATCTGAAAGAGCTCACCCTCTATGCTATCGATTGCAGACCCAGTATGCTAGAAGCTGATCAGAATGGAGATATACCTCTCTTAGTCACTCTCAAAAGCATCCGAGCAATAATAGTAGATAGAATTGATACCAGACCAAATGATCAAATTGGCATCATCCTGTTTGGCACAGTAAGACGTTTTTTGCAGCATGGAAGAACTGTATTTAAAAAACACCTTTCTATAGACCGAGAAGAACAATTCACAGGACAAGGACCACATTTACATTCTACAGCAAATCGACCTTATCGATGCACCTCGTATTAAAGAATTAGATCTCTTGATAAGCAGTGAGTAGCCATCATCTGATAGCAATGACAGGTCACTCAATGTATCACATCTGCATAGATGTTGGCTTGATTAAAGACAGATGCGGCTCGTCTGATGCAGTGTTTCCCTTTAGCGATCTGCTGTGGGTGTGTTCAAACAGCATTGCCAAGTAAGCGCCATCTCACGCCATCATGCTATGCAGCGACTCACATTCTGCTGTAGTCCAAACGCCAAACAGTACATCAAAAGAATCATTATCATCACCAACAATGACGACCCAACAGATGGAAATGCCCAGTACCGCAAAACAGCCATTCAGAGAGCCAAAGATCTCCAGGACAGTCGCACCGAGATCATCTTGTTTGGATTAAAGGAGAATGAAGACGCCTTTTTCGATCCAAACTTGTTTTACGGCGATATTGTGGTCTTTCCTGACAACGATGATAAGCAAGAGGAAAAGGATGAGTTTGACGAGAGGATCTTTTCGTCGATTGGCAATTTAAAGGATCTATTCGACAAGATCAAGACCGTTCAAACGAGCGCACGATCTGAATTTAGATTGCCATTTGAGATTGGACCCAATTTGACTATCGGTGTTCGAGGGTAAGATATGAAAAAGGCTTGTACATGCCGATCGCTGATATGGGACAACCTAGTTATAATATGGTGCTGGAGCAAAAAATCGGAGCGCCCAAATATTATTTTGCCGAAGGAGAGCAAACCCAAGAGGTGAAATCAGTTACTCGCTGGAAATGTGTGGTAAGCTTTGCTTGCATATCTTGATGAAATCTGTAAAGCTGATCTATGGTGGGGTAGGACACAAACGAATTTCTCACTCCGACTGATATCAAAAAAGCATATTCATATGGTGGAGAAGATGTTGTGTTTACAGAGGATGATGTTGCAACAATCCAGACAGTCAACAAGCCAGGTGAGCTACGAGGCATTGTATTTGTTGGCGATATTTTGATCTGTTAACCGCCGTGCGAAATGCTAGGCCTTTTGGTTCTGGGATTTAGAGACATCGCCTTTCTGAAGTCTCATTATCAAGTAACACACCCTTATTTTATCTATCCCGATGAATCCGTAAAGCATCCCGAGATATTACGATATGCGTTGTTTTACTGACGAGCCTCTCTCTTTATAGCAATACAGAGGAAGCAAGAGCGCATTCTTCTTGCTGCTCAACTCTATGCATAAAAAAGAAAAGATGGCCATTTGTTCATTTGTCAGACGAGTCAACACCATCCCGAAATTGGTCGCTCTTTTACCTCAGGCAAGTTGTTCTATATGGAACTTTGATTTATAATAATCTAAATGTTTTTGAAGCCAGAGAAATTGGATGAATTGGGCAATCAAATTGACCCCCCTGGTTTCCAATTAATCATTTTACCTTATGCTGATGAAATTCGCCAGGTTCCACCACACGCGGAAGTTCAGGGTAAGCTTGCTTATTGATGATAAGCATAGGCATATATGCTGAACAAAATGTTTGAATAGACTATCAAGAAGCTGCTGATACCATGAAATCCATCATCCACACATTGAAAATCAAAGGCGGCTACGATCCAAGCAAATACCACAATCCATGCAAGTATATTACCACGTTGTTTTCATGCTGGCTTGCTAATCATGTCGGCTGATAGATCTCGTCAACCACAAGAACATGATCCAAAGAGCTGCACTTGACACGGACCCAGAAGTGCCAGTTGATAAGTGCGTGCCCAATTACGAGTTGATAGAATCAGTAAAGCGTCTTTTTTATATATCTGTGTTACAGTGCGCTAAGGGTCTAATCTCTTTGTGTTTCAAAGGAACTTTCCGATGAAATCGACGCCTTTAAAAGATCAATTGGTCTGGACACACTTAGCAGCGAAGATATCTTAGATAACCAGGTGCAATCACAAACCAACAAGAGGGTAAATAACAAAAAAATAGCATGCATTGACTTGAGGAATCTTAACGTTTGGCATCGATAGGGAGCAAGCACCTCCAGCAGTTTAGTTACGGCTTCTAGTGAAGGACAACCAGCAAAGAAGTTAAAGGAAATGACAATTGCAGAACATTGGAAAAATGGTACACTGGAAAGGGTAAGATGTGGTTTTGTCAAAGAACAATCGATGGATCACTGACATGTCATCATAGGTTACTAATCCTTCGCTCAAAGAATTTCTGACTGCTGTCAACATCCATCCAAAGAAACTGAAAAAGGATTTGATAGATCAAGTCGACGGTTATTTAAAAGTCAAGATAGAAGACTAACCAACTCTTTATAAGGGTTCAATGTGTCCAAGCTTTTTCCGTCCTTCTTACATAATAACATAGCACAAGCATATTCGCAATAATAAAATAGGATTATCTTTCGCACTTATCTCTGCGTAATCTACCAAGCTAAAAAAAAAAAAAAAAAAAAAAAAAAACTGCAGATGAAATTGTAAGCCAGTGAGGTTGCTCTTGTGGCATGCATGCGTGCCAAATGCTGTTGTTCATCAGCATGGCATTAAATTAAAAAAGTAACAAAACAAAGGAGAACGGGAAGCGGCGGTCAAATGCAGGTTAAATTTGGCACATTATTGAATGGCATCTTCAACTGCGATTACGTGAGGATCCGAAACAAAGCAAGTAGTAGTATATCCGCCAAATTCTGTTATCTTTGATCATAAATTTTTTTTTTTTTTTTTTGGCTGATGAGCATATATATATATATAAGGTCATTGTAAAAAATTTTCTGCAATTTTTTTATCTCTCTTCCTCCTTGTTTCTACTTTTTTTTTTTTTTTTTTTTCTTAAGTACCAAATCATCAACATGCCGCATTTGAAAGCATCGAACAAAGAGGATGCAACAATTATCTTAGGATTGGACCCTTCATTTACTGGCGTATTGAGAGGTGTCGCTCATGATGTGTCGGAAGGTTGCACAGTCAAGGGAAACTGCATTGTCAAAGTCAACAAACCCATCAAAGTGAGAAGATTCATTGTTTGGATGGAAGGAAGAATCAAGGTGACCCTCAAAGGCACAGGGTACAGTGTCTCCAATACGGAAGGAACAGAAAGCAGAACACTCTACTCGAAGGATCATCATTTTCTCGGCGATGATGGCCAAACCCATGTGCTGACACCTGGGCAGTACATTTACCCTTTCAGCTTTGATCTGCCTGCCAGTCTCCCTGCAAGCTTCCGTGGTAAAAGAGGCTATGTGCGCTATCGATTGCAAGCTGCCATTTACCGTCCCATGTTTGCCAGCGATATCCAAGTATCAAGAGATATACCTATCAAGCGCTGTTTGCTGAACGATCAAACACCAATGGCTGAATTGCGTGAAACTTATGAAGGCAGACATCACACTAACAAATTGCATTATACCGCTACTGCTCCCAGCATCTCTTATCGTGAAGGCGGCCTTATTCGTCTCAACCTGACCATGCAGCTTATCAGACCAGAGACACAGTCGATCAGAACAGTAACATGTGCATTACGAGAGCGTATACAGTACCGCACGACAGATGGCCATGCCAACACCATTCTCAGTAAAACCGACAATCTTTTTCCTCTTGGTTACAGCACTTTCTATCCCAACCAGTCGCCTGACTATGACCCCAAGGTGAAGGCAGACTATAATGCTCTGTTTCGTCTGTGTCCACGGGTGAATGCTGATCTGAATAGCCGTTTGATGAAGGTGACACATGCTTTGGTGGTGAATATCATGGTGGAGGACACATCTGAGGAACCTGACGATGAATCAGCGTATGACACGGAAGCAACTGAATCGGAATGGGCATCAGAGGATGACCGTGCAGGAGGACAAAGCTCGGATGTGAAGCATGCCATGGAGAGTCCATCCAGTACACCACCAACATCTACACCCAATTCACCTTCCAGTCGACCTGCACTCAGTCGTTCTTCCTCTACATCATCATTGGCTTCCATCTTCTCCATCGGTCGATCTCATGGTAACAGCATTGAGGAACTCGCTGCCAATGGTAGCATGACATCTATTCCCACCATCAAGAGCTCACGTCGCAGCAAATCACACAGCAAGCATCACAAAGACCCCCATGGACCTCGCTTGACACTATGTACACTTGAAGTGCCTCTGGTTGTTACATCCCGAGAGCATACATGGACTGAGAAGCCTGCTCCTCCTCCATCCTATGACACCGTGGAAGAACCTCCTAGTTACAACACATCGCTTGAAAGCTTACCTCGCACACCTGATTATAACGGTCCTGCTTCTTCAAGAGAATTGAGGTCTAGGCCTACAACACCCTTAACAGAGGAGCCGCCTGTCGAACCTGCCACACCGCCTCCTGAACCCGTTGATGAGGAAGAAATCGAGCACCATACAGAGCAACATGAGAATCATCGACTCTCCATGGTGGGTGGTTTATCCTCAGCTGCTACGCACGCCGCCGCCAAGATGTTTGCAAAGGCTGGTTTAACGCATTAGGGCATATCATGATCCAATAATCTCTCTTTTTCATCTGTACATAAAATCGCACCCATGCTTATTTATACTACTATATACTCTCATTAGACACTATTTACATTCAAATGCTTTGCATTTACACTAATCAATGAATAAAAATCAAACCACTTGTTTATTATCGTACATTACACGAGGGAGCGATGGGCTGGTAGATATGATTGGAGAAATGACATGGCTATTAACAAGATTTCCTTGATAACGGCTGTACTATATCAAGTTGACGCCATTCGTACTAATAAGGAGAAGAGTCTGGGCCTTTGCCTTTGGAATGAGAGAAAAGCCAAGAGATAAGCATACCTCCATTACAAGATTAGGCTTGATATGGGCCACCTTGAAAAATTCTTATGGACCATTTACTGATTCTATATTTATGGCACTGGAGTGCAATATTAGTTATATTGATTTGTGTAAGACAGAGTATTATACATTTGCACTTGTTTCTTTCTATATCGACACACATGCTTCAGGTATAACCTGACATTGATTTGTATGGTTTATATATATATATATATATATGGAGATGTTTTCTTGCCAATATTAGGCAGTTATTCATTAAAGTCGCTCAGTTATCATATAATATCCTCAAATATTATATAAAGCCATTGTCAGAGGCATATAAAATTTATAACATTGGGCATTGAACCAAGGTTCAAAAAAAATTTATTCGCATTTACAAGCATTCACATGAGGCCCTGAGTGAAGAAGAATAACGACAAGCCTGAAATCATATTAACGAGGATGCTCATATTCGACTCAACAACCTTTAAATGATATTGGAGCTGGTTGTTGGTGACGATAGGCGCACTCAGAATCTGCCATCATTCCCAATGAATATCCTGATGCAAGTTTTAAAAATATCCTCCCCACATACCAAAATAGCTTCTCAGTTAGTGGTAATAGTCTCTTTTAAACAAATCACTAAACGCATACTGTTTACATGCCATGTTAAGATGCTGCAAATCATGTTTAGGAAGTTGCGATTACTACATATAGTTTGATGGTGAGCCAGGCTGCCTGGTATTTTTAGATATAAAAATGACCAACAAAAGCGAAATAAAGTACTCGGGCTATCGTTTGTCCTTTCACATCCATGATCCCCCTTTTAACCAGCATCGCAATCATCATTGGCATCATCAGAAAGGCATTTGGATCAGCCAGCAGCAGCACCACCCGCAAAAATCAATTGAATCTCAGTTTATTTTCTTCTGTTCAAGACTGGACAGAATTTGTATCTCTTCGACTTCTTTAATCTATTTTATGATACTCGACTATATAAACTGTGATGATCACCCTATGCTTCCTAATACAGTCTAAGAGTACTTTTCAAGGCGCCTCCAATGATGCTAATTGTAATAGGTGTTTTGATTGAAATTATAGAGCAATCTGTTAAAATACAAAATATGGTTTTTAGCGAAAAAGTCGAAATTTTGCATATAAAAGCCTCATAAAAATGATTTCAGAGGTTGCTTTGGATCAAGAGAAACAATTTGAATTAGTACATACCATAGTAAAAGTCTTCATTTTCAAGGTGAAAAACGCGATCGTTTGATTTTCTTAAAAAAACCATGAGGTACCCCTCATGCTTTTTGGTCGATTTTTGGCCATGTTTTTTAGGTCCCCAAAAAGTTGAACAAAGGTGTCAGAAAGTTACTACTACTCAAGTACAATTGTTTGGCGTCATTCCGGTGACTCAGAAAGGCCTACATGTCAAGATATGAAGGCTTAAAAACTATCCAATTTGGCTGTGTTTTATACATTTACTTATCAATAGGCGAGTTCTTGTCATGACACAAAGACGTAAAGGCATTGTATAAATTAATCTACAGTAGATTCAGAGCATCCTGTTTTATTCAAATACTCGGCTGGAGTTATTAGGTTGAGCGGCACTGTTGTATCGCAGTACCTAGCACAATGGTATAGCTTATTATTAAGGCGATGACAACTACAAGGAGCACCGAACATTTTAGACGCAATATATAGTCTGCATCTAGTCCCTCCTCCATTATATACTAGAAGAGCTGGACACAAATACGTCGTCGTAACCAATCAGGGATTAAAAGCTCCCCTCTCAAAACATAACGCTTCTAATTCAAGCGATTTCTTGCCTGCTATTTGGCTGTGGATTGAGTGATTTGTGGTTTTAAGGCAACATTTGGTAACATTGACCTTAGGAGGGACTTACCGTAGCGAAGCAAGTGTGCAAAACCATGTATTCAAGCAGTAAATTTGGCCCTTCATTTCCATTAATATTAAGCTTACCAGCAACATAACAACGCATCAAACGTTGCATAAATTAGCTTTACCGAAATCAATATGCTTTCTATTCAAATTAGAAATTGCACAGTATAAAACTACCCTTCCAGAAAATTTCGGATACCCAAGATGTGATTCATGAAGTGTAAATAAAAGCTGTAAAGCAAAACATATCCAAATTGGATAGTTTTTAAGCCTTCATATCTTGACATGTAGGCCTTTCTGAGTCACCGGAATGACGCCAAACAATTGTACTTGAGTAGTAGTAACTTTCTGACACCTTTGTTCAACTTTTTGGGGACCTAAAAAACATGGCCAAAAATCGACCAAAAAGCATGAGGGGTACCTCATGGTTTTTTTAAGAAAATCAAACGATCGCGTTTTTCACCTTGAAAATGAAGACTTTTACTATGGTATGTACTAATTCAAATTGTTTCTCTTGATCCAAAGCAACCTCTGAAATCATTTTTATGAGGCTTTTATATGCAAAATTTCGACTTTTTCGCTAAAAACCATATTTTGTATTTTAACAGATTGCTCTATAATTTCAATCAAAACACCTATTACAATTAGCATCATTGGAGGCGCCTTGAAAAGTACTCTTAGACTGTATTAGGAAGCATAGGGTGATCATCACAGTTTATATAGTCGAGTATCATAAAATAGATTATTTTTTTTTTTAAATTGTGTTTATTGATTGAGCCGCGTACACTAAGAGTAATAGGTCAGAGTGAAGAGGCGGGTGCAATTGAGAAATGAAAAAAATATAAATATAAATGGAAACTAAACTAAACTAACAAAAGGAACTATCTAACTATCTAAATTACAAGAGGGAATGGATTTGATCTTCATCCACTGTCTGTCGGACAGTGGAGTGGATATGTACCAGAATCGCCTCAGGGACAAAGATAGTGCCGTCAAAAACAAAGCGCATATGGGCTAGCCATATTTGAGACAGGGTGATGAGTAGGATTCTGTATGGATGGATGCCTTTGACTTGGGAGTACCAGATATCTGAAAAGTCCAGGGACAGAAGAGCCTCTTTGATGTCAGTGATGGACGTGGTGGGCCATAGGAACTCAAAAATGACGCCTTGCCATACCTTTTCTTTGGATGGACAGTCAAAGAGCAGGTGGCTGGCAGTTTCATTGGGAGACAAGCAGACAGGACAATTGTGGGACTCGAAAAATGCAGGCATCATGTAGTGTAATCTGCTTCTAGAAGGGATACAGCCTGCGATGAATCGGTATATCACATTACGTTGAATGTAGGTAAGAGACAGGGACCAAAAGAATTTCCAATTAGCAGCAGAGACATTTTGCAAGACCAAGGGCTGTTCCACCGACGACAGTACAGACAGACGAAATGTTTTGGCGGAAGCCTGAGCGTTTCTAAGAGATTGGCCATCGTGCAGACAAAATTGATCCACCAGCGGCGCAAAAGAGACTCCAGGATCTACTACAGGGGCTGGATTACACACTGGGAGGAAGTAGGGCTGGAATTTAAGAGTGCCAGATGCGAGGCCTCTGAACACTGTTGAAGGAGCTCTCTTCCACCTGAGGAGGGAAGGGTCACGAGTGTCTCTCCAATGTACAAAGTTAAGCCGGGCATCGTACTGAAATACATCAGAAACCATCATCTCTTTGACTTTAAGAGGAACAACCAGTGAGGAGGATGGAGGAACATAGAAAGCCGCCTGTAATGGAAGAGCCATGGCAGTTGCAGAATTGATCGGTGCCGCATCAAACAACTTAGGAAGATAGTCAACTGTACGATATAACATATCGACAGTTCCCGTGCGTTGCTTTTTCAACCCCTTAGTACGACGAGCAGAGGGAAATAGCAGCGGGATTTGATGGTGGGGGTAACCATTAACATTGCGAATGTGGTAGCTTAAGAGGTACGACACAGGATGGGAATCTATGACATCTTGATCTTGAACCAGTAATGGGTGGAGCCAACGAAAATACAAAGCTGAAGCTTGTATTTGGATGTCTACAACACCGAGACCACCTTTGTCCTTTGGTAGAGTCCACACCTTCCAAGGGATGACGGGGAAGATGTTTCTTCTCAAGAACTGAATAGCCAGAGAACGCAGCTGCTTGAAGTCAGCTTGAGTCAAAGGCGTAACACGCAGGATGTACCATAGCTTGGAGAGCAAAAGAGAGTTCAGCACTGTAGCCTTTCCAACGACCGACAGGGAGCGACCAGATAAAATAGATTAAAGAAGTCGAAGAGATACAAATTCTGTCCAGTCTTGAACAGAAGAAAATAAACTGAGATTCAATTGATTTTTGCGGGTGGTGCTGCTGCTGGCTGATCCAAATGCCTTTCTGATGATGCCAATGATGATTGCGATGCTGGTTAAAAGGGGGATCATGGATGTGAAAGGACAAACGCTTAGATTGAATACCCTCCCTTTTTTGCATTTGTTGGGTGGGGTGGGGCTTCCCTTAAAACGGCGTCTTTTGCAATGACAATCTCTTGAAGTTGAGAATTAAAGCAATATCTCATTATTCTACGCTATTACACTATTGTTACTCAACAAGAATAATGAATGAGGCAAGTCCACGTGCTTCTTCAACTGCGCCATCTCTAGTTTACTATTTATTTGATTTCTTTCTTAACTACTTGACGGGTTTCTTTTGAAAATTGCAATCATGGCTCACTCATCTGGAACCCAAGAAAGAAAGATTATTGTTGCTATCGACTACGATTGTGATTTAGAAATCGAAGAGGTCCTTGACATCATCAAAAACTACATGTACCAGGAGGGATATCAGACTCACTGCATTGACGAAGGAAAAACATACATAAACTTGAAAGACATGGATGATGCAACTTGGAGTAGCTTTACTTCCGAGTGGTGTGATGCGATGGACAGTTATAGAACAAAATCAGGCTATGTCTTGAAGAGATATGATGACTGGAGGCTATGTTCCTTGCCTGTTGGATGGTGACCCACTGAATAAAGCTTAATTTTAGTCTCGAATCGGTTTAAAGCTGCTAGAATAAAGTGTGTTCGAGTAGTTGACATGGTCTAATTTAGGCTTGGGGTTCCTGAATGTGATCTCTGTTTGCCAAACGGAGTTCGCTGTCAAAAAACCTTATATTTCTTAGATTTAACACTCTATACCCCGGAAGTTAGATACATCTTGGCAAGACAAAGTATGCATTTATTATGTATTTTGAGTGAATGAGTAAATTTATGCGGCGGTGGTGATTCCAATGGATTGTCGTCTAAGTTTCATATCATGGCGAGTAGGCTCCCATAGTTCGGGTAATACCTTGGGTAAATCATGAATACTATCAATCTGGAAATCACCATGGTCTGATTTGGATGCATCGTCAGCCAGATGAACAGTGGTCCAGCCCAATTTCTAGTACATGAAGCGATCAATCTCTGTTACCTTGATAAAATACCAATCAACTTACCTTTGCAGCGTCGATGTTCTGAGCAGAATCATCAACAAAGTAGCATTGCTTGGGATCAACAACGCCAGCATCTTTCATGGCTCTTAAAAATGAAGCAGTTTCTAAATGTTGCATTAGTATTTATCGATCTGTATCATTTGTTTTGCCATCTTACCTGGCTTACAGTTGAATCCAGGCTGTAAATAGTTAGTGTAGGTCAAACCTATATTAATTGATGTTTAGCTTGTTAGGTTTCATATTGATTGAAAGGGGTTAATTTTACCGTCAAATTCATTTTCAATGCCTAGTAACTTCAGACATCGGACAGCATGCTATACAAGCTCTGATTAGATATGACACAGACTACAGTTATCAAGTGCACTTACAGGTCTATAAGCATTTGTGAATACCCATTTCTTGCAGTTGAGTCCTCGAAGCACTTTGATGAGTTCTTCATCTCTTGTAATCAAGCCATCTAATGGCAAGGCCTGATCGACCTTGTGGTCTGTATAGAACCATCAGTATAAGCTGTTAATATCATCCTATCGCAAATCTTACCATAATCCAGAGGATCTACAAAGTAATGCTTCTGAAGGCCTCTCAGAGACAGACCATAGGTCTTTTGGTAGTGCATTTGCAGTGCGGCGACTATTACAGATAAAAACATTAGAATACATTGACTATGGATCGTCGAGCAATACTACATACCTTCATCAGCAGGGATTCCAACTTCATTGACGAAATATTCTTGAATCCTACATTGGAAATTAGTTGCTATGGAAACCTAATTTTGACATGTACACCAACTTTTGTCTCATCAAAGATAGAACATTGAGATTTTTACTCTGCATCAAACACATCAGTATAAGGTAGTGGTTGTCTTGTAACACAATTAAATATTTACATAAAGGCAGTTATCGCAATCAAAAAAGAAGATGGGCTTCAAAGTCATTTTTTATAGAAACGAATGTATAATCAAGATGTAATAAGGGTTCTGCTTCTCTTCCTACTTGAAAATTGCCCTTTTTTATACGATTTTTCATCGGCTGAAACTCAAATCTGCTTTCTTTTTTCCATATTTACAAATTTCTGGAAATCGGTTCAACATTTCTTACGTTTAAACAGACCGAATGAGTCGAGATGAGAAGAAATGCAATGCAAAAGGGTTGCATGAATGATTTGAGCGTTTTTTCGGATGAAATTCCTCTTGCCCTTGGATACAGTGATGTCTCATCCTTAAAATGCACTTCTTTTGGATTACAAATACAACAACTGCGGTCAAATCACAGTCTTCAGCAGAGAACAGATGCCCCATCTTATAGTGACGTAGCAAATCAGCGATTGTGAGATTGATGTTTGTGCACCCACAGTCGAATTTCATCTTCCCCAGAATATAAATGATCGTATTTTCCAGGTTTTTCCCCCGCTTGCCCTCTTTACACAAATAAATAAAACAAAATGTTCAGATTAGTTACCTCAAAGGCCCCTTTGAAGAATGTAAATCGACTCAAATGCCTGATCTGAAAGCCTAGACTAATGCATTCGATAGATTGCCCTTCGCAACGCTGCTGTCAAGAGTGTTCGTGCTCCTGTTGCCACTCAATTTTCTCGTTTCTACAGTACCCCTGCTGGTAAAGTAGCACATTGCACATCTAATCCTGCAATGTCCTGAACATTTCTTTGTTAGATACTGAATACGACGTTGTTGTCATTGGTGGTGGTCCCGGTGGTTACCCTGCCGCTATCAAGGCTGCTCAACAAGGCTTGAAGGTAGGTTAAGATCCATCTACCATGATTTGCATATAGCTGACATGTATTGCTCCTAGGTTGCCTGTATTGAGAAGCGTGGTTCTCTTGGTGGCACCTGTCTCAACGTTGGTTGTATCCCTTCCAAGGCCATGTTGAACAACTCTCACATCTATCATGAAACCAAGCACGGTTTGAAGAGCCGTGGTATTGAGGTCTCCAATGTTGAATTGAACTTGCCTCAAATGCACAAGGCCCGTGTCAAGGCTATCACTGGTTTGACCAAGGGTGTCGAATTCTTGTTCAAGAAGTACGGTGTCGACTACATCAAGGGTACTGGTACCTTCAAGACTGCCAACGAAGTTGCTGTCGCTGGCTTGGATGGTACTGATTCCACCTTGAAGTCCAAGAACTTCATCATCGCTACTGGTTCTGAAGTTACTCCTATTCCCGGAATTGAGATTGACGAAAAGAAGATTGTCTCTTCCACCGGTGCTTTGGAATTGCAACAAGTTCCCAAGAAGATGGTTGTCATCGGTGCTGGTGTCATTGGTCTCGAATTGGGTTCAGTTTGGTCTCGTCTCGGTGCTGAGGTTACTGTCGTCGAGTATTTGGATGCCATTGGAGCTGGTATGGACCCTGAGCTTGCCAAGAACTTCCACAAGTTGTTGCAAAAGCAAGGTCTCAAGTTCAAGATGGCTACCAAGGTCAACGGTGCCAAGGTTGAGGGTGACATTGTCAAGGTCGATGTTGAAGCTGCCAAGGGCGGTAAGGCTGAAACTGTAAGTAGAACGATGAGGACGTGTAGTGATTGGGATCAAGTGTTGATATGTGTTTCATTAGCTCGAAGCTGATGCTGTTTTGGTTTCCATCGGTCGTCGTCCTTACACCACTGGTCTCGGTTTGGAGAACGTTGGTGTTGAGGTTGACAACCGTGGCCGTGTTGTCATTGATTCCGAATTCAAGACTAATATCCCCAACATTCGCTGTATCGGTGATGTTACTTTTGGCCCCATGTTGGCTCACAAGGCTGAAGATGAGGGTTTCGCTGTTTCTGAGATGATCAGCACTGGTCATGGTCATGTCAACTACGATGCTATCCCCTCTGTCATTTATACTCACCCTGAAGTCGCTTGGGTTGGTAAGAACGAATCCCAATTAAAGGAAGAGGGTATCAAATTCAAGACTGGTTCTTTCCCCTTCGTTGCTAACTCTCGTGCTCGTACTAACGATGACTCTGATGGTTTGGTCAAGGTCATTGCTGATGCCGAAACTGACCGTATCTTGGGTGTCCACATCATTGGTCCCAATGCTGGTGAGATGATTGCTGAAGGTGTTCTTGCTGTTGAATATGGTGCTTCTGCTGAAGATGTTGGTCGTACCTGTCATGCTCACCCTGTAAGTGCTTTAACGTGGGAAATTTAAGAGTTTGTTGAACCTAACTGTGTGCTTTTTAATTTTTAGACTCTTTCCGAAGCTTTCCGTGAGGCCTGTTTGATCACCTCTTTTGGTCAAGCTATCAACTTCTAAATAACTACATAATGTATACATTTCACTCTTTATTTTCTCCCATCTTTTTTTTTTTGTTTTACCTCTCCATCTAGCAGCGCTTCACCTTTATGATTGTCTCAATCATCATAGACAATAAAAAATAAAAAGTATTATTTGAATGCTTACCTGTTAATGTTTTTTCCCGGGTAAATTTTCAATGTGTATCACAGCAATGTTGTGCTTCTTTTGTTTCTGTTGTGGCATAACAATGCACTTGTCCTAATGATATATAGAACTATCATGACGAGCCATGATTTTTGATCTGTAGAATTACATTTTGATTTTTGATTACACATTCACATAGTAATTTATGCGAGTATTGTTTTAATGAGAAAGTCTATTTTGGAGCACTTGGAACTAACTGCATATGCTGATTTGATTTGCATTCAAGGCCATTTAGATGCCATGGATGATTGATTACACAATGAAGTTGGTACGAAAATCATCAGGGCGAGTTAAAGTGCCGCTATCATATACCTGCTTGGCAAAAAAACTCATACTGATTTCTCTCTGGTGCTTTATATCCTAGTTTTGTTACATAAATGTAAATATCCTGCTTCTTGGCTTTTTAATGATGGTAATCTTTCTCCTATAGGCCTTCTAAAGGCTGCATGCTCCGGTTCTGAAAATGTCTGTCATAGAATCAGTCAGACGCGTCCTCCACCAGCATACATTCGTTTTGAAAGTTGCAAAAGCTTAGGCTAAACTACATAAATATAGTATCAAAAGATACCTTAGAGTTTGGTGCATTATTTGGCACTGCATTTGTTTTATGTAAAGTAGCCTATGTATGCTTTTTCTGTGGGCTTTTAGTTATTCAGGCTCTTTTTTTTCGGGTAGACGTGCGCACTTTCAAGTATGATCGTTTTGGCTGGCCCCTTTCTATTCTATGGCATTGTTGATGCAAGTTTCCAGCAATTACAGTTGATTTAACCGTCGCTGGGAAAAGAGTTTATGATACAATATGGTATTCGTAGCAGATAGACTAAGCAAGTATGGCATGATAGAATGATGTATCTAAAGCAGAAATGCAGTTTACTGCCTTGAACAAATGTGCCATTCAATTGTCCGATTCATGGCTTGTCAATGCCAACATCATTGTGCGATCATTGTGATTGAGTTCTATTGCACTTGAAAAATACACATGGATTAGGGATTGACTGTACCGGATGGCCTGTTGCATGAAGCAAGCACGTTGGATATAATGGCTGGAGGGATGCGTAATGTGGATCAGCCCAGTCACTTTTTTTCTGTTTGATTGCAAATGTTTAGTTGCACAGCGAAGCTTCAATCTTTTCTCGCTCTACTCGACACTTTCAGGCCAACACTCTTCTTTTCCAAGCTTACAATCACAACAACAGCCAGAATACGAACTTTCAGCAAGGATATTAATGTCACATTTGTATTGGAATACCCCTCTTTTATCCTCGCTTGTTGCCTCTCACAAAATGTCCAACAATACAAACTTGAAGAGAACACGCTCGACAGAATCACTGGAAAAGGCATTCAAGCGATCAAGACCGTTTTATGCTGCTGGCTCACCAGCGTACGTTTTGATATATCCCTCGGATAAGCTAGACTAGCACTAACTGGAATCTTAGATCTGTGTCCAGTGAGCCCATTTTGCCACCCATTACCAACCCATTCTCTCCATCTTCTACCCGTCAATTAGCATCAGCATCCACAACAGAACCATCCAGCATAGTATACCCCACCATTGTAGCAGCATCATCACCTCCATCGCTAGAAACCATATCCATATCCACAAAGACAGACTCCAGTATACCGCCCTCCCTGCACTCGTCACCAACCACACATCAGCCACTGTCAGACTACAGCCATGTCAACGGCATGTTGCATAGCCTTCATGTCCAACGATTTGGTGATCCAGAGAGCCGGGAGAGCTGGTGGGAATCGCAGGATCAAGACATTGATATGGAAGAAACGAATGACGAATATGCCACTGCCAATTCCGTTTTGCGACAAGCTTTTCTTCAACGACGACACTACGGTTAACAAATTACCTGATTCAGCCTTTTGGTGATGAGTCAAGCAGCTTCCCTCTGTCCTATGCCGTTTTTAGTGGGTTACTCTTTTTTTTTTTTTACACACACACATAAGCTTTTTTTATCCATAACTTGTAGTGCATTGTTGGTTGACACGTGCTTCTAGACTTGTGTATAAATTAAAAATACGCCCTATTTATTCAATCAGTCTCTTTTTTCTCTCCTTTTGTTTCTTGCACTCAATAAATACACAGAAAAGATGGCAAACTTGCAATTCACGACATTTGACAGTATTCAAGATCATGTTAGCCATGTTCGACAGATCTTCAACACCGGTAAGCCCCGTGATATCAAATGGCGCAAGTTCCAATTGCAACGCCTGTATGATATGGTCTCTGAAAACGAGGAGAAACTCTATGAAGCCATGGCCAAGGACATGCATAAGCCTCGCAACGAAGCCATGGGTGGCGATATCGCACCTGTTCTCGATGAATGTCTCTACTTTTTGGACGTAAGCTGATTCTAGCACACTGGATTGATTGATGAGACTTATTTGCCTCTCTCTCTAGAATTTGGATGAACTGATCAAGGATCAAAAAGTCAAGCCCAGATCAGGCGTGAATGCCATGGAAAAAGTTGTGATTCGCAAAGACCCCTTGGGTGTTGTTCTCATTCTGGGTAGTTGGAACTATCCTGTACAGGTGTGTGTGTGTGTGAATAGGGTATGCTGTGCAATTGTACTCATCTTCTTGTCGATAGCTCCTCTTAGTGCCCTTTGCGGGTGCCATTGCTGCTGGTAACTCTGTCATTCTTAAAGTAAGCATCAATGACCTATAGGCTCTTCATGGATCTAATATGCTCTTGGTAGCTCTCCGAAGTCGCTGCTCATACTGCTGCACTCATTACTGAATTATTTCCCAAATACATGGACACCAGTTGTTATCGTATTGTTAATGGCGGTGTAGAGGAAACCACATTCCTGCTCAAGGAAAAGTTCAACCACATCTTTTATACTGGTAATGAGAATGTAGCCAAGGTTGTCATGACTGCAGCCGCCAAACACTTGACTCCAGTGACGCTTGAATTAGGTGGTAAATCGTAAGTGGAAATCTGCTTGTATGGCTGAACAGCAACATCTCTAACCATTATTCTTATAGTCCTGCTGTCATTGCCCCGGATGCTGACATTCAATTGACAGCTAACCGCATTGCATTTGGTAAATTCTACAACTCTGGTCAGATCTGCATTGCTGTCGATCATGTCTTATGTCCAAAGAGCAAAGTAAGTGAACTTGTCAAGGCCTTAAAGCACACATTGCATCAATTCTACGGCAACAATCCTCAAAACTCCAACGACTATGCTCGTATTGTCAACGAGCGTCATGTGGATCGCATCTCATCCTTGTTGAACAACCGTACCAGTGGTGAGATTGCGATTGGCGGTGAGATTGACAAGAAGGAACGCTACATTGCTCCTACTGTGGTCGTCAACGTGAAGCCTAACGACGAGACTCTAATGAGCCAAGAGATTTTTGGTCCCGTTTTACCTATTGTGACCTACAATGACATTGAAGAGGCGATTGGTATCATTAATCAACGTGAACCTCCTCTCGCTTTGTATGTGTTCTCCAAGAATCAAAAGGTGATCGACAGAGGTAAGAGTACCATTGTAGATGTAAGATCATTGGCGTTGATTTGTGTTTTAAATAGTGTTGAAAAACACTCAATCCGGCGGTGTTTGTGTCAATGACTGCTTGATGCACCAAGCTGGTAAGTTCCGTGTTACTGCGATCCATCAGATAAGAAAAAATTCCAATATTAAATCTATTAATAGAATATGGCATTCCATTTGGTGGTGTAGGCGCTTCTGGTATGGGTAATTATCATGGTGCTAAATCCATTGCCACATTTACACATGAGAGAAGCATGCTGGTCAAGAAGCAAAAGATGGAAGGCGCTGTGGCTGTCAGATATCCACCTTACACTGACCGCAAATACAATCTGTTGAGATTCATCATGGTCAAGCATCCTGTCATGCTGAAACTCAAATTGTACCGTCAACCACTCAAGTTACTTCTTGCCATTATCGCCTTATTAGCCTTTTATTTGAGAAGAAAATAAAGACGACCTATCAATTGATTTCATAACAAATTCTCATGTGACCGTGGCGACTCTTCACACGCTTCTATTGGTGAAGCAGTTTTATACTTAAAGCTTTGTATCACCCGTGGTTTATCACTGTTTAAATAGTTTCCCGTTGTTTCCCTTTGTGGATGATTTGATCTTTGATTTACTAATTGATGCATAGGTGCTGATGCCTGGATCAAACATGTACATCCATTTGAATAGAGTGCTCAATGGACAACAGTGCCAAATTGCCTCAAAATTGGCTCAATATATAATGCGCAACATGCTTGCTTGTAAGAGGTGAGGTTGGGAGAGGGATTTACAAAAAGTACATCAAACATCTCGCAGCGTACGTTGAGCAAATCAAACATATACAACTACACAGCTCTAAAAAAAATCCTTAACAGGTCAGAACTTACTAATGCATGCACAACAATCTCCTCATCAAATTGCTGCTGGGGATTGCATCGACATCTCCTTGAGTATCTGAACGGTATCTTATCGCAATGTCATTTTTCACACGAGTTTAAAGCCCAGTTACGGGTATATAAAGGGGACCAAAAACCAAATCCACAATAAGCAATTCTCTTCTTTTTTTTCTCAAACTCTTATAAAATGGCCTCTCAAAACAAATTCTTAAAGTCCAAGTCAGTCTCTGTCGTTGGTGTCCCATTCAACGGAGGTCAACCTCGCACCGGTGTCGAAGAAGGTCCTATCCGCCTTGTTGAATTCGGCCTGTTGAATCAGTTCGAGGAAATGGGTTATGAGGTTGAATATGAAGCAAATGAAGACATTACCTCTTTGCGTCCCGCAGAAGATCCCGATACCCTTAATTTGAAGCAACCCAAATACGTCTCTGCTGTCACTGAAGTTGTATCAAAGCAAATTCTCAAGAGAGCTCAAGAGGGTAAGTTTGTATTAACATTGGGTGGCGATCACTCGGTCGCTTTGGCCACTGTGTCTGGTGTTTTTGGTGCCTATCCCAATGCTTGTCTTATCTGGGTCGATGCACATGCAGACATCAATACCCCTGCTAGTACTGACTCTGGTAACATTCACGGCTGTCCATTGAGTTTCTTGACAGGCATTGCTGGAGATCATCCTGATTTCAGATGGGTTCAACCTCTCCTCAAGACCAACCGTCTTACTTATATTGGTTTGCGTGATATCGATGAAGGTGAGAAGGCTATTATTCGTAAGCTGGGCATCAAGGCATTTTCCATGCACCATGTGGATAGATACGGTATTGGACAAGTGGTGGAAATGGCATTGAACCATGTCAACCCTGATCGCGACTTGCCTATCCATTTATCATTCGATGTGGATGCTTTGGACCCTTCCGTTGCACCTAGTACTGGCACTCCTGTTCGTGGTGGTTTGACTTTCCGTGAAGGCCATTACATCTGTGAAGCTATTGCTGAAACTGGATTATTGGTGGCTGCTGATATCATGGAAGTTAACCCTGCTTTAGAAGACACAAACTCTGTGTTCCAAACTATTCAAGTGGGCTGCTCTCTTGCTCGTTGTTGTTTAGGTGAAACTTTACTGTAAATATTTAATCATGATATCCCTTCTTTTTCCAATATATTTAACTTGCCCCTCTCGTGCCTCTGATAATAAAATATCTTATCAATGACATAGATAACCAACATGTTTGAGTTCCCACACACATTTCATAATAAACGGAACCAACCGGAAACCCGTGATATTGCAATTAATTATATTTGAGCTCTTAATAGGCGCTTGTCGTCATGTAATCTGCTGGAAGTTTGACCCCGTGGGATAGTTTAGCTTGTCATGTGTGCCTAAACAGTAGTTTGTTTCAGGCACAACATAGAAATCATCTGCTTTTCCAGGAAAGGTTTCTTATCAGATCGAATCGCTAATCTACTGTTATCTGATTTAAAGTTATGCGGCATTCTTTTGACTGGCGAATACAGTTGTATTGATTCAAGCTCTCAAGATTCACATTATTTCATCTGTTTCTTTCCCGTAGTCATTATGTATCAATGATCTTACTGGCCCATTCGTTGCTGATCGTTACCACATGAAAGACTAAAAGTTGAATTGATCAATATCATGTGGTAACGCAATCATCTGTATTTAAACGCTATCGTGTCCACTACACGCTAATACATTCAATGCCAATACAAATCAGTGTGCAAAATCAGAGGCTTTACTGTTAATTGTGCTTGTTTGGCACAGCAAACTATGGTTATCTGTAGCGCAGATAAACATCTAGCAACTTCCTATCAGCATGGGTTATGGCGTCATATCGATAATCAAGTTGTTTGCGTGCTCTATATAGCTAAATTCGCTAATTTTCTCACGTGTGTGTACCATACATACCGTTTGTATATTTTAAATGTTTGCACCACTTGTGAGAAATAAGTGTGAGAACTTTGTTGTGTCATTGTCCCACAGATGTCCTGATGTACATAATTAGACTTGAACAGTCGTTTGGAAACATCTTCAGGTACTAGATACAACATGTTCGGATGTAGAAAATAAATATTAATACAAATACCTTGTTGTACCTCTCAAAATATGATTTTTTTTTTATAATGTTGTTACTTTATATACATAATAGCTCACTACAGATCAATTCACATGGACAATGCCAATTATATCTCAATATCAAGAAGCAGATCTTGACTTGCTAAAGCTTCAATTGCCACTGTGATTAGAGTGAAACCATTTTATGCTAGCCAAAATTGATTGTAACTCCGAATGTATTCTCGCTCCAAATAGAAATACTGGATCGATTTTCGACTTGGCTGATATATTTTGGTAGATTCGACTATATAAATCATGATAATTATCTCAAACCTCCTTAAGCTTCCTTGGAGTACTTTTCAAGATGCATCTAATGGTGCCAACTGAAAGACATGTTATTAACAAACTTATTGAGCAATTTAACAAAATATGAAATGAGGTTTTAGTCAAAAATGTCAAAATTTTGTATATGAAGGCCATATAAATAAATTTTCATGGGTTTCTTTTGATCGAGAGAAGCATTTTTATCTAATATATGCTGTAGTAAAAATCTTCATTTTTAAGGGAAAAATGCGATTGTTTGATTTTCAATCATTTTCCATGAGGTACCCCTCATGCTTTTGGTCGATTTTCGACGATGTTTTTCTGGTTCCAAAAAAGGTGAGCAAAGGTGCCAGTAAGTAAGTGCTAGATGAAAGCAACTGTTTGGAGCCATTCTGGCGGTTTAAAACAGCTTCTGGCACGAGAAATCATGTTTTAAGTGCAACAGAATTGTGCTGTATTTTGCTAGTAAGTAAGAGGTAAAACCACTACTGCAGCCTGCCGTATTGTATCGTTTTGGTAGATACAGTTGTGTAGCGATGTAGAAGAGTCAGATCTACGGTTATAGGCCATTTATGGAGGATTTTTACATTAAAAAGGACAGCAACTGTGTACATGTTGGTAGAATACAGTTTAACCATATATCACTGTGGATTATAGGCTTGAGATTGTGCTCTCTGTGCTTTGTTTGGAAGCACACATTCTTTTTGATCTACTGAGAGAATAACGCATTGCTTCAATCATACTGGGTGCCCTAATAAATCTAGACTTGCATGATTCACTATCTAGGAATCTGGAGTTTGGACAGGATACGGTGATGCTGCTTTTGCTTGTGTTTATCTGAGCAATATCCACTAAAATTGATCCGAGCTACTGATCTGTGGATGACCAGCACAATATACGTAGAAAGCTATTGCTTCGGTATGTATCTAGTTGAAAAAAACAAAGCAAATCAGAGCAGGTTCCTGAATGCCTCACTCTTAAATTGTAACCATGCGAAAACTAAGCCTTTACACTACTTTATACATAATAATTTTATTTAATCTAACAAGAAAGTAAACAAATGAGGATGAAAAAGAAAATTTTACAATGTAATCTCGCCTTCAACAGCTCTTGGTTCTAATCCTAAACCATCCAAGCACTTGTAGTATCTATCAGCATCTTTTGATTTGAGGTATTTCAAAAGCTTTGCACGTTGATGGACCATGTTGCGTAATTGCTTGTAGTTGTGCTTGTCTTTACGATGTTGATTCAAATGAGAGTTCAAGTTGTGGATACGGACGGTTAACACAGCAGCTATAAAACAAACATGTCAATAAACACATACACACTCTAGGTATAGGACGAATTACCTTGCACTTCAGGGCTGCCTGTATCTCCTTCCTTTTGCTTAAACCAGTCAATGGCTTGATGAACATTCCAGATTTGAACACTCTTGGCATTGCCGTTCTGAAGGCTGACAATCTTTTGCAATGCCTCTACTTTTTGATGCTCTGCCTTTAGTGCTTCCTCCATACCATCGACAGCAGCCATATGACTAGATTCTACAACCTTTCTGGGGGTTTCCTCGAACAAGAATTGTTGATCTTCCTTTGACAGGAAATGTTGGAATCCAGTGCTTTGTTCAGCATAGGCACTAGCGGGTGTATGTAAAGTGTTGAAGAAGGGTGCAGGCTTTGATACAATGAAGGAGGGCTTTGTGCGTTCGAATTCGGCTACTTTGGCTGCACGTTTGGCGAGGTTCTCTTTCTTAATTTGCTTGGGATGCTTCTTTGCAAAGGATGCTGCTGACCCATGGAATTCCTGATGCTTTAAAAGACGACTAGGAGTCTTGGTAACTATGACATGTGAGCTAAGTTGTATTTACATTCTTTGAAGAAGCGTTGCTTTACCATGACGACCACCAGATGAAAGGCTTAAGCGACTCAACATTGATAATGATATTACGAAATAGTGAATAGAGAAAGAGAGTGGTGTCCTGTTCTCCACATTTGAACAAACCCTAGAAGATTTTGCGGCTCATTTGCCAGGATCGTGACTGGATTGACTGGATGAAGGACATGTTGAACGGTGGAAAAACCTCCGCTGAAAGGATCAGAGAATGGTGCCTTTAACATTCAATCAGTATATGAAGTGTGATTGTATTTAATTGAAATAGTAATCTTCTCGCTATAACCAAGAGCATTTTACTTTGATTTACTCCTTAAAAATTAGACTAATTCGCCATGCTGGTGTACTCAATTTTGAAATGCACTCATTTTGACAGTTCTGATGATATACATTTCTTTTCAACGTTGAAACTCAGTGTTGCCATATCCAAGTCTTTCACCATTTTTTTCTTTGTCTCCTCTAGTTCTTTTCCTTGGCAACTTGTCTAAGCATCACCGGTCGAAATATGAGTCAGTTGGAGACATTTCTCGATCAAGTTCACCAAAGATTGCACGACGATAGTGCGTCCAAGAAGGTAATTGTCACTGGCAATGATTCAGCAGGTACGACTTTCATCATTGAGACGTACACAAACGGCAAACTGATACGCATAGTCAGACCTTGATTCTATCATATCGTCACTGCTATTTGCTTATCTAAGTAGCAAGCAAGACAAGGACATATTGTACATCCCCTTGATCAAGGTCCCTAAAGCAGATTTAGCTCTTAGACCTGAATTGGCTTTTGTCATGAACCACATTCATCTCGACCATCAGAAGCTTGTATGCATCGACGAACTCACATTGGATCCTCATGCATCAGTGGTGCTAGTAGATCATAACCACCTTACCCCTCCACTGGGTCAATACGACAACCAAGTGATTGGTGTCTTGGATCATCATGTGGATGAACATTTGTATCAATCAGCACCTTTACGCCGCGTGGAAATGGTGGGATCTTGCGTCACATTAGTACTGGATCACTTTCCAGATCATCTTTGGTCCAATAGCCAGGAGGTTGCGCAACTTGCCTTGGGCCCATTGCTGGTAGACACAGTCAATCTCAAGTGGGAATTGGGCAGAACAACCGACTTGGATGTCGCCGTCTATCATAAGCTGATTGGAGCTCTGTACAATGTCACCGCATCCAGTTCATCCTCCACATCACTTACAGACGATTACTTCAAATCGATTGAAAAGGTGAAATCTCAGGTAGACACCATGTCAAGCTACGATATTTTGAGACGGGATTACAAGGAGTTTGTGGTGGACGGATATCGCATTGGCACCAGTGCAGTGACATGGCATTTCAGAGCATGGGCCGAGAGAAACAGCGCACAAGAGATCAGACAGGCAGCCATCGATTATGCAAACAAGCGCCAGTTGGATATGGAAGTTGTCTTTACTGCATTTGATCATGATGGTGAATATCGTCGTCAATTGGCTGTTTTCGTCATGCAACCCAAATTACAGAGAGTGCAGGACGATTTGGAAAGAAATTCTGACATACAGCTGAAACCGATCAAGGAATTCGATGTTGCAGGGTTTTACGACCAAGGCAACATTCGCATGTCTCGAAAGCAGGTGTGGCCCTTGTTGAAGCAGTTGATTGAACAACATGAAGATTAGAAGAAACCGCAATGGATGAGCTGTTTGGGCCAATCAGGTGGCAGATCTTGGCAAACGTGATATTTGTATAGAACTCTTTGAACTCTTTTGTTTCCTTTTGGTAATAAAAAAAAACGGATGGAAAGGTTAAATGGGGGTTACCACTGAATACGGGCAAGGCATTTTCCCATCTCTTCTTTCTCTCTACGAAAAAACATGCTCATAAAACACTTTAAACTTCCATTTGGCTACAAGGCCAAAAGAGTCGCTCTAAACAATAAAAATAAGCCTGATTTCATATCTCATTTGCCAAAGGAATTGCTGCAGTGTATCTATCAGCAGCTGGATAGTCAAGACATTGATGCCTTCAACCAGACATGCCGATCGTTCCATAGCGTGGTGATCCAGCCTTCGTCCAAAGCTGCCTGGATTATGGCCCACTACGGTGCAAGATTTGCTCTGTATTATGCATTATTGGCCATCCCGCAACATTGCCATGGTGATTTCCTACATATGCTCTTCAATCGAGGAGCTGCTGTGCCACGCCACCTGCTGCAACGCTTGATCCAAGTCTACCTCAAGCCCATTGAAAAGCGTCGTCGTCGCTCTAGCTTTGATACATTTGATTTGGATGCCTTCTTTGCTCAACAGGTACAGCTATTGTCGTTTGATGGTTATGCAACTATCCTCCAAAAGGGCCATGAGCTGTATGGCAATGATTTGGACCTGGCAGCCAACTACCATGACCTCAAGAGTATGCCAGCATCCACTGATTGGTATTTCCCTGCTCCCGCACCTGTTGATACCAATTTGAGACCACTACTCAAGCTGGCTCAAACTGAACCTGCTCTATTCGCTTTGATGGATCCTGTGTTTACCTTTGATCCAGTTGCGCGTGCCTCACTTTGGGAAGCTGCGTTTTTGATCTTGTTTGATGAAGCATTTAGAGCCACTGCTCCTACTCAAGAAAGACAAGCTCAGTTACTCAACTTGCCATTATCAAGCCAAGTACGCTTAGTGGGTCCTCTGACGGATCAGCAACTGTTCTGCCAAGTGTTTGCGAATTTTTTCACCAAATATCCTGTCGGTTATTGCCCATCAAGAACCATGCACAAACTACTAGCATTGCTCAAGCAGTACGTCAAGCCTAGCTTCAACATTGACGTGGCATTGGAGCATATGGTGCATGCCAATCTAGGTCGCTCAGATACCATTGAATCAGTAGACAAGTTCTTGAAGCAAAAGTAATCCACGATTTATTTTTTTTTTCAAGTGCTGTATATACCCCTCCTCCTCCTCCTCCTCCAACTTGTACTATATAATAAAAGCAGTTGTTTACTCGTCGTCCTCTACCACAAGTGTTGCACTTGGCCATAAGCTTTTGATATCAATCAATTTTTGTTGAGATGGTGGAAATTCCATGCGAGGGTATGGCGTGTGCATGGTGAATTTATAGGCATGTGTATAGTCAGTAGGTGCCGCTACCTTCTCCTCGCTGCATGGCCCCTCTTCCTTCAATAATGGATATGCTTCTACGAATTGATACAAGTCATCCACAGTGGCTCCTTGATCAAACTGACGGATCACTCGATCCCCGTCTGCTAAGCGGAAGCTCAGTTTTGCAAAGTTGGCTGTGGGCTCCTGTGGTAAATGCGTATAGAGATAACGAATGTATTGCTGGCGCTTTTGTTCTTGCAATGCTGCTATTTCTTGTTGTAAACGCTTCTCGTCCTCTAATGCCTGTTGACGCCGTCTCTCCTCCTCAGCTAAACGTGCTTTTTCTCGATCTTGTTTGAGTGATTCATTGAATGCCGCATCCTGATCTACTAGCAATTGACGCTCATTCTCACGCTCCTTGCGCTCGTTCAAGAGTCGATTGACTACAGCTCCATGACGATCCATAGCAATGTCGATTTGACTAGCAAGTTCCTCAGGGTGACATGTGCCTTCAATGCGCTCAATTACTGTCATTTTAGGTGTAGATGACCCTTGGAGTGCAATTAATGCCATAAAGGGGTATGTAGAAGCTTGCAAGGTGTAACTGACTTTGTGTGCCTCAGTCTCACGCACGTTGCCAGCCCAGACGAGGATGTTTTTATCACGGACAAAGTTGACAAGACGATCCGAAGTGAGCGTATCCCTAAAAACAGCAAACGAGCATTGTTTCAGCACAATTGATTCAGTGTGTGATATATTGAGCAATTTACCGGCAGAATGCTTCTGTATCATCATGATCGTCACTGTGCAATAACACCAACATGAACTTCAAATCCTTGCGAGCCTTCTCCAATGCTTGAGAGTAGCCACCTCTGAAGAATTCAACATGATGGGAACCGTACTTTTGCTCGAAAGACTCTATAAATTCTAAAGCCAATACACGAGGATCTCTCTTTTTCTGTGTAATGGCAGGACGGGCCATGATGATACGAGCTATCGGACAATGCATTAATACACACGCTTACACACGGATATCGCATATACGTTACATGCAAGTGATAAGATGGACCAGGTGATATTCCAAGCCATACCAAAAGGCCAAAGCAGGATTGTGAGCAGCAAGGAAGGCCTCTTTCTTGTTGTATTGGGCACTGTAGTCGACGCAGACCTTGCTGCTGCTGCAGGAACTGTCGTAGCTACTTCCTGCTCCAACTCTTCGCGATTTTTCTCCTGAGAAGCGTTTTCATACACATGCTGAATAGCTCTTTCCAAATTCCAGTCAAATTCTAGCAGCTGGCCCAAGGCCTCTTCTAAATCTTGTATCTGAGTGATGGTCTACTTTTGCAATGAATATGAAATAGGGCCTTTTTATAAAGCGCTGTTGTGCATTGAAGTTACCTGGTATTGGTTCAGTTTGTCTCTTTCTTCGTCAGTCAATGTGTCTAAAGAGACCATGTTGCTTGTATGTGTGTATGTGTGTTTGAGAGAGATAAAGAAAGGAAAGAAAAAAAGGGAGTTTACTTGGTAATGCCACGCATTTACAGATGTAATATCCACAAATGGTATCAACGGAAAGAAAACGTCATCTTCAAAATGTGCTCTCAAAAATTACATGATTCAAAACTCCCTTTTTCCTATAGCACCATATAAAATTTTTTCAACCATGGCCGAAGTAAAAGCTCCATCTGCAGACATTGGATCGGTTGAAGAACCTCTCGATCTCGTCAGACTTTCTTTGGACGAGCGTGTCTATGTCAAGTTGAGAGGCGATCGTGAATTACGCGGTAAATTGAATGTGGGTGAGCCATCTGATCAAGCCGTCTGTCAGTGTAGCTAATAAAGAGACTACAGGCATACGATGGCCATTTAAATATGGTGCTTGGTAACGTTGAAGAGACCATCACCATTGTCGATATCAATGAGGAAACAATGGAGGAAGTGATCAGAGTAAGTATTTTGTTTATACAATTTTAGAATACTATCTGATGGATTTGTTACAGACCGTCAAGAGAAACTTTGATATGCTCTTTGTTCGTGGTGATGGTGTTATCTTGGTAAGATCCTAATGCATTGGTTTAAAGAGATGTTGCTCATGTCTTGTATAGGTTTCCCCTCCTTCAAGAGCATAATCACTATCATAGCAATTACACTTTATACGAATTTCGACCACCAGACAAACGACTGCAATCATCAACCACAAACAACAACAGCTGTAGTACATGCGATTCGCACCTTTTTCCAATTTTTTTCTTACATAAAAAAAAACTATATACACAGACGTACACCAATTGTTGTTCAGGATGATTTAGAGATGTGGTTGAGAATAAACAGGGTTTTCGAGGAGACTGATCGCTGATATATATGTATATATTGATTATGTGGCAAAAGGATGTCAAATTATTACACGCTGCATATAGAACGATCTACATGCAAGTATCATGGAAGAGATTCAATAGCCACGATGTTGCTCCAAGAGCCGTAGATGAAAGGACGAACTTTGATTTGTATTTCAATCACCATCATGCGAAAACCGAACACGACGCTAATATGAAATGACATTTGCAACTATGTCAAAGATGAAGTTAAGAAATAGAGTTTAATACAGCACCAACAGATAGTGCCTTCTAATTGAGTATTGATTAAGAGGAGGAGAGTGGTGTGCCTTTAAGTTTACACTGCCAATGCCAGGTACCGCAAATAGCTCAAAATGTGCATGAATTCTTTTTAGATATATTCGAGGGTCAGTAAACAAAAGAGTGCAATCGTAAGTCCTTTGATAACACTAACAAGACTAGATACTACATTGATTCTTTACAAAACTGTATACAACTTCCAGATATTCTCAATCTAATATCGTCGTGGGCGAGAAACAGGCTTAGTTTGAACACAACAGCATCATTGCATTAAAAACTCCACACGCTAAACAGGCCAATGCATCAGAGGCAACAGTAGGTATGTGCTAGTTACTGTCTATTCCACAATCCTAGAGCGCGCTGTGAGGATACAATACAACTTCAAGTTATCGTAGGGCAGTTGCTAAAAGTTTTAAAGAATTGCATTCAATAGTGATCTTTGGTAATTTCACTACCTGATAGTCGAAAAAGCCTTCTTTAAATTGCGGCCTGCAAAGAGACATTTCATTAAGTTGACGTACAATGCATCGCTGTCTTCAATCATTTCAATCATCAATCTGACGCTTTGCGAATACATTTTCTTTGCGTTAGTCGCAATAATAGAAGCCTACAGATCAGTCAGGTTTTTGGATTGCTACGGCGTTCAGACTTAACAGATGACAAAGACGAGAGAGAATAGAACAAAGTGTCTTACCCTAATCCCTACCCAAATTCCCAATAGACTGATGTTATGAATAATTTCAAAGAACATTACTCATTCCTTGTATTATGTTACTGCTGATGATGAAGCAAACCAGTATGTTATCTTTTTCTTACAAACTAATTACTCCCCATCCATCTCACTATTTAATATTATATTTGAAAATTAGAAAAAGAAACTTGCCATTAATACAAATGTCAGTGTTGAAATAGTACCTTCTTTACCACAACCAAATAGACATGAGTAAATTTAAGACTTCCACCATACACTTATCAGGAGGTCATCTTATTGGCCAAAATATTTTCGGACTCCAATTTCGGAGCTTTTGGTTGATTTGAAACCCCGCTCTTGCCCTCTAAAGGTGTAGGATAAAAAGGGTGTATAAAAGTTAGGATGTAATCCGGATAATAGATAGGCCGTGGGGGGTATAGGGCGCAGGTAGGGATATGGTGTATAGGTGTAGGTAGATACAGGATGCATAGGGTGTAGGTAGATCTAGGGAGTATAGAGGGAAGGGTGCATTATTTAATTCTCAACTGGAGAAAGCAGTAAAAGGTTTTTGACTCGTGGGACCAGGCACATCTTTTTGTTCATTACCTTACTCCATTTCTTTGATACTTTGAGCAATATGGATAACTCAAGTTATGAAATTGAATATGAATTTGTCAATAAGTTTCCTGACGAAACCGTCGAAGAGGTTCTTCCCGCTGTATTCGACCGCACCAACAATACATTCAGAATCAAAAGAGTGAATATTGGATGGTGTGGAATACATCCACTATGATCTGCATTCCGACAGTTCATCCAGTTACTAGATTTAGATATAAACTGTATGTACGCTGGATTAGATGTACGATATCGATTTATACTATAAGAAGATATGGACTTCAGATACGCTAGTACTATAAGATTCATACTATATAAGATATAGGCTATAGATGGCACCACGGACATGGATGGCACTATAGACTTATACTTGTATTCCGACATTGACTACGGATGTTTACCATATCTGGATAGGCACCAAGATTAATGCAATATGAGCTTGTTGCTTCAGATGTGCACTTTATGATCCACGCTATAAGACACATGCTTATATCCGTGATACTAGCTACAGATACTTTATGTACTACAGACTTGTACTATATATGAGACATGCTATAGACATGCATACGATATGCTATAGACATGCCATATATCCAGATACATGCTAAAGATGTATGCTTAGCGATATACACTCAGATATGTACTATTAATATAGACTAAGAAGACTGTACCTATCGGATACATGCTACTAGATCGATATTAATTATCCTTATGGAAAGGATAGATCAGGGTACTTCGGATGAGAGTTTAATTATTCATACAGGCAAAGCTAAATCATGATTAGCTTGCTGGAGTTGTCTTTTAGCATGATTAGACATTAGTTGATCTGAGTGTAATGAAATAGCCACCCAAACGCAACTTAATTGAAAACCAAAGTTCATCAAATAGCACTCATTCAAATTCATGCTATTTGGATCTATTAATGAAAGCGCTCAAATGTACATCAAAAACCCATTTAAAAATACTAAAGTAAAGATACACGCTTATATCGCACATCGTGTGAATGAATCACTCCTGATCACAGTGTATTCAATCACACCCATGATGGTCGTAATAGGTGATGGTATCTTTATCCAAATAGAATTAAATCAATAACAAGCATATTCAAATATGACAACTATGCCCTGCTGCCATAGTTGCACAATATCCCAGATAAAGGATTCCATGCTTCAATAACAAACATCACACTTTAAACCATCAAGGTTACATTAAATCATGCTATGACGATAGCTCACCCAAGCCCATCAAGGTTACTCAAATCGACCCTTATGGCCAGTGCTCCTGCATTGACTACCACTTTAAATCAAACATCAACAACATTTGCCAGATATCGCAATAGCAGCACCTATTGCTCTCTATCATCACTAATCCTACAAGCCAGATGCAAATGTATAAATACTCTTCTTTTTTTTACTCAATTCCAGGATCTTCAGTTCATTTTATACACAAAATAAAATACAGTTGATTTCTATTGTATTTTACTATTGCTTTATTTTTTTTTGTGAAATCTATTTAAACCTGATTTCACTGCATTTTTTACAATATTCAAACTATATTTTATTAAACAAACCTTATCACAATGTCTGACAATACCAACAACTCTGGCTCTCCTTCTGTCCCCTCTGCTCAAGGTTCTCCTGCTCAACGTCAACCTGGTGACGATACCATTGAGCACACTAGGCAGCAAGTCCAGGCCATCCACTTGGATCAAGGTACTGATGTCGGACAACAACCTCAACCTTCAAACCATCAAGAGGATAGTGCCATGATGGATGCTATGCCATTGCGATCCTCTCCTGTTTCTGATTTGGCTAACCATGCTCCCAATGACGGTGGTGAATCCTCATCTCAAGTTACTTCTCATTTGTCTGCGTCGACATCATGTTCATCAGGTAATGCATCCTCCTCTGCTGCTGGTTCTAGCACGTTGAATTCCATCAAGAAATTGGTCTGGCGTCGGGATTCGTTTGTACGTCTGTTGCTGGACATGGTCGAGGGAACTGATATGAACAATGAGCACGGTCAAAAGCATATTGAAGATATGCGATCCAAGATTGAGGACCTGAATCGTCTGATCTCCACTGTCAAACACTCAGCCAAGCTATCCGAATCTAATGTCACCGCATCACTCACTGGTGACAATGAGGGCATCTCATTGTCCAAGCAAGACCTACCTAAATTCCAACTTCGTTCGCATGCCACCAAGTACTTTCCCAACGAAATCTCCTATGATTCGATTCACCATTTTCTGCGCTCCTTTGAGAAGGTAATTTCGTCTTCCGGAAAGGCAATCGAGGATGTCTGGCGCCGGTATATCCCTCTCACGATACCTTACGACTTGGATCTTTGGTTAAATCAAGAATTACTGAATGCTGAAACATGGGTTGCCGCCAAGGAAAAGTTCACATCAAAATTCAGTAATGCTGCTCTGCGTCTAGATGCTCGCCGGGAGGTACAAACGGCTACTATGAGACATGGTGAAACTACGGAGGAGTACTACAACCGTTTCGCTCGGGCTATGATGGAGGCAGGCTACTCATCTGAAGATACCACTCTTGGCGATACATTCTTGCTCGGCTTCCCCAATGAATGGCAGATCCAAATCAACGCTGTTCTCGGTGTTCACTTCCCTGGGTGTTCTAACTTCACTGCCAGTCAGATTGTTACCTGTGCCATGAACGTCCTCAACACTCAAAAGTGTCCTGTTTCGTTTGTCAACGCAAAGCGACATGGTGGTTCTCGTGCTTCGTCATCCTCATCCGGTTTATCTGGATTCTCTTCCTCTGCTGCTGCTTCTTCTTCTGCTCCTCGTTACTACTGCTCAAACCATGGAGGCTCTCAGGCCAGACATCACGAGAAGGACTGTCGTCTGAACAAAGGTGGTTCTTCATCAAGACGTGTAGTTGAAAAGGCAAACGTACCCAAGAAGGCCAGCGGAAACACTTTCTGCAAGTGGTGTGGCAAAACTTGGTTCCACGGTCACTCTTGCCCTGGGTACCAAGCTATGAAGGGTTCGTTCAAGGTGTTGAGCGTGAGAAGAGAAAATAGTGGTCATCGACCCTATACAACTGGCTCCAGTAGTCAGAAACAAAAGCGTCATTCCCGTAATGGCAAAGGAAAGCAAAAGGACTCCGGGTCCAGCGAAAGTGACCTCTTCCGCGAGGCTATGGAAGACAAAGAATGTAAGTCTTCCACATCAAACAAAAACACTTTCAATTTAATAACACCATTGCTTCTCAATAACATTAGAATCATCGGAAAGGTGGATCCTGGTTCAGATGTTAGCATCATTAACAAATCCGTTTTGAATAAAAAATTCTCTACTATCAAAAATATCAAAGCATTGGGTGGTTATTTAACCTTTTTGAGCATGAACAAAGATGGTAGTGCATCTAAAGCTGAACGCATTGGAAGCACCGAACCCATCAAAGTAACTTATATGAATGGAATCACATTTGAACATTCCTTTGAAATCATTGACTTCAATGATTCCATGGCTGAAGAGTTTGATGTACTCCTAGGAGTCGACATCTTGCCTCGCCTCAACATCTATCTTAGTGGAGTAGCTCATTGCTTTCCTGACACCGAAAACGAAATTGCTCAATTCAAGAATATAAACTATGACACTGAAAACGTCTATAATCCAGAAAATGCTGATTATGGTACTTCTCAGGAACGTCACATCCTTCTACAACAGATCGAACAATCTCTGAATGCCAACAAGAACATCCCTGCTGACGCAGTATGTTCCATGCCTGAAAGTGTAGTGCATGTTCCTATATCCAATCCCAAGGATTGCTTCATTCGCCAGTATCCATTATCCATCAACTCGCATGCCGAGATTGACAAACAAATCAAAGAATGGCTTCAAAATAAGATTGTTGAACGCTGCAAACCCTCATCAGTGTTTCATTCACCTCTGATTACGGTGACAAAGAAGGATGAGAACGATCAACCCACCAAATTGAGAGTGTGTTGTGATCTCCGTCGCATCAATGCGTCCATTGATGACAATTACCATGAAAATTATGCGGTTCCCAAGATTCACGAAATCTTTGAACGAGTGTCTTCTAGCGCACGCATAATAAGTAAAATTGACTTACACCAAGCATACTATTCGTATGGTGTGCATGAAGCATCTCGCAACGCCCTTATATTCTCGCATAATGGCATTTTTTACAGATGGTGTAGGGCCCCTTTTGGCCTAAAATTTATGAGCTCTCTGTTCGTAAAATGCATGTCAATTTTATTCACTGGTTTATCCGACGAACTGAAATTCGAAATGGAAAAGAACATGGATCCTTCCCAAGTTGATCCAACCAAAGTATGGGGTGGCATTGAACACTACATAGATGACTGTGTCCTGCATAGTATCTGTGAGAAAAGCCACATCAAGCTTATCAATCTTGCCGTTAATCGCTTGACATCCGTCAACCTGCGCATCAATGTGAAAAAATGTTCATGGTTCCAGACATCAGTCTTTTTACTAGGCTTTGTGGTTGGACCTGGCATACAAAAGATTGATATGCGTCGTTTATCTGACATAGACGAATGGCCCATTCCCAAAACTGCAAAACAAGTTCGCTCGCTTATGGGTGTCGTTTCCCATCTGCGAAACTTTTGTCCCATGCTGTCCAAGGTTGCTGAGCCCATCGATAGTCTTCGAAATGACAGTGACGTAAAAAAGAATTGGACACAATTGCATACTGATCGGTTCAATACCATCAAGCAAATACTGCTCTCAAACCAAATACTGTATGCTCCAGTGTTGGACGACAAAATGTTCCTCCAATGCGATGCTAGTCTCTATGGCATCGCTGCCTGTCTTTATCAAAAGGATAAACTGGGTAGAATCAAGCACATTGCATTTGTTAGCAGATCTCTCAATTCAGCTGAGCGCAACTGGTCTACAAACCGTAGAGAGTGTGCCGCTGTTGTCTTTGGATTCATCAAATTTAGATCGCTACTGTGGGGTCATAATGATATCGAGGTCCTGACCGATCATTTGGCATTGACCTACATGTTCACATCTACTTCACTAAACAGTACGCTCCAGAGCTACTTGGAAATCTTGGGAGAATTTCACTTCACAATTTCACATGTGAAAGGCATTGAAAATGTTCTCTGTGATGCTCTTTCAAGGGTATATCCAATAATTGATGAAGACAAATGGCTGGAAGATGAAAATGATCGACAGATGAGAAAACTGCATAAGCTCATTCTGATCAAAAGGGACACCAACAAAAAGATCGAAGTAAACCGTCAACGCACAGTCTATTCTCAGGACCGCAATCTCAACGTACTTGCTGTGAAACTAAATAGCAAAGAATTCCAGAATTCTACAACGGATTACATTGCTCCTCCAGAAGCAGATCGGGCTCAAATCATCAAAGATGCACATAAAATAGGCCATTTTGGCATTGAGTCTGTGGTTCAACATATCCACACGTATTTGGGTTTACATTGGAACACCATCTACGCTGATTGCAAGGAAATACTTAAATCATGTCCTGAATGTGCAAAGCACAACGTCGCTCGTCGAGGTTTCAACCCTGCTAAAAGCATCGTCAGCTTTGACGCCTTTGATCACATTGCTATGGATATCTTAGGTCCTATGTCGATCACCGATAAGGGAAATGTTTATGTGCTGGTTGTGATTGATCTCTGTACTCGCTACATTATAGCTCGTCCAATTCCTAACAAAAATGGCGCTACAGTCGCTCAAGCCATACTATCCGTCTATGGTGACTATGGTGTTGCTGTTAGCATCCAACAAGCTGACAACGGCAAGGAATTTAAATCCAATCTCATGGATCACTTCACAAAAAACGCTCGGCATCAAGCAGCGACATTCTCTTCCTTACTACAAACAATCCAATGGTAGTGCTGAGAACGCTATCAAACAATTCGAGCATACGCTACGCAAAATGTGTGGTAATGACACGCATAACTGGGATGATCGCGTACCCATCGTCCAACTTGCACTCAACATGAAAGTCAAAGAGCGTACTGCCAGTACCCCATTCAGTCTCATGTTTGCTCGTCAAGTTAACATCAATCCCAATCCAAATAAACTCAACCTCAATGGACGTCCTGCACTATCCATTCAAGAGCTCCAACAGCGTATCGAACACATGAATACCATCGTGTTTCCTGCTCTCCAAGAGCGTACACAACGGCTTGCTGAGGAATACAATAAGCGTATGGATAAACGTCGATACATCCTACCTGAACTAGCCTTTGACTCTCCTGTCATGGTCCGCCTTGAAGAAGGTCGTTCATCCAAACTCGCGCCTCTCTATGCTGGCCCATATTTCGTTGTCAAGCGTACCCAAGCTGGCAATTACATTCTAAAAGACGAAACCAATTCTCTCATGCATCGTGAATATACTCCTTCTGAACTCAAACCTGTCAACATTGATGAAACTACCATTGAAGACGAAATCTTTGAAGTTGAGGACATTCGCGATCATCGCTACCGCGATGATGATGAGATCGAATACCTAGTTAAATGGGCTGGTTATTCTGAACGTGAAAATGAATACATTACAGCTGATCTGTTCTCCTCTCCCATTCCAATCAAAAAATACTGGGAAAAGGTCAAGCTCAACAAGGAACTGCAACATCAAAGACATGCACCACTACCTACAAACAAACGCCCCTCAAAACAGGCTGGTAACAAGCGAAAAGCAGGCACTGATCACACAAGCCGCGAAAACACTCGCCGCAAACATTAGTAGCTTCCAGCTTTCCTTCCTCCACTGCCTTCGGCACTTGTTTCTCTGCTCTTGCTTATATCTATGTCTTCCTTCCTTCTACATGTTCCAATCAAATCACGTTTGGTCGTCTAAATTCATATCTCTGTCAACTTTTTCCCCACAAAAAGTTTGGCTGGGGGCAATGTAATGAAATAGCCACCCAAACGCAACTTAATTGAAAACCAAAGTTCATCAAATAGCACTCATTCAAATTCATGCTATTTGGATCTATTAATGAAAGCGCTCAAATGTACATCAAAAACCCATTTAAAAATACTAAAGTAAAGATACACGCTTATATCGCACATCGTGTGAATGAATCACTCCTGATCACAGTGTATTCAATCACACCCATGATGGTCGTAATAGGTGATGGTATCTTTATCCAAATAGAATTAAATCAATAACAAGCATATTCAAATATGACAACTATGCCCTGCTGCCATAGTTGCACAATATCCCAGATAAAGGATTCCATGCTTCAATAACAAACATCACACTTTAAACCATCAAGGTTACATTAAATCATGCTATGACGATAGCTCACCCAAGCCCATCAAGGTTACTCAAATCGACCCTTATGGCCAGTGCTCCTGCATTGACTACCACTTTAAATCAAACATCAACAACATTTGCCAGATATCGCAATAGCAGCACCTATTGCTCTCTATCATCACTAATCCTACAAGCCAGATGCAAATGTATAAATACTCTTCTTTTTTTTACTCAATTCCAGGATCTTCAGTTCATTTTATACACAAAATAAAATACAGTTGATTTCTATTGTATTTTACTATTGCTTTATTTTTTTTTGTGAAATCTATTTAAACCTGATTTCACTGCACTGAGTTGACTTATTTGTTAATCTAATTAATAGAACTTTTATCCATTGTTATAGTATATAAGAAGGATCATCTACCTGGCCAGTAGAGAGACTTCCGTTTACTTTACACCTGTCAGTTTGATAATAGAACATACCTTTATCAAGTTGACATTACTGTTTTTTTATTCTTTTTTTTCCGTGAATTTTAGTCTGTAAAGCCTCAAATTCCACAGATACATCAACATGAAGGCAATATTTATGCTGGAACAAAGCAGCAATCGACGAGAATGTGGCATACTACAATATACTGAAATAAACAATAGGTTCAATACTATCCAAGCGTTACTGATACATTATACATAATCGACTGTTATTCCTACCATTTTTCAAAAATAAACTTGAGAAAATATTAAAGTTACACTCCAGAGGGCTTTTTTATTAGTACCTATAAAATTGATACAAAATTTTTATTTGCAAATTTGCGTCAATGGCCGAGCGGTTAAGGCGTCAGGTTTAGGCCCTGGTCTCTTCGGAGGCGTGAGTTCGAACCTCACTTGACGCACTTTTTGGAAAATTGTGTTTTTTGTCGTACAACTTTGATATGGAGTGTCACCAAACTCTGCTTTGTGGGTTTATGATGCATTGGGCACTCCCTTTTGTTGTTGTCAATTGTTGTATGATGTTAGCACCAGGTCAATACCAATGTGAGATTTGGCGCTGAGGCGTCCTATTTTTGGCTGCAATGTGTTGATTCTTGTCGACATGATTGGCGTATGTATATCTTTGCATCTATTTTTCAATCATGATAAATATAATTGCAATATTTGATATATAGCTTGAATAATTTTAAGAAATACAATATATGTTTATATCTTTATTAATTGTGAGAGCTATAACGCCAAAAAGCATGTATTATACAATCAAACTGTACGAGGATGCTTATAATCATGAGATATTCAAAATTGAAAATGGTTGTTCTTCAATGTCGGATGGTCATTTATATGAGGCTTAACAACGTACCCCAATCTTTATTAACAGCATTTCTAATATCAAAGCAAGCACATTGATAATGCTGATTAATAAGGAGTTACTTGGAATATTATATGGTTTCGCAATTATTGATGGTAGCTTGCGTCAATGAAGTTGAATGATGAAGTGTTACTTGGTACAGATTTTCGAGTTCTACATGTTGATATTGAGAATCTTCAATGTAGGTCTTGCTGTCAATTGTTGCCGGTCGATATATCTTTGTTGACTTGTCTCCTACAAGACGAAGCACAGGCAAGTAAGGGTAATACAATTCAAACGACATGCTAAAGCGCTGTAATTTTTTCAGATCCTTCAAATAAATATCACACCATGGATAAGGCCCTGTTTTCAATATACTCAGTTCAACCAGATTTGGGCAGCACGAGTTGATCCATCGAAACGTAGGATTTCGTAGGGTAACCATTTCAAGTTGCAGCATAGTTAGCCTTGAAGTAAAACATGGCATTGGAGTGGTGAAATCCTGCTGCAATGATCGAGGTTGTCGAGGCACATTCCAATACTTGTGCGTCTTGTCAATACTGTCTCTCAGTCCCATCTTTTTACTGATCATGAGCTCAGATCCCTCCTCAATCAGTACCTCACCCTCTCCATATTTTTCTTGGCCATCATCAGTGTAAAATAGTAGATAGTCGACACCTGCAACTGAGTAAACTTCAAAAATCGGGTCAGGAGAACGTTCCCTAGCAACGACATTTGCATCAATATCGAAATCAGCTGGCGGTGAAGGCGTATTAGAGTCATCATCCTCAAAGAATGCGTCCCTCTGTACGATTCGACGAATATGGTTATCGTAATGGCCGCTTTTTCCAACACAATACTGATCAAGGCCATCCACAGTGACCAAATGTGCAAGACCGTATATTGACAGTTTCTTCAGCTGAGGTGCACTTGTTAAAATGTTGGAAAGAGAGACCTTTTCTCGCAAACTCACGCCTGTGATCAAACAACTAAGCTCCAAATGAAGTGTGTGCAGATTTAATAGCGGTGAAAACAGGTTCTTGAAGTAGTCGAATGTATCAATGTTGCCGTAAACATAATCTATACTCAAGTTGCGTATCTGCGGGCTGTACATTGAAATGGAAGAGTATGCATCATGCAAGCTGTGAACAACGTCTACCAAGTCAGGGCGAATGATGCTTTCTGTTCGTAATAGTGACAAGTCGTTCAAGCTGGGAAAGATTCTCAGTAATTGTGTCGCATTCTCCTTAATGATTCCGTCGCAATTTTTAAGGTGAAAACTGTTTAAAGAAAAAGGCTGGACTTCTGCATACAGATATGGAAAGGTGGGGAATCTCATACTGCAAATAGTCAAGTTCTTGAGTTTTGGGCAGGATAAATGCAGTTGATTCAGGAAATGAATTGCCTCATTGCCAGATTGATCGCCGTTTTCAACTTCCAGTGTTTTCACATTGGGCAGCGAGTACATTTTGTTGGATGAACCAGGGATAAGCAAATCTTCAAGATCACCCGTTACATCTTGCAATTGAGGCGCCAAGAACTCCAATACCTTTGGCATTAGCAGCGAGTCCATGCGAATCTTCACCAGACTAGTAGACCAATATTTTGAAATGAGCTGGATTGCTGGTTCAACCTTGAGTTTGTTGGAATAGTTGGAGAACAACGTGAGATCCTTGACCTTAGGGCAGCTGCTAACAAAGCCCTGGAACTCTTCATTGGTGATGGGTGCAACCAAATGTAACGAGGTTGTGTATTTCTTCAGCCCTGCACTTTGACGCAAATAGCCTTCAACGTGGTTGCGAGTAGTGAGAACGGCTTTGGCAAAAACAAGTGGACTGAAAACCTTCTTCCAATGCTTACATACAAGCGTACAAGACCTTTTCTCTTGCTGATTCAAATGAGATCCAATGATTCTGTATACTTCAGCTGGTAGTTTCTCCATTATATGAATATAAGATCAAGAGAGTTGAGAAACGAAAAGATAAATAGACTTTTCATCCCTTTTAATGTTGCTGCGTTGCACCGAATTTTGCCTCCGCCTATTCACTACAGGACCCATTTTGTTGGACCCATCGAATAGATTTGCAACTATGCGTTTTAAAGAAAATACGCCACTAGGTAGCTTATAGTATGATTATTTATTTAAATAATGCTACAAGGCACATCTCACATATATTCAGCTAAGCAGCTACATTTGAAGCAGCTTCTTTATCCACCACATTAGCCAATCTACGGAGCGCTTCATCCATGTTCTCCTTGGACACATTGCTGTATGATACTCGAATGTATTCGGTCTTTGTCTCGTGAGGCATAAAAGCAACGCCAGGAATAGCAAGTACGTTCTCCTTTAAAGCCTTTTTCATGACCAAGTCGTAAGAATCTTCTATGCCGCCCAGCAAGCGTAACCAAACAAACATGCCTGCATTAGGCACAACCCACTCTGCACGTCCCTTCATTCTGCTGTTTAAACATTCAACAAATTCATCTCGTTTTTGACGATAAAAATCAGCAACTTGATCTACATGCTTGAAGAATCCAGAGTGACCCCAATGATCCAATAACTGATAAGCCATTACCTGAGGCAAGCCGGATGGTTGAAGGTTGGTCACCATCGTGTGCATGTTGATGCGTTCCAGCAAAGGCTTAGGACCAGTGATCCACCCGATACGAAGACCAGCAGACAGAATCTTTGACATGCTATCACAACGAAGGACTCGTCCCTCTCTATCGATAGATAAATAAGAAGGAATTCGATCCTTGGCAAATTGCAGATAATAGTAAGCATCATCCTCGAGGATCAGTACGTCGTACTTGGAGCAAATCTCATAAACAGCTTGCTTACGCTCTAATGTTGCAGTGCTTCCTGTCGGGTTTCCACCAGTAGGGATGGTATACAAGCAGCGAGGTCGAGGCTGATCCTTCTTGCCATTGGGATTGCTTTCAGGCCAGTTGGCAAGCATCTTCTCTAACTCTTCAGGTATAATACCATAGCCATCAGTAGCAACATCTGCAAGATCGCATTTAAGAGTTCTGAGGAATGAAAGACAGCCAGTGTATGATGGATTCTCGATCAAAATAGAATCTCCATCATCGATCAGCATATCAAAAGCCTAGACACAGTGTAAATACTTAATTTTGTACCCAATTTATATCCAACACTACTTACCTTTGTCAAGAGATCTTGAGATCCAACACCAATGGAAAGATCAAAATCTACAGGTGGTTTATGTTCGATATTTTGCAATTCTCGTAGCCAGTCGTTCAGATGGGGCAAGCCAGGCTACAGTAACGATGGTTAACCGTGGTATCGCGAGGGAGAAACAGCCTACTTACAGTCAAATCATACGACAGTGAGCGATTAAACAACTGAGCGTCAATGTCAAGTGTCTCTCCAGATTTGAGGGTGATGCTCATGCCAGCAAAAGGAAATGTACCAGAGTTGGGTTGACCTGCTCCTAAAGAGATCTATCAAACAAGCTATTAATTAAGTCTAATTAATAAAGATTCAGACTAGCTGGACTCTTACCATATCTTTTTGATGCAAGTACGGTGAAATTGCACGGACTAAATATCTGGCATAAATACTCTTTGTAAGACTGCAGCCAATCTTTAATAATACTCACTAGCCGATGGCTTTCTGGCTTTACTACGTTGACTGATAAATCTCTGATAGTCCATTTTAGTGTCAAAAACTGAAAAGTGTAAAGATGTGTGGTGGCAGAATAAAAATTCGAGATGATAATCTCTGGGAATATCAAGGCGATAATCGCATCTCGTTAAAGGCATTGACCAATGAGAATATGAGCTAAATGTACAGGTACACGGATGGGTTGATTGGCTGCCGAGTTCTTTGCTGGACGCAATGCTCTTCTTCAGCTCTACAATCGGTATTATACAAATTCACTGGTATTTATTGGATGTTTGTTATTCAATTATTCATAAAAGTAGGGTATCTATATACAATGGGAACAACCATCTTGATTCCTTTGTCCTTGTGTGTAGGGAGGAGTAAGGAGAAAGGTATTTTTCTGAAATGAACATATTAAATGATAGTTGTAAAGAGTGTAAAGAGATAAGTAATAATACTACAATGTTAAGAGATAAAGAAGGAGAGTCTGCGAACTTAGTGGGCATGATCATCTAAAAGACCGCCTAGAGCTCTGAAACGACCAAATGCCATTTCACCAAAGAAGACACCAATTACGATAACCACAAGGAAGCCACCATTGCCGGTCATAACAACCATCATGAGGAGATAACTAATAAACGAGTTGAAGGCACTAAGAAAGCTTCTGACAGTATCAGTCGTCCAGGAGAAGGGTGGCACTGCAGGTAATCTAAGTGGGCTGGGGTATGCGTTTGGACTGAATGATTGTGAGGATGAATCGTCTGTTGGATTGGCTGATTTCTCGAGATCGGTCTTGACAGCCTAGAGCACAAGGTTAATACTTTAGAATTTAGCAAGTGTTGTCTTGAAACTCACAGCAGATTGGACTGATACCGATTGATTTCCTGCAACTCTATTATCACGAAGTCGTTTCCAGGCAATGAAGTAAGCTTCGAGAGCAGGAAGACCTCTAGAGAGGATGGCGAAGAAGAATAAACCAAAGCATGCACCAATGTAAGCACCTTCAGATTTGGGGACCCAGGCATCAAACCAAATGCCATCACCAGAGGAGCTCCAATGGAATGTACCCATAGACATAGACATACCACTCATATCCATATGAGACATGTCATGAGAAGCAGCTGTGGGTGTAGCCGTTGCCGTTGCCATGGACATAGTAGCTGAAGCTGCCATAGACATGATTGAAGAGCTAGCGCTAGCGCCCATATTTCCCATATCGTGCATTGAATGATCCATTTTTAAAGAATATTTATGTATTTGTAACGAAGAATAGAAAAAGCGAATAAAAATAGGGATTTGCATACTCGTATTTATATGTATTTCCCCTTTTTGAATTATTTCAATTGACAGCTGGAGAGCGATAATCGCGCACTTGAGGATGTCATCAGTTGTTGGTAACCCAGATATGGAGGATCTCACCGCTGCAACACGGAGTTCTCTAGATGATACTGCCCCAAGACGAATGTGTCATATCATAGAATAAAGGAAATAAAAGCATAACTATATTGCATCCTAGCCATCAAATTCTTTTGTGTTGAATTGAGGTCAACATATTCCTTAAGTCGAAATCAACATAATTCACGACTGACCAGTTACCCAGACCATTTTGTGATCCGCACCGTCGAAGGTTCTTCTGATGAGGCGAGCAACCATACGCAGTTTCATAGCGAAAACTTCTCAATCCTTCTTATTTTTAGATTCCTTATTCCATCAATATGAATTTATGCTAAAGCTCTATTACAGAAACTATGGGCTGACAATTTTTTTCCCATGTATTCTATGCAAATTCTATTACAAATATGCGGTTGCACAAACATAAAATCAACATGGACAAAAAGAAAACAATGCCTACATTCCTCCCATTTCATTGCGCCAGAGAATGAGAAGTATACTCGAGAAAAAAAAGTTGCTGATGGCGACCAGTTTCACACAACAGTGTATATTTTACATGGCCGTTTTACCTCCTTGTTCCATAGTAGCGAAATCCTCTCAATCTTAGCCAATCAAATCAACTTAAAAAGGTCTTCAAATCAGAGCGCGTATGTCGTACAGATACTAGTAGACGCCGCCATTAAATCATCTGATGGGTCATTGTTCTGTTGTGTTTTTTTCAGACTTCTACGACAGCACTTTGCAGCATTGTTGCCAAGCTCATACGTATCTATTCACAAAAATCAGATGGATCAGGATCAGTATTTGTGCTTGAAGTTTACAATTTACAATTTACATTGTGTGCTAAAGGCAAGTACAACTATAAAGCGCTTAATAGATGGAGATTTATCTGTGGAGCATATCGGTTTCATGAGGTCGGGTTCATGCGATGACTCAAAAGAACATGCATTTGCAGCTATTTTCTTGAGTTTCCATCTTGGTGCTTTGTTTAAATAAAAAATCTGTGACCCTGTGGAGCTTATGCGTCTAGAAATACTTTAAAGCTGCTCGGATAAACATTCTTCTTTAGCATCGATCACGACGCATTATGCTTAAAATGAATGGTTGATCCAGCAAGCACTATGTTACATCAAATTGTCTATTTGGGAAATAATTTGACATATCAACTCCGCTCAGGGGTCAAGGTCAGACTGGGTGCTTGCTTTTGTCTCAATTTACCATCTTAATGAGCTCGATGCATTGTTTACTAGATTAACGCCAATCCTCTACTATGTGGAGTTTGCTGCTATTGTAGTAGATATAGACAATGAAAGTGCTCCGTTCTTCTCTATCGTTGCAGAGAAGAGGTTTTTACTATCAATAACAGCTACCATTTACCACAAACTGTTTATGTTGTCTTGTTCAGTTTTATCCTGAGAAAACATGTAGTTCTTGGTTATCTTCCTTCACTATCTAGCTGCAGTGAGCGATGTTTGAAAGCTTTGGGCAGTGAAACGGCTGACACCTGATTAGGCAGCTCTCTGGCCCCTTTAATTGGATATGACTACACGAACCTCTTTTAGGCAAACTTCCAGCTCCTTCGAGTAATCCTCATCCATAGCGACGTCAGCAGAGTTACAAAGTCAGTGGCTTATTATAATTTTACATAAAACAACCAGCTGCGCGTGTACCAAGCTGCCTCTTTTTATACATTTGACAAAACTTATTTTGCAACAATGGCTGAATATCTCGCTAGTATCTACGGTACTGAAAAAGACAAGTGAGTGAATAGGAAATATATGGTACAATGTAAGTATACTAACGAATATCTCCTCGATTAGAGTAAACTGCTCCTTTTACTTCAAGGTAATTATCACTGTAGAATATAACTTCAACTTGTATTAATCTATATACTCTTAGATTGGTGCTTGCCGTCATGGAGATCGCTGTTCTAGAAAGCATGTCAAACCTACATTCTCACAAACACTCTTGATTGCCAACATGTATAAAAATCCAGCTCACGATCCCAACAACCACATGAACGAAGCTCAACTTCAAAATGATTTTGATTTATTCTATGAAGATGTGTTTACAGAACTTGCAAAATATGGCGAAATTGAAGAAATGGTTGTTTGCGATAATGTGGGTGACCATTTGGTTGGTAATGTCTATTGTCAATTCCGTTTAGAAGAGTCTGCTGGTAATGCAGTAACTAGCTTAAATAATCGATTTTACGCAGGTAAGTGTAGCTATTTTTCGTGTAGACAGGTTGATATTCACTCGGTTTATCATACAGGACGTCCACTATATGCAGAACTATCACCAGTGACCGACTTCAGAGAAGCTTGTTGTAGACAGCACGAAATATCAGAATGTAACCGTGGTGGTTTCTGTAATTTCATGCATTTGAAACATCCCTCTCGTCAATTACGAAGAGAATTATACGAAGGACAAAGATTGGATATAAGAGAGAAACGCAGAGAAGAAATGCGTCGCGAGGATGAGGAAAGAAGGTCAAGAGACAGAGATTATCAACACGAAAGATCTGATTACAAAGCCTCGCCTGAAAGATCTGAAATCAAGCAAGAGTACTAGGAGTGTGTAAAAAAAAAGAAGAGCTTTTATTGGAATTAAATGAAAGTGTATATCATAAGTATCCGTTTAAATAAATACTGCATCTAGTTGTTTTAATATGCTATGCCATGTTGTTTGGACAGTCTGTTTGCGTAATTGCTACTTTGGTTAAGTGATATACTTGAATCAGTCATGTTGCTGGCTCGTCGATTGTATATTAAACTAGAGCAAGAAGAATCGCAAAGGGGTATATTGTTGTGTTGTTGTTGTTGCTGCTCTTTTGGAAGTGAGAGCACTTTGGGCACTCGCCCAATGATGTTGGAATTTCGGCTTGTATGTTGTATGATGCTGAAAAACTGTTTCTCGTTGAAATATTTAAGCACTTGCCACGTAGGATTCAGGAACGATAGTCTTCTTTCGAAAAAAGACAGTTTCTCTGTTGATGCAGTTAGTTCAAGTGTGCTGTCTGTCATTGAGATGATTTCTTACGTTTTCCAATGCCACCATTTGACTTGATACCATGAAGTGTCTTGGCTGGTGGTGCAAAAAGACCTTTAGTCCCTTGAGCAATTGGTAGTTTATTCTTTTCAATGCGGCAAATGTTCCTTGAGATACACACGCCAGCAAGTGTTGCAGCATAGGCAGTCTTTTCTTCTGTTACATTTGTGGCATCTCCACCAGCAAATATATGGCGATATTTCCAATGCTCTAGTTGCAGTGTAGGTTTAACTTTAATCAGACCGTTTTTATCGAGGCACTCTTCCAGTGAGGGTGCATTTGTGCTTTTTTCTATAAAAGATGTATTGACTTTGACACCTGTGGCCATAAAGATTGTGTAGTCATTGCTTGAATAGATGCGCCCGCTTGATCCAGCATACTCGTAGTCGCCTTGGATGATGTGAGCCTTTATCTTCTCATTTAAGACGATTTCAACGCCAAGGCCTTTGAGAAACTTTTCAGCCTTCCTGCGTTGCTTATCATCCCCTCTGCAAATAATTCGATCTCGACCCTCGACGAGAATCACCCTCTTCTTGGGAATAGGTGAATGAAATGTCTTTTTGGCAATCGCAGCTGCCAATTCACAACCTACTAGGCCTGCGCCTGTGAAAAAAAAGGAATGATGATGAATATCATGCTATTTGCTTGATGGAATGAACAGTTTTACCTATTATCAAGATTTTCTTAGCGTTCCTGATTCCTGCAGCAATACTGTCTAGCCCAGCCGTTCGATATAATGAGGATGAATCACTAGATTTCAATTGACCAGCATAGGAACTTCCAGTGGCTATCACTAGATAATCACAGTAGATCTGTCGTTTGTTAGTATGCAATCTTTTGCATTCAGTTTGAATTAGGGTACCTTTTCTCCATTCACCTTGACGCATTTTGCATCGTGGCATATATCTTCGGCCCATCCAATGATGATTCTTCCATTCTTGATGTATGAATCATGTGCAAACCTGAGCGATGACGATTCTTCAGGACTGACAACTTTTGTAATAATGTGAGGCGTGTATTCGAATGAATCTAAGCTTTCAGATTAGCGTTCACTTTGAATCACTAGTTTACATGCCAGCGTACCTTTCGTATCAATCAATGTAACATGAAACAATGGCATTGGGTCTAAGATAGATGCTACTGTGAAGCCCTAGTGTGTGTCAGTATTGAATTGAAATAAAATCTAACGCCATACTTACAGTGAATCCACCGCCGATAATGACCACTCGCTTCTGTGCAGAAGTCGCTTCTCTGCTGAATAGTTTGCTTTGTTTAGTACTAACTGTGGCGAGTGGTGATGACAAAAAGTCGCTCAGCTTGGTCATCTGTATCATAAAACGAGATTTCTTAGTCATCACGCTATCATGGTTGCTTGTGCCAACGTACAAGCATTACTAATACTTCTTCTTCCGTCTCTTTTAATATGTCTAATGCTTGGTTTCGAGTGAATATTGCCCACTGTACTGTTGATAGTCTTTCTTTTACTAATTCTTGTGTTTTAACATTGATTTCCATTGGTGCGTTAAGGGCAATAAATGTATTGTAGATGCTGTTCAGAATATTAATAGATGAGCGTACAGTCAAGATAAGAAAACATACCGCCTGAATATCTCTTCTGCATCTTCTGAAGTCCCTATACCGTCATGCCGTAACTGATTCATGGCTTCAATGAACAGCAGGTTTTCCTGGGACCACGACTTTGTCAAATAAGACTCGAATGAGCTCAACAAGATGGGATCTTCCAAGACCTGATGCAAATCAAGTTCAGGTCGTCCAGCCAGAAGACTTTTTAGTGATTCTCTTGACTGATTTTGTTTCTTAATGTTCATAATATAGATATGCGAGAAAAGAAAAAAAGAAGAACCCCCCCCCCCCTAGAAAATTGTAAATTAGATTAAATGCCATGGAAATGAAACAGTTCATGTGCTGGCAGCCAAGCCGTATAAACTTTTATTAATAAGGTAAATTCTCGAAAGACTCCAGTTCTTTTTATCGCATCATACATGTTTCAAGCGCAATTATGATTACACTATCTGCTATCAAATTCTGTTGCTTTCTAGGTATCCTGGCATGAAAAGCCTTCTGTGCCTAGATCACTCTTATTCGATAATGGACTTTATCATACTTATTATCCTGAAATGAATGCCATATGTTTTATGTGATGGAAGGAATAAAAATTAGGCGTTCTTCAGATATAAATCAAAACAAAACCAATTGGATTCTGCTTGATGAAATATAATCAGGCCCTTTTTTTTTTTTGTGTACACATGAGCATGTCAGAATGTGTGCCTGATAGGAAAGTTCCGTGCACACAATCTCCTTAAGCAAGCTTATTCAGTAACCTCCTCCATTGGTGAATACTGCTTATTTTAGCTTGCGGGCCATTATCTAGCCTTCCCGCCCAATGTACTGATGCAAAGATTACGAGTGCATGGTAACTGATTTGGCAAGAAGATCAAACGCCATCTACAGCATAGCTGTTCAATTTTTTTTAAAAGATTGATTGAAGAAAACGTAGCTATTAAACCTTTGAATTGAATCAATGCGTTTTCTCATTCTCATTCATGCTAATCTGATCCAATATGGTGTCAAGGCTGCTGGATTTGGTGTTTCGTCGCACTACGCGGTGACTGGTGTGGATTAGCCCAACAAATGCCTCCAGACATGTTTGAAAAAGCCACCACTGCACTTATTTAAACTACACAAGATACAATGTCCATCTTGCTACTGGATAACGAGGAGAATAATGCAAGCAAAATACTCGAGAGAAACGGCTTGATAGATGAAGGAGACATAGGAAAAGACCTCCTTGCGGACGAATTAAGGAAATCAATCCAGGAAACCACAGCCGACATGCCTTTAGGAAAAGCACTTCATTTATTGCTCAATGTCCATCGCCAAGTATTTGACAAGGCCGTCTCTTCTATACAAAAGAGTTCGACAACAGCAGAGATAGCCATCAAGGTTGCAGAATGTGGGTATGCGTTTTACTACATGTAGCAATGTATGTTCATTCAAGATTTGACATGTAGCTCCAACTATCAAGGCTCTCTTATCCATCCAGAATCACATATCAAAAGACCCTCCAGCATTGTTCAAACAAATCTATGATTCACTCAAAGACAAGTTTCTCAAGAAGCAGCCAGATGAAGCAGCTATGCGTGTAGTCAGCTATTTCACATTGGACTCGAGCACTTGCAAGGTTCAGGCACAGCAAGTGTTGATAGATAAACTGAAATCAGCGGATAAGAAGGACCAGCTAGCAGTAGTAGTGCTGCTTCAATTTCTCATGAAGCACTACAGCGATTCTATGAGCAGAGTGGCATCAGTATTCTTCACTTCTGTAGTACAACTAATCGAAATGCGATCAAGCCAACCTACACTCTTGCCTTGTTCGGCCTGTGAACTGGCATTGCAGTGCACCCAGATAGCATTGACAACCTCACCAGACGCATCGACAAGCGAGACATCCAGCGCCAAGATCATGGAAGTGGAAGAGATCGAGTTCATAGATGCATCAGAGGATATTTGGCAAGGGTTGGATAAAATACTACAAGTACTGGAAAGGTGGCAAAAATCAAAAAGCAGCATTGAACCAGCAGCTTACAAGGAGCTCCATAAAATGATACACGACAAAAATACAGCAGCATGGAAAGCTCTTGTCAAATACATCACACCGAAAAGCATTTTATCAGACAAACCATTGGCTTTGAAGAAGCAGAGACAGATCTTGTCGGATGCAGAGATTAGCAGCAGCACACAACTGTTGATCTTAGCATTGCTACAGAAAGGACAGTGGATTGAAGTCTATGGAGACAAAAGGAGCGCTGTTGTGACATCAATCGAGCAAGACGACATCAAGTCCATCGTCCAGGAAAAGTTCGAGTCATCGATGCAACTAGAGTACCTTGTGCCACAGCTTGCGATGACTTTACCTTGCCTATTCTCCTATTCAAAGATTACCGACAATCAGATGATACAGAGTATCATAGACCAAACAATGAATTCCTCGGATGAAACGCTTAGTAGACTGACACCCATGCTGATGAACCAGCCAGAACCATCCATTTGCTACCTTTTGATGCACATTGTGCAACAAAATACTCACTCCCAGTTTGCGTACGGCATGTTGACTCACCTTATATACAGGCAAACAGATCAGACAGTTGCTATACTACAAGATAACCTGCTTTCTCTAGTCAAGCAGAGCAACCAAGCGTGCGAATTGCTTATCAAATGCATGGAATTTGCAGGTAAATGCGATAGCAGAGTGTGAAGATGGGGTACGTGCTAACAGGTGTCTGTAGATCTGCCTGTGCTGATTCGAAAGTTGATGAAAATGTCCATTGTGGAAGACGAGAGAGAAAAGATGACATGCATTGCACTCATTTCCAAAGCACTTTTGCAAGAACGTTGGGCGAGTAGCAGCATACTGAATTACATTGAGATGGTCCGGGATTTTAAGCTTCACAGAGGGTTCACAGCGCCAAATTCGACTGTACATCTACAGGGACCACAGGACATTGCCTCATTGAATTGGACAGCAGCTAAAGGGAGTGAGGTATTTGAGCCTGACCAAGTACAAACTATCAGTATATCACTTTTGTTACCTCTACAGCTTTGGAGTACGCGTGTGAGTGAGCACAGTTTTGGATCAGCACTACGACAGCTTGTGCAGTATTGCTGTGGTATACCAAAGGATGGTACGTGGATTGAAGCATGGAAGCAGCTCTCTTTTGCGTTTGTCAAAAATCATCAGCTTGTATGGAATGTTGTTGAGGAATGCACCCATAATCTCACATCACAGATCAGGTAACAATTGTGTACAAAGCAGCCCGTGCTCTCTACTGACTGCAGTTGTTAGCATCACTCAGGACGTGGTCAGTGACATATCTATGCAGACCATGGGCTGGAAGGAGAATATCGTGTTTTTGAGATTAAGCCCTATGTTGATATTGCAAGTAAGTATTCAATCTCATATACACACTGGCATATTAACCAACGCGTTGAATGACGAAAATAGACCATACCCAAAGAAGCATTTGATGTACTTTTACTGCCCAACAGCTATGTAAATCTGATTGCACACAAACTAGAAAAGATTGGCGTCGGTCGAGATATAATCAAGACAAGCCAGCAGCAAGATGCGCATACACCTGTTTGTATCCAGTTGATGGATGAGTTATTGCAAAGGTAAAAGTTGGCGTTTTGAGTATCATTGGACCAGCCAATTGATAGCGTCCTCTTCTAGGTCATTCGAGGAAGATCAGTTGAATCAGAACATACAAAATCCAGTGGATTTTAGTATAAGTTTATTAGTGAAACTGTTCTGTGTGTAGCCATTTGATGCTTGCCAATCATTGTTGTCAATATAGGCAAACAATAATAAATAACAGCCTCGGCATCTTATCTCGGCTATATTAGTACAAGCCAGCGCAAACAAACGATCGTTTATGAGGATCCCAAGGGGAAAGATCGCCCATTTAGAATTTTCTTAATCTAGACAATTGCTTACTCATTAATTAAACTGAACGTCATGTTTGCTTCCTGTAGGAACGAAATGAAACTACCCCCTTTTTGAGAGATCAAATGGATTAGGCCAGAAAAATCTTTCATTGGCTCAAAAGAAAGGGGACCACACACGCTGCTGAGGAAGATGATGATGGCCCCGTTTGGTGCCTGGGTCAATTTCCTGTTCGTCATTCAATTAATTGGCCAAGTGTCTCTTTCTTTATATCGAATAGCTCCGCTTTGTTGAAACAGGCTAAAAACAGCATCAAACAATCATTGATCATTAAGAAAAATTTAGACACATCTTCATCCCATCTCTTCCGTCTTTTGCCTCTTTTCTCTCTTTTTTTTTTTTTGGTTTGCTCTCGTTTCTCACAATCGTTTAGAAACATGGCTACTACAAAAGCATTAAGGGCAAAGATCTACTCCATTTCAGGCATCCATCGTAGCACAAATGCAAAGAAATTGAACTCTAAAAAGTTGGCAAAAAGAATCACTGTAGGTGGCATTCCTGCTGATGCCTCCATTCATGTTGAGCACGAGTCATTTGGCGATGATCTGACAGCTATTCCTTACGCTCGAATTCTGAAAAGGGCTGATTCAACCACAGGTACCGATGATGCCATTGCCCAGCAACCAGAATCTGACAGCAGCAGCTCTACCGATTCAAATGTCAGCAGCGATGACAGCTCTTCATCTCAAGAATTCAAGGGCAAACAGGCTTCTGATAGCACGGCGACGGCTGATGATAGTAATGCACCTACTACAGTCAAAGGTGACAACCAGAAGGCATCGGCGACAAAGGATAATGATAATGCCATGACCACCGATGATCAGGTAATAGCACCCGTCTTTTTTAAAAAGTCTAGCTGACTAAGAACTCTTTTTATTTTTAACTTTTTAGACTTCCTTGACAGTCAGAATGGCCGCTACTTCCGTTCAAGATGATTCAACCACTAATGCTCAAGAGGACAGCACCAAAACAACTGCCAATGCGAATAAAACGAGTGCTAATGATCAAGCCGCATCAACCACATCTGCTGATTCAACTGCCGATGACAACACCAAGAGCTCCACCCAGCAGCAGCCGACATCTTCACAGGAAAAGCAGACATCCAGCACAAAGGAAACAGTTTTTTCCTCTTCTTCAGAGCAACCCAGTACTACACCGGCAGCAACGACTGAAGCACCATCTTCTACAGCCGCTGAACCCAACACAAGTACCACAAGATCTTCTCAAAGAACTACCACTATATCTGCTGCAGAACCTACCTCGAGTTCTATTGAGCCATCGAGCTCTGCAGAGCCTACTACAACTACCAGTGCAGCTCCTGTACCCACCTCTAGCTCAACTGAGCCTTCAAGTTCAATGGATCCAACTACTACTGCAACAACAGCAGCACCTACTAGTAGCTCAATTGAGCCAACAACATCTAGCACCACTGTTGCGCTCATTGTCACTTCCTCTTCTGAGCCTCCATCTACTACAGCAACCACGACTACTACATCTTCCATCGCTCCTACTACAAGCTCCAGTTCCAGCGCTATCACTTCTACAGTTGAGTCGAGTACAATTGCGACAACATCTAGCTTGATCCCTTCATCCACTACTACCGCCACCACTACGAGTGCAATTCCTACGAGCAGCATTATTGCCAGCTCCTCCATAATGACTAGTTCTTTTGTTCCATCATCTGTTGCCAGTAGCTCATTTTTGCTTCCATCTTCCGTCTTCAGTAGCTCCTCCATCTCCTCTGCTACATCTTTGGTTTCAAGCATGGCATCTGCTGCTTTTTCTAGTAGTACCTCATCTGCCCAAGCTACATCTGCCACGAGTGCTGCACAAGCATCTCCTTCAACCACTGACCTTCCAAGTAAGTTGTAATTTGCACACATGAACCCAAGCACACATATTCATTAATTTTACAGTGAATAATGCTGAGCCTTCCAGTTCTACCAATAAGGGCGCAATTGCTGGTGGTGTTGTTGGTGGCGTTTGCGGTGCCGCACTGTTAGGTAAGTATATGCTATGGTTATATATTCTTTAACGAATGTTGTCTAATCATCTTTTCATAGCCGCCTTATTCTTTTTGTTGTTTAGAAGGTCCAGACGTAGCAAGAATCAAATGCAAAAGAGCGGTACAAATGACATGTTCCAATACTCACCAGAAAATGGTGGATCAAATTGGGGAGATACCGCAAATACCACTGCTGTTGGTGCTGGCGGAGTAGCTGTTGGCGCCCGTGCTTTTGTACCACCCGCTGATGCACATTCAACGCCTTACACAGATGATTACCCCCCTACAACACCTCACAGTGCGACTCACAACAATGACGATGGCTATTACTATTCGCCTACCAATGCGAATGGGTATCAACATGAGGGCGATTACTACAACACGCCCAATGCTGCTGTTGCTGGTGGTTACTACAACTACACTGATGATAGTCAAATGGGAAGCGAGCCTTACAGCGCTCAACACTATTACAGTGAAGGATACAGCGATGCTACTGCTACTGGTATGGCAGGTGCCACTGGAATGGCAGCATCTGGTGCTTATAGCGCGCATGGTGCTTACGGTAGTGACAAATTGGCAGATACCAGCGATAAAACATTCATGCATGCTGGTGAAAACAATGACCCTCATCAAGTGTTTAGCAAGCCTGATGCTAGAGAAGAGTAATTTACATTTCGTAACATAATAAATTTATTGTGCCTACACACTTTTAAAGCCTCGCAAAGGAAAGGAATTGATACTAAAAGTATTTCAGTGGACTGGCGCTATTAGATGCGAGACTTCAAAAGAAATTAGCGTGGCTAATGTAATTCGTCATTTACTTTCCGTTGGCTTCATGATTAGAATGAAGGTCATTCAGTTTGCAAGCCTGCCCCACCAGCTAAAATTAATTCTAACTCAGACCTACAGTCTGCTCCAGATTGGCCAAATTTAGATAATCTTTCGACTTAAGTTGGACTATTTTTTAGGATTCGACTATATGAAGTGTGATGATCATCCCATGCTTCCTAATACCCATTGCAGACATTGGGTCCACCAACAGTCTTTTCTATCCCTCAGTATGACATTTATCGATGGATTCCTCCGCTAAAAAACAGAGTGATAACAGTGATCCACCCACACAAGGTGGCTCAATGGATTCTAGCCATAATCCAAGCAATCAACTATTTACTTACCAAGCCTTTACCGATGCTCTCAAGGAACAGAAGAGACACAACTTTGAAGTTGTGCCGGATGTGGATAACAACACATTCAAACCTCTGAACACCTACTCAACATTCATTGAAGCTAAAGAACGCAATTCTATCGTCATCGACTGTGCTCAGTTCTTGGGCATGGAGTTCAAGGACACGACTCTCCTCAAGGTACTGCGAGAACAGTTTCCCAAATGCTTAGGTCTCAAGCCTAGGATCATTGGCAAAAACAGGAAGAAGGCCATTGAACTTGGGTTCTCAACTGAAAACCTCTGTCGCGACGCTCTCTTGAAGGAGTTCAAGGTCAATGGAAAAGTCATTGAAGTCAACAAGACTCTGAATCACACTGCAAACGTAATCAACATTGGTATCTCTGAGATCCCACTCATGGAAGAGGATGAATTGAAACCAGCCTTGATCAAGACATTTGAAAGATATGGCGATATCTTGAACATTGGTATCTCAAAGAGTGGAGACTCTGACTGGTTCACTGGAAGAGGATTTGCTACTCTTAATCGGGATAAATTAAAGGAGTCCACTTATGCAAACACCCTAACCCCTCAAGTTGAATTGGAAGGTTTCCCAGGCGCCCATCTGCACTTGGTATGGTCCCAGATGAAGCCTATCTGCACCGACTGCCACACGGACGAGCACGTTAGACTTGACTGCCCCAAGAGAAGAAGAAGACTCTGTCACCGTTGCAAGAGTCCTAACCACTTGATTGCGAAATGTCCTGTGGCCCCATGGAACAACAAATCAACGGAGAATAGCAATGAAACCAAATCAAGCAAGTCTACCCCTGGATCCAATGAGAATGAATTCCAGTTGGTGTCACGAAGAAATTCCAGCAGTAGAGAAGTCAACCTGCTTGATCTTGTGAAACAAGGTCAGCCACAACAACCAGTATCCCAAAACCAATTTGAAATATTAAATCACGAAGTGGAAATGGGAGAGGTCGAAGAGGTCGAAGAGTCCCAAGGAAATGAAGAAAACGACACTGAAAAGTCCACTTCACTAGACAAAGGTGTCAAAATGTCTCGCTCCTCAAGTGAACTAGCCAACAAGAAGCCGTTCAATGTTACCCCATCTGTCACACAATCTACTCCTCGCCTCGCCACCAGAAGTAACCAAACTTTGAAGCTCACTGACGTTGACAAGCTCACTCCATCGAAATCCAAGAGAAATCTGGATGATGCTATATCCCCAAATGGTCAACAGGAAACTGTCCCATTTTCAAAAAAAAAAGAATACAAAAAAGAATGAATCAAGCACCAACGAAGCAGCCGGTTCTTCCAATACCTCTGGTAGCGGAAAGCCACCGCTAAATAAGTCGGATTAGAACTTGAGCCAGAAAAAAAAAAAGAAAAAAAAAAGAAAAAAAATAATAATAATATATATAGAAAAAAAAATGAATAATAATACTAAACACCTAAACATCAAAGTAGGATCTCTTAACTGTAGAAACCTACATTTGAACACCAACCAACACACTACTGACACCTTTATTGGCCTGCTGAAAGACAAGAAATTAAATATACTACTGTGCCAAGAAACCAACATCCCTTCTCACTCTTTTGAAGAAGTAACAGACAACATGAAGATCAAATTCAACTACCACCAAGCAATATGGACCCAACATTGTGCCATAATCAATTTCAACAACTCACTTAACCTGGAAAAAATCAAAGAATCTAACGATGGTAGAATGATCCTGGCAAAACTCTCCATAGCCGACAACTCCATTCCACCAGTATACATTTTGAATCTGTACGCTCGCTCAGGTATATTTGCTGAAGAAACCTCACAACGCAATCAATTCTACAAGAGAACAGTAGAGATGTTGCTAACAATGCCTGAAATTATCCCTGACCTGATAATGGCGGGCGACTTTAACTATAGCTTTGACAGCTCATCAAACCACGCTACTAGGCGCATAGCAAAACCGAAACATCTCATCAACTTTGTAAAGGGGTATATGAATGACTGTATTAACACAAAAGGTGAAAAGTATACCTATACCTGTATTCAAAAGCGGCGAGAACGAGTTACCCTATCCACAATCGACTACATCTTTGCTGGCACCAACACTCACAAAAAGATGCACGACGGGGACGTGGAATTCTTCAGCGATGTATACACCGACCACGCTCTAATTACGATTACACTGACAGTGGAAATGAGCAACAATGGAAAAGGCATATGGAGAGCAAACCCACATCTGGCTAAAAACAAGAGATTCACCAAGAAGCTATCAAAGGAAATCAACAACTATGTACAACACAAGCTGGACCCGGATCTTTCTGCACAAGTCAAATGGGATTTAATCAAGAACATGGCCAAGAAAGTTACAACAAATTTCTGCCGCCATCACAACCAATGGAGAGAGACTAAATTGAAACAACTGAACAGTGAAAGGAACAGAATACTTCGACTCTATGGAAAAGAGCCCCTAACATTGAAGGCACTACTACCACCTATACACCAGGAGATCAGCAAAATCCAAGAAGAAAAGTACAACATTAGCAAATTGAGAGCAGGCAAGCGCTGGATGGAGCAGAATGAAAACTCGCCAGCATACATCAAGAAGACCATTGACAGGCGACTAGAAACGAAGACAATGCCCATGCTGAAGCACCCAACTACTGTAACAGAGTGCACTGACACCAAGTCGAAACTGGATGCCGTCCATACCTTCTATTCCAAATTGTATAGCCCTGAACGGATCGATATAAATAGCATGGAAGGCATACTGAACCACATTACTGTATTTATTTCCCAGGAGGAAAGCGATCAGATCATTGATGACATTCCGTTTGCAGAGATATTTGAGGGATCCCGTAGGAGCCCCAAGTCTAGTAGTCCAGGTTTGGATGGACTTCCATACGAGATCTTACATGTCATAGCAAGTCAACCGATATGCCAAAGAATTATCACCCAAGTATATAACGACGCAATCAAGCTCGGTATATTCCCAAAGTCGTGGCAACAGGCTTGCGTAGTATTACTGCCCAAGAAAGGCGACTTATCTGATCTCAGCAATTGGCGACCTATTACACTGATCAATACAGATTGTAAAGTCTTCACGCGGATCATGAACTCACGAATCACGACAGTGGCAAGCAGACTCATAAACAAAGTACAGACTGGGTTCATGCAAGATAGATACATTGGTGACCAAGGAATGGCCCTACGAGTGATGATGGACAATGCCAAGACAGCAAAGGGAAATAACAAGGACGAATTTGAAGAATATGTGGGAGTCATGTTGGATAACAACAAAGCCTACGACCGAGTGCACCCACACTACCTGGCTCAGGTACTCCAGAAGTTTGGATTCCCAATGGAGTTCATTAGATGTATAGAAAACCTGTTTTTTGGCAACGAGATTTTCATCAACATGAACGGATTTCTAACCAAACCAGTCAAACAGAAGAGAGGATTGCGACAAGGAGACTCTATTTCACCAATCTTGTTCAACTTTGCAATAGAGCCCTTCATACTGTCAATCATCAACAGTCAAGACATATCTGGATACTCAATACAACCAACCAAGCCAGCACCACAGAGGACAATTCAGCTCAACACCCCACCACCTACAAAGATCATGGCCTATGCGGACGATATTCTCATCTTTGTCAAATCAAGAACGGAATACATGGCAATGGAGGAATGCATCAAGACGTATGGTAAGGCATCAAACTCAAAGATCAACTATGACAAGTCATTGGCGTTTCCCCTACATGGTGGCAGAATGGAAGGGTATTTCGGTACAAGACTGAAAACTTACACTCAACAGCGAATGAAATGGTTCGACTACAGTAGCCCAGAGTACATCAAATACCTAGGGTATCCAATATACTATACAATACAACAACGGGATTGTTTCATTGCAGACTTAACCGCCAAGATCAAAGCGCAAGTAGAATTCCTCAAGCCCAGGAAAATATCAATGTACGGTAAAGCTAATGTCGCTAACACAATTATCCTGTCCAAACTGTGGCATGTCCTCAGGCTGACACCTCTACCGAAAGCAACCATCAACAAGCTCAACTCCATCATATATCAATACATAGTGGATGAGAAGAGACTGCAAATCAAAAAAGATGTGTACTACCTACCCAAGGACCAAGGAGGACTAGGTTTGCTACATGTAGGCGCCCAACAACAAACCCTGCAAATGAGGTATATCACAGCACTACTATACCACGACCAGCACAAAACAATCCCGCAGTACCTATACCAATTGATGTCACATACGCTACAAATGGAGACGAACCTGCCTTACATTGATACCATACTGATATTTAAAGAAGCAAGAAGCTACAAGAACAACCTAAAAGATGGGGCCATGAAACTGATTATTGAAACAATGAATAGTCTTCTTGAAAACTGCCGACCAGACTTTACCAATACACCCATCAATATCAACACTTGTTTAACTTTACCACTGACCACTATATACAAGGACTGGGAAGACTTGGAAACTACTGACTACCTCAGGAACCCTACAGCCAAGAGAAGCCTAGTGCAGGATTTTTTCAAGCCAAATCTTAATTACACAGCTCTCGAATACAAGACAAGACAAGAATGCAAATCACCGCAGATACTGTACAAGCTCAAAAGAGACCACAACAACAACCAGTTACACCTTCAAGATTTCTTCAGCAACCTGCTTCATCCAAACAACTCAACTCCCAACAACCAGGAAGAGGCAACAAGTCTAATCCAACATTTTGAGCACGATAGCAACATCATTTGGCTCTGCAAGAACAAAATAATCAGACAACTGCTCCTCAAACAACTGCCTATACAACTGCCAAAAGATCACAACAAAAACATCAACCCCAAGCAATGGAAAGCATTCTACAGATCACATATGCACCAGTCACCTCGAAATTTATGGCTCAAGATCATATACAACAAAGTCCCCTGCAGAAGTTTCCTATACCAAAGTCAAATCAAAGATATAGAAAACAACAGATGCATACAATGTAACGAAGTAGAAGATGCCAGACACCTTCTCATGGAATGCGGAAACAAACACGACGTCTGGGAGTCCGTCTTTAAAGAACACCTAAGCTACCCAACCACAATCAACACTCACCGCATATACAAAGACATGCAGAACCTGACATTATCAAGATACTACATTTACAACCTGGACCTCAAGATCAACATCTTCGACCTTTTTGCCACCATAATCCGAATAATCTGGACCCACCATTTCTTCGTACACTACCGTGGTACCCCTTTTGAGCCCCAAACAGTTGTTAGCAATATCAACAGAGAACTGGATAAGCTGTCCAAAATGGATAGTATTGATTTATAAGACCTCATAAGATACAATATGGCAAGTCACTTTACCTAGTATACACTTGATCCATTTATACAATGATTTTATTAACTATTTATTCATAACTACTTAATAAAACTTTCATTCCATACAAAAAAAAAAAAAAAAAAGTATGACATTTAAAGGACTTTAAATAAAACCTGGAGCTCGTCTCCCCTACAAAAAAATGCTTCTTTAAGCTTTCTTGGAGTGCTTTTAAAGGCGCATCAAATGGTACCAAATAAAATAGATGTTTTGAATAAACTTATTGAGCAATTTATCAAAATATGAAAAGAGGTTTCTGGCCAAAATGTCGAAATTTTACATATCAAAGTCCCACAAAGATGATTTCAGAGGTTGCTTTGGATCGATAGAAACATTTTGATTCAAGATATACCATAGTAAAAGTCTTCGTTATCAAGGTGAAAAATGCGATCGTTTGATTTTCGATGAAAACCATGAGGGGTACCTCATGCTTTTTGGTCGATTTTTGACCATATTTTTTTGGTCCCCAAAAAGTTGAGCAAAGGTGTCAGGAAGTTACTACTACTCGAATACAGCAGTTTGGTGCCATTCTGGTGGCTCAGAAAGGTTTACATGTCAAGATAGTAAGGCTTAAAAGTTGTCAAGTTTGGTTATGTTCTTGCTTCATAGCTTTTAATTACATGGTGTAATTCGCATCTTTGGTAGCCAAAATTGTCTGGAAGAAGGGCAGTTCTGCAGCTTGTGCAATTTCTAATTCGAATAGGAGGCACACTAATTTTGTTAAAGCTAATTTTGATGCGTTATCTTGTTGGTAAGCTTATTAATAATGGAAAAATGAAAAACTGAATTTGCTGCTTATATACTAGGGTTTAGCGCCTTCGTTTTGCTACGGCAAAAACCCTCATAAAAATCAACGTTGCTAAATGTTGGATTAGATGCTTGATTGCTATGGCTTTTAACCTTCGCTACGGTAAAGTCCTCTTATAGGCCAGTGTTACCCAATGTTGAATTAAATGCAATCTCGCTATGCTCGATGACGGCCGTAGACAAACTCAAATAAAAGATAATAAAAATCTACTATATAAGTAGCTTTTAAGCCATCAATTATTAATGGGAAGTAGAGAAATCGAATTCGCTACTATGATCAAACCCTGATTATAGATCAATGCTATCAAATGCTGGGACTAATGGTGATACAAAAAAATTGCTGTAATGACGCAAGATGCAAAAAAAAAAAAAAAAATATCACATGTTTCTCTATAAAAATATTTGCCCACATTCCATCTGTTTCTTTTCTCCTTATTCCTTTTTTTTTTTTTTTTAAAGGATGGGTGGTTCTCGATTAGGGATTTTGCACAGTGCCCAGTTGGACGCGACTTCGGCCCGCATTAACTCAGTGTCGTTAACTCTGAGCTAAACGACGGTGGTCTTGAAGTTGTTTAGCAAGAGAGGGTCATTACCCCAGATTATATATCTGGACTGTAAGTGTACGAGCTAATTTGCCACGATTGCTCCAATACATGGTTCGCCTGACTCCTCGTTATTTTTGGGATCAAGTTAGCTTTCACCTTCTCGTGGTTGATCCTGTTTACTCGTTATAGCTACAAGTGCTTTAATGAGAACGAAGAAAAGCTTTATAGTTTAAGACTTACTTAGATTTATAATGATGTGCGATTTGATTCAATAAAAGCCTTTTAATACCTATATATTTATAGTGGGGTGTTCCTGAAATATAGTGGCAATCGTAGCGATTGAAAGGCGGCCATTGTAGTAGATGGCTTTAAGATTTCTCATTCAATGCTTGCAATTTTCTGTTGTGATTAGATTTTCCTCTGTAGCATGGAAATGAATGCATCAAACTCAATAAATTCACGAGATGTCTGAAAGAGGTACTGAAAATCCTTGGAAACATATATTTGCTGGTAGATTGAGACTCAATTATGTGCACATTGATTGCCATGGATGCAACATGTTCATCGCAACTAGACGAAGCAATATTTCACCCATGTAGAAAAATGGAATATTTACCACACTTAAATATACAAAGTTTTAATTCTAATAATAAAAAAAAAGTAAAAGAAGGCAACAGTAAATGAATTATAAAAGGTGTAAAAAAGAAGGGGCCAAAGCGAAAAGCAGGGGGAAGTGGCATAATACAAAGGACCACAACATGAACACTATCGTGTTGCCAAAGCTCTTAGATCCGCAAATATTGCCTCAATCAAACAAGTTGATTTTCTTCAGCTTGTATACATCCTGGGCCCTTGCTACTGTTTTCAGATTTTGTGCTTTGATATAGGGTTGCAACACCTTTTGATAAAGTTGCAACAAGTTTCGCTTGACCAAAGCTTTGCCATGTTTGGTTTCGTGGAAGATAGCAGGCCCGCCTCGACGATGGGAAATAATAGCATCCAGATAATTCATAACAAGCGATACTTCCCTCTCCAGATTTTTGGAAACTGATGAATTTTTCAAAGCCTTTTGATATTTTCTTGCTATGCTCTTTTTGGTTTCACGATGAGCAAAAGAATTGATAATGAACGAAGACGCTTCCACCAGGCAAGGGGCATCGACCAACTTCAATGGGTGCAATGGCTTAAAGCCCGCCTCATCAAATTTAGCGCTGTAAAAATGCCAATCTAGAGTTGATGAATCCTTGTAATATTGATTGATCAGTCTTGGGTGCGTGCCATAGAGCCGCTGATCATTGTTGACGAAGATTGAGGCGCTGGTCAGAGTGTTGATACTGCCGGTGACTTCAAGAGGAAGGCTCTTTAATGCTGAACCAACAAAGGGCAAGAATGTGTTTGATTCAACTGATCCCATAAATCCACTGTCAGCCAGCAATTCTATGAATCCAAATCTGATGACAAGCTCATAAGATGACGACCCGAAAGCCGTTTTACGCATGATGAAGGCAATAGGCTTGTCTTGGTATGCGAATTTGGAATTGTCGGCACAATCATCGATGTGCTGTGGATCATGAATGAAAACAGAGAAACTTGTAATCATGTACCAGTTGTCCTTGATGATGATAACTGCCTCGACAAACATTGGTGCTACTTTTCTAATCAGAGCATCTGCTTGCTCGATATCGACGTTGGCTGCTTTCTTCATATATTTATCTGCAAACAATTGTTTTTTTTTCAACAGCGAGTAATCATGCAGGCACATCAATTGATTGACATATACAGGTAGATGGTGATTCAACTTTGCTCTTTCCTTGAACGTGAGTCGTGAGCGAGCCCAATCAATCTTCATTCTCTCTTTGATGAGCTGTACATGTCTGTTGATGCGCTCAGGGGTAACAATACCGCTTGCTTGTTCGGCATCGTATTGAAGAGGGACAACAGTAATATTTTTGAGCTGCTGTGACTCCAAGAGCACTTGGAACACGTTAATCGCGCTACTAGGAACATGGTAAGCAAGTTTACGCGTGATATTTTTTGCTATAAAGAGGCTCAAAAACTGATAATCATAGTGATCACGATATGCGAAATGAACAGACTCGAGTTGAGAAGCATTGTCGAGTAATCTTGAAATCTCGTTGCTACAGTAATATTTGTTTCGAATATACACATGCTTTAGCTTATGTAGCAGGAAGGTAGGAACAGTGCTATTAAGTGTATATACTAACTCAACAGATGTTGTAAATGACTTCCACATGTATTTCGACGTGCGTGCCAAGTTCAATCTTGTTTCAGAAGTCAGGATATCTGCAATTGTGAGCAATAACGCTTGAGGTAATGTCTGTATCATTTTGTATCTAACGAGAGATAAAGGATCAATTACAGAGGGATGGCTTGTACGTATAAAAATTAAGCAACAACATTGTGTTCTAACACAGCCATTGAATGCTTATTGTGTACTTTCATGGAACTGTAGAAATTAGACAAAAACATATTAAATTCAAGACTTTTAGCCAGTGAGATTCCTTCAAGCCACCTCGAATAGCCGGCAAACGCATGCTTTATAATACAAGCTACATATCAAACGGGTTTGATTCCTAGTATGACCTCCATCAGCCGCTTTACTTTGAGCTTTGACCCCAGGCTTTTTGTAAGAAGCTTGATAGGTAATATTATGCAAAGAGTGTTGTATTCAATCCCCGTACAGCTACGATCAAGGTACAAACAGGGACAAACAAAAAGTAGATAGCAATTGTAAATGGCATAAATCTAAAAAAAATACGACACTAAAGAAAGAGATAATAAAAATTGCTATATTTCTTTTGGAGACTCAAGCACTATGTATCATCATGATCATATTTTATTTATTATACAGTGATCGCATAGAATATGATCACCAAAACACGAGTATAGTGGGCCGATTTAGCTATACAGATCAGTAACCTCTACCAGCCGTTTGATATCGCTAATGTTCAGTCAAAATATTGTTCTATCTTTTAGAGTAGACGTTTCATAAGAGTGTGGCACTGGGATACTGATATTCTCTGATAACAAACAATAATATTGTTCAGCACACTGTAATAGAGTGACATAAGACATTTGACTATACTCTTTTACTATATATGTATTATGTAAATCATTATCATTACTTTAGAGACCACAAAACTAAAAGTAAACCAGGATCTGCATTTGTGTAATTTTGCTTATTAAAGAAACAAGTTTGCATTATGCATTTACATGAGTGTCTTAAGCTTGCAACGATCCAGTCCATGAGATACAGAATCTTACAGCACGAGCATTAGAGAAGTAGTTAGGTTAAGTGGTATTACTTTGCGATTGCAGCCCCGTCTCATCAGCTTCACAAACATCGATTCTCAACAATATGAAATAGTGGTTTTGTTGATTTTTAATTAGCTTCTTTAATGAAAATGACAATTTCGTGTGCTTAGACGTTCATTTCAACTGCATCGCTTGGGTCTGTTTCTTATGGATATCCGATATCAGATAGTGGTATTATGGCATAGTCCCTAGACACTTTTACGACCCTAATATGAAAACTGAGTTGCTAGGCATTTGTAAGGCATGGCTCATATATGATTAGTA